AATAAATTTATGGCTTTTTTACTTTCTCGTAAATAGGTTACAGAGCTTAGAGAAAGTATTGTAATCGTGCAAAAAAAAAAATCGAGATTTTTGCAAATCTCGATTTTTACATCTCCCTGAGCCGGAAAAAACATAATTTTGCAATCTTGTGCATATGTCTATGAGTGTGTATGTGTGTATGTGTGTGTATCTATGTATATGTCTGTAAACACGATAACTTGAGTACCGTTACAGCTAGGTTGATGAAATTTCATATATAAGTATTATAAGTATTATATCAAATATGTCAATCCGTATCAAATTTTTAGTGATTTCCGATAACCGGAAGTGGAAATTTTTCTTCTATCAATTTTTCAAAAGCCTATAATGTGAGTACTATTTCAGATAAAATAAATCAAATTTCACATATGAGTAAAAAAATATAATTCTCGGCCTTCTATCAAATTTTGAGTAATTTCCGTTGACCGGAAGTAGTAGTTTAAGCTCTTCCTGATATCTCAAAAAATGCTTGTAAATTTATAAAGTACTAATAATATCCCGTACAATTATGGACATTTTGTTTGGCGTTTACTTGGTGTGCAATTCTTTTTTCTACGAGATTCTATTCTATTATAAAAAGTTTAAGTAATTAAAATTGAATGAAAAATATTGTCTGTATCCCGAGTTGCCCCGTAGTGTTATATAAGAATATTCGGAAAGTTTAGGGGAGATCACTCCAGGTTTGTTTAAAATTAAGTTTCACTTTTTAAAGTTTACTTTTATGTTCGCATGTTTTAATATACTATGTTTATTTCATTTCAGCATTTTGTAAGCGTGGTGTAAAAACTTACATTTGACCATGATTCTTCGGCATTGCAATTTTTATACTTTGGACAATACTCAACCCTTATAGTGACACTTAGCCTTTTCGACCAACCAGGGCTTGAGAATTTACCCTTCACAAAACCCGTGAAACGGCATTTGAAGTTTTCACAGCGGCTCTCATAACCTTCAATACTAAGATGCATGGTTTCTGTCCACTCTTTCTTTCTTTCAGCACGGGTTGAATCTGGAGAAAGAAGAACATTATTCTAGTAATATTAATATTTAACACGATAAGAGATGACTTTTTTTTTTGCTGGAGATTGCATCAGAAGCGTAGCAAATGGAGGGGATGGGGCGGCGGCCCCGAGCTCCGACCCTTCTGGGGCGCCAAAAGGGTTGGAAAAATTTCGGGGGAGGTGGGGAGGGGGTGGGGTTTAAAAAAAAAGCCGTGCTAGCAAACACTGGTAAAAGAATATATTTTCTATATTATTTTTTTTTTCGGAAAGGGTGTTGGTAGGGGGCCACGCCTTGAAAAAACTCTAATCCAATCGTGAATCTTATCAGTCGGGTGCGTGTCTTGACCTCCGCTGAAGCCATAAGAATGACTTACCGAAAATCTTGGGTTCATTTGAACCTAGGTTAAGAACGACTACACAAAACGTTTTTGATTTTCATCTTCTTATTCGTTTCGGTTTCCTAAGTAGCATAAGCGTAGGCAACACTATGTCAAGTCTCTACATATTTATATAGATCGTACCCTAATAATCCAGTCTCCACTATATATCCTCCACTAGATATCCTTCCTGACTTTTAAAAAACATGTTTTATCGATGCTGATTCTAATCAAAACATCATGGACGTTTCCACTATCAGTAAACTGGTTAGTATTGCTTCTTCAACTGGTATAATTTTGAAAGCATTTGTTGTTGACTATGTGCGAGAAGGCAGCGCACATCTGCAAAATCCAAACCTTCCAGCTGTTGTGTCCATTGGATTCAAGTTCCAATAGCTTGTTTTATAATACATTCAACCACTCAACAAAATACCCATGTTATATTCCAATGTGTACAATTATTGTTTCTGATATGTTGTTGTTGTATGTTGAATCACCGCTAACCAACTTAAAATCCAACTATGTACCATATCATAACAGAGACTGTTCAAAAGATAGAACATAAAAGGTTGGTCTGGTCTAAATTACAAATTTCCCCGTGTGACGGAGTGGCCTAGCGGTAGAGGGATGGACTGCTAACTCGTAGGTCTCGAGTTCGAATCCGGGTTCAAGTCAATAGACAGTACCTGAGTCAACCCAGCTCTGATGGGTACCTAACTCACGTTAGGGAAAGTAAAGGCGGATGGGCATAGTGCTGACCACACTATCTCTTCACAGAAGAGGTCACAGAAACAAGTGAACTCTACTTCACTTGCCCCATAAACCGTCAGGTTTGAAAGGGAACCTTACTTTACTTTACAAACTTCCCTCTAAACTCATATAAGGCATATTATTTTCTGACATTACTAATCTATTTTTAATTGGCGTAAAGTAAAGTTCTAAGGAACAAAAATCATACACCGTAACTGTTAAATCCTTTCTCAGTGGTTACTTTTACTGAGGTTGGTACCAGATGTATTGCTTGACATTCGTTAGGGCTCTTACGGTACAGTCATATACAACCTATTGCCTCTCCGTCTAATTCTTATTTCTATATATGTTACGTATCCATATCGTTCTACATCTCGTGGTGCATCTAACGAGGCAAAACGGAACCATATTGAATAAAGATCATAGGCCTATCAAGATTAAGTTGCCAAAATAAATGTCATAATTATCAAATTTAAACTGTACCATGGGTTACTCTGTCACATTTATGTTTTCTATAACTTACGTGTGATAAGGCTAACAAAAAACAAATGGAAGGCACACAGATTCATTGTAGCAACAATGTCGTCTCAAATGGTTTCTTTTCTAAACAAAAATATAAAAATTAATATACAAAATTAATAAATAATTAAAATTACAGAAAAACAAAAACATTTCTTTTACAAGTTTAAATAGATTCTTGTTGGAATAATTTAAGTTCAAGGCAGTTTCTCTATGAACTTTAGGTGGAAAAAAACTGGTTTTGTGAGATCAATAAAGCGCAACCACTTTTACTGCCGTATAAATATTTCCAGCTGAGCACCAGTTTGTGTTGTGCCTTTAGTTAAACCAGATGATATCAGATTCAAGTTTTACTCGTTTTTTTGCACTTTGTACTACAATTTCTTTACTTTATACAGATGCAGAGTCTATAAATAACGGAAGGCGTGGCAGTGTGGAGAACTCAAGCTCACGTTCTATGGTACGTATCTGAGTTACTCAGATCTAATGGGTACCTGAGTCTTGTAATATAATGACGATTCGGCACATAACTGATAAATCTATACGTAAATCAGAGTCTCAATACTTAGATGATCTCTATTTTATCTGCTCTACTAATCACCCTGTAGAAAGAGTGTCCTGTTTTGTTTCTTACTGCTAATAGAATCATCATTTCAAGTATTTGCAAGAAAGAAATGTTGCCCATAGTACAAACAACATGTGACCAGCATTGTAGTATTTGTAAATAGAAATACAATCTCAATAAGAAATATAAAGGATAACTATATATATCTTTATTTAAGGTAAAATCATGATATAGCGTCGACTATTATTCCGGAACTGTACAGCAGTAAAAAAAACAGTAAAACCATTGCGTAGTCTGTCGAACCGTTTCGGAAACCACCGGAAAAACTGTAAACCATCATTTATTTGCCGCCATATTATTTTCATACATAATGTTTAAACATGTACAAGGATTGATTTTAGTTGAATTTTAAATACTGTTTTGCTAATTATTTTGTATTTCTAATTATTTTAAGTGTATATGCTAATTATTGCTGCTACTAAACATTGTTCTAGTTCTTTTAACTTTAGTAAATCTAATCGTCTTATTTTACTAACAGAACTAGAGCTACTTGTCGCAAATCTTCTGCTTGTTTATTTTTGTAGTTCTTAAAAAACATCAATTACTACACTCGACTTTATTAATATTAAGTTTTACTAATTGTTGTAATTTTTGTCAATTAAACATCAAATTAAGTTAGAACATTAATTTAACGCACTTGACTATTTTTATTTCAACGGTCAAACAAACTATGGTTCACAGTAACGAATGTTACCGAAACTAAGCAAACATTACCAGATAATTTCCGACGCTATATCATGATTTTACCAATTTTATTATATTTTTAAAACAATTTTATTGTGTGTTAACATCTTAAAAAAGAACATCCTTAAAAATTCTCGGCCCATATCAAAAATATTTTTCTGGTCTCTCCATAATTTTTAGTTCAATAAGAGTTAGACAAATTAATTATGGCATGTGTACGTGTAGAGTTTAATTTTACATTTCTATCAATTGAAATGTAAATATTACAATATATTATACTGCATTATATCTTAAGTAAAAGCAGATTGTGTATGTCATTACGTACCGCACTTACCGCTACATTCACATATTAATCGTTTGATATCATTTTTCAGTTCAATGCTTCCGGCTCCACAAAAATACACACAGACTTGAGAGCGTTTTTATCTAATGTTAAATGGTGCAGCACTATGAAATGAAAAAGAGAGACTTGAATATTATTAATAAATCAAAGCCTTTAGTGTAAAATTTCTATGATACAACACACATATACGTACATTTATTTACTAATTTACATTGTTTCCTGACACCACAGACGACAACATTTATAGTCTCCTTAGATGATTTTTTTTTTCGTAAGCGCAGCGTATCTTTTTCAAGGTTTGCATGCATTTCATTTCTGGTGTGCAACTTGCAATGTATTGGTTATTCCGCTAATACATTAGTCGTCGCACATTTGTCTTTTACAACATCTCATGCTTACAGTCCATGACTAGTCTGACTGTTAGATTTCCTCGTTGACTGACATACAATTTGTTGTTTTTTAATAAGGAAAATCTAAACCACAATAGTAATAGGTAATCTATATTGTCTATAAAAAGCAAAGTTGTCTAGTGCCCGAGGCGCTTCAAATTTGGCATGCGTCTGCCTTGTGACAATAGAACACGAGCGCCTGTGCCGGTTGGCCAACAAGTCCATACCTGTATTGAGTACACACATGCCTGTAGTGAGTACACACAATACCTGTAGTGAGGGGGTCAAAACTGACCTCGACTGACCGGCGCCTTATATTAAGAAAAATACTTTTACCCAACGACCAACCTTCATATTTTGTCAGGTGATAAAAGACAGACAGACAGACAGACAGACAGACAGACAGACAGACAGACAGACAGACAGACAGACAGACAGACAGACAGACAGACAGACAGACAGACAGACAGACAGACAGACAGACAGACAGACAGACAGACAGACAGACAGACAGACAGACAGACAGACAGACAGACAGACAGACAGACAGACAGACAGACAGACAGACAGACAGACAGACAGACAGACAGACAGACAGACAGACAGACAGACAGACTGACAGACAGACGGACGGACAGACGGACAGACGGACAGACGGACAGACGGAAAGACGGACAGACGGACAGACGGACAGACGGACAGACGGACAGACGGACAGACGGACAGACGGACAGACAGACAGACAGACAGTAAATATAAAATATTTTTTAACAAGTGATAATGAGATAATTATGAGTCCAACTAAACATGGATTATTGTTGTTTATTTTTCGAAAACATTGCATAAGTTATCACTTTTCCTATATATCAGTTTCATTTACTGATAACTACCTAAAATATTTTATAGAAGCTTTGTTTCACTTTAAATATGTTTATTTTTTGACAGCATTCAATGTTCCACTATTTTTTTCCGTTTTTATAATAAAATGTGATTTTTTTTTTATTTTTTTTTTTGAAGTGTAATTTTCTTCTGCTATCAGTTAATTTTACAAGGTAAAAAAATATTTTTCTGTTTACTTATTTAATTGGTTTTGTTTTAAGAACTTTCTTTTTTACAGTTATTCCTTTTATTTATTTTTTTGGAAATTATTGTTTTTTTTGCGAATGTTCATATGTTCTCCACTGGACCGGTTTGTTTGACACACAACACAGCAGGTTTGTTCGACCTGTGTCCTGGTTACACGGAAGATATCGAGAGGACATGGAACTCGGTGCTCTCCTGGCAGTTGGCGGCGACCTGTGTAACGCCGGCGACGTACCACTCCCCGTTGGCCGGCGCCATACAGTACACGGGGGCGCCCGTGTCTCCCTGGTTTGAGAAACAAATTAAAACAATGCTAAAATAAAATTAATAAATGGGAGGTAATTATCAAAGGTCCTTATTTAACATTTATATAAAGTGAATAGCTTCCCTTTTTAAATTTTCCGAAGCGCCATAGGCCATACAGTAGTCGACTTTTTTAACAAGATTTTTAGTTCTCCTTAAAACGTATTAATCGTCACTATTTTTTATAGTAATTTTAAATGCTAAACAAAAAATTTTTAAAATATTACTGAAAAGTCATTTGGATTTGCAAATTGACTCATATAAATAAAGAAGTATTGTATTAAATTGCAATATTTTTCGAGCCTTAAATTCTTTAATTAATAAAATCTACACCATAAAAGCAAGTTTTATTTTCATGACGAAGGTTATCATTTATATTTTGCTCCAGTGTTGAGTTTGGAAAAAAAAGTATTTTAAAAACGGCTAATTATTTTAGTTAGTATTGATAACAGAAATGCTTAACCAATTAGATTTTGTCAAAGATAAGAATATTTGGATGTTGGTTGTGTTGGTGCTAGTGAAAAGTTTTCCTAACCCTAATAATCCCCAACTCTAATAAAAAAATTTCCGGCTTCTTTGGATTCGTGCCAGGTCTTTGATTGTCAATCTTTTTACCCCCTCACCCCTACGACATATAGTGTCCCCCCCCCCACACACACACCCCTATCCGTAAAACGATGTCACATTCCGTCAATATCGCTAAATTGCCTCATTTTCCAAAACATCTTCCCTATAACTTGATACAATATAGAATTGGGATACAATGCAGTTCAGCAGAAATATAGGATTCGGATTCAATGAAGTTCAGCCGAAATATAGGATTGGGATACAGGGTAGTTTGGGGCTACCAGTACATTAAAATTAGTTTATAAACCCTTTCACCATTCTAAATTTTGAAATAAAAGAAGTTTAATTTTAATGGAAAAAATGAACATTTGTTAGGTAATGTTTTCCTGTTATGCCACCACCTCCACGGGGTCACTCATAGCAATACCCTCACCCCCACTCTACCCCCATTCTTGTCTGTGGTGTTTACGGAGGACCCTATTTTTTAAAAAAAACGTACTTCACAGGATAAGCTCATTCCAGATGTCGTCTTGAAGCAGAGGGTCACAGTACTGGCGCTGGGTGGGGCGATAGCAGAACATCCAGTGGGGCTCAGTGCAACGTCAACCACGCTCAGTCCACCAGCACTAGAGCTAGCTGGAACAGCAGACCAAATGTTACAGATCAAATGTTATGTTTGTTATTCCGGTACACGCTTATGTAAGGTAGACTGACACAAACAGTAGAGCTAGCTGGAACAGCAGACCAAATCTTATGTTTGTTATTCCGGTACACGCTTATGTAAGTTTGAGCAACATTAACACTAGAGCTAGCTGGAACAGTAGACCAAAAGTCACAGACCAGATGTTATGTTTTTTATTCATGTACATGCTTATGTAAGTTAGACCAACACAAACATTAGAGCTAGCTAGAATATTAGAGCAAATCTTATGTTGGTTATTCAGGTACGTGCTTATGTAAGTTAAACCAGCACAAATACAGGAGCTAGCTAGAACAGTAGACCAAACGTTATGTTTGTTATTCCGGTACACGCTAATGAAAGGTAGACTAACACAAACAGTAGAGCTAGCTGGAATAGCAGTCCAAATGTTAGGTTTATTATTCATGTACATGCTTATGTAAGTTAGACCAACACTAACATTAGAGCTAGCTGGAATAGTAGATCAAATCTTATGTAGGTTATGATTGTGCTTGTAGAGGTGTGGCGACCCATTCGCCTGGGGCAAACTATGAGATATGCGCCCAAACCCTATTTATAGATCTATATCGTTCCCGCTTTGGCTAAAAAGCGCCCACCCACTACGGAGTGGTTTGGTGACGATTTTTACTACTCATTGTCACTTAACAGATTGTAGTAAGATGTTACACAATTAATGAGCATTTAAATCAGTTAAACCAATAGCAATTTTCTTAACTTCGGCTGCGTATAATTATGTAATGCAATCCAGAATTAGTTTTCAATGTTATCCTAGCCCATTTAGCGCCCCCCCCCCCCCTCCCACCCGCCCAACCCTAGCTGAATGTGTCAACTCACAAGGGTTGGACACGCCCCAACTGACGAGCCGGCACGTGCTGAGGTCAAGACCCCTGCTCGTCGTACTGTCGTGGTAGACGCATGCGCGTGGCTCACACTCTCCGATGCTGGTGAGAAGGTTTTGGTAGTGGTAGTTGACGTCAAGGTAAGAGAGGCCGTTGGGACCTGTGAAAAGTTGTTTTATTAGTCACTGGTAAAATTTTAACTGGAGCATACGTCTAGTCTATGTATCGTAGAAGGAACCTGTGAAAAGTTGCTGTATTAGTCACTGGTAAAAACACGAGCATATGTCTAGTCTATGTATTGTAGAAGGAACCTGTAAAAAGTTGTTATATTAGTCTCTGATAAAAAGTAAACTGGGGCATATGTCTAGTCTATGTATAGTGAAAGTAACCTGTGAAAAGTTGTTGTATTAGTCACTGGTAAAATGTAAACTGGAGAATAAGTCTAGTCTATGTATCGTATAAAATAATGACGTTCAACTTTCCATGGGTCAGTTGAATTAGACTTGATCTTTTCCGTGACAAGTACACATGCAGTTATATTTTGCTTACTTTTACGCCTAAATATCACTTTGTTGAACGGCGTGGCCAAGTGGTAGAGCAATCCAATGCTAATCAGGACGTCTGCATTTCACGAATTCGAAACAGATTTTACACCATAATAAGTGACAGAAAATAATTTCTAGAATTTCCGTCCGATTCTTTCAGAAATTTTATAATTTGCACATTACGGATTATGGGACGGCGTCAATACAAGTCAATAGAACGTCCCTGAGTCCACCCATCTGGGTACCATAACTCACATTAGGGAAAGTAAAAGCGGCTGGGCAAAGTGCTGACCACACTTCATCTGCCCTATGGATCGCTAGGTCTAAAATGGCTTCTTTATTTTACTTTTTATTACTGATTAAAACGATAGCTGCTATACTGTATTATTTAAACAGAATATTATGTTCTCAGAAACGTACAAATGATCCTAATTTGACTATTCAAAAATTAGATAATAAAAAAAATATATAAAATATTTTTTTTTAAAAACCACGTACCACTGTAGATAGTAAATATTCTTGAAGGAATGGGGTACCTTTGTATTCCAATTTCTAGGTCAAACCTGTAAAAAATATTTTTATACGTCGGAAACTGATTTCTGATTCTTAACACTACAATGAAAGCAATATGTACCAGAAATATTCCTGCACAAATATTACTCTGATATAATATGATAAAATACTGCAAATCTAAAGGGCATTGCAAGACCTAAACAACTAGCATTGGGCGATATGAGTTAGATATTACTTTTTGTTTATTTCAATATAGATGTTTAATTTATATTTTATTCTGACACTAGCGTAACAGTTCTACGACTAACTCGTGTCCTGTGTTGACCAGGGTGTCCTTGCAGGTCGAAGGCGTGATGAAAGTTTCTTTGTAGGTCCCGTTGACATTGGCTAGTGCCAGGACAGCGTTGCAGACGACAAAAGCCCCGCTGGCGACAGTGATGTTGGCGATGCCAGAGTACTGGCAGATGTCTGTCACGTGGGCACCGTTGAGGACACGGAGCTGTGGCTGGCACACTGGGTAATCTAGAATTTTGGGGGGGTGGGGGTGAGGTGAGGGTTCAAGATTTTAAATTTAGTTTTTTTTAGTCTGATGATTAAATCATCCATTAAAATATTTAAATATGGTTCATTATTTTTTTTCATGGTTATGACGTGGTCGAGTGATAGTGTCCTCGGTTGCCAACCCGGAAGATTTAAGTTTGGATCTCGGTCCAGGCTTGAGGCTGTAGGACCCGTGTAGCCACTGGGTCGAGTTTACCCGGTGCGGTAACTCTTCTTCACTTCTTCTTAATCCCGTTCGTACCCAAGACACATGGAGCAGATGAAGTAGAGTTCATCTGATTCATTGACCTCGGCATATGAAGGAATAGTGTGGTCAGGACTATGCCCAGCCGCCTCTGTTTACCCTAACATAAGTTAGGTACCCATCAGAGCTGGGTGGACTCAGGGCGTTCCACTTATTTGAACCCGGATTCGAACTCGAGACTCTCCTGTCTACCTCTCTACCGCTAGGCCACGCCGTCCTCTGATGCGGTAACAGCAGCACTGATAGATTCCTTATTCACGTTAGGAAGAAAAACAGACTCGGGCGTAACTTGAACTCTACTTCATCTATCATATAGTTAGTTAAGTCCGAAAACGGAACTTAACGTTTGAATTATAACTTCGACTTTGAAATTACTCTAAATTAGTTCTGAAGATCAATACCACAGTCTTTCAAATCTTTGAATCGATTCATCTTTATAAACGTCTTGATATAAACAAGATGTAGGATTATCTAATTATCTAATCTATTGATTGGATCTGTCAACCCTTTATTAGTCTGTATACCAAATCGTTTTCGCTTTGAGGTGTTGATAATGAATCGGCATTCAAGAAATATCATTCGTTAATTAGAAATGCATGATTGATTAAAGCGTATTGCATTTTTTTAGTGCTTACCTGGGACTGGGGGGACAGTGGTTGTTGGTTCTGTCGTGGTTGTAGTTGTTGTTGTTGTTGATGTTTCTGTCGTGGTTGTGGTGGTAGTGGGTGTAGTTCTTTTAGTAGTGGTAGTGGGAATAGTTCTTTTTGTAGTTTTGGTAGAGGGGATAGTTCTTTTTGTAGTTGTGCTAGAGGGGATAGTTCTTTTTGTAGTTGTGATTTTGGGAATCTTTTTTCTAGTAGTGGTGGTAGTAGGGAGAGTTCTTCTTGCAGTAGGAGTAGTTCTTCTAATTGTGGTAGTTATGGGGATGACACTTTTCGTAGTATTGGCGGATAAGGAGGTGGGGACTCCGCAGGAAAGGGAAGGCATGCAACGACACTCCAACGGAAACTTCATCACTGCAAGACAATAATGAATAATTTGTTGCAAGTTTAACAACTCAAGACAATAATGAATAATTTGTTGAAAGTTTTACAGCTTAAAGTAGTCAGTGTTTAACTTGATGTCTCATTAAGTATGTATTTTTATATGGTAAATTGATTACAAGGTATTATTTAGGACTAAATGTATCTTGTTATTTACGTTTCCATTAATAATGTAATTTAAAAAATCAAAGTTGTTAAAAAATTAAATTGCTTAAAATACCTGTTCAATAACATCATTTCGTCTTAAGAAAGAGGTCGTTAGATACAGATACAGTAACATAAAAGTAAAGTACCCTTTCCGAACATGACAGTCCATGTGGCAAATTACCTCCGCTTATTAAGAGACAGTGCGGTCGGCACTATGCCTAGCCACCTTTCCCATTAGAACCAGTGTTTCTTCCAGACTTTTTCTCCGGGGGGGGGGCACTTGAAATTTTCGGGGGGGGGGGGGGGGGCGGTAGACTTTCTTCGGGGGGGGGGGGGGGGCGGACACTGTTAAAAGTATATATTTTCTATATAAATTATATAAATTTCATTTCGTTCGGGGGGGCGGTAAAATTTTTTCGAAAAGATGCCTGGAAGAAACTCTGATTAGAACTTGGTGACGTTTTGATAACTTATCCCTGCTCTGGTACCTTACAAAAAATTACCATTTTGGTGCCATGGGGCCAGTTTGACCCCATGGTGAAAAATAGGCTTTTTGACCAGAATATCTGCATTATTTTATTATTTATTGTTTACCTTGACCTAATAAGAGGTGATAATGTGTTAGTACGTCCAAACTAAACGTGGTAGTTTTCAAAATAATCTGGTCCAAAGAGGGCTTGGGATCATATAGACCCCGTGGTACCAGAGCAGGGTTAACCCAGATTCAAACTCGAGACTTTCGGGTTAGCAGTGTGTTAGCAAATGTACTAACCATCCAAGCAGCAACTGTTTCTGGAATCTTTCAGGTAACAGCAGTCTCTGTCGTCACGTCTCGTGTAGACTTTTTGATGCTTGATTAGGTCATTCTCAGCAAATACATCGGTATAGACGCTGAATGGGAGAGTAAAATATAAACATACAAACATAGAGGGTTGTTGTGGATGTGGTTGTTGAGGTGGATGAGGATGTGGAAGTACATTTGGAGTGTGGGTGTTGATCCGGGTGTGGATGTGGATGCTGATGTGAGTGTGAGAGGTGGTTGTTCAGGTGGATGGGAATGTTGATGTGGATGTAAATGTGGAGGGGGATGGGGATGTGGGTTTGGATGTTGATGCAGGTGCGGTTGTGGATGTGGGTGAGGATGGGAGAAGAAATGGGAAGTATATCATTTATTATCATTCTGAGCACAGACGGCTAATATAACAGATAACGTAGACTTTATTTTAAGTGAATTTATATATATATATATATATATATATATATATATATATATTTATATATATATATATATATATATATATATATATATATATATATATATATATATATATATATATATATATATATATATATATTCTCAAAATCCGTTTTAAATAACTAATTATAGCTCTTTATAGCTAATTATAGCTTATGCTATCGCTAGAGATTGATTCTGCTATACAGCAATTTTTACAAGAAGCGCTTGTCGTGCTGTCACTCTTCATTCCCTCATACCACACTATCAAACACCCAACTATGTAGGTGTTAACAAGTACAGCCAACACCCATAAGGAACATATGATTATATGATCGACGGGAGCCCGACGTTTGCCCGAAAGACACTTGCCCGAATTCCGTTTGCGTCCTTTGGGCAAACGGCATTCGGGCAAGTTGCTTTTGGGAATTAGTCGTAGATCCATGATCGATTCGTATGTTAGTTTTTTACTTGATATCTCCACAAACGGTTTTTTTCAAGATGGTCGCCGTTGCCATGGCAATCATATTTTCAGAATCCCTGATGCATGCTATTATATTCTTTTAAGTGCCCTAACCTGGCTAGGCACTGATAAATATAAAATATTATTAAAATATTATTAATTAAGCAGCGGTTTTTTTTATTCTTTTTTTTTTTCGGGAGTCACCCTTTGAACGCTTGAATTTTTTAAAAATTCCACCTCACCTTTCACAGAGTACAGGGTCGATGTAAAACGTTCTGCCGTCTTTAGAGGTGTACGTTTCTCTGCCTGCGCCATGGGTGATTACAGTCAGGAAGATCAAGGTCGAACACACGGTAACCAGTCCCGGGCAGGTCATTTACATTGGGAGTCTTATACCGGCGATATAACCCGGTCTGTTTTACTTTAGTATCCAAACAGCTTTTTTGTATAAAGTTGTGTTTTTCTTAATTTGATTAGATTTCTTAAACCTGTGGATCTCGCTATAGAAAGGAGAATTGAATTGTTATGATATTAATAAACCGGGAGTGATCTCCCCTAAACTTTCTCGAGTATTCTTATATAAAAATACAGGGGATGGGAACTCGGGCTATAGACATGATTTTTAATCCATTTTAAATACTTAAAGTTTTAAAAATAGAATAAAATCTCGTAGACAAAAGAATTGCACACCAAGTGAACGCCAAATAAAAAAGTGCATACTAGTGCGCAATATTATTAGTACTTTAAAAATTTACATTAGTTTTTTGAAAAATCGGAAGAAGCGTAAATTACTACTTCCGGTCAACGTAAATTACTCAAAATTTAACAGAAGGTAGAAAATTAGTTTTTTTACTCACATGTCAAACTTCATTTATCTATCTGAATAGTACTCACGTTATAGGCTTTTGAAAAATTCAAAGTAGAAAAAGTACCACTTCCGGTTATTGGAAATCGCTCAAAAATTGACACGGATCTACGATTTTGATAAAATACTTATATATGAAATTTCATCAACCTAGCTGTAACGGTACTCAAGTAATCGTGTTTACACACAGACACACACACAGACAGACAGACACACAGACATAAGGACAGAATTGCAAAGCCCAGCTTTTCAGACTGTATTACGCATAGAACCTTTTAATTTTGATAAATCTGGATTGATAATTTTTGCCCGATTAAAATAAGTCATCTATACTTCGGATGTGAAGAAGGACTGAGGTGTAATACGGTGAAAATTGTTAAAATTTCAAGTGATTTTTGTGCACGATTACAATACTTTCTCTATGCTTCGTATATACGAGAAAGTAAAAATGAAGAAGCGTTAATTTGCTTAACAGTTAAAATAATTTCTAAAGCCACATAGACATTGCCATGCAGCGAAATTCTACGATCATAAAGCATGTACATTCAACATAGTTACCCAACAGATACAACACAGACAGATCAACGAAACCACTCGAAACAGGTACTCAAGTAATGCATACATGTATTAATGCACAATCCTACAGTTAAGGATTACAGTAAAAGTACAAATATAAATAAAAAAAAAACATCACAAGACTAAAGCACACAACACGATCACAAACAATAATTAAAACAGCCATAGCATTAAAACATGCTGAAAGATTCATAGTTATGTTTACTGTTACAACTTTTTTAACACAAACATCGATTTACAATAATATGTTTTTATAAACGTTGTATTGAATCGCTTTTATCCGCTTTTGTATGGTTGAAAAGTAAGTTGTTTTTTATATTTTAGTCCAGTAAACAGACTGATTCTCACACAGAATCCAGTTAGTTCCCCATTTGAATATGACAGTCAATAGAAGTAGGTTTCATTTATTTCTGTGATCTTGTTATGAAGAGGAATAGAGTTATCAGTTCTATTAGAATTTGGCGGATTCGATAACGCCAAAGGACGTATCGAAACCTTTAAAGTCTTCTGACTATACAGGCACCAGTTAGCCGAAACTGCCGTTTATTTGGATGTAATCGTAAAGAACAAATACGGAAAATTTGTTGATTAAGAAACGTGAAACCTCTTAATTTAGCAGAATCGACTGCACTAACATTTTACAACCAAACAAGACTTCCATCATAAACTGTAAAATACTTGATGAATGCTTTACTACCCACATATTGAGCACAGTGTATATTCTATAGCTGTTCCTCAACCTGAAAACCACGAGCTCTAGAGTTTATAAATCTAAGACTTGCCTTACTAAATGCCAATTATCATCATTACCTATCGTAACTTAAATGTTTTCTCAAAAGTTCTAGATTTGTTTAAAAAATAAGACTTGTCGTAATAAATGTCAAATATTATAACAGCTTATCGTAACTTAAATGTATTCTTACGAGTTCTAGGTTTGTTTAATATGTCGTACCTTATTAATGACAAATATCATCACAACCTATCGTAACTGTTTATGTATTCTCCAACATCTAGGTTTGTTTGTAAGACTTACTTTAGTTTAAAAGCAAAGAGCACATCTTGCATTTGTTTATGTATTCTCGCTACTACTATATACTGTTTCAATATGCACCTAATCCTTCTAATAAGGAACATCACATTCCTAAGACATACCTTTGATGGACAAATTTAACACACCTCGTAGCTGTATGTGTATTATCTCTACTTCAATGAATTGTATCTAAAATCTAGAGATAACGAATCTCACACAAGCCAACGATGCGGGTAATCAAAACTTTGTGTTGTGTTAACACACATCTAATTATCCCCCTTTCGGATAGTCAACGAGATTTTACATCGGATAGTTTTGATTTTATTAAACTGAAGGCTGACTTAATCCTCTGAAGACAATGAGCAGCCTGCAACACATAGGGTTGGCGTATTTGGAGTTTTCTATAGCTTGGGCTTAGCTCTTCTCCTTTTACAAAAGGGATTGGAAGAGTTAATTAATCTGATAGGGAAAAACAACGAAACGCGAACAATAGAGCTGTGTAGATATTTGATAAGGGTCGATTAGAAAAAAACGTTATGTGAAAATAATTTCCAGTGTGTTTAAAGAACAATTTTCTGTTATACTAAAGGCCATTCCGACATAATTCATAGTTGTTCTGGGATGGTAGGACACTTCTTGCTCTTGTGGACAGTGATGCACTTGAGGAAGTGTGCCCTAATCGACAGTCTCGAGCATAGTAAGGCATGCGATGAGCATGCAAGAACATGCATGATTACATACAGAGTCGATAACATGCATGATTATATACAGGCTCAAGAACATGCATGATTATATACAGGCTCAAGAAAAAGCATGATTACATACAGGCTCAAGAACATGCATGATTACATACAGACTCAAGAACATGCATGATTACATACAGACTCAAGAACATGCATGGTTACATACAGGCTCAAGAACATGTATGGTTACATACAGGCTCAAGAACCTGCATCATTACATACAGACTCAAGAACATGCATTATTACATACAGACTCAAGAACCTGCATGATTACATACAGACTCAAGAACATGCATGATTACATACAGACTCAAGAACATGCATTATTACATACAGGCTCAAGAACATGCATGATTACATACAGACTCAAGAAAAAGCATGATAATATGCAGGCTCAGTATACGATAAAAGTTGCACATTTTTATTTAGTTATTTCTGATGAATTTTTTTTTCAGAAATTCCAGTTTTAAGATATCAAAGTTTGATCACCATCTCCACGTCATGTACCATACACATATATGTTTAAATATGTTTATATATGTATAAATTTAAAGTCAATTTTGACCAACGCAAACTATCCCCAACATTTATTTTTTTTGCAATTTTTTTTTAAATTTTTTTTTTATCAAGTCTTCCACACATTCTCTATAAATCAAAACACATAACATGTCAAAATAAACTTTTATTTGTAATTAATTTTACTTATTTTACTTGGTGTTTCTGAAATAAATAAAACATCTATTTTTATTTTATCTACAAATAAATCGTCAATCGCTGATTTTCGTGATCTCACTAGGTAAGGATAGCAATGTTTATAAGCAACATTCCTCTCTCCCATTTTCGTATGTGGTTTTGTTCTATTCGTTAAGAAATATGTCCACGAGTATAGTAAGTATGTAGCCCGCATGTAGTACAACTATAAATAGTCTTCCCTGATTCTGTTTTTGACACACGACGCACCTTCTGTTCTACACAGGACACAGCACATGTGTAGTTTGTCTCACTGCTACACAGGTATGGAGAGAACTCGGAACTCTGGAGACAAGTCACAACCGGAAGCGATCTGTGTGACGCCCACAAGGATCCACTCCCCATTGGAGGGGGCTTTGCAGTAAACGGGGGCGCCGGTGTCACCCTGAAAAAGTTTTTTTTTTCCAAAAGTGGGTTGATAAAGGGCGGTAAGACAATAAATGTGTTTAATGATCGAATTATGCTATGCGAAACAACATAAGTGTTTTCCCTTGGATGTTTAAAAGAGGAGAAATAATAGTTGTCTCCCGTTCAGTTATAGATATTGGCTTGTGTCGCATTGTAACAGATATATATATATATATATATATATATATATATATATATATATATATATATATATATATATATATATATAGGCCTTTATGTTTCGACATCAAGTGGGGTATAATTTACCCACCCCCTCCCTACCCCAACCCCATGTCAAATTGCTTCTTACGCCACTGACTTCAGTGAGCTAGCACGTTTAACCCAGGCCCAATCACGACCTTTTTTATTTTTGTTTAAAGAAATCTTACCCGACAGTACAGGTTACTTCCGGTTTTCGTCTTGAAGCACATGGTGAGGGCGGTGGCTGTGGGCGGGGCGATGTTGGAACATCCGGTGGGATTTAGGACCACGTTGGCCTCGTTTAGACCGTCAAGTTTGTTTGTGGCTGAAGTAGAGTTCAAACATCGTACACATGCATTCGATTAAAATACATGGTCTAGATACGATTCAACACGTAGTTTTATGTATAAATCGCATTTTTAGTTCAACTTAGTACACAATGAGCGATGTTGGAATCCCATTAATGTGGGTTTTTTTTTCATCTTAGTAGCTATTACTATGACAAGTCCATTTTTATGCTACAGGTAATGTGTGTATTTATGATAAGGTAATGTGTGTATTTATCATAAGGTATTGTGTGTATTTATGATAAGGTATTGTGTGTATTTATGATAACGTATTGTTTGTATTTATGATAAGGTATTGTGTGTATTTATGATAAGGTATTGTGTGTATTTATGATAAGGTTTTGTGTCTAGTTCACTACAGATATTGTGTGTACTCGCTACAGGTATTTCAGGTATTTTGTGTACTCACTACAGGTTTTGTGATTAGTTCCGCTACAGGTATTGTATGTACTCACTACAGGTATGGTGTGTACTCACTACAGGTATTGTGTGTACTCATTACAGGTATTGTATGTACTCACTACAGCTATGGTGTGTACTCACTACAGGTATTTTGTGCAATCACTACAGGTATTGTGTGTACTCACTACAGGTATTGTGTGTACTCACTACAGGTATTGTGTGTACTCACTACAGGTATGGTGTGTACTCACTACAGCTATGGTGTGTACTCACTATAGGTATGGTGTGTACTCACTACAGCTATGGTGTGTACTCACTATAGGTATGGTGTGTACTCACTATAGGCATGGTGTGTACTCACTACAAGTATGGTGTGTACTCACTACAGCTATGGTGTGTACTCACTACAGCTATGGTGTGTACTCACTATAGGTATGGTGTGTACTCACTACAGCTATGGTGTGTACTCACTACAGCTATGGTGTGTACTCACTATAGGTATGGTGTGTACTCACTACAGCTATGGTGTGTACTCTCTATAGGTATGGTGTGTACTCACTACAGGTATGGTGTGTACTCACTACAGGTATGGTGTGTACTCACTACAGGTATGGTGTGTACTCTCTATAGGTATGGTGTGTACTCACTACAGGTATTGTGTGTACTCACTACAGGTATGGTGTGTACTCACTACAGGTATTGTGTGTACTCAATACAGCTATGGTGTGTACTCACTACAGGTATTGTGTGTACTCACTACAGGTATTGTGTGTACTCACTACAGGTATTGTGTGTACTCACTACAGGTATTGTGTGTACTCACTACAGGTATGGTGTGTACTCACTACAGGTATGGTGTGTACTTACTACATCTATGGTGTGTACTCACTACAGGTATTGTGTGTACTCACTACAGGTATTGTGTGTACTCATTACAGGTATTTTGTGTACTCACTACAGGTATGGTGTGTACTCACTACAGCTATGGTGTGTACTCTCTATAGGTATGGTGTGTACTCACTACAGGTATTGTGTGTACTCACTACAGGTATGGTGTGTACTCACTACAGGTATTGTGTGTACTCAATACAGCTATGGTGTGTACTCACTACAGGTATTGTGTGTACTCACTACAGGTATTGTGTGTACTCACTACAGGTATTGTGTGTACTCACTACAGGTATTGTGTGTACTCACTACAGGTATGGTGTGTACTCACTACAGGTATGGTGTGTACTTACTACATCTATGGTGTGTACTCACTACAGGTATTGTGTGTACTCACTACAGGTATTGTGTGTACTCATTACAGGTATTTTGTGTACTCACTACAGGTATTGTGTGTACTCACTACAGGTATTGTGTGTACTCACTACAGGTATGGTGTGTAGTTTAGCTACAGGTATTGTGTGTACTCACTACAGGTATGGTGTGTACTCACTACAGGTATGGTGTGTACTCACTACAGGTATGGTGTGTAGTTTAGCTACAGGTATTGTGTGTACTCACTACAGATATTGTGTGTACTCACTACAGGTATGGTGTGTAGTTTAGCTACAGGTATTGTGTGTACTCACTACACGTATTGTGTGTACTCACTAGCATTGGAAATTCCCCAGCTGACGACCTTGCACGTGCCGAAGTCGACCTTCCCGCTCATCGTGTTGTTGTTGTAGACACACGCGCGTGTCTGACAGGCGCCGATGTTGGTGAGTAAGTTTTTGTAACGGTCGTTGACGTCGAGGTAGGCGAGTTCGTTGGCACCTATGGAGACGATGTATTTGATTCTTGAAGACTCGGCATAGAGAGGTTATTTGTGGGAGATCGTAGGCTGTTGTTTTTTTTTTTGTTTTTTTTTTTTTTTTTTACAAGGGAAGCTACTTAGTATTTACAACCAGAATATTTTGTTGTGTGAATAGGTACTCAATAGAAACATCAATGCTTATCAAAATTAAATGATTGAATATATTTCACATTATAATTGTTTTAAAATACAATTTAAAAGCACGATTTAGTAATTAACCAATTCTCTTTTTCTGTTTATCCTGTTACTTTTTCGTGAAGTTACTCCTTCGTGCTAACGCAAAAGAACTAAAAACGGAAAATATGTAATGCTTTGTTTTAGCTTATGGATGATGGATAAAGCAGAATCCGTGTAGGGAATTCTAAGAAAGGGACATTTATAAAGTTAGGCTTCTCGTACAAACTGCTTTTCTACTTTCCTCTTATAATCTGTATTGCTGGTTTTTACTAATCAGGTAACTTCTCAATATGTTAACATATTTTTACACCATCGCCTAGGTTTTTAACAAATATTTTATAACATTCGTAACTAATTAGTGTACAGTAAACAGTAAACATACCATTGAAGATAGTGAATATTCTAGATGGGATAGGGTATCTTTGGGTACCAATTTCTAGGTCAAACCTGTGGTGTTGTTAGAAAGATTTTAGCATATTATATATATATATATATATATATATATATATATATATATATATATATATATATATATATATATATATATATATATATATAAGAACTGACTCTGCCGAATGTGACATTAGAACTTTGGTCACGATCGACAAATATAAGCAGTTTTTAATGCAGTTTTTATTATGGTGAATTTCATTTCAACCTATGAAAGACTGATCACTGACCATTAGTGTAGATAATAAGATATTAATTAAACTTAATATGCAACTCCATAATGCATATCGCCCATATCGCTTAAAGTGAATACAACTGCACTAGCATAACCGGTCTAGGAATATACTGCTTCTGGGAACGGTAGATCAAAACGAGGCTTCTGTCCGAGTTGTTATGAAAATTTACATTCGTGTTACAGACTGACTTATTTTGATGACTTACAGTTGTCCTGTGTTGACCAGGGTGTCCTTGCAGGTCGAAGGCGTGATGAAAGTTTCTTTGTAGGTTCCGTTGACATTGGCTAGTGCCAGGACAGCGTTGCAGACGACAAAAGCCCCGCTGGCGACGGTGATGTTGGCGATGCCAGAGTACTGGCAGATGTCTGTCACGTGGGCACCGTTGAGGACACGGAGCTGTGGCTGGCACACTGGAAGTACATGAAATAATGTGGGGGCCTACACTGAAGTGTTGATAACTTAATGTGAAATAATAGACTAAAACATAGGGCCTACACTGAAGTGTTGATAACTTAACGAGAAATAATAGACTAAAACATAGGGCCTACACTGAAGTGTTGATAACTTAATGTGAAATAATATATCAAAACATAGGGCCTACACTGAAGTGTTGATAACTTAACGAGAAATAATAGACTAAAACATAGGGCCTACACTGAAGTGTTGATAACTTAACGAGAAATAATAGACTAAAACATACAATGAAGTTTCGCATACCTCAACGTGAGATAATACCCTAAAACATTGGGCCTACACTGAAGTGTTGATAACTTAACGAGAAATAATAGACTAAAACATACAATGAAGTTTCGCATACCTCAACGTGAGATAATACCCTAAAACATTGGGCCTACACTGAAGTGTTGATAACTTAACGAGAAATAATAGATTAAAACATAGGGCCTACACTGAAGTGTTGATAACTTAGCGAGAAATAATAGACTAAAACATACAATGAAGTTTCGCATACCTCAACGTGAGATAATACCCTAAAACATTGGGCCTACACTGAAGTGTTGATAACTTAACGAGAAATAATAGATTAAAACATAGGGCCTACACTGAAGTGTTGATAACTTAACGAGAAATAATAGATTAAAACACAGGGCCTACACTGAAGTGTTGAGAACTTAATGTGAAATAATAGACTAAAACATAGGGCCTACACTGAAGTGTTGATAACTTAATGTGAAATAATAGACTAAAACATAGGGCCTACACTGAAGTGTTGAGAACTTAACGTGAAATAGTAGACTAAAACATAAGGCCTACACTGAAGTGTTGATAACTTAACGAGAAATAATAGACTAAAACATACAATGAAGTTTCGCATACCTCAACGTGAGATAATACCCTAAAACATTGGGCCTACACTGAAGTGTTGATAACTTAACGAGAAATAATAGATTAAAACATAGGGCCTACACTGAAGTGTTGATAACTTAATGTGAAATAATAGACTAAAACATAGGGCCTACACTGAAGTGTTGAGAACTTAACGTGAAATAGTAGACTAAAACATAAGGCCTACACTGAAGTGTTGATAACTTAACGAGAAATAATAGACTAAAACATAGGGCCTACACTGAAGTGTTGCATAACTTAACGTGAAATAGTAGACTAAAACATAAGGCCTACACTGAAGTGTTGATAACTTAACGAGAAATAATAGACTAAAACATAGGGCCTACACTGAAGTGTTGCATAACTTAACGTAAAAAAAATTAATAAACAATCTAGAGCACTGAAGTATCGGATAATTTAACGCGAAATAATACCCTAGAATATTGGGCCTACACTGAAGTATCGCATACCTCAACCTGATATATTATACTAGAACATAGAGACTTAACTGGGGTATTGCATAACTTAACCTGAGACAATACTCTGGAACAAAGTGCCATCATTGAAGTGTTGCATAAATCAACAATAAGGTATTACATCTTTACATTTGTTTAATTTATTAAAGATATTTAACTAGATATTTATGTTAATTGGCCCACACATTTAGTCTAACATTTGCAATCAAATTATTGTATTCCTACACAGACATATATATATATATATATATATATATATATATATATATATATATATATATATATATATATATATATATATATATATATATATATATATATATACACGAGTGATTTTAGGTGCATGTGTCAATACCTACCGGAGATTTACGGCAGGGGTCAATACTTACATGAGATTCTGGGGGCCGGGGTAACAGTCGTTGTGGTGGTTGGCTTGGTGGTGGTGGTGGTTGTCGGCGTAGTGGTTGGTGTGGTCGTTGTCGTTGTTGGTGTGGTGGTTGTGGTGGTGGGGGTGGTGGTTGTAGTGGTAGTGGTTGTTGTGGTGGTGGGCACGCCGCAGGTCAATGTGGTGCTGCAGCGACATTCAAACAAGGTACCAACAGCTGCGGGGAGATAAGGAGGAGACGTGTGTGATTATTTATAATGGTGTGGTTGGTATACACAAAGCAGGTTACGTTAATATAGTATACGAGCCGGCCCGCGGCATAACATACGCCGCTATTTAGTTGTTGTTTTTTCTACTTTTCAGTAACTCATAATTTGTGAATTCGACAGTACCAACGCTGCCACTGAAAATATTTCTTTAAAACACTATAAGTAGCTCGTTAAGGACCATAACAAAACAATAGCAAACATGCATTTATAACATAGGTAACATATACAGTGCTGTTGTAATTCTTCACAATTTCATAAAGAAGTTTTCATTCAACCAAAATATATTTGAAATACTATTTTGTATTTAAAATATATTTTGTAAGTTTCACTAAATTAGCTGCCTTAAAGAAAAAAAACGATTTACAACATAAAATAAAATGTAAAAATTAAGAACCATATTAAATCCACGTGACACCTAGATGTATCACCAATATATAAATATCTAAAAGTACTAACCAGCCATGCAGCAATTGTTTCTGGAATCAGTCAGGTAACAACAGTCTTTGTCGTCACGCTTCGTGTAGCTGCTACGTAGGTTCGTCAGGTAAGCCGAGGACAAAATCCCACTGATTGGATTATATAATAGAAAATAATTTGTTACCTCGTCTTTAAGGTTATATATATATATATATATATATATATATATATATATATATATATATATATATATATATATATATATATATATATATATATCGATTTAATATTAACCTTCAAAAATAAATAATTTAATAAAGTTAAATATGTCAAAGGTATATTGGTATTTTTAAAAGATGCTTTTTCTATGTTCGTTTTTATTTTGTTCTTGATTTAGTATCGAGTTATATCTTTGAGGGTTAATTAATGATGAAATTTACAGAAATAATTATTTAATTAAAATAAACGAAAATTAAAGTATATTTTAGTTCTGTAATTTTTCTTTAAATATTATCGAAAACGTTTAATTTTAATTTTTAATTTGAACAAAAAGTGACGGAATGAAAAATTAATAATCATGAACATTTGTTTCTAATTAACATATAATATATAATGAGCATTGATAATCTGTAATAATATTATATTAAAATGAGGAGTCGCTTCACACTTTATTTGTCTTGCTACTTGGATCACATTACTACTCAAATATTAAAAACAACCATTCACAGTACAGAATGGTGTAGTAATAGTACCTGAAACTATCGCCCAATCACACTAAAAAGAGGTTTCGGAAATACCATATGAACCTATATTTCACAGTATAGAGGTGTGTTATAATACGATATGAACCTACCTTTCACAAAATAGTGGTGTGTAGTAATAAAATCTGAACCTACCTTTCACAATATAGAGGTGTGTAGTAATATGATCTTCCATCATCAGATGTGTAGGTGTTTACTATTGCACCTTCGATCAGTGCAGTTAGGCAGATCAATGCCGATAAAGAGGTCAAGACTCCTGATATAATCATTCTCTATGGGAGGTAACTTTCTGACTAGTTGTTAAGTAGTGACAAAGTTTAGTTGCTTCTTTTTATCAAGTTTTATTTGCTGCTAAATCTTCATGAGATTTAAGTAAAAATTCGAAACATTACCATGGTGAAAATAAAAAGAAATATTGTTTAATATGTATTTTTTTTTCAATTAGATTAGTCTATACTGACGCCGGTAAAAAAAAATAGGAACTACAGTTTATTAAAAATAAAGATGCAATTTGTAGTTAATTTAATATTAGATGGTTTTTCAAACACTTTTTAAATCAAAATGTGGATGACATACTATAACCTCGATGCATTGAGCTATCGACACGGAAAAAACTTACATTGAAAAAAAAAGCAATTATTTGCATCATGTGTATGTGTCCTAAATCTAATATGTCTTTTACTTAAAAACCGCAGCACAGTCTGAAATTTCTACTGAATTTCGATAATTCAAACATTAACATTCCTAAGACTTTCGTTTAAACTTAATCCAAACAAAAACTCTACATATAAATAAGATAATCGTTAATGGCGGTCTCACATAATATATATATATATATATATATATATATATATATATATATATATATATATATATATATATATATATATATTCGTACACTACAACAGGATAAGGATTAGATTTATTGTACAAGTTCCACCTCAACTAAAAAAACTTCTGACTTATAAAAACACATCAGTAATCCTTAGATCCTTACTCTGTTCCCTAACTGACACCTCTAATTCTGTCTTGTCGCCAGCGACTGTACCCCTAAGTCACACAGACCCCCTTTTATCTAGATCAGATGGTCTATTTTTAAACACTATACGCTACTACTGCGAACGAAGGCACCCACACACGCAATGTTTGTCGACGTCTCGTTGGCTAACGTGAGAACTTGGGTCAACATTAGGGAAGCGATTCGACTCTATTGAACTAAGCCTTCACTGAAAACACAGTTTAACTGTATGTAAAGTAAGTTTATAATAGTAAATAAAAAGATATTGTTTTTTTCTTTTTATGTATGCATATATCACGGAGAGATAAATAAAACTAAATAATATACAGTACTTTACAATAATAACAGTACATTTTTTTTCAGTTTATTAAAAATACATAATAAATATTCTTGAATGTTTTTCAAGTATTTGAAAACAAGGTACGTTATTTTAACTAAAGAAGCTGACGTCATTGATATTGTGGGCGTCGAACCATCCTATATGACGTCTTCACACCATCGTGTATGTTTTATTTGTTAACACCTTCAAACGCCCACGACTAATTAGTCTACCTGGGAATTCCCAATTAAGGTGTAGAACTCTACATCCACCAAGTAAGTGCGCGGCTTAATGAAATGTTTATGTAACCGGCAGTAGATCAATCACTGCAGTTTCGGGTCACTTACACCCCCTTTATATTAAATTATACAGGGATCGCCACGCCTAGGTTGGCGCCCGTATAGTAATTACCAGACCAGGGGAGTGGCGGGAAAGGGAGTTGGGGTCTTTTTAAATCTTTGTCATTTATTGTGTGTGCGTTGAAATTCAATATTCTTTTAATCGAAATATAATCACGCCCTTCTTTTGGGGCTATTTAAAGGCTTTTATGGCGAACCCTTTAACGGTTTGTTACGTATCTTAGCTATAAATAGAAAAGGGGTCAAAAGTTAAGAATTTGACAGTGACTTAATTTTGAGACCACAGCAAATACATTGATTGTTTTCATGTTATATATATATATATATATATATATATATATATATATATATATATATATATATATATATATATATATTTAGCATCAATGGACGCAGGTAGCAGGTTATGAAAACAAAACGAAAAAAAAACAATTTTTCCCCATTCAGCTAGATAACTATTTCATTAAAGCTATATGCATCATTAGTCACAGGATAACACCATCTGTAATGGGACGGGTGACACCAAACTAAAGTTCTAGCTCACCATAGAGGCTATGCAGTCACCGCTGATGATACCTCGGCTACCACACTGGGTGATGATGAGTCTAGTGGCGCCACTGTTGAATGGCGTTTGATTAACATCTGTCTAGATTGAGTCTTTTAATTTTCCTTTTTTTTCTAAAAACACATCAACCTATTGAGAAGGTTACGACTGACAATCAAGAACAATACTTCGCCCTCTTAAAACCAACTACTTTATATAATTGCAGTAAAACAAAAATCTTACTTTTCAATATTAATCATGTACACCATGAAGTCCTAAACAAGAGCTATAAAAGCAAAAATTAAAATGCATTAAAATTGCACAAGTTGATACAATAATTTATTAAAGTAAATAAAAAAGTTACCAAAACCTTTTTTTTTAAATATTACTCATGCAAGCCTTTAACTGGTATTATAGACCTAAACACAAGCTATACAGTAAACATTAAAATTATATAACTTTATAGAATAATTAAACTGCAGTAAAACATTAAATCTCACCATTACCTTTTTTTACTTTCTCGTTTGTAATCGTACAAAATTATTATATCAAATGTGTAGTTCTGTATCAACTTTTAAGTGATTTCCGGTTATCGGAATTTGAACTTATTCTACTTTCAATTTTTCAAAAGCCTATAACTTGAGTACTGTTTCAGACAGATAAATGACATTTCACAATTAATCAAACTATCTAATTCTCTGTCTGCTGTCACGTTTTAAGTACATTCCGATGACCGGAAGTAGTAATTTATGCTATTTCCGATTTCTCAAAAAACGCATGTGAATTTATAAAGTACTAATAATAATAATATAATAATATTCCGCACTATTATACACATTTCGTTTGGCTTTCACTTGGTGCGCATTTTATTTTCTACGCGATTCTATTCTATTTTAAAAAGTTTAAGTAATTAAAAATGGATTAAAAATCATGTCTATATACCGAGTTGCCATTCCCGTTGTTTTATATAAGAATGTTCGAGAAAGTTTAGGGGAGATCACTACCGGTTTATTTTTTAATATTACTCATGCAATGCTTTAAACTGGTGTTATAGACCTAAATTCTGGCTATAAAGTAAACATTGTATTAGAACTCACCTGTTTCTACCCTAAAGGTACGGACATCAATATTGACACTCAGGTAACATCTTAGAGATGATAAAAGGGCCGCACATTATACAGTACCGTCCTTAGGTTTTATGTAATCTATGTGGGAGACTGGCTCTGTGGTGACTATATTTTTTTAGGCTCTGTGGTGACTATACAAAAAAAAAACACAGATGGTTCGGCCTTGTTTGAGTAACTTCCATGTAAACACGGACAGTTATGCGAAAAAATTGAGTGTAAATTTGAAGAATGATTAAACTATTTGAAACAGTACACAGAAAATAAAAAAAAAAATGCTTAAGAAAACGAACCAAACAATTTGCATTTCTAAAGTTTTTTTAAAAAATAGTACATTCATTAGACAATACCCAGAGGTAGATTGATTAATTCAGTTTGTGTTTCATTTGAAACTCAATTCTAAAAGGACGTTATCTCCCTTTCAGGGTCGAAAAAAATCCTTGAACACTACGTGCAGACTGATCGAGTGAACACGAGTATTTTGTCTTTATATTTCGCATTTTATTACTGATGAATCTTTAAATAATTGGAATAACTGATTTAAGAATATTGCTGAAAAGGCGATATTCTTGCATTGTCAACAACAGCATCAATAGTGGTCTGGCGGTACTACGTAGGAGTGCTAAACCGAGTGCTAAAGTCTCGAGTTCGGATCCCAGTGCTCGATATTGTAGGGCAACATTGAGTCTACCCAAATCTTATGGGTTACTGACTTTACGAGAAGGAAAAAAAAGTCTAATCCTTCATATGCCGAGGTCACGAAAACAGATTAACTCTACTTCATTTTATGGGCCTTTAGGTTCGAAAAGATAAATAACTTTCACCAAACATATGAAACTATTTTTTTTCTTGTGTTCTCAGTGCTGATATTTTATTATATTCTCTTATAAATGTTTGTCAAAACAACACTACATCATTTTTTTTTCTTCACTTGTCCCAGTATTTAAAATTGCTTTAAAACTAATTAAATTCACCACGCCTGTGATTGCGTAATCAGCGACGTCACGATTCTCAACCCACCCATGTTTAATTACCCCAGATCTTAGATGAGCCTTGTGTAGTGTCCTTACGTCCTCTCGCGGGACATGTCCTCGGCAGCAAAAACCATCTTACGGGTGGAGCAGGTACGGAAGTAGCCCTTCAGACCTGCGGAAATATTTTTCCACGCGCGGTAATTTATTCGGTGTTTGTTTCCTTTCAGCCACAACTTTCGTATAACGAAGTGGTTCGGATTTTAGTCGAGCCAAGAGCTGTTGGCTGAATGTCATTTTAGTTGGGCGGTGTATGACGTTTCAAATGTATTGTTTTGACACTTTAACATTAACGTTAATCATTATTAAGGTTTTGGTGTAATATGAAGTAATCATTTATATTTATAAATCACATTTTTACTCTAAAACGTTAGAAATTCATTTAGAGGCAAGGTCGGTTTATTGCAATATATTGCATGCAGTATTTCTTTCAGACATTTTTCTGCAGGTGGAAAGGGAAGGGGTAGACAATTAAAACTTTCAGTAAGTGGTGGATGGGTTTACACTGGTATATTTTTTTCTGTTTCGTCCGGGGGGGGAGGGGGATTAACGTGCTACTGGGTGTTAGTGCCGCCCCCCACCGAAAGTGATGCATGAAAGAAACTCAGTATAAGGTTGGGATATTATATGGTATTTTCAAGAATTTTTGTTGGGTGGAGAGAAATACATTGTTGTATAGTCAAGTAATAAAAAATTACAACTGAAACATAAAGGAACCCATGATTCGCATAAAACATTTTAATCACAATAAAAATAAACAGGTTGGCGTGGTCGGATTGATTAAGCTCAGTGGCGTAGCCAGGATCGTCTCAAGGGGGGGGGTCCAATTTTTACCCGGGGACAAGCTTTCGATTTGCATCCCCCCTCAGACTTTTGATTTGCACCCCCCCCCTCATACTTTATATATATACCGAGGGGTCTATGGGGGGGGGGGGTTATTACCCCCCTAACCCCCCTGCCTACGCCACTGATTAAGCTCATGGTTGCTGAACCGAAAAGTTCGTAATTCAAACCCCCGGGCAGATGAGGCTCGATAGCCTGGAACAGCCACTCATCTGGTAGAGACAACTCCAATATCAAACAACTGCCGCCTTTGTACTGCAGTTTGTTCTTGGTTGGACAAAGGCTATGGAAGAAATCCAAAATGAAAAGCAAGCTGAAATCAGAGCCAACAGCCACACTCACACATATGAACACACAGAGATATGCGTTGTTCGACCATTTATTTGCATATTATCAAAACAACTTTTTATAATAAGCACACACATTTTAACGCAGAACTACATGCATCCAGTAAAATAATTTCTAAATATATTACTCTTTCCTTTCAATTCTATCCAAACAAGTTTAAACTATTTTAGAGTAGATGTATATTATAAAAAAATGAAGGTAAAAAGGGATTCGTCAAAAGACAGACAGCAAAAGTTAAAGCCTATCTTTACGTTACAAAAGTGACCAAATACACCCCCAGATGTAATGTTAGCTTGGTGTAAACATTGCATTTGCCCTTGAAGATCAAGAGTTGGTCTTTAAAAAAAATAAAACTTAAAGAATGTTACGTAATGTTTTAGAAACTTGTGTAAGCTAGTGCAGAACTCTCAACTATGTTAATGAAAAGTGAAAATTGATGTTTTATACGAAAGCTTTTTTAATAGAAAATGTTTTTTTTTTGTTTGAATTTAATTTTTATGTTGTGAAATCTACGCGGGTTTGTGACAATTCAAAGACGTATTAATTGTGTCACAATTTGCACAATACCTATGGAATGTGTCATCAGAATTTCACAATCCTTTGATTTTGCTTTTATCAGTTACAGATATATCTTACGGATGCGTAATGTCACCGCGTTGTCATGTTTATATTACATACCTCGCGTTCTGTCACAAAATACACACATCTGGTGATTTTGTCACAAATTGTCAAACGCCTCGTGATTGTAATCGTCTGTCACCGTGACGAATGTATCAGTCTATATATTTATGTTTCAGATCTAGTGATTCCGGCTGCCAGAGATCTAGACATTGAGTTAGTCAAGCACAGTTTTAGGGAGTAACTGCTAAATGCTGATCGCATCAACACAATTCACATTCAGGCAATATTTAATCCCTCGATACATTGGTTAAAAAAAAATTCTAACTAAAAAAAAAAACCTCACTTTAATAATACTTCATATAATTTTTTATAAATATCTCACTTGCACTCTAAACTTGAAATCGTTCAACCACTCTTAAGCACACATTTTTTAAGGCCAGTCCAAAAATTAAAACACATTTAATTTATACGCAATGTAAATTTGATTAGGCTCGTAATGTTGACATTCTTTATCCTCAGTAGGTCAGGGGTGCTTAAATTTAAAGACCACGGTTCGAAAAATTTAATTCCCAAGGGGCAGTACTCCTTCAAAAAAAACACTGATACATTTAGTTTGCATCATCTCCCTTTATATGTTGGGGAGATAAGCAAATAAATAAACATTAGTTGATGTTACAAGTGAAGAGTGTAGATGTACGTATTTTGTTTATTTCAAAAGAATAAATCAAATAATATTGCTAGGCCAATCCTTTAATTTTTAACTATATTTCTAAATTTAAAACACCCGATTATCCTGTTCAAAGAAACAACGTGCATATTTCAGCCAAATAGCTGGCGAGGAAGTAAACATTCTGCTTTTATCCTTTTACTATTGACACTACAAACGACGCTTACTTTATTAATTCAGTTAAAATTATTACACTTTGCTCTGATAAAAAATAATATCAGTGTTGTCTTGGACTAACCCTAGCCCTAACCCTAACCTACAGCTTTTTGCTGTTGATGAGTCGCACCAGCACTATTGGGTACCTGAATCAATACATTTAATCCCACGTGACGAGGAATGGTGTTGATTATGACTTCTTCACATCGTCAATAAAAAAAGGTAAACCTCAGTATAGTCGATAGCACGAGGAGTGGTCGGCGTAGTCGGGTCGGTAAAGCTCATGGTTGCTAAACTGGGAACAGCAACAAATTTAGGAGATAACTAGGAGAATACCTTATAGATATCTAGGAGAATACCTTTTAGATACCTAGGTGAATACCTTATAGATACCTAGGTGAATACCTTATAGATATCTAGGAGAATACCTTATAGATCTCTAGGAGAATACCTTATAGATACCTAGGAGAATACCTTATAGATACCTAGGTGAATACCTTATAGATATCTAGGAGAATACCTTATAGATACCTAGGAGAATACCTTATAGATACCTAGGAGAATACCTTATAGATACCTAGGTGAATACCTTATAGATACCTAGGTGAATACCTTATAGATACCTAGGTGAATACCTTATAGATACCTAGGTGAATACCTTATAGATACCTAGGTGAATACCTTATAGATACCTAGGTGAATACTTTATAGATACCTAGGTGAATACCTTATAGATACCTAGGAGAATACCTTATAGATAACTAGGAGAATACCTTATTAACACACACAATACCTAATCATAAATGCACACAATACCCACAATGCTGCCTTGCAATTTGTTGGGAAAGGCTATGGAAACAAATACAGAAAGCAAAATTGGCAAAAATTGGGGGCAACGGCTTATATTGCGTATAACAATTGACACGTAAAACTTAATTGTATTGGAGGAAATCCCGTCAAAAACTACAATTTAGAAGGAAGAAGAAGAAGACCAGTAAGAGTTATCATGCCAGAGACAACTCTTTTCTATCTAAGTTCTGTATTCTAACCCAATGTGATAGTTTAAACATTAATCTTTACCAATAGGGCTGATAAGTAGGTCACCAACCAGATCTACGGCTCAATAAAACCTGCATGAGCCGTAGAACTGGTTGGTGACCTACTTACCAGCCCTATTAATAAAGCAAAGTAAAAAAACAACTACATACTATTTTAATGCATGTTCAAATACACCGTTTTGAAATACGAAGATTAAAAAAAAAAACAGCGTTTTGAAATGTTATGTTTAAACAGTTTTTTACTTTCTCGTATAGAGAAAGTCTTGTAATCGTGCAAAAAAAAAATCGAGATTTTTACAAATCTCGACGTTTAACAACTCACTGATACGGAAAATAATAATTTTGCAATCTTGTCCGTATGTCTGTCTGTCTGTGTGTAAACACGATAACTTGAGTACCGTTACAGCTAGGTTGATGAAATTTATATATAAGTATTTTATCAAAATCGTAGATCCTGATCACCTTTTGAGCGATTTCCGATAACCGGAAGTGACACTTTTTCAACTTTGAATTTTTCAAAAGCCTATAAGTTGAGTACTATTTCAGATTGATAAATGAAATTTCACATGTAAGTAAACGATCTAATTCTTTACCTTCTGTAAAATTTTGAGTAATTTCCGTTGACCGGAAGTACTAATTTACGCTATTTCCGATTTCTCAAAAAATGCATGTAAATTTATAAAGTACTAATAATATTGCACACTATTATGCACATTTTGTTTTGGGGTTCGCTTGGTGCGCAATTATTTTTTCTATGAGATTCTATTCTATTTTTAAAAGTTTAAGTAATTAAAAATCATGTCTATATTTCAAGTTATATAAGAATATTCGAGAAAGTTTAGGGGAGATCACTCCCGGTTTATTTTTAAAAAAGTAACTTTTAAAAATGTGACATTTACGACATCTGTTTGACTCAGAAATTCAAATGTTAAAATTTCATGTAAAAAAGTAACGTGAACAATCTAAAAAAATAATCAAGTGCTTAATTTTAAATGGAATTGAGTTAATCTTTCTTCTGGGGATTTGAACGCGCGACAACAGACTCAACATAAGACATATCGACCACAGTCGAAGCTACACCAGGTGTTTCTAAAGTCGCTTTCTTCAACACATGTCACACACCTCTCTTGTGTATTATATTCGCTCATGGAAAATCTGTTTCAAAAAGTCTAAACGTCCACATCGATTTCCAGATTAGAGATGTAGATGTGCTCGTGTATGAGGATTGGGCTGTGTTGTTGTCGTGTGATAACGTGTGTTCACTTCAACACTTATGAACAATAGATGTGTTATTTTATATTAGATCTTAACTGTTTTAAAATCTGTGTTTAGTCAGTTCACTGGATAGAGGCTCATGAAAATATTTTTTATAACTATTTCGTAATACTGGTATTGTATACAATTATACAAATGTAGTAGTGTGTTGATAATTTCAATTGTGTATTTTTCAATTTTTATTAATGGAGAACTCAAAATACTCAAGAATTTTTGGAAAAAATTAATTAGAATAATTTCAAATGAAGTTCTTGTTTCTATCATTTAAGCTTTGAATTTCAATTAATTGATTGATGTAATCAAAACATTTATATAAAGACATTAAAAAATATTTGTTTTCCATCTATATAATTATATAAGAAGAGTTTATCGCACTGAATTAACTGACAATATTATACAAGTTAACAGTCAGTCTAATTGTTCTCTACATTTCCATTATCATCGATAACTTCAAACAAATAAATACTCATTTTCAAACTTGTTTTTAAAAATGTGTAAGGGAAATAACTCATTCTTCGTGTACCAACTTCTCTAAACTGATCCGATAAAATTTACCCACCATGCGAAGAAAGAAAATCAAACCACTGGCTTACATGGCGCTAGGCTGTGTGTGTTTTTATTTCTTTATCCGCCACTCGGGCTGGTCAGAGGACGGGGCGGTGGGGGAGAAAGCTGAATACCTGAGCAACAAGAGGAGAGGGGACCAGCAACGTGGGGGTGGGGACCAGCAACCTGGGGACGGGCAGATCAATCCCAACACCAGCCTGCTGCTCAACCCTTACGTCGCTGATAGCGCTTTAGCCAGGGGAGGCTATCCGATTAAAGAAATACACGGCAGGGAGGTAGCGAAGGGAAGCTACTCCGGTGGGAAATTTCCGAAGTTTTTCGAATATGGCTTGAAATGGAGCCCGGGTAAGTTGATTGATATTAATTTAAAACGTAATAATTTAAACATAATAAGGTTAGATAATTGTATTTTACATCAACTTGGGTGTAGTGTAAAGTATTTAATTTAGAGATGTTTAAAACTATATGTAATGTATTTCTTATTAAACATATTAGTAGGCTGAATGTTTAATTAAACAGTCAGATTCACATTCATTAGTAAAATTCCCTTTCGAAGCTGACGGTTCCCTGAGGTAGGTAAGTAGAGTTCACCTGTTTCTGTGACCTCGGCGTATGAAGAGATAGTGTGGTCAGTACTATACCCTGCTGACTTTACATTTACTAACGTAAGTCAGGTACCCATTAGAGCTGGGTGGGCTCAGAGCCGTGCTACAGCTGCAAGGGAAATAACTTATTATTCGTTAAAATGAGGACTAGGATCCAAACTAGAAATTTTCTGGTTAATAGTCAGACGCGCTACCATTCGACCACGCCGTCCCATAAGACATGTAAATCATCGCAAATTGAGGACTAAGATAATTTTCTTATTATTCCTTAATGCGCTATAATTATGCTACAAAAATTTAATATTTTTGTATTACTTAAAAGAAAATAAATTAAAATATTTAAGAAAATTCCTACTATACAAAGTGAGCTCAGATATATATAAACACGACTAATATACCAATCGGAATTTTTTTTCAACAGGTAAGTGTATTGCCCTGAGGCTTAGCGACCCTTCCCGGCGCCCGGGGACAAACTTTCAATGTGGCACCCCCCCCCCTCTCTCTCCATATATTTTTTTTTTATTTCTAATGCAAAACTGCAGCTAAAATGGGCTTTTATTTTTTTTTTCTACCCATTTTGGCGCCCCCTAGGGTCGGCGCCCGGGGACATATTTCCCCCCCCCTCGCTACGCCTCTGGTATAGCCTATGTACTAACAAAATTTATTTTACTCACGACTACTTTTACTTTTATCTCATACAGGCGAACGCGGCAGGCCGTTTGCCTTCAGAGGCGGCGCCCTCAAGGGCTACCAGAAACAAATGCGTCGGACAGATTTCACCAGCTTTAACTACGACGTGTGGGTCAGTAACGAGATAGCCGTGCACAGGACCCTGAAGGACATCCGGTCTGAGAGGTAAGCCGTCATCATCGTGCGGCATCAGCTCTGTGTTGACGTGACGTCAGGGCGGAGAGAACGTGACGTAATAATTGAAAAATGATGTGACATCAGAAACAGTGTGACGTCATATCGTATTGATAACTTTAATATACTTCCCGAGAAGAAATATCTGACGCAAAGTGAGGCAAAGTGACGTCATAAATATAAATTAATAAAAGCTCATGTGTGGTACACCACCAGAAATTATTAGACGTGATAATTTAAAACAAACGTCAATTTAGATAAGAGAGTAGCTTACATCTCTCATCTGTCCATACCTAGTAAGTAAAAAGTTGTTCCCTATTTAACCGTAAGGATCACGGGGCAAGAGAAGTTGAGTGAACCTGTTTCAGTGATACTCACGTCAGCACTATGCCCATAACGTCAGTCAGGTACCCATCAGCGTTGAGTTTACCTAGGGACGTCTTACGGACTTGAACCCGGATTCAAACTCGAAGCTTTCATGTTAGCAGTTATATGCTCTCCCATTCTACCACGCCGTGCAATCTGTCTTTACATAAACTGAGATAAATTAAAATTTTAATTTTTTTTTTGCAATCTAACAAGCTACTGAATAAATTTAAATAGGCATGATTCGAATACACTCTCTCATAGTTTTTTCAGGCGGAAAGAAAGTCTACCGCCCCCCCCCCCCCCCGAACGAAATAGAATTTATATAGCAAATATATACTGTTATACACTTTAAACAGTGTCCCCCCCACCACCCCGGAAAATTTCAAGTGCCTCCCCCCACACACACACACCCACACACACTCCCCACTCCCAGAGAAAAATGTCTGGAAGAAACACTGCACTCATTACAATAGTATAAAGATATGAATTAACATACGTATATCCGATAATACCGTACCACGTCGATGAGAACAATATAAGTGACGATTGTTTACATTTGACAGGTGCCAGGATGTGACGTACAAGCACCTGCCGTCAGCCTCTGTCATCATCGTCTTTCATAACGAGGCTTGGACGGTCCTGTTGAGGACCATCTATAGCGTCATAGACAGGACACCAGAGGACTTGTTGGTGGAGATTATACTGGTCGATGATATGTCCACTATGGGTCAGTATATGAGCAGTATGAGTCAGTATATGTCCAGCATGGGTCAGTATAATATGTGGAGTATGAGTCAGTATATGTCAAGCATGGTTCAGTATAAATGAGCAGTATGAGTCAGTATATGTCCAGCATAGGTCAGTATATGTACAGCATAGGTCAGTATATGTACAGCATAGGTCAGTATATGTACAGCATAGGTCAGTATATGTACAGCATAGGTCAGTATATGTACAGCATAGGTCAGTATATGTACAGCATAGGTCAGTATATGTACAGCATAGGTCAGTATATGTACAGCATATGTCAGTATATGTACAGCATAGGTCAGTATAATATGTGCACTATGAGTCAGTATATGGCCAGCATGGGTCAGTATATGTCCACCCTGAGTTAGTTTTTATGTCATTATGGGTGAGTATGTCAACAAGGGTCTGTATATATAAATGATGGGTCAGCATATGCCATGGTTATTATGTCAACATGGGTCAGTATTCTTACATTATGCGTCAGTATATATCCACCATGGGTCAGTATATGGCCCCCATGGGTCAGTATATGTTCCCCATAGGTCAGTATATATCCACCATCGGTCAGTATATTTTCACCATGAGTCAGCATGTCAATATGGGTCATTATATGTCCATCTTGGTTCAGTATCAGTGGCGTAGCTACCGTAAAACTAGCGTAAGCAAAGCATAGGGGCCTAAGGCAAATAGGGGCCCTTTTTCGAAAGTTTGAGGGGGTGGGGGTGCAATTCGAAAGTCTGAGGGGGGTGCAAATCGAAAGTCTGAGGGGGATGTAAATCGAAAGTTTGTCCCCGGTCGCCGGGAAGGGTCGCTACGCCTCTGAGAGGCCCACTAACACTTTTTGAATAGGGGCCCAAAAATCCTAGCTACGCCACTGTTCAGTCTAATAAGTCCATCATAGGTAGGTTTAAAAAAATATAACAGGTTCAGAATGACTTTAATTAACTATAACACATGTAGTAGAATTTTCGGTGCATCGTGTAATCATCACTTAATGTTTTCAAATACATTTGTACCAACACCTACTCCTCTATTAACAATTTCATCTTAGCGCCACATTTAGAAATAATTCGAAGTGAACAAATGAGAAATTACGAGACATATTTACCGAGTTAGATGTAACCAAATTACTAAAATTACCAGTGTCTACTTTTGCTTACACTATTTTAGCCACGAATTTAACAGAGTAAATTTATTTTAAAGATATTCCATATTAAGAATTAAATGTATACTCTCGATCTCTGTCTTGTGCCAGTTGACCTAAAGGTTCCATTGGAGAAGTATGTCCAGAAACTGGACACGGTCCGTCTGATCAGAACGTCCGGTCGACTGGGTGTGGCACAGGCTAAAAATCTCGGTGCCCTGTACGCCACAGGGGATGTTCTGATATTCTTGGACTCTCACGTCGAATGTTTCCCGGGTAAATATTTAACTTTATTTAAAGAGAGTATTTTCGTTTCAGTTTCGTTTTAGTACGTGCTAATAGTGTAGTGCTTTGTCGTTTATTGAATGAAAGCAAATAACCCAGAGGCGTAGCGAGGGGGGGGGGGGTGCGGACCGCACCAGGTGACACCATTTAGGGGGTGACACCAAGGCAAAAAATAGTAAAATATATAGAGAAAAACTTGAGGGGGTGTGCAAATCGAAAGTTCGAGAAGGTGCAAATCGAAAGTTTGAGAGGGGGGGTGCAAATAAAAAATTTGAGGGGGGGGGGGAGTGCAAATCGAAAATTTGAGGGGGTTTGAAATTTGAAAGTTTGTGGTTGTCGCTACGCCTCTTGGGGGGGGGGGGGGGGTGACACCATTAAGTGCGGCACCGGGTGACACCCGACCTCGCTACGCCACTGAAATAACCAATTAATAAAAGTACATCTAAAAAGATTAGTGTTTAACTATCAGTATATTTTGTTTTAAATTTAAAATTTTTGTACATACAGTGGGTGTCAGACGTAAATCTTGATTCATTTTACTAAAAACAAAATATTATAATTACTATAGTGATGCTCAGTATTTACGCTATTTCCTGACGTAGTACTAAATTTAAAACTCGTTTTAGGGAATAACTTATCACGTGTTTGGCTTACACTCTCTGTTTTCACTGAATATTCATAATTCAAAAACATTTATAAAACACTATGAATTGATCGATTTGAATTAGAAATAAACAAATATATCGCCTCGAATGTTTCCAAAAAAAAAATTATAACTTATCTTGAAAGCTATAAATTTCTGTATCACTTAAATACTCAAGCCTTTTTTTTTTAGTTAAATTATTTTTTTTTAAATAAAGGAAAATACAAATATTTTAGACGGGTGGGGGTGGCACGCTTAAGTACCGCGCCGTGTGACACCCGCCCTAGTGACGCCACTGTGTACTAACAATGTTACCCCCATTAGGCTGGTACGAACCACTAGTTGCCCCCATACACGACAACGATAAAATCCTCACAGTCCCCACCATTGATGTCATAGACCCGGACACCTTTGAAGTACTGGAGCAGCGGGATTTGAACCTGGTGGGGTCGGTCAACGTTCACAGAATGGCTTTCGTCTGGGTAGCCAGGGAGGTTGACCAGAGGAACAGTACGCTCAACAGAGAGTAAGTTGCTGGCACTGGGGTTAATTAATTTTTAATTAATTGACACTAAGTTTTTGGTACTGAGGTTAATTAATTAAACGTTGGGCGTCGCTAATTTATGGTTAATTTTTGGCACTGGGGTTAATTGATTTTTAATTAATTGACAGTAAGTTGTTGGCACTGTGGTAAATTAATTTTTAATTAATTGACAGTAAGTTGTTGGCACTGAGGTTAATTAGTTAACAGAGGGCACAGCTAATCGAAAGCATGTTGTTGGCAGTGAGGTTTATTAATTAACAGAGGCCTCGTTAATTTATGGTTAGTGGTGGCACTGAGGTTAATTAATTAAACATATGGCGTCGCTAATTGACATTTGTAGGCACTGAGGTAAATTAATTCATCAGATGGCGTCGCTAATTGATTGTTAATTGTTGGCACTGAGGTTAACTAATTACAGGTGGCATCGCTAATTGGCAGTAAGTTGTTGGCACTGAGGTTAATTAGGCAGATTGTACCGCAGCTGTAGGAGTATTGGTCTGTAAAAAATACCATCTAAGACATATCTGTTCGAACCCCCCCGGGAAGCTGTAGAAAGCAACACATCTAGGAGAGACAATTCCAAAACAATCAAACAACTGCTGCCTTGTAGTTTATTGTTGGATGGACAAAGGGCTAAGAAAGCAAATCCAAAAAGAAAAAAACAGGCTGAACTATAAGTCAAAGGCCTATATCGCGCACAACTAATGGCCACGTAATACTTAATATCTGTTGGAGGAAATACCGTCAACATTACATTTAGAAACAAAGAAGAAGAGAAATCTATTCATGAATAAATATGTTAAATTCTTAAATTATAAAACAATTCGGTAGCCAATTTGGTAATACAAATCACTGTCATTTTAGAGTTGAATAGGACAATTTGTACCTCGAATGGTTTCTTTGTTCGCTGGAAAAAAATATTTGTGATTGTATACTTCTTTCTCATGTGTGTTGACTGTTTACTTGACCTATAAGAACTTCGGTTTTACATTGTCACCGTGTGATTTTTTTTCCATTATGAGAAAGTTCGTCACATGTGTAGTAAAATACCATTTCCGTCTTGAATCGTTTTTTTTTTTATCATTGTCTTCTTAATGGCTTTTACGGGGATGTCTATTTGATTTCAAGTAACGTTTTCTTCTAACAGGTCGCCGGCTACACCAGGTATATTCGCCATCTCCAAAGCCTGGTTCTTTCACCTCGGCTTGTACGATCCTTACCTGCATACATGGGGCGGGGAGAACATCGAGATGTCCTTTAAGGTATGTTCAGGTGTAACAGCAACCTAAGTATTAGGGGGGGGGGGGAAGGTTGCTTAGTAACGACACAAGTAGGTAGAAACCAACACAAGCCGGGAACGTTAAGGTGCATAAAATTAGTTTAATCTCATCTGTCTCTCTAGTCTCAGTCACAAAAATTCTTCCCCTTCGTTCTACCCGCAACCTCTGACTACACTCCGCTATATAGAAAATATATACTTTTGACAGTGTCCGCCCCCCCCCCCCCAAAAAAAAATATTGTCCGCCCCCCCCCCCCCCCCCCCCCCCGAAAATTTCAAGTGCACCCCGGAGAAAAAAGTCTGGAAGAAACACTGTACACACACCTTACTCCCGCTAACAACACACACGATGTTACTCGACCAGTCGCTTCCCTTGTTACCCTCTTTCAATCCGTACAACAACACACACGTCAACACACCCGGACACGACACTGCCTCGCAACACAATAGTAAGATGTTCACACACACACACACTCACACACACACAGTACCCCGTCTCACATATACACCTCTTGTTCACTTCATATCACCAGTACTGTTTATGGTTTATTTTTAATATTTGATATCTACTTCACAATGTTCCCGAAAATTTATAAAGGAAAGAAAATGCAGAATACAGCCAAAACCTGCTAAACACAAAACGAAATGGGGATGTATATATTATTCATTTATTTCTATATATATTTAATTATATCTCTATTATACAATTAATTTGCGTAGGACGTCATGGTCGAGTGGGTAGAACGTATGGTTGAACGTCTGTGAATTCCAGTTCGAATACGTACCACGACAATAGACCAAATATTAGGCAGTGTTTATTAAATGCACTTGTTTGAGTTCACTTCACGAACATGTTAAATAAAGGGTTATTTTTTTTTTCAGGTGTGGATGTGTGGCGGAGCCATCTTGATTACATCATGCTCGCATGTGGCTCATCTCTTCAGGAGCCGGAGCCCGGCTGTCACTGATGAAAATCTGGACATCAAAAATGGGGTCAGGGTCGCAGAGGTCTGGATGGACCAGTACAAGCTGTATGTGTATGAGAAATTTGCTTTCAGCATCGTAAGTATTATATATATATATATATATATATATATATATATATATATATATATATATATATATATATATATATATATATACTTTGTTTATGTACTTTATATATATAAATATAAAGAGAGAGGTAGGAAAGACAGAGGCAGTATTAGAGAGATTCATGTCAATTGTTTTCGTTTATGTTTTACACAAAGAAATAAAGAGTATTTGAAAAAAACACTTGCTCATTATGCTATTTCCCTTTATCTAACTTCGAGTCCATCGAAAACCATGTCTGGACAATATAATTTTTTTGCCAAAATCCATTTTATAATGATGGCTACGATTTGAGTCAGGGATACGTTCAGGTTAAGATTCAAGATTAAGATTAGAGCTTGTTTGAAGGATTTTGTAAAAGTGTGACAATACAAAACCTTGAGTTACTTCCTTCCAACAGGGCTACTTCGGTGACGTCACTTCTCGCGTGAAACTGCGAGAGACTCTCAAGTGTCGCAGCTTCGACTGGTACCTGAAAAATGTCAACACGGAAATGTTGAGGGCAATGGACGTCAGCAGCGTCTACTTTGGTCAGGTAGGTCGTTACATTGAACACATTAAGTCAGGTAGGTCGTTACATTGAACACATTAAGTCAGGTAGGTCGTTACATTGAACACATTAAGTCAGGTAGGTCGGTACTTGGTACACATGAAGTCAGGTAGGTAGGTACTTGGTACACATGAAGTCAGGTAGGTCGACAACTTGTACACATTAAGTCAGGTAGGTCTTTACATTGAACACATGAAGTCAGGTAGGTCGATACATTGTTCATATACACTCTGGTCCAGCTAAAGGTAAAAGAATATGGGGTCTTACCCTTCCTTCCTCATCGTTATTTTTAAAATGTAATATATATATATATATATATATATATATATATATATATATATATATATATATATATATATATATATATATATATATATATATATATATATATATATATATATATAAAACTTACAAATTGTATCTGAAAGATAACTAACACAGAAGCCGACAAATGTTTGGATGTTGTTTACAGTTCAAGATCTTTAACACTTTCTACGTGTGAACTGTACACATACACACAGGTATGTTGACATATACTATAAACACATAACTCATATTAGACATCATTCGTATTTTGTCATAGTATTTTTTTCCCACGTTTTCTTTAACTTGCTTTCACGTCTCTTTGTCTTTCCATCAAATCTTGCGATCGAAATTTCGGGGCACTTCCCAGTTAGCTAGCGCGCTGAAATTTTCAGGGAAACTTTGTTTCCGATGACAATACAATATTCAATTATTATTATTACTAAATTGATCCATGGAAAAATTGTATTGATCATTTTAGACTCCTATTGATTTGTACAAAAAAGGGACATAACCTAGTAATTGTAATTTGATAAAAACAAGGTTCGGTACTTTCCCTCTTCTGGCTTACTGCTTATGACAAATAAGAAAACGTGGGTTATGTTTTTTAAATTTAATGATAATTATTTTATAAATGTACTGCACTGAACTTTGGCGCTGAACATAAATTGTGTCATTCTTCTTTGGGAGTGGGAACTTCACGTATTGGTGATGATGTGTCAACGGATGACAACGGGTGGGGGGAGGAGAAGTGTTGCTTCCAGGCATCTCTACGCCCCCACCCCCTCCCCAAGCATGTCTACCGCCTCCATTAGTTGCTAGACCCCCTCACTGGAAATTTGAAATTTAGGCCGTCCCCCCCCCTCCCCCACCAAAAAGTTTCAAGTAACCCCCCCCCCCCCTCAGAAAAATGTCTGAAAGAAATACTGGGGAGGGGCGGGTGTCGCCTAAGACTGTTTAGCTTCAAAGGGTATTAAACTGAAGATTAACAATTATTGTATCATTTTATTTTACATTTTAAAAAAATTAATATATTTTAATATCAACATAATTGTGTAATTGACATTAGTTGTTCATTTTTTAGTCATAGGGTAAACAGTAAAATTCGGCTAAATCTGCATAGTTTTGACCCCTAACTCTGCCTCATAACCCCAATACATCACAACAATGAACACTTACCCTACCTCATCTCCCCTTCAAAGTAAACAAATGACCCCTAACCCCAATTCTCCATACACAGTACAAGAATAACCCCTAACATCAACTCCGCTATACAGCACATGAATTACCCCTTACCCCACCCCACTATACAATACACGAATGACTTCTAAGCTGACTCCACCTCCCCCACACACCAAACTAATGACCCCCCCCCCTAACCTTCCCTGACCTCTCCCCAGGTGTGGATGCTGAGGACAGATGGACGACTGACCCACTCAGGTTTCTACCTGGCTGTCAGCGTGTACACCCAGGACGACTCGTCACAGACGTTTAAGCTCAAGCTTAAGATCAACAGGGATCAATGGGCGGTGAACAAAAACCCGAACTACCTGTGGCGTTATGATCCTATGGTAAGTTCTCAAACTGTGGATAGTGGAGTCGTTAGGGTTCGACAGAATGGCGGTACAAAAAAACACCTAAATAAATGAGAATAAAAGTTTTAAAAAACTTTTCTAAATAGATCTTTCAAAATCGTATCGTTAATCATATGAGTCGGTAGTGTGTCTTGGCATCCACCCAACCCTTGAGGCTTACCGAACCACTGGAGTTCAATCAAACCCGGGCTAGGGACCACTGATCTAGTTCTATTTGTATTAATATCTAGTGTTCTTACTTCATCCTTATATAAATTGAGTAGTTGTTTTTTATATAAAAACTATTTTAAAATTAGCCTACATATAAATCAAACTTTTTTTTTCCACATCTGCCTACATATAAATCAAACTATTTCTTATTTTAACATCACCCTACATTAGTATCAAACTATTTCTTATTTTAACAGGAGCCTGCGTGTAAATAAAACTTTTTCTTATTTTAACATCAGCATACATACAAATCAGACTATTTCTTATTTTAACATCAGCCTACATATAAATCAAAATATTTCTTATTTTAACATCAGCCTACACGTAAATCCAACGATTTCTTTCCCCAGAAAAATCGCATCGTGCACCAGGGCAGTGGTCTGTGTTTGGTATCCGAGCAAGTGGTCAGCAAGACGGTCTTGCGACTCGCCAACTGCCTGGACACCACCACGTCAAAAAAGTGGAGTTTTCAAACGAGGAAGGAAATGCGCGAATCTTACATCAAACACCACAAACATTTACTGGATAAAAGTGAACAACTGAGATAGGAAATTTCCAGGGTTTCTTTCAAATAATTTTTCTCAGTGAGGGTTGGGGGTGCACTGAAAATGTCCATGAGAGGGAGCGGCCGACACAGAATATATTTTTCATATACTTTATAGTTTTCCATTTTGTAGTTGGGGGAGTGGGGGGGGGGGCTGCCCCAGAGTACGATTACAACCCCCCCCCTCACTTTTCTTTAGAGATGCCTGAAAGAAACTCTGAAAATGTGTACAGTGTAAGAAATTTGTGCTAAATAAAATTAAACATTTTAGATTATTTTATTTTAACGGAGAGTATGAATATGTGTCAGGTACAGCAGAAAAGTTGAGGTAGAAAAGAATTGCGACTGTTAAAATTTACTAGACTGCGATCGAGTATGTGTATGTGTGTTTCTGTAAAGAAGCTGTATTGGATACAATTAGTATGTATGCGAGTGCATATAATACAAAAAGAACGATAAATACTGCGATCTCTGTGTGTTCAGGACTAATGTATTAGATAAACCTGTATTAGATTGCACTGTACAAATGATGAGTGGTAAAGTGATGATTGTTGACGTATGCTGGACTCAAAGGTCTGTCATTTCTAAAATAAAACAACAAAACAAAAATGCATTTTTGCTTGTATGTAACATTATATATTTGAAACATACCGAGATCATTAATTTGTTGGTTGACAAGATTAATCATCATAATCACCATCATTCCCTTGGACCACTTGTGGAGCATAAGAACGCAACCACACCTCTCTATCACACACGTTTTTGTGCGATTCATCCAAGCTGGGTCCATTTCATTCCGGCATCTTCTGCTTCACTAACAACTGATCTTTTCCAAGTTTATTATAACCTATGACTGACCTATCTGTATTCTTGGGGATTCCAATCTATTCCATGTCTGGTGATGTTGCTAGCTGGTGTATCCAATCAATTTACTTTTGCAATTTTACAAAATTAATGGGCGGACTAAGAAACTAAAAATTAGAATAATTTATAAATGTGTAAAATGATTATTGTTGATACAGTGATAAGCACAACAAACAGGACCATTAGCTTTACTCGGAGCTGAACGCTGAGCTTATCAATGTTTAAGTGATGTTGGTGATGTCTAGAATTTAAAATTACTAGAAACGTATTTCTAGTTCACTAGAACATCGAAAACAAACTCTGACTTCAAACGGTAATTTAGATAAAGCAAGGTTTATATCATTAATTTGGCTGAGTGACTTTGTTACAACCGAAGCAAGAACACAGTGCTGATTAAACTATCCATCGTAAGTCGAAGTCACTGAAAATAGGTGAACTCTACTTCATCTGCCCCATGTGTCTTGGGCACGAACGGGGAAAAATGATCATGTCACATAGAGTTGAGGCCGAACACGACGTAGGCTACGCTTCGTGCTGGCAAACTTGTCAGCTAACGGCCACATGAATCCAATGCTTACCGTGTGAACACTTTTTACCTTAGATCAATCTATTGGCTTGTTCTTTTATTTACGGTGCATAATTATAACAAACATCTTTCTTCAAGACTAGGTCATTCAACATTTGTCTTAACGTAGCGGGGTTATGCGACAATCGGGTAACATGTGAAGCAGCTCAAAAGGTTTTTTCTATATGTTAATTGTTAGTTTTTCCATGGTGTGACGGTAAACTCATCGGGGCTTTCAAGCAGTGGAACACGTAATGTAAATGTTTAATATACTCAACTGGAGAGTAATAAAATATTACCCGATCAGAAATCAATTTTGCAATCAAGCGATATTGATTAACTGCTGAATGATGTCAAATAACACACGACGTAGAAAAGCCCCCTAGTTCCTATGTTGTCTTCGATTTAAAAGAAGAAACGATGTATTTGTTAATAAAACATTAAAGAGAGTTAGTGTGTTATCCAGCTGTGTTATAAATATTTTCACAATGGAAGTTACCAAATATCATTGAAGTGACATCTGATTGATGTACAGAATTCCTTCAGGCCCACGGATTATGGGTAAGGGGGTGGGGGGCAGTGCTCGGACGAAATTTAAAAAATAAATCATTTGAATAGAAAATGTATTCTATAAACACCTTCCTGCCACCCCACCCCCGTTCCCCCTGTAATTTTAGGTGCGTCCCCTCTCTAGAAAGTTTTAATTCCCCCCCCCCCCCCCCCCCCCCGCCCTTTTTCTTATGTAGATAAAGAACTAACAAAAACGTTAAACAAATCTAAGGCTTGGTTAGCTAAAACAGCAAATGATTAAAGAAATTAAATAACTATTGATAAGTAATTAGAAACTTTGAGCCGGTGTAGATGTAGCACTGTGTTTATTGGATATCGTCCATTTGCAATTCTAGTTTGATTTTAATGGGGTTTTTTAGATGCATTTATCAATTTATAACATTTTACTAATACAAAAACAAGTTCTTTTAATCAATTTTTACTTCACAATTGCAGTTTAAGTCTTATTTGAAGAAACAAAAATTAAATATAGATGTCTAATAAAAATGTATTTATGGCTAAAACATAAGTTTAAAAAACTTGTAAAAAGATCATGATTAAATTTTCTTTTAACCCATGTATGTGACGTCACACTTTCTTAACCTCCAACCTAATTTCCTAATATCCGTGGGTCAGACCCCTTTTTTCAGGAGGGTGAGGACATTATTGGACAATACATTCCTTCCTGCACTTGTATATTAAATACACAAGCAGAGATATATACTAAAATACCTGTTCACTTTACCGTTGAGTTGAGTAATTTAATACAGACGACTATATGTAAATATATATATATATATATATATATATATATATATATATATATATATATATATATATATATATATATTGTGATGTACATGTTTATACATGTTCACATAAGAGGGTGTGTGAGAGTGGTCTCCCCTCGTAAGTGGTGTGCCAGCGAGAGAAAGACGTGTGTAAGCAGGGTGTGATATCGTCAGCAGAGCGTAACCTGAGTTGGTCTTAAGAAGGAGGAGTGTTTTGTAGTTGAAGGTTATCTATGTTTCTCGGTTGTACTAAAAAGATTATATTTTATTGTGATCAATGAACGTGGACTTTGTTTTTAATTGTGTTATGGCTAGTTCCCAACATTAAATAGCCCACTGACCATAACAAGTGGGGGCCCGTCCGGGATTTGAACACAACACGATTTTTGAGAAGTTTTACCCCTAGACAAAAAGGAAAATATCCAGTATCAACAGCAGCGTTAGAGCCGACATGAAAATATCGAATGTCAACAGCAGCGTCACAACCGACTTGAAAATGTCTAGTATCAACAGCAGCGTCACAACCGACTAGAAACTTGCTAGTATTAACGGCATCGTTACAGCCGACTAGAAAACATCTAGTATTAACGGCATCGTTACAGCCGACTGGGAAGTGTCTAGTATCAACGGCAGCGTCACAACCGACTGGAAAATTTCTAGTATCAACGGCAGTGTCACAACAGACGGGAAAATTTCTAGTATTAACGGCATCGTTACAGCCGACTAGAAACTATCTAGTATTAACGGCAGCGTTACAGCCGACTAGAAACTATCTCGTATCAACGGCATCGTTACAGCCGACTAGAAAACATCTAGTATTAACGGCAGCAGTCATCGCCGACGTGAAAAGACTTCGTATCAACAGCCACAAAACTTGTGAACAGTGCTGCAGACATCATGGCCATAAATAATGACATTAAAAATACAGTGATAAAGCTAGGAGAGAAGTTGAGAGAACTTGCTAGCTACAAAGTGGACTACATTAGCATAGCAAGTAAGTTATCAAATTTTAGAGCTACAATATTAGCATCTCAGTCCTTGAGCACATCAGAAGCAAATCATTGCGTCGCCACCAACATGAAAGCTCTAGCTACTGTCCCACTTGCAGAAGACCTAGTCAACCAGACACGCAATCTAGGCAACAAGTCAACAGAGTGGAGAACTAGGTCAAGGGCAGCTGAGCAGAAGGTAACTTTAATCCAGTATCAAGTTCATAGTCTTTTTAAAGATACTAATGAGACTTTAATTATAGTTAAAGACTGTGATGTCAAGATAGCAGGATCGAAACAAAAATGTTTGGACTCCAGAGCCAGAGCTGAGCAGAAGAGCCAGAGCCAACATCAGTGCCAGAGCCAGTGCCAGAGCCAGTGCCAGAGCCAGAGCCAGTTCCAGAGCCAAAGCAAGAGCCAGAGCCCGTGCCAGAGCCAGAGCCCGTGCCAGAGCCAGTGCCAGAGCCAAAACCAGAGCCAGAGCCAAAACCAGAGCCAGAGCCAAAACCAGAGCCAGAGCCAAAGCCAGAGCCGGAGCCAAAACCAGAGCCAGAGCCAAAGCCAGAGCCAAAACCAGAGCCAGAGCGAGAGCCAGAGCCAAAGCCAGAGTGAGATCCAGATCGACATCCAGAGCCAGAATACTGTACCAAAATTAGAGTGGTGTACGAACTTGTATTATATGAATAGCTTCTAGTTTCATTGTCATATCTCACTTCATAAAACGAAAGGAAAGTAACATTGTTCTCATGTCTTGTGATTCAATTCAAATGCTTTATTGATGACAAATGTTTTTAAAAAACCTTGTTGACTTATAGACTAGACGTTATAAGTAGTTAATTCATGCTTACGTCCAACATTTTATTGTAGAGATATAATTTTTTACCCGCCATCATTTATTTATAGGGAGATTTAAAGTATGTAAAATGTCAGATAAATATTGTATGATAATTTTTACTGTACATGTTAAGTAGTTGTGCAGGATAGACCTTAGAAATGCTGTCTTGTAGTTAGTTCTTGGTTTGACGGAGAGAAGCCAAAAAGGAAACGCAGGCTAAAACAATACCTAAGAGAGTTGGATGGCCTACTATTCCAAAATTAGAATGATGTACGAATTTGTAGTATAGGTATAGCTTCTAGCTTTCAGTTATCATCAGGTAATAGATTTCTTCAACATTTCTCATTTATATAACCCCGGAAAGGGTAACTACTGTAAACAGATTTCACCAAATGAAAAGAAGAAATCTATTTTTTTTAAGGGGGGAGGTGTGATGTACATGTTTATACATGTTCACATAAGAGGGTGTGTGAGAGTGGTCTCCCCTCGTAAGTGGTGTGCCAGCGAGAGAAAGACGTGTGTAAGCAGGGTGTGATATCGTCAGCAGAGCGTAACCTGAGTTGGTCTTAAGAAGGAGGAGTGTTTTGTAGTTGAAGGTTATCTATGTTTCTCGGTTGTACTAAAAAGATTATATTTTATTGTGATCAATGAACGTGGACTTTGTTTTTAATTGTGTTATGGCTAGTTCCCAACATTAAATAGCCCACTGACCATAACATATATATATTACTCTTTCTTGAAATCAAGTCATTTTTCAGTACCTCGCACATATAACACTTAACAAACACGGCCTACCTGATCCAAGCATCTAATGTGTAAAGAAAAGAAGACTGTTTATCACAAATTGGTGTACAATAAAAAATCAAAATTTGAAGTTGCAAAGCCGAAAAAGCATCCAGTAAAAAATTATTATCACATTTGTAGCCCTGCAAATCAACACAACACAAACGTCTAATTAAAGACAACAAACTACACAGACAATACTGAAAAACAAAGGATTTGCAGAAAAATAAAAACAAAACATTGTGATTCTTTTGTACTAAATCCTTCTCTAGAGCAAAAAACATTAGGTTAATTTAGAGAGTAAAAATTGTTTAAATGTTACACAATGTATGTAAGTGTATCGCTCTTCAAATAAAGTAGGCTACGGCCTTTAATCATACTTTAGGTCTCATTTTCATCTCAGAGACGATAATGTTGTTGCTGTATTCCGTCAAGGTCTTCCAGTTCAGCCCTTCGCCGTAGTTGACACTTCCCCATTTGCCGTTGAGGTTGGAGGTATGACAAGCACTGTACCACCACGCACCCTTGTAACTAACAGCGCAGTTGTAACTGGCTGTATCAGTATCTCTGTCAAATGTTGAGAATGTACGGCCGTTCTCAGCTGTTAGAGAATTCCCAGCGTTGCCAGTGTAATTCAAAATAGAAAGCTTGTAGCCTAAAGACTCGTTGGAAAGTTTAAAGCTGGAGTATCTTGCGTAGTAGGTCCCGTTGTAGACTAGATCAACACGAAGTTCGTGGGCAGCTTTAGAAGTCAGGCAGAAAATGTTTTCATTACCCAGGTAAAATTCCCCAATGCCGTAATCCCCAAACCCGTGTTTGTACTCCTCCCAGCCGCGGTAGAAATCTACGGTCCCAGACACACGTCTTTGGAAGATGGTCCATCCCCCACCGTCTGTCACTGTGTCACACATGACGACTAGCCCGGATGTAAGGGTCACGACCTTTCGTGGTTTGTCGCTGTTGACGTCACGACAAGATGTGTAAACTTTAGGCTCGAAAGGGTCAAAGGTTGAGTTATTTCCTACAGTAACTCCGTTGTCTGTAAGAATTAGTAAAATAAGTATCTTAAAATATATTTAAATATAAAACAATTATGTGGAATTGATATATTTTGTTATGTTTTTCACATTGTTAAAATTCTTAATATCAAATGAGACAATAGATGTAGGGAACAAAAAATAGTTTTACCATAAAATATATAAAAGGACGAATCAGTATTGTTGTAATTAAAGTTATATTTTGTATTGCGACGCCCCTTTTTTTGTAAACTCTTATGTTAAGAGTTAAGACCTATCGTCTATACTTAACATTTAGCTTGAATGAACCTGCCAAGAAGTTTCTTTTTACCAAGTGCTAGTTACGAGAATAACATAATTGGTTAAGAAATGTAAGCAGCTTTAATTAGTTCATCAAACTGAAATAAGCTCATTGAAAGAAAAATTTAAATTGGTCTAGATCTATATATAACATTTTTCTTTATTTACACGTATTTTAATTTAAAATCCCACAATAAAATAAATATAAATACATTTAGGATAATAACTTTTTAAATGCACTGAATGTATGAAAATAAAACAAGCTTGCTTTCTTGAATACAAATACTTTTGGTCGTAAATGAGATCTGTAATATATTTTAGCGACCAAAGCTTTTAAAGAAGGCTAGTTTGTTTTTCATTGCACGTAAAAGCATATTATTATAAAGTATTTTTGTATTTATTTTGTTTTCGAGTTTTTAGTCATTCGTTAGTTCGTGATGGACGCTTATGCATGAAATCAGCCAAACATGACCAATCTTTCAACCGGAAACACAGTACAAAAGACAGATCAGGTGATCAAGTCTACCTAGTTACATCCCCTATTATTACTGAATTTAAAAATCTGTTAATTAGATTTAACTTGATTTTTAAAAATTGATATTCCTGAAGAGTCGCCGAATGTATCTAGAAAGTTTGAACTAAATCGCTGCATTAGAAGTGGGTTGGAATCTAATTAATAGATTTGCCTCTTCCCCAAAACCAACAAATAAATACAACGAAATTGTACAAAACTAAAAGCGTATTAAAAATGAACATTACAATCAGTGACAACCTACCCGGACAGTTCAAACTACGGACAGAGTTTGACATCGTGAGATTTACAACTGCTGAACTGTTGCAAATAAATCCAACTGAGTAGATTTGAGTGTTTTCTACGGTCACTGTGTTGTTGAATGGGATAAGCCATGTGCCTTTAAATAGATTAAGGAATAGAGCATCTATTTAATTTTAATGCACCGTATGACGTTCTTAAAATAAATATAGTTTTTATTTTATTTTTAGAAAACTAAAATCCCAGTGTGTGTTTTTTTTAGGTAAATACTTTTGTTAAAGTATCGCGTAACTATTTTTTGTTATGTTGTAATACATTATCATTCAGTCTTAAAATATGCCTGAATTTTCAATAACAGTAATTTTTCAATTCTGACCTAAACAGCAGACACGGTGGTACCATTGTGTGTTGCAGCTACACATTTGAAAGGAAAACAAAGAAATTAAAGGGATATGCTCAGATTATTTCTATTTTTACAACTAAATATCTAAATAATAACATATATGTGTAACTTGTAAAGCCAATTGTAAGCTTTGAGTGTTTCCGAGATTATTGAAAATACTATTATCAAATACAAGATGAATCAAGCTTTCCAATGATGCCATATACAATATGATGACGGATATTATACTTTTCATAGAGAGCTTGTAAGATTGTGGAAAAAAATGATTTTTTTTAATTAATAAGGTCATTTAAACACAAACAGTTTTTTTCTCATTTAAGTTATTTTTTTAAATACAAAAATGGGAAAATTATCCAAAAGTGCTAGACACATATTATGAAAAAAATTAGGGATTTTGGTGATTTTGTAATGAGCATACCAATTAAAAGAAATTTCCATTTTGATAAAACGGGAGATCAGAAGAAATTAAACTACTGCATTTCGAATTAACGATTTTTCAACTATCCAAACATAATTGTACATATGGTCCCTCTCATTCAATGAATCCTCATACAATATACTTGACAAGCATCATTTAGTAAGCGAGAAAACATTTTTTTATTCCTTGTGCTCGTGCAAGTTCCTGCACGTTAATTCATGTCCGCAACTTTCACTGAGCGTACAAGACAAGTCGCATGTAATCTTTCACCAGTCTAGTAAATCGTTCTCATTTTATCTGAATCAACACATGCTAGGTATAGAAAAAAATATAAAAACTGTAAACTTTCCCGAGCCAGCCTAATGAATGTTTTGTAGAAACCTCGCAGAACCTACAAGCCATGTACACGTTGTTGTGATTACAATATTGAAGAAACGGCCTATTATGACCCGAAAAATACCCAATCGCGCTTTGTTGAAATACGAGTTTGTGACGGCTCCAGTTATCAGAAACATTTATACCTATCAAGCTGCAACAGAGTGCTTGCAATGGGGTCTTCGACAATTTCTCGAAATTCGTGCAAGTGTCCGTTCAAGCATTCGGGCAAAAGTCTTTCGGGAAACGTCCGGCTCCATTTGCAAGTGTCTTAATTCTATAACAGCGGTACAAGATCTTAGAGTAGGCTTCGCGTCCTAAAATAATCACGATAAAAAATTAATCTCAATGTATACAGATGAACAAACATGTATCTGAAGATTTTGTCATTCAACTGGCTGGAAAAGATTTATTCTCATATTTACTATATTGATGTGAGAACTAAAACTACTTACCTAATGTACATATTTCAGTTCTGTCGTTGTACGCAAAACTAAAGCAAGTGCCGTTTGTGTCCAAACACTTCAAGCCACAAGTCGTAAGTTTGACATTAGAAAACTTTTGGCCAAGAGGCAACATAAGAACTTTGCTTTGGTCGTACACATGATAGAGACTACTTTTGACTTCTATCGAGCTCACTAAAGCTAAGACGAAAAAGTATCAAAGTTATTCTCTTTCAAACCTTACTCATGATTGCTTACAACCCATTTTGCAAAACTAGAATTTTCTTAACAAATTAAGTAATTAAATTGAAAAAACGAAAGGGTTATAAATATAATAATAAATTTATAATAAATGCATTTTACTTTGTAAACTGAAAAGAAGAACGACTGCTGGATCCACGAGAGCCCTCATTTCGACTAAATCTTTAAGACTCAAGTATTTCAATACATCATCACATTAATCAGACTGTTTATAAAACGGACGCCTATTTTAATGTATAGCTCAATCTATAAACATTGGTGTCGAATATTAGACAGAAAAATATTATTGTAAATCATTAGGTCCTAACAACTGTTCCTGTCTAAACAAAAATCCATCGATTGCCAGGCGAACATTGTTTTCACTGGTAGTATTTACATATACGGTATGCTCGGGGCATGCACTTATGTATCGTTCGCCGTGAGTTCATCATGTTTTGGTCAGTTCGGACCTTTTAAAAGCCACTTTCTTCCGGTCGAGACATATCTGATATTTTGTTTTGATTTGTATAAAAATTAGCTATAATGTTTTTATTTAAAAAAGAAAGTTCTGATTATTATTGTTAGCGTATGTTTGTATAGAATTTTTTTTTAAATATTTGAGTTAGCGGCTTCAAAGCACATTCGTTTATTTATAGTAAAATATGCAATAGATTTCTAATCCATTGGAATCTAACACATGCTACTTATCGTCATTAGATAAATAACAATAGTAATAATTTGGAATTTGTTTTTAATCACTACAATAACCTGCTGAATGATAATAACACCAGTAGGCTTTCATATATGAAATAAAATAATGTCAATCTGCAATATCGTGTATGTGGGTACGTTCAAAACGACAACATCTGTAGTAATATATGTATCAATATTTATGTGATTGTTCCACGATTATACATTATGCAACTTGATATTATAATCTAACATGTAAATATAAGTGTGCTAGGATAAAACGTGTTTTGATATCTACTGATCTTAAATAATATACAAAATCAAGTTAATTTTAATGCAATCAGAGTATAGTATCATAATATCCAAATAGACATGTAGATGTACACAAAATTGCATAAAAACGTTTTAATAACAAGTATTTATGTAATAATGCACTAAAAAGGAGAAAATAAATTTTAAAAATTTAAAAATATAATAATACACTTCTATTTAAATAACTAGTTTTACATTAGAGTTGCATGACCGAAAACTATTGCGCACCAAATGGAAATAATAATGCGCGTATAATAGCGCACAAAGAGTAGTAGGGCAGCCTTCAAATAAAAACTTTAATGAATTCTTACAAAACGAACTAGGCATTCAATTAAGTACATTTTAATGTCATATTGCATTGTCCGCAAGTTTTGACCCACGTGTCGAATTTCAGAAAAACTGGTCAGTAAGAAGTGCCCGAAATTTCGCTCGCCCGTTTCGATCTATGACGTCAGACAAAAGCACGACAGAAAAAGGATGCTAGCTAGTTAAATAAGAGCTTGTTATAAAACCTAGTCTTTCGTTTCAAGCATCAAGAATACATGATCAATGTTGGATGATTTGTTCAGGGAGCTTGTGAGCTTTTGAATTTGTGACGTTTGATGGATTAGGGATAACAAATATATAATATGTGTGTACATAAATTGAACTCGGTAAAATTAAGAACAACATGCTAAATGTAATATACATAATTACTAAGAGAAAGAATTGAAGTAAGTCTAAACTTCCTACGGCCGGCTAGTCTGTTGTGACGATGTGGATAAATGGTTCGCACCTTAACAATAAACAATACCTAGAACGTGGGTTGAATAAAGTTTAAACAAATAAGAACGAATTTGTATTTCTTACCTGTTACAATATTTTCTAATTCAATATTCTATAACGCCGTTTAGTATGATCGATGCGTTGTTTATTTATCGATTATTTTTTATTATAATCTTTTCCGATCAGATAATTGTGTTCACTAATATATGTTTGTCATGTCTGACAAGAATTACATTGTATTATCCAAAGAAATACAAAGGAGTAAAAGAGTTATGAAAAAGCAAAATGATTTAATATTATCTGCAAGAAGGAATCGATAAATTGCTCAAGTATGAGTGTTTTTGAATTGCGTAAGAAGTCGTACGACCACACGTTAAGTCAATAGGGTAGATAAATTGGTGCTCTTTCTTACTACTAATAATAATTGTTAAAGTTCAGTTTATTTTTAAAATCGGTTATCTGCGAACTAAAATATTTTCCCGAATGTATCCTCAAATATTTTTTTAAAAATACATTTTAGATATTTGAATAATTATAAAAACTATTAAATTATTTCTCTATTGATCATTGAGGAAGAATGTTTAATTGCCACATACCTTGAAATTTTACAATAAACAATGGTATGTATGTTTTCAGCGTAATAAAGTCCATTTAATCTTGAAATCCAAGTTCTTACCGAAAAATGCTGCGTGATATATAATTGTTTTTCTATTTTACAAAATGAGTTCAATCTTTTAACTTACTAACATCAATGTATGTTTTACTGGGTTTTCGCACCCGATTTTTATGTCTTCCTAATAAATTAGAAATCAATGCATTGATCGGTCTGAAGTGACATAAATCACTTTGTCCAGTTAAGAATGAGGTTACTGTAGTTTTGTTGGTTTGTTTGTTTGTTGTTTTGTTTAAGTTTGAATAGTAATCAATTTTGTGTTCAGCAGATTGTAATTTGCCTTTACATTCTCTGACTAATTTTCCAATATGAGCATGTAAAATTGGCAAGGCAGTTAACGTAAATTCTAACAGCTTAACTTTTAAATGATTCTCTATTTCTAATCTGTAAAATATTAGCTGTTGTTGTTGTTTTTTTTTTTCGTATTTTCTCTTGCTTATATGTGCTACTATTTAAATAATAATAACAAATATACTTTTTGAGTCAGAAATTAAACAAACATGTAAAAATACTTTCAAGGGTAAGTAAATAAATTGTCGATATCGTAAACAGCCATTTCACATATCCAATACTCTTGAGAAATCTGCAATCTCCTTTTTAATTGAATGACTTGCTTTTAAAATAAAAGCATTATTTTTGGCTTCAAAAATCAACAACGATACGAAATTTCGAAAATAGTTTACACAATCGATCGTCTGATGGGCCCATTATCATTGCTGATATGAGAACTTGTATTATTTAAATGTGTCCTGCTTCATCAGCTTTCGTATGAACCTTGGTTTAATATGAAGTTTATTGTTTTCATATCGTTAGCATCGATCCAGAAATGTAGTGAAGGGGGGGGGGGTGGGGGTGACACCATTTAGGGGGTTGACACCAAGGCAAAAAATAGCTCAATATAAACAGAAAAATTATAATTCCACTTAAGTAAGTGATTAATTAGAATCAAAATTAAAATATTTTAAAATCTTTATAATAACAAGCTTTGATCAACTAAACGTACGAAAAAAAAATAATCTTGTTTTCTTCAATATATTACCAGTGTCTCTCATATCCGTAACGGATATGTATCTACATGACTTGACATTGACAATCAGCTAATTATTTTATAAGCCTTTTTAAGAAGATCTTGCCAATTTATTTAGATAGTGTTTTCTTCTACACTACTTTTTTTTTTCAACGTCAGTGTGTATTTTGTCCTAATGCTGCCTTGATAAATAGGCCTATGGTATTTTTACAATACTACTTTGACAAATTAACATAACCGAGTCGCGTAACTTGTTTCACTTGACTTGGTCCTTTTTGCTCCTTATGGAACATAGGGCCTCAACTATTTCTTTGCATTTCGTCCGAACTCGGGCTATTCATTTTGCAGTCTCTGAAGACATCCTTTTTTACTTCAATTCTTTCAGAAGACTCCGCCTCCAACTCTGTCTTGGGCGAACTGTTTTCCTCTTTCCTTAGGGGTTCCACTCACGCGCCTGGCGTGTTCATTAGAGTGAGCCTTACGCAGTGTGTGTCCTTATTTTTACTGTCAGCGTAACTTGTTTACTTTTCACAAATTACATATAACAAACAATTGAATAATAATTAAATCTATATGAATTGAGAATTTTTATTGACAACACGTCTACATTAAATCAAAATAATTAACTTTAGACAGCAAATTTATAAACGTAGAGATTAGTTTAAAGCAATACTTTATATTCAACTTCGAAATAATAATCAATGTGCATAAATAAGATGTGCCTATTTTAATTAGATTTAAATAGAATAGATTCTTGCTTTATTCAAATTAATTTCAACGTGAACAACAAAATATTTGTGTAAGAGACCTCCTATAATAATTACCAAGTTCTGATCCCGGGGTTAAATAGAAAAATATCCCTGGGTCTACTTAGCTGTGAAGGTTACCTAACTCAGGTTACGGAAAGTACATGCGGCTAGACATAGTGCTAACCACACTATCACTTCTATTGCTGAAGTTATAGAAATAGCTTAAGTGTACTACATCTGCCTAGTGTACTTCCAAGTTTGAAAGGGTATGCTTTGGTTGCTTTTTGTTGTTGTTGTTATAATGAATAAATGATAAGAGGTAACTTTAACTCGTATAAAAAAAAATTGCCACAAGTCAAAAATAATAATTAAATAAAGTTGGAAAAGATTGGTCATCTCTTTCAGTTTCATAAAATTTAGAAACCCAACATTGAATTAGCCGTACACTGAACTTAAATTGATTGCTAGGACTTAACAATTCAAGCTAGAATCTCTATAATTGTTACACATAAAAAAACAGGATTTTTTTGTTATATAGATCTAAAATAAAGATTGAATTATAGTAAAAAAAACTGTTATCCACATGAAGTGTTTTATAACCCACGCTTTTGTTTATAGTTATTTAAATAGTGTTGCGTTATTATAGATTCAACGATCCATTTTCTACATTTTCGTGCATATAAAAGCTATTTCTTAAAACGGTTTTTTTTTCATTACATTTTTTGTTTCAATACTTAAAACGTTTTAGTACAGTATAATTGCTTGGCTAAAAACGATTAAGCACCAAATTAACACAACAATGTATAATAATAGCACATAAAATTGTACTTTATATTTAAAAAATCTAAAATTTATTCTAATAAAATTAAAAATCAAATTTAGTCAAATTTGATGTCACAATGCATTGCCATCAAGTTTTGACTCACAAACCAAATTTTAAAGAAATTGGTGGACAGCATCGGATGAAACTATTTAAAGAGGTGAAAAGAAAACGCATGGACAGGAAATGTTTCATCACTATTTATATTATTCAAGTCTATTTCAACTTAAAATCTGTATTGGTCTTAATTTAATTTCAGAGGCCTGCACACTGATGTTGTAGCCTGTTAGTGAATGCCAGTTCAATCCTTGACCATAGCTGAAGTTTCCCCATCTACCATTCAGGTTTGAGCTGTGACAAGCAGCATACCACCATGCACCAATGTACTGTACCGCGCAACTAAAGTCTTTTTCGTCGTTATCTCTATCAAATGTAGAAAACATATGATTATTGTGAACTGACAAAGAATCTCCAGCGTTGCCAGTGTAACCAGAAATAGAAAGCTTGTAGCCTAAAGACTCGTTGGACAGTTTAAAAGTGGAGTATTTGGCGTAGTAGGTGCCGTTGTAGACTAGATCAACTCGAAGTTCGTGGGCAACTTTAGAAGTCAGACAGAAAATGTTTTCATTGCCCAGGTAAAATTCCCCAATGCCGTAATCCCCAAACCCGTGTTTGTACTCCTCCCAGCCGCGGTAGAAATCTACGGTCCCAGACACACGTCTTTGGAAGATGGTCCATCCTCCACCGTCTGTCACTGTGTCACACATGACGACTAGCCCGGATGTAAGGGTAACGACCTTTCTTGGTTCATCACTGATGACATCGCGACAAGATTTATAGACGTTTGGGTTGAAAGGGTCAAAGGTTGAATTATTTCCCACAACCACTTTATTGTCTGTAAGAATTTTGGAATTATATTTGTTACTTTTCTGGTTAAATTGTGAAATTAATATTTTTAAATTAGTATTTAAGTATTTAGATACTTTTAGTTTCGTAGTTTTCATTTGAAACAACATATTAGACAGAAGATATTTTAAAAGGTTATAAAAAGTATGGGGAAAATGAGTTAGCGTTATGATTGAATTTCATCTTTTTTTTCGTCCTACGTCTTTTGTCAACCCATTATATACTTTGGGCTGTGGAGTTTGGTTGTTTTTTTTAATGTCAAATTCTGCTTGAAAGAGTTAGTTTTTTTTTTGTTTTTTTCTTTTTGAACATGTACTAGGTGAGTGTAGTAAACGGTTGGGTAAATAATGAACAGAATTGATAAAATACGTTTTTTACAATTCTAGTCGGTTTAGGTTGTGTTTGGAAGGAGATGTTCTATCTCGCATTCAGACTGTCTTAAAGTTGTATCGAATAGTTACAATTAAAGAGCTGGTAGAAAAATTCATTTTCATTTGAATGGTGTTATGTTACTTATTTTAAAAAAAAAAACATTTTCAGTCTACCTTAGATTTCAAATCGTTAACTAATATTTCAGATTTAATTGTACACGTTTTAATATGACTGTATTTTCAATTAACAAGGACCTGAATCTATGATAAATGATAGGTTACACTCTACCTGGACAGTTAGGACCATGACAGGTGTTTGTCATCGTCAGATTTGCCCCTGTTGAGCTGTTGCAAATTAATCCAACGGAGTAGATCTTCGTGTTTTCTAACGTCATTTCGTTGTTGATTGGGATTAGCATGGTGCCTTTTAACAGATTGGGAATAAAATTTATACTTAATTTAAACACAATTTTAAAAAGATAATTGTTTTTAGAAAGCTGTAATCACGAATTGTTTTTGGGTGTTCGTGTGGATTATATTATTTGATCAACATTCTGGTACCTTCTTGTATGATTCTTTTTAAATACATTTCTAATACATTTTAATACATTTCCATTCGGTTTTCAAATATGTCTATGTTAATCAAAAGAAAAAGGTTTTAACAAAACTAATAGTTTCTACCTGTATACTGATCGGGTCATCATTAAAAAAATTTCAGTAGACCTAAATATTTTTAAATTTCCAATAAAATATATTTTTTTAAATAATTGACCGGAAATAGTGAATTGGAATTGCTTACAGAGAAAACCACTTACCTAATGAACATATTTCAGTTTCGTCGTTGTAAATGAAACTAAAGCAGCTACCATTTGTAAACAAACACTGCTGGGCACATGTCGCAAGATTCACTCCAGAAAACTGTTGACCCAGGGGTAATATGAGAACTTGACGTTCGTTGTACGCATGGTAATGGCTGCTTCTGACTTCCAGCGAACTCACTAAAGCTAAGACAAAAAATAGTTTAAAGTTTCGCTCTTCTATTCTGATCATAAATGATTACATATCAATGATTTACTCTTATTTAAAAAGTTATGTAGTGAAAGAAATTATTGCTAAAACAATCATATATTTTTACAGGACATTGTTTTTACCTTCTAAATGGAAAAGAAGAACGACAGCTGTATACGTAGCAGCCCTCATTTCTACAACTCTTTAAAACACTGGACTTAAACACATCATAACACTAGCCTTTCATAATCAGACTGTTAATAGAAAAAGACTACCTCTTAATATATAGCGCAATCTATAAACAATGATAGTAAATATTGGACCGAGGATGATCATATTATAACTCCGGTAATTAGTTGCTTAAGCACGTTTTCCCTTTAAACAAAAATATATCGCGTTTACTAGTAATATTTACGTTCTGTGTGTTGGCCATGGAATTATCTAGCGGTGTAGTTAATGAGTTACTTCTTGGTCGATTTCAGATAATAAAATGCACATTTTCTAACTAGTAACAGAGTTCTCATGGTTTTTTAAGTTCTAAATTTTTAAATCAGCATTTTGTATTAAATTTGCTATTTCATTATAAACGTATAAAACATGTACATGTAGAATAACATTTTTAAAATATTGTGGTAACATTTCAGCGGCTCTAAGCACCTCCGTATTGTCTGGCTTTCTGATCCGATTGTATCTGACATATGACATATTCTGTCTTTTAGTTAATTATATTGTACAAAAATAAAAGCATTCGTATGTAATATTGTAACTGGGGACAATGTATCCCGCATTTATGCAGTGGGTGGATTTACACAACCAACACGTTCCTTTAATCATTCTGGAGTTTATGTTAGAGTTCCGACTTAAAGTTCGACAACATCATCGCAGACAAATGACTCGACAAGATGACGTTAGTTCACTACACTGTTTGTTGCACTATAAGGATACATACGACGACTTTAACAAGCGAGAGACGCGACTACATACACGACCTCACTCTAAGACAATTATGATGACGCTAGTTTAGGCTAGAAGTCAAGCAGATGGTAGAAACAGTCTATAGCTTAGTTAGTTAAACAGACCAATGGAAATACAGGAGCTGACCGGTCACGCGGGACGGTCAGTTAACCACTGAAGTGATAGGTAGCGCTAGGGTAAAGATGTAAAAGTTAGAGGTAGATAGTATAAAATTACATTCATGACTTTTCATGACAAAAGATTATTTTACATTTATTGTAATGATTAAATAGTTAAACAAAACCGGTTGACTTTTTATAAGTTGGTTTTAATTTTATGATAATAATATAAATCACTTAAATTTTAAAAAAAATTCAGTTTGGTTTCATATTACATTCTAAATGCAACAACAGCGTTCGTGTCAACCATGCAAAAACCGACTAGCCGTCCCGGCCAGGCGCTGCCCTGGCCATTAAAAAATCAGAATGACAAGATTGATGAGGATCCTTGTGTTTATTCGGTTTCGTATTGAGAAATATGACTGGTTAGCGACAACCGCTTTAACAATTTTTCCAAGATATTATACGTTTCTTATGGGGTCGGCGTGGTCGAGTCGGTAAAGCTCATGGTTGCTAAACCGAAAAGTCTCGAGTTCGAACCCTCGGGCAAATGAGGCTCGTTAGCTGGGGACAGCTACTCTTCTAGGAGAGACAACTCCAAAATCAAAACAACTCCTGCCTTGTAGTTTGTTCTTGGTTGGACAAAGGCTATGGAAGCAAATCCAAAAAGAAAAGCAGGCTGAAATCGGAATCAATGGCCTCAATGGCGCACAACCAGTTGACACGTAATCCTTAATTGTGATGGAAGCATGGTCGAGTCGGCAAAAGCTCATGGTTGATAAATTCGAAAAAAAAGTCTCGAGTTCAAACCCTCTGGCAGATAAGTCTCGATCCCTCCCAACACCAAAAATTAAGAACGAAGAAGAAGAAGAAGATACGATTCTACCTCTGGCATCCATGGGCATTTGTCTACAACCTCACACAGGGGGTGGGTTCGTCGGGCTAAATATTTGCTTGATGTATACCGCATGTGAAGCACCTGTCAGTTGAGATCACTTTGTAGCCCTAGGTAACGGTCTAGAGTTTGATCGATATTTTTCCCTGTGTTGTTTTGCGGATAAGTGCCTGCCAAATTTGAAGTGCCCGTGACGCCGGCAAGTGTCCCAAACAGCATCCGACCACTTTCCCTTAGCACTAATATGCAACCCTTTTTCGATTATTCAATTCAGTATATTACTAACAAAGTGAAAATTAACGCAAATAAACGCAACGCTATTAATAACTCAGACTCATAATTTGAATACATATAAAAGAAAAGTGCTCTTTATTGAAATACACAGAAATGTTTTGTTTGAATAAAATAATTATAAAATTTAGAATAACATCAATTTATTGATCAACTAAATCTCATATAGAGTTGACTAAATGAGTAATTCACGTATCTCAAATTACAACATGTTTTACTTTAATTTTTCATTGATCTTATTTTCATCTCAGCGAGCTCCGTACCATTGTAAAAGCCCGTTACATTATACCAGGTCAACCCTTGACCAAAGTTGTTGTTTCCCCATTGACCATTTAGGTTTGAGGTATGACAAGCAGCATACCACCATGCCCCAATATACCGTACCGCGCAACTAAAGTCTCTTTCGTCGTTATCTCTATCAAAGGTAGAAAACATATGATTGTTGTGAAATATCAAAGAATCTCCAGCGTCGCCATTGTAACCAGAAATAGAAAGCTTGTAGCCTAAAGACTCGTTGGACAGTTTAAAGCTAGAGTATTTGGCGTAGTAGGTACCGTTGTAGACTAGATCAATCCGAAGTTCGTGGGCAGCTTTAGAAGTCAGACAGAAAATATTTTCATTGCCCAGGTAAAATTCCCCAATGCTGTAATCCCCAAACCCGTGTTTGTACTCCTCCCAGCCGCGGTAGAAATCTACGGTCCCAGACACACGTCTTTGGAAGATGGTCCATCCTCCACCGTCTGTCACTGTGTCACACATGACGACTAGCCCGGATGTAAGGGTCACAACCTTTCTTGGTTCATCGCTGATGACGTCAAGACAAGATTTGTAAACTTTAGGGTCGAGAGGGTCAAAGGTAGAGTTATTTCCAACAGTAACTCCGTTGTCTGTAAGAATTAATAAAAATAAGGATCGTAAAATATAATTAAAAAGGGAAACAATTATGTGGAATGAAACATTTACGTTCTTTTTGGAGCCTTGCTACAATTCTCAATATCCGTTCAGAAAATAGATATAGGGAACAATTAAACAGTTTAAGGAGAAAACATAGTAAAGGATGGATCTGTACTGTAATTTAAGTTATATATTTTTATTGCGAATACCCGTGTCTTTCATAAACCCTTTTGTTAAGGCCTATCGTCTAAACGTCTCATTTTGCAACAATGAGGCTGCTTAGAGGTTTTTAACGACGTGCTAGTTGCGAGAATGCGATAAGAATCTTTATTTAGTTCATGAAACTAAAATATGCTAATCTATTTAAAATGCATATTTGTATTATGTAGTTTATGTTGGTTTTGGTGGGTGGTCATTGAAAATAGTATTTAAATACTCTATATTTAACATATTTCTTTATTTACACATATTTTAATTTGAAATCTCTTACACGTTGTAGTTTACTGTTAACCAAATATAAAAACCTTTAGTATAATAACCTTTAAATGCACCGAAAATATGAAAATAAAACAAACTTGCTTTCTTGAATAAAAAAGCTTTGGTCTTGTATGAAATGTCTAATATATTTTAACGACCAAAAGCTGTTATTAAAGAAGGCACGTTTTTTTTCAGTGCATGTTAAAGCTTATTATAATAAATTTGTTAGCATTTATTTTATGTTCGAGTTTTTAGTCATTTGTTTAATTATGTTGACACTACATAGTCTACGATTTAGATAACTTGCAATAAACCCCGACCAGTGTCTTGTAATGTTGAAAATACAGTGATCTGCCCTTCTTAGATCGTAGTCGACTCTCAAGCAAGAAAGCCAACCATGAGCAAACTTTTAACCTTAACAACAGCTCATAATGCTGATCAGGTGATCGCGTCTAGCTAGTTATTTCTGTTATTTTTTTTTAAACTTTTTAATTAGATTTTAATGACAATTTTAATTGAGTTTTAAAAAATAAATATTCTTGTGTTATCACCAGGGACGAATCTGTCTTTACAGTTTGAATTAAATCACTGCTTTAAAAGTGGGCCAGAATTTAGTAAATGGATTTGCCCCATCCAAAATAAACGAGAAAACAAAAACAGAAAATGTTAACTAAATAAAAGTTTACTAAAAATAAACGCTAGTATATGGCTGGTAAGTAGGTCACCAACCAGTTCTACGGCTTAATAAAACCTGCATGAGCCATAGAACTGGTTGGTGACCTACTTACCAGCCCTATAAGTGACCACCTACCTGGGCAGTTCAAATTATTGAAAGAGTGTGTCATCGGGAGATTTACAACTGCTGAACTGTTGCAAATAAATCCAACTGAGTAGATTTTAGTGTTTTCTACTGTCACTGTGTTGTTGAACGGGATCAGCCATGTACCTTAAAATAGATTAAAGAATAAAACCTCTAATTAATTTAATGCATGAATGACAATCATAAAACAGGTTTTATTTTAGTAAACTAAAATCCCAGCGTTTTTACTTTCTCGTATACGAAGTAAAGAGGAAGTATTGTAACGTGCGAAAAAATGAAATCGAGATTTGTGGAAACACAAGTGTCTGTTCCGGCATTTGTCGCATTCGGGTAACTGTCCATTTTTCGCATTTGGGCAAAAGTCTTTCGGGAAACTTTCGGCTCCATTAGTAGTGTCTTAAATCTATAACAACGGTACATGTCCTTAGAGTGGCTTTCTAGACCAAAAATAATCACGATAAAAAAAAATCTCAATGTATCCAGATTAATAAACATGTATCTGATGATATTGTTATTCAACGGGCTAGAAAATATTAATTCTCATATTTACCATATTGACGTAAGAACTAAAACTACTTACCTAATGTACATATTTCAGTTCTGTCGTTGTACGCAAAACTAAAACAAGTGCCGTTTGTGTCCAAACACTTTAAGCCACAAGTCGTAAGTTTGACATTAGAAAACTTTTGGCCAAGCGGCAACATGAGAACTTGGCTTTGGTTGTACACGTGGTAGAGACTACTTTTGACTTCTATCGAGCTCACAAAATCTAAGAAGAAAAATTATAAAAGTTATTCTCTTTCAAACCTAATCATGATTGCTTACAAACCATTTTGCAAAACTAGAATTTTCTTAATAGATTTTAAGTAATTTATTTTAATGAAAAAACCTAAAGGTTTATAAATATAATTTATAATAATAGATTTATAATAAATGTTCTTTACTTTGTAAACCGAAAAGAAGAACGACAGACAGAAGCATGTCGACCCTCATTTTTTACTAATTCTTTAAAACACTAGGCTTTCAGTACATCATCATAGTAATCCTTCGTAATCAGACTGTTTATAAAACGAAAGCTTTTTAAAATATATAGCTCAATCTATAAACAATGGTGTCGAATAGGTCCTTGAAAACTGTTGATATCTAAACAAAAATCCATCGATTGCCAGACGAACGTTGTGTTTACTGGTAGTATTTACATGTACGGTATGCTCGGAGCATGGAATTATGTATCATTCACCGTGAGTTCAATGGGTTACCTTTCGGTCAGTTCAGACCATTAAAAATTTCTTCCGGTCAAGACAGATCTGATGTTATTTTCTTAAATTATTTTAGCATCAATTTTGTATTAAAAGCAGTTTGCTATATATTATCCATAGCGTATGTAATATGTTTGCGCAGATTTTTTTTTAAATCGGCTTCAAAACACATTCGTTTATTCATAATAAAATATTCAATGGCTTGCTATATCGTTATTATATTAATCCTTCTGTATTAACATTCAATGTTTAAATTTTTTAAAATTATTTTTCAATCACTAAAATAACCAGCTGAATGAAGACATAAATTACTCAGTTCTAGAAAAACTAGTACGTATATATAGGTTGGTAATTTCCAAATGACCATATCAATGTTAATATTATTGTGATTGTTCAATTATTATATATTATTATCTAAGATGTAAATATAAGTGTGCAAAGACAAAACATGTTTTGATATCTACTGATTGTAAATATTTTAAAAGTAAATTAATTTTAATGCAATCAGAGTACACTATCAGAATTTCCAAATAGACAAGTGTATGTAAGTAAAACCTATTTAGCCTCGCACTTTGTGAATACATGATCATCGTTGGATGACTCGTCTAGATAACTTGAGAGCCCCTGAATTTGTGACGTTTGATGAATTAGGGATAAAAAAATGAGTAATGTGTTTGTACATAGTTTGCACACCATAAAAGGAAGATCAACATGCTAAATGTAATTTGAATATTACAAAGGGATAGAATTGAATTATTTGTAAATGTCTTAAGGCCGGTTAGTCTGTTGTAACAATGTGGACAATCGGTTCGCACCTTAACAATCAACTATAACTAGAACGTGAGTTAAATGAAGTTTAAACAAATAAGAAGCGAATTTTCATTTCTTACCAGCTACAATACTCTCTCATTCAATATTCTATATCGCTGTTTAGCATGGTTGCTGCGGTGCTTATGTTTCGACTATTTTTTTTATATTCTTAACCTTTTTGATTAGATGTTTCTGTTCAGGAATATCTATTCGGCATGACTGACAAGAATTAAATTGCATTGACCAAACAAATACAAAGACGTAAAAGTTTTATGAAATAGTAAAATGATTTAATATTATCTGCAAGAAGAAAAAATCAATACATTGTTAATGTGTTAGTGCTTTTGAATGAGAATTTTGAGTTAGCAATAGTCGGACCACACGTCAAGGTATTAGAGTGGATGAATTGGGTGCTATTTGCTAACAATAATAATAATTGCTATGAGCCGAAACGCGGCGTATCATACGCCGCTATTTAGTTGTTTTATTTTCTACTTTTCAGTAATTCATAATTTGTGAATTCGACACTACCAATGCTGTGACTGAATATATTTGCTTTAAAACACTATCAGTTAAGGACGATAAGTTAGCTATTAGTCTGGCGAGCTGTGGTTCACGCCGAATCTTAGAGCCTGGTCGAATTAGTGACGGCTATTAGGGGCAGATAATTTAGTTTTTTAAACGATTTGAAACTGAAAGGGGGGGGGGGGGAAGCAAGTTCTGCTTGATCTTTTCATTGTTGTCTGTAAACTGTCGGCACTGACTGCTGCTTTTACTTTCCCGGGGAAAGGGGGGGGGGGGAGGGGAGGATAATCGAGCTACTGATAGTGTTTTAAAGTAAAATGTTTTCAGTCTTAGCAATGGTAGTGTTGAATTCACAAATTATGAATTACTGAAAAGTAGAAATTAAAACAATTAAATAATGGCGTTAGAAAGTTTTAGTTCAAAACTTCCCACGGTCCTTTCAAGCTAGAGTCATGGCAAAAATTGTACCGAGAGGCCCCGGTATAGACCACGGTCAGTTATCGTCTCCTGCATCATTGTCACTATCAAATGTGGTAAACATTTGGTCGTTGTGCCATGCCAGAGAACCCCCAGCGTCGCCAGTGTAACCAGAAATAAAAAGCTAGTAGCCTACAGTCTCATTCGACAGTTTAAATATGGAGTATTTGGCGTAGTAGGTAGCGTTGTAGACTAGATCAAACCGGAGTTCGTGGACAGCTTTAGAAGTCAGACAGAAAATATTTTCATTCCCCAGGTAAAATTCCCCAATGCCGTTGACCCCAAACCCGTGTTTATACTCCTCCCAGCAGCGATAGAATTCACGTATCTCAAATTACAACATTTTTTACTTTAATTTTTTCATTGATCTTATTTTCATCTCAGCGAGCTCCGTACCATTGTAAAAGCTTGTTCAATTATACCATATCAACTTCTAATCTTTTGTGATAAACGTATCAATCTGTTTATGGATTACAAAAGGAACAAAAACAAGATGACGAAAATTAATGGACGACAACTTAACAATTAAGAAAATAAGAACTAGGATCGAAAGAAATTTTAAGTAAATAGGATCAAATTTTTCAATTTTTTTTTTTTTGCCAGCAACAATACTCTCATTTAAAATTCTATATCATCCATTAATAAAAAGAAAATAAATAGTGTATATTTACTCCGCTTGTTTAGTGTTTATTCTTTGAATCTTTATTTGGTCGCTATACACCAGTGTGCTATCTCCAGCTCATTGTAATGTTTATCAAGTATTTATTTCTATTCAAACTCCAACAAAACACGGAGCGATAAAGCCTTGTGAAACGTGATGAATAACTATCAAGAAGTAATAATCGATAAACACTCCAAATATTTGTGCTTCGTGACGGGGGCGTAGCCACACCTTTCGGGCCGGGGGTGAACTGTTTATTCAAGATTGAAGGTGCTTGTAACCAGTCAATGTGCTTTAACAGTTGTTGTTTTAGTGTCACAAATTTAATTTAGAAAGCAGTCTAAAAAGCTAAGTAGGGGCTTGTGTATAATTAAATAATGCAGTTCAGAATTAGCTTTTAATATTTATATCTACCATGTTTGGCGCCCTCCCCCCCTCCCCCCTAAGATCGCGCCCAAGAAGGCCGCCCAATCTACTCGCCTCTAGCTACGCCGCTGCATTGTGATGCAAAGTGCAACATATTCTATAGAGTAAACTTTTTCTCTACTTTAATAGATTATTAGAAACCTTTAATTTCAGGTACAAGCATATTACTATAAATACCTGTATTCCCGTTTAAACCATTTTCCTAGCTGATCTCTCCCTATTGACAAATCATGTTTGAAAGATATATTAGTAATCAAATAAATGCCATTTTATTTAGCCGAGAATGTAAGAAAAAGTATTTTGCGTTCTGTACTCTTTTGAAAACGACCGATTAATTTCTCCTTCAGAATTTTCTTTACTTTAAAACAAACTAATTCAACAGATACCTAATTGAAATAAATTCTAAATACCTTATAAAACACCGTTCAGTTATTATTTTTTTTAGCAGTAGTATGTTTGATTTGATGACATTAAAAAAATTGCCACTTTAGATTTATTGTGAACCATTTGCCCATTATTTAAGCAATGAATATATATATATATATATATATATATATATATATATATATATATATATATATATATATATATATATATATATATATATATATATATATATATATATATATATATATATATATATATATATATATATATATATATATATATATATATATATATTTCAATGCCTGCCATGATTAGCAATACACTATATAAAAGTTTGTTATATTTTTAGGTGAGTAATTTCGGATAATGATTACCGTAATACTACACTAATAATGGTTTTATATAAACCTATTTGTACCTACGACTAAGCAAAATCACATACTTCAGTTTATTTAATTCATATTCAAAAAGTTGAATCATTCTCCAGTTTCAAAATCCATGTTTTTATGTTATACACAAAATACTTTTTAGCATTATTGACAACCAGAAACAATATAGGCCACTATAATAAATATGTTCTTCTTTATTTGTGTTATCATTACAGAATGGTTTTGAACTAAACATGTTTTAGATGACGACGTTCTCAAGTCGTATTGACTATCCAGCAGCATTTACTGGGCTGGGTGAATTCAAGACCTTCTTTAGAACTGGAGCCTGGTTTACGAACTTTAGAATATCGAGTTAGCAATCTTGCAACCACACGTTCTAGATATATGAAGCAGGAATTATAAGGAATCACTGTGTTCCGTACCAAAAAACCTTTCATGTTTTATCCTTAGACCAGAAGTAAGCTTAGAAAATCATGACAAGTTTATTCCTAAAAGTGATCCGCTAAAAGTGTATAAAGTGAGAAACTAAATATGACTGTAAATGAATATTATTTTTAGTATCCAAGTGAGCTTTTTGGACAATACATTTTTAGGCTAATTTCTATATTGCAATTTAATACAGTTTTGATAATGGAAGCAGCCAGCTATTCCATTTTCAAATGCTTCTCGATTCTTAAGTAAATTTCCAATGTATATTTTTGACAACTTTCTAGCTTTGATTTTAAAACATCATTGTCAATCCATCCGTCTGACCGTCTGGCCGACCTATTGTTCGTATTCCTGCACGCCCGTTCGTTAGCATAAATAAAAACGGAAATGTATAATCATACTACTCATTAGCAAATCTGTCTTGAACAATGTTTTTCTGTTTTGTCTTTACAGCCATCCTAGGACGACATAACAGCTACGGTTTCGTTGGCGTTCTATTCTATTCTTCACTGACATAAACACCAATGATAATAAAACCGAAAAACCGAAAGTAATCTTTCATCCATGTGCCTCTACATGTCACGGAGGACTAGGCATTATAGACATACACATATGTTTAATAAAAAGGTTAACAATATTATTTTTATTGAAATACAGATACAAGTATTTACAATAATTTCACGCAAGCAAACCTAAAATACTAAAATAGTACGTTAAATATAATAATTAAAGTTTTAAAAAACGGTTTAAAAAAAGAAAACTCGTACTGAATTGGAAAAGTAATGCATGTATCGTAATTCACAACATATTTTCTTCAGGAATTAATTGGTCTTATTTTCATCTCGGAGGCTTGCACACCACTATAAAAGCCTGTTACGGTGGACCAAGTCAACCCTTGACCGAAGTTGATGTTTCCCCATTGACCATTCAGGTTTGAGCGATGACACGCAGCATACCACCATGCTCCAAAGTACCTTTCAGAGCAGCTAAAGCTTCTATCGTCGTTATCTCTATCAAATGTAGAAAACATATGATTGTTGTGAAATGACAAAGAATCTCCAGCGTTGCCAGTGTAATTCAAAATAGAAAGCTTGTAGCCTAAAGACTCGTTGGACAGTTTAAAGCTGGAGTATTTGGCATAGAAGTTAGTGTTGTTGACTAGATGAACCCGGAGTTCGTGGGCGGATTTAGAAGTCAGGCAGAAAATGTTTTCATTGCCCAGGTAAAATTCCCCAATGCCGTAATCCCCAAACCCATGTTTGTATTCCTCCCAGCCGCGGTAGAAATCTACGGTCCCAGACACACGTCTTTGGAAGATGGTCCATCCTCCACCGTCTGTCAATGTGTCACACATGACGACTAGCCCGGATGTAAGGGTCACGACCTTTCGTGGTTCATCGCTGATGACGTCAAGACAAGATGTGTAAACCATAGGCTCGAAAGGGTCAAAAGTTGAATTTTTTCCAATAGTTACACTGTTGTCTGTAAGAATTAACAAAATAAGTAAATTATATAATATTTCAATTCATGATCTGTCTTTAGCATCGTTTTTTTTTTCATTTTATTCGATTAATAATATCAAAGGACACTAATGATGTATATAAATTAAAGAGATTTTTAAGAGAAAAACAGGGAAAAATGGGTCAGTATTTTGATTAAAGTTTTATTATATATATTGTCAGGATAAGTCGTTTTAAAATTCATCATGTAAAAAACAAAATCGTTTTGAATGTATCTTATTTAGTTGTTGTTTTTTTTTAACTTATGTTTAAAAAGTGAAATTTTACATATTTTTTTCAGCAAACTTAATCCTAGATAAACTATACTATAACTGACAGCCTACCTGGGCAGTTGGAACCAGGACAGGTGCTTATCATCGTGAGATTATTCACACCTGTTGAACTGTTGCACATAAATCCAATGGAGTAGATCATCATGTTTCCTAACGTCTCTGTGTTGTTGAATGGGATTAGCCAGGTGCCTTTGAACAGATTAAATAATGAAACTTCTATTTATGTGTAACTCACTTGTGACGACAGTACGCACATCAATACTTAATTATTCGTAAAAAAATAAAATGACTGTGTATTTGTAAAAAGTTTTCATGTTGATACTTTAATAAATTATTGCGTGGTTTGTTTGTTTGTTTGTTGTTTTTTTTTTTTAATTATTTTTTTTGTAAAAAAATGTCATTGAGTGGTAAAAATGTCCATTTGAAGTCAAACACAGGTTTTTAAAATACTAATATTGATTACGTTTATACATATCACACCAACATAATTTTTCTTTTTAACTCGAGAAATGCAATTTCTTTCCGCTATGACAGAAACAGTTTACACGTTTTCATTCCATTCGAAAGTAAAACAAATGAATTAAAGAACACTTTAGAACTGAAATACTGGTTTTCAAAAGGAATAACTTAAACAACATCATTACATAATTGTACATTGATTGTCTCTCACTCTCCAATAACTAATAACTAGTCTAATAATACCTCTAACAAATGACGTCGTTTGATAAAATAGAAAACATTGTTTTCACTCTTTGGGCACGTAGCCTACTTAACAAGATAATCATTTGTCTCACATATAAGTTAATGCGACAGTAAATAAAAGATATAGAGTCAATTGGTCTGGAATTTAATCACTACAAAGAGTTAATGTATGCACAAGATATCCTGACTTTAGGGCTGGTGGGGGAATCCTGTGATGACTGAAAATTATACAGTCTCGCTGTATTTAAATTCGAACGAGTGGTGACTTCCGTTATCTGAAGTCATCTATATAAGTTGAAACAGAGTCGGTTTTGGACCTGTATGTATGTACCCATGTCTTTTAATAGAACAGCTTGATCCAAAATTAATTTCCAAAATTAATTATTATAGAATTATTTAAATGTACAAACAAGTCTGTGAAGATTACATGATCCCAATGATTAGAAAAAAGACTGTTTCAATAACAAACTATATTAAAATTTGAGAACTAAAACAGCTTACCCAATGAACAGATTTCAGTCCTGTCGTTGTAAGCGAAACTAAAACATGTGTCGTTTATGACCAAACACTTGAGGGCGCACGTCGCAAGTTTCACGCCGGAAAACTGTTGGCCCATTGGCAACATTAGAGCTTGACTTTGGTTATAGACATTGTAGAGAATACTTCTGACTTCCAGCGAACTCACTAAGACTGCGACAACAAAATACATTACAGTTTAAGTCATTTAAAAATGTTATTATACATTTTAAACATTGATAATAAAAGACTAAAGTATTTATTTACATGTTGGAAACGAAATAATTATAAATACGATAAAAGATTTATACAACATACCTTATAAAGTGAAAAAAAGAAACGAAAGAATTATGAATTAATTAATAGATTTAAATGACATTCTATTTACCTTGTAAACTGAAAAGAAGAGTGACAGATGTATGTATGAAAGCATTCATTTTGACCAACGTTTCAAGACACTAGGTTTTCAATACATCATCACAGTAACCCTTCGTAATCCTACTGTTAATACAAAAGACGCCTCTTCTAATATGTAGCTCAGTCTATAAACAATGATGGCAAATATTAGACAATATTGCATTATTGTAAATCATTCGGTCCTTGAAAAACCTTTTTGTTTTGAAACAAAAGCAAATCAATAGCCAGAAAAACATTTCGTTTACACTGGGAATATTTACACAGTGTGTGCTCGAAGCATTGAACTATATATCAGACACTATGTACTCAGTGGGCTCTTTATCGCTCAATTTCAGAGCTTTAAAACCCTATTTTTCCCATCGAGTTATATATGATGTTTTTATTTTTTATTTTCAAATTACTTATCAGCATAATTTAATTTTTTAAAAAAACATCAGTATATTAATAATTTTATGGGTATGAAACATATACGTGCTGAAACGTTTTTTTCTAAAATTTAATAAGAGTTCAGAGTTTCCTTAATACATTTTTATCGTTCTAGTAAACTTACAAAAATGTCTCTCTATATACTTACATTAAGTTTATCGTACTGTATAAATATAATAGCGTTCAAAAAGACAACAGCTGTGTTATTGTTAATAAAAAAACAATCTGTTTGTTAACATATATGTTTTACCAACCTATGAATATAATTGTGCAAAGACAAAACTTGTTTTGTTATCTACTGACTTTATATCAATTCAAAAATTGTTTATTTAAAGCAATCGGCGTACAGTGTCAGAATTTCCAGACAAGTGTATGTACTTAAAAACAGAGCCTTCCTTTTCACATTTTTAATACATGAGCAATGTGGCATGTAAAGATTTAAAAAAAAACTTATCTTACTGATCGATTGTAAATGACGTCACTTTTCGAAGGAGATTGAGATCTCTTAAGTTAGTGACGTTTTAAGGATTATACATAACGAACGTGTAATGTGTTTTTTGCACACCGTCAAATTAAGATGAACATGTTAAATCTAATTAGCATATTACTAAGAGATAGAGTTGAAAGAAATGTGTAAACGCCTCAATATCGGCTAGTCTATTATGACGATGTGGACTATTGGTTCGTGAATGATAAAATCAATAAAAAACAATTGACTATATTGATTGACCGCGCCCTAACAATTAAAAAGGAAAAAAACGGGTTAAACGAAGTTTAATCAAATAAGATCGAATTTTCTTTTCTTGCCAGCTACAATCCTTTCTCATTCAATATTCTATTTAGTCGAATAATAAAAGTACGCTTGTCATGTTGCTTATGTAACGATATTTTTCTTTCTTTTAAACCTTTTCGATCACTATAATCTATCCTGTTTACCAATGTCATATTGTAATGATTGTGTATAATCAATTCATTTTTATTCTGATTCCAAACAAATGCAAATGCGTAAAAGCCTTTTAATAAATAAAAGGATGCAAAATTATCTGCAAGAAGAAATAATCGATAAATTGTTCAAGTATTATTCCTTTTGTATGAGAATTTCGAGTTAGCAGTTGTTCGTCCACATAGTGAAGATTGTGAAGTAGAGGACTTATACAGAATCATTATATACCCTTTGAAAAGAAGAGCATACAAAACGTACAAGATATGTACGCTACACTAAAATAAAATTGTCATAATCTAACATGTTCAGTCATTGAAACTGTTTATTTTGATACGTTGGTCAGATTTTATTTGCTATATGTTATCCTGATGAGACATCAGTTTATAGTCACGTCATTATTTATCACCATTTAGTGTTAGCCCCACATTCTTCTGTTTCTCTTGTTTCTCGTTTTATCTGTAGAGATAGGTTGTTCAGTTTACTTTTTTCAGCTGGATTACGACGACCTTAATTTTTTTTCATCACTGCTATACAACTTTAACATATTAGTAATGAATTGAAAAACTAAATACGGGTGTGTATAAATATTATCTTTTATTATCCACATCAGCATCTCGTACAATATATTCATTGTATAAACCAAATCTTTACTTTACAGTTAATAACATTTTCAAACCATCTTAAAATAAATGCACATATTAAAATCAACGAATCACTGAATCGATTCTTACGCATTTTTTTTTGTATATTTTACACATTTTTATTTTGAAATAATAACTGCGGTAGAAAGACCACCTGAATCAATGCAGTGTTGAGAATTACTTTAACGAAGATCTACACAACATGATTTATAATTAAATAACATATTTATGTGAAGGAAAAGTAATACATAACTGAATACAGAGATAGAGAGTAAAACCTACCAACACCTGATTCTCTTCCTTTAAATGCCGTTAATTCCAAAACAAAAATTAAAACAAAAATGTGTCAAACACTTTAAAAATCAACCTACTCAAAACTGTCTAGATGCTCACTTAATAGCACCATTAATGCAAATGCAACCTAATAAAAAGCACAGGAAATTACTTTAGAAGTCAATAAAATTTACCTTATAGAATTGAGTTCAATGTTCTATTATTCTCGTGAGAAAATCTGCAGTCTGGCGTCATTGTTTCATTAAATAGCCTTGTGTTAATGTTTTCAATTAAAACATCGATACAGGTTATTTCCGAAGTATGTAGTCAACAAAAACACGGCTCATTTGTTCCAATAAATTAAATGTTTAGAGTTGTATGTTACGTTTTTATTTCAAGTGTGATTTTTGCTTTCGTGATGGTCCATTTGATTATGTGTAAATCATTTAGTGCTATGGTGTCATTCAGCCAGTACATTAATACTGCAACATCGTTAGCCAGAGTATTTTTCACATCTATTTTTTTTTTATTTACACTGGCTTGTTTAGATAAACACAAAAGCAAACACAAACGCAAACACAAATTTACATTTAAATATTTTGCATCAATAATATATCGCTATTTTTTATAAGATATCAATCTTATTTCAATTTGTTTATATCACCCTTGGTGAAATTCATTAATGGCTTTAATTTTAAGACAATAAGGAAGGACAAAATAAGTGATATGTATGTGTGTTTTTGTAGGGCTAGAGGAAAAAAGGAAACAAATTATTATTAGCATCAACAAGAATGATTTAATAATTAATACACGTATTATTGCATTTTTTGTGCAAAATTAAAAATCTTAGCAAACAACTGAGTAAATAATATTATGTACATTAAAATTAATGCATTCATGTATAATTGAAATGCATTTATTGATTTATTTATTTTTAATTGAACAATATTTAATTTCAATATAGAACAAAAATTAAATTTTTATATTTTGCAGTAACAAATAAACATATATACTAAGATATGTTCTGCATTAATGATGAAATAAATATGTTTGCCGAAATTTGTGTTCCGAAATACGCATCATGACAAGTAAATGAGTTGCAACACACAAACATTAACTTACACCAAAAAAACTAGCAGAACATAGAGATTTACAAAGATAAAAATAATTTTAAAAAATTGAAAAGACTGTTTTACTTCACAATACTTAAAGATTAATAAATTAATAAATTATCTCTCTAATTTTCATTTCAGAAACTTGCACATTACTTTGAAAGCCTGTCAATGCGAGCCAATTTAAGCCTTTACCGAATTGTGTATTTTCCCATTGCCCATTCAGGTTTGAATAATGGCAATCATGTTACCACCAGGCGCCGATGTACAAAATGGCACAGTTCCCAGAGTGCACATCGTTATCTCTGTCAAATGTGGTAAACATATGATTGTTGTGCCATGCCAGAGAATCCCCAGCGTTCCCAGTGTAACCAGAAATAGAAAGCTTGTAACCCAGAGACTCGTCGGACAGTTTAAAGCTGGAGTATTTGGCGTAGTAGGTCCCGTTGTAGACTAGATCAACCCGAAGCTCGTGGGCAGCTTTAGAAGTCAGACAGAAAATATTTTCATTGCCCAGGTAAAAATCCCCAATGCCGTAATCCCCAAACCCGTGTTTGTACTCCTCCCAGCCGCGGTAGAAATCTACGGTCCCAGACACACGTCTTTGGAAGATGGTCCATCCTCCACCTTCTGTCACTGTGTCACACATGACGACTAGCCCGGATGTAAGGGTCACGACCTTCCTTGGTTCATCGGGAATGACGTCACGACATGATTTATAGACATTCGGGTTGAAAGGGTGAAAGGTCGGGTTGTTTCCTAATGCCACGTAATTTGCTGTTCAACATAAATTACAATGGTTTTTATTCCTTATAAATTATAATAATGTCTTTTAATTCTTTTAAACAAAATTATTTTTCATACATTTAAATGTTTTATGTATTTTAGATAATATTTCAAGTTATTCACTCTTCTGCATGTTTTATCCAAAAACATTTCGAAATGTTTGTATAGGCATTAGTATAGGACGTATTTTGTGTTACTTTAAGTTTGCTTAGTCTAACTTTACCTGGACAACTGTCGTTGGAGCACGAATTAGGAACACCTGTTGACTGATTGTTACTTGTTGAACTGTTGCACTTTACTCCAATTGCATAAACCCGGATATTCTTTAATGTTTGTATGTTTTTATATGGTATAAGCCCAGAGCCTGTGCGGCAATAAAAAAAGAATACATATATATAGTTTAACACTACGTGTGCCTAGAGAGAGAGAGAGAGAGAGAGAGAGAGAGAGAGAGCGAGATAAAGGGAGAGAAAGTAAGATAACATCCGACCGATTTAATAAAATGAAAAACTTCTCGCTATTTTCTGGTGATACTTTTCTTTTAGAAATTGTCAATTAATGCCGTCAAACATATTTTTTTTTACAAATCTTTTACCCAGCACATATTCAACATTGATCCAGTCCCTCGTTCCACAAAAATTTCTTTCTTTTAAAATGTATTATTAAATACTGATCGAGACTTCTTTGTTTGTTTTTTTATTTTTTATTTTTTTAGAAAATGAACCACAACCAAAAAACTGAAAATGAAAAACACTGTTAAAGCTTTGCTAACTAAACGCCAAACGTATTATGCAAAAATAAAAAAAATAGCATTGCTATTTTGTTTTTATTACTGAGAACTATGCCGAAGTCCGCTTGGGATTAGCAACACTGTTACATTTTATTCAAAATATTAAAACAAAGCCTCTTCTAATAAAAAACGAAACATATAACTCATAATCTCCAATGAAATGTATAGTAAATAAAAATTGTGACACAACATATTTAACTCCTCCACCTCTTCGTCACACAACTTCACAAAAGTCCAAACAAATTTAACTTACCCTCTTGTTATACTTTTTCTGTTTTACATCAAAATATATGAGGCATTGATTGATTAAATTAATTGTCTTACCTAATGAACATATTTTCGTCACATTGTTATAGGCAAAACTAAAACAAGTTTCGTTTGCAGCCATACACTGACCCCCACATGTGACCAGGTTTCTGGTTGTGAACTGTTTACCAAGAGGCAACATGAGAACTTCACTTTTGTTGTAAACATGGTACACACTGGTCGTGATGTCCATCGACAACACTAAAGCAACTAAAATGAAATGCAGCAAAACATTGTATAAATCATTTTTATAATAAGTATTCATGTCTAAATTACTTGTAAGAAGAGTCTCTTAATGTGACACGTACCTTGAAAACTAATCACAAGATATGCTGAGTAAGCTACAGGTGTGAATAGAGCCATTTGACGTATAATTTAAAGTTGATACCAATCGTTTTGATCCGTATTGATAGAACTATATATTAAAAAGCTTGAATGTTTCCCTTAAAACCTCAGTCTTGGTTTATGTGTATCCATTCTTTTTATATCCATTACTGCTTTAACCAATTTTAAAGTTATAGATTAATCAATGTATCGATTGATGTATTTACATTATTTTATTATTTTTTAATGCAATGATCATGAGAATCGATATCTTTTGAAGTATTGTATCCAAGACCCACTACCTGTCTACAAATTACTATTTTACATTATTTTTCTGCCTGACTGTTTACCTTGAAATGAAGTCGGTGAAGTATCATTGCGACTATAATAAAAATAATGTTCTCAGCAATATGCAAGAGGAGTGATAAAATGTTTTACTCATTTTAGTTTTTAGACTTATTCAGTATGTATTTATGTTAATCAACACAGTTTCAAACTAAGCTTGAAATTGGAATAACTAACGGTCTTTACTACGCTTGAAATTGGAATTACTAACGATCTTTAGTACCAAGTACTAATAAAATTCAATCCGAACTTTACTATGTTTGTTCACATACCATAACAATTCAAATTATGAGCGTTTAAAAATATTTCCTACTATACGTTTATGTATCTCGGATGAAGAACTGAATCGCTTGCTGCTTCATGCATATTTTCTTCGGCTATCAAACGGTGCCCGTACATATAGTCATTATAAACTTTAAAACTCACTTCTAGAATAATTAGATACCAATGATGATTATTTACTGACCAACTAGTGGTATTCAGATAACGGCATACTTAATTGATAGACGCGTTACGATCTCGATGAAGAATAAGCTCACATGTATTGACCATACTATGATAAAGATTCCTCTTTAGACCTAGCGATGCATTGGCAGATAAAATAGAGTTCATGTATTTCTGGACCTCACAATATGATGTAGGTGAGTGGAATTTGGGCCGTCCTACAGTCACAAATCCGAAACAAGATCCGAACTTGAGATCTTAGAGCTAGCAGCCAAATTCTCTTCCATTCAACCACGCCGTCTCTTGGCTCAACTATGCTCATATATGCTGGCTATACTAAGTAATCGTTCGTTTGTTAAATTACTTTACTAAAACAATTACTTTTTTGGGTTCATTGGCCATTTTGATCTCACACATTTTCGAAACATGCATTCATGATGCTTCATTTACTTTCGTGGGAATCATTTACTTAATCATTCTTTTTAATTTATGCCTCTTGATAGCCTAGTGTATACCTCTTTGCATTTGATCCCATTCGATCCATGCTTTTGTTTTAAAAAATACAGATTGTAGCGAAATATTAAGCAATTATATAACATTTAACGTAAATTTAAATGCAACATCAAATATGCTCTAAACAAATAAACCTTTTCAGCATTAAAAGAATACTGCTGCTGGAGAAATCGATTTCCACGGTTAACTATTTATTTGCAATTGACTTTTGTTGTAAGCAAGTCGTAAAACTCTTCATGATAAATGGGTCTGTTGATTGCTCACAATAATTAAACAATAAAATCAATTAATCAGCGCTTTTTAAAGTTAACGTACTCAAACATTTTAATTTCCGAAAGTGCTTCATTTTCAAAACATTAAATTGAGCATGCTGTTTAGAATTTTAATAGAAAAATTACCATACGATATCTACAAAAACTATATTTTTTCTCTTTATAAATATAAAATTATACAACAATGTTTTTATATTTGCAATGGTATTTTAATTAATTATAATAGTTTTAACAGGCTTTGATGATTGCGTCCTATCAACTCCTCTCATAAGCAACATTAAATGTCATGATCCTGATCCCTTTTTCCAATACGAAAGTGTTGAAATATGTTCATCACTCTTTAGCATATGCCTTTTAATTTGATTTCTGATTCAAGCTAATCTGAATACGTTTTCGGGAAAATTTATCAAATGGACATAGCTGAAAATTGTCTTAATTATTCTACATTCCGCCCTTCTACTCCCTTCGATATGGTCGTCCACAATATTTTAATAGACCTCTCAAAACAAAATACCAGTATATTTATCAAGAACATTTAATGTTCATGTGTACCTTGCTTATCGTTAGCTACACTCCTAGGTAACTTTGGTTATTTAATTAAAATTAAGCTAAAAAGTGTTTCAAAGTATCAAGTGAAAGCCAATTAAATCGCCATTTTTTTCGGAATTTTTTTACTGTTGTCATCCATACATCTCGAACATACGTGTTTTCTATTTTATTACACCACTGTATGTTCACTGTATGTTCAATACATTTCTCTCTGCTTATGACATTTCGTTGTGTTTTTCTTTCTTTATGGTTCTTCATCATTTGAATCCGTATAATAGAACTGCGTTAGAGTTGTTTTTTTTTTTAATTTTTAAATATTATTTGTCTGAGTAAATCAGAAAGAAATGACACTTTAGAGTCTGTTTCAACATTCGTGTTCCTTGTTCATGTTCAAAAAAATGTTAATGTAGTCAATGCTAATCAGCAAGAAAGACTACATAAAAACCGAAGATCATAATTTATTATCCAAAATGTGCATTACAAAAAATTCAAAAATATTCCGGAAATGCAAATTGATAAGCAACAATAAAACATTACTTCAGCAGTGAATCGCAGACTGCAACAAGCAAGTGAAACAAAACATTACACGTGTCAGCTAACTTGTATGTGTTTATACATATACAGAGAGAGAGAGAGAGAGAGAGAGAGAGAAAGAAAACATTTCTTGTGTACCTATTATAAAAATGAATTAATTAAACTGTGGAACAATATTTCGATTCAATCCTAAAAAGTTAAGAACTTTGTCTGATTTTCATTTCAGAGACCAACACATTATGATTAGTTCCTGTTAGTGAATACCAGTTCAATCCTTGACCATAGTTGGTGTTTCCCCATTGGCCATTTAGGTTCGAATCATGACAATCATAGTACCACCATGCCCCGATGTACAAAACAGCACAGTTAGTATGATAATCATCGTTATCTCTGTCAAACGTTGTGAATAAATTATTGTTCTCTCCTGCCAAAGAATCTCCAGCGTTGCCAGTGTAAACAGAAATAGAAAGCTTGTAGCCTAAAGACTCATTGGACAATTTAAAGCTGGAGTATTTGGCGAAGAAGTTTCCGTTGTAGATTAGATCAACACGAAATTCGTGGGCAACTTTAGATGAAATACGAAATATATTTTCATTGCCGAGGTAAAATTCCCCAATGCCGTAATCCCCAAACCCGTGTTTGTACTCCTCCCAGCCGCGGTAGAAATCTACGGTCCCAGACACACGTCTTTGGAAGATGGTCCATCCTCCACCGTCTGTCACTGTGTCACACATGACGACTAGCCCGGATGTAAGGGTCACGACCTTTCTAGATTCATCGCTGAAGACATCGCGACATGATTTGTAGACATTTGAGTTCAACGGGTCAAAGGTTGGGTTACTACCAACTTTAACGTAGTTAACTGGTAGAAGTAAAATAAATCGATTATTCATTACGAATGTGAGTATGTTAAACATAATTTATTTTTAGCGAATTTGCTTAATAGTCAGTTAACAAACCGCTTATTGTTGTTTGTATGGCTAAAAAAAATTCTGTTACGAATTTATTTTTCTCCTTAAACCTTTTACCCTGAGATGTGGGTTGTTGTTTTTTTTTTTTACAACAAACCAAATCTATCAACATCTTTCCCCGTGCGTGCCCATGACACATGGGGCATTTGAAGTAATGTTTATCCATTTCAACGATTTAGGCTTACATGTAAATAATGTCGTCAGCACTACGTCCAGTCGAATTTGTTTCCCTAACGTTAGTCGGGTACCCATCAGAGCGGGAGAAATCAGAAATGTCATACAGTCTCGAGCCAGGGATCTGAAACGAACTTTTTTTTAACAGTCGCGTATACATTCCGACTATACCGTTGACTTATAATTGAGATATTTATTGTTATTAACTTTAAATTTTTACTATATTTTTTATTTCTTTTAAATCTTAAAACAAAAAAAAAACTAGAAATGCACCCGGACACTTGGGGTCGTTGAAAGTGTTTGACATTTGTTGATTAACACCTAATGAGCCGTTGCAGGTTAATCCAATGGAATAGATCTTTGTGTTGTTGGACGTCACTGTGTTGCTGTATGGTATAAGCCCAGAGCCTGTGGTAAAAAGAAGAGAGCAGTTTGTGTAAACTATCGTCTATTTTTACCCTATGGCATGGAATATATGAAGACCACAAGGAATAAACCACAGCTGTCATAGTTTTCTACTTTTGGAAAAGGGAGATTTTTGTGTTTGAGAGCCCTTGCTGTTCCGTTGTGGCATGATTATAAAAGCTTAACTATTGGGGGGGATTGAGGTGGTTTACACAAGTACAGCGTTTATATTTTCATAAATTGGACATCTGTGGTGTATCCCCTGTGGTCTTTATTTGGTCCCAAAAAACAATGAGCATTGTAAAGTATTACAAACAACTAGACTGTTAATATGCAGAATGAGTAAACTATTACGAAGGCGTTACTAACTACACAGTGTAAAAATATCCTCATTTGCTCTACCAAATCTCGGGTTATTTGTTTTTTAGGATTTATGATGTTCTTCAGACTTTGCATAACGTACCCAATAAGCACGTTCTGGTAACCTTGTTGTAGGCGAAACTATTACAAGTTGTGTTTGTGGCTAAACACTGACTGGCACAATATGCCAGGTTTCTGTTTGTGAACTGTTTACCAAGAGGCAACATGAGGACTTCACTTTGGTTGTAGACATGGTACACGCTGGTCATGATGTCCAGAGAATACACTGCAGCTACTATATAAATAATGGTATACAGATTTTACAATATGATTTAAGGGCATTTTATAAAAGAAAACTGTTTATTTTGTATATAACTTGTAAAATGAGAACATTTAAATTAATCTTACCTTTAAGAATCATCAGAACCGAGATTGTTGCGTAATTTTCCATTGTAAATAACGCCATTTTACCACCAAGTCCAAAATATTACACAATGCTTCGGTCAGTTACTTACAACAGCTTCAACTTTTCATTAAAAAATGAACAAGATTTTAGTTATTTATTTCCTTTACTTACTTATATCTTAACTAGCTCTTTGATCAATAACAATAGATTGAAACATGTGTTTTCAACAATACATTCAATTAAATGTGGGATAACATTTGTATGGGTCTCCTTAAGTATTATATCATCTAGGATTAACATACTTAGATACATTTTGATATTATTAAAACTGTCTCTATACTAATAATTGAATTCATTTCGTAAAGTAAAATGCAGATTACTTTTTACTATGTCTTTTTTTAGAATAACCCGTTATCACGCTTTAGTTATATTCAGAATTTTTTACTTCTTTGGTAGGTTAATGTGTTAAAAAAATATATTCAATATTTATTGATTAAAAAAATATATTCAATATTTACTGATTAAATCGAAAATGATGTAGTGGGACTTTTTAAATATCTAATTATTTTTATACTAATAAATTAAATTAATTTTTGATAATTTCCAATTTATGGGGGGGGGGGCTCATTTTATAAAACAAACCGAAATGTAAATTTGCTATTCAAGTTTGACAAGAGCAATGCTTTATTTTACTCTTACTTTTCAATGATAAAAATACAAATATCTTTTATACTTTCGCAACGAAAACGCGAAATGACAACAGTTATGCAAAGTCTTTTAATAATTAATTTAGTATAATTTATAAAAGAATAAGCAGTATATCTACCTCTCCCTGATTCACTTTCTACACATCAGACGCTGCATTAGTTTTAATGTTTGTGACAGTATTTCAGTACATCAGTGTAAAAACGAACCCATGCGATAGTTCGAAAGCACCCAGGATCAAAAGCTTGTAGTTGTGTAAATACTACCTCATCTTGATGTAACTTTGTGAACCTTATTAAAAAGCCATTATATGAACTGACATTTTCATGTGACTGAAATGTCCGGAACATTAACTTTTGCCCCACGTTTTGTTTCTGCGACATATGCTTTGTTTCCTAGTTTTAAAAAGTCATCAATAAAATTAATTGATAGAATAAACTGAATGAAATGGAACATAAGAATTATATTGCTGACTCATTAAGGCGGTCTTGACATTGACAGCTAATTGTGGAAATGTGTAATAGAACAATAACTGCTTAAATGGTCGATTAAAGATTATCGGTGTATTTTTTGTTTGTGTTGAAAATGTAATTGTGTAGTATTGATGATTTTTTTCAATCAAACTTATTCAATTTTTTTTTATTTGTAGGCTGAGATTTTATGCAACAATTTGACTAAATTAATAGTAAAATAATCGATACAGATTGAAAGCAAATATGATTTTTAAATATTTTTTTTACTCTGTTTGTCTGTATAATTATATATCAGATGCTTTTACTTGTTAGTAAAGTTATATGACAAGTTAAATTATTTAAAAAGCTGGTGTATTAATGCGTTGAATTTTGGTCGGCTGTGAAGCATTTGCAGAATTAGGTGATTAAACAAGCAAACTTGGAACTTCACTCAAACAAATACATTTAATTAAAGAAAGTACTGATATGTGTTCTGTACTTATTGTTATATATTTAATATCGTCAAAGCTATATCTAGGATCAGATTACGTACTGTCTTTATGTTCACTTCGCATAAACTGATCATTTTTTCTGCCTTTTTCTGCAACGCCCAATTTAATTTTTATTAGTTCATTTATTTCCACTTCATTACACTAGCATGACTAGAAGACCATAAAACTTAGTATCGATCATTTCTCCAACTTCCGTAGCAGGCAACAGAACAATTCACAACCGCCGTCATTTTACCTACTTTACCCCTACACTGTACATATTAAGATCAATGTAGGCAGATGCTGTATGGCATTCAATTTCTATACGTCATATTTAACAATACAGTAGTAGTGAACTCGTTACTTCCAAATTAGTGTGTGGACCATCTGTTGATACACCATGTCGTTCTTCTGTAATAAAAATGTGTTTGGTTTTTTTTTTTTTTTTTTGCTATATGTTTAATTTGGTGCCGAAATTTAATATTTAACTCAATCCTGCCACATTTAATCTCTTTTACCTCATCTATAAATATTTATCAATTTTCCAATCACGTGCTTGCATTAATTAAAGTTTACAGCTCGGCCTTTAATTAAAAGTTTTAGCTGAATACATAATGTACTAATTTATTAAAGAAACTGAAATATTGTAGTTGAAATGTATCCATGATATTGTTAATAATTTTATAAGCTAATATATCTACAAATTCTCCACTAACGAAAAATCTCCACCCTATTTAGCATAATACGCTGTGAATACGCAGTAAATAAGGCGCAATCTTTTTTGGTGTCGTGCAATTTTTTAATTGCTAGCAATGCGGTTGAATTTGCTTTGTCAAAGAAGCTGTTCATCGATCTTGTTTCTAATGGCAGGTGTTTTAAAATTAACAATAGTTAAAGTAGGCGTCAACGTTGATTGGTTTGTTAGACCTGTTTATTACTGCATAACATAAAAATCAATTAAATAAATGAACACGACAATGTATAAAAAACATTTGTCACTAAAAAGATTGCATTAAATAGAATTTAAAAATTACTTTTTTTTACTTAGCATATAAATATAAATCAGGTGAGATAAGATTTTAATACATATACGTAAGCCTTTATATACAAGTAAAATACATATATTAAATTATTTCCCTTTACATATAACTGTCTAATTAAAAAATCATGATGAATATTAAATAATAAAAGCCTAAAGATCTGATATTTCAGTTTTATATATATATATATATATATATATATATATATATATATATATATATATATATATATATATATATATATATATATATATATATATATATATAAAATTATATAAGTGCAATTCGTTTTGTAAAGTTTGTTTATGGACCGTTTTGTGTGGTTAGGTCATCAGGATAAATTAACAGTATATTAACAGTTATCAAATATCTAAGTGTGAAATAACTAAGGTATTTTACAATGAAAATAAAACAATGTGTTTATGCATTTTACGCAGAAATGGATTTAAATACATGTTACGAAAATTAAGACAAATATGGCCGGTTTTTCTGACAGTTTGCAATCAACTACGTTCTGCTAATTGATGAAGTATTCATACTTAATATTTATATTTTGACAACATTCAACTGGTTGCTTGATTTACATTTTGATATTTTATAATCGATTATGATCACCTACAACTCTAATTACAGCTGTTCCTTAGTTTCGTACAATATTTTCTAATGATAAATGTCAACAAAATTAAATTATTAATATTTGTCAATGAGTAGAGATGTGTTTCAGTAGCTACAATTTCGCGATATTTTGTAACAACATAAAATACTTATGTATTATTATATTTTCAAACAAACACACACAAATAAGCATCAAAATGCATTACAAAAGTATACGATTTATGAACTTTGAATATCGTTATTGTACTATTTAACAAACATACAATTATAATCATTTTAAAATGGAATAATATCTATAAATGTTTTACGTTACATGATTGATCTAATTTTCATTTCAGACAAAATCACACTATTAGTGTGACTCGTAAGAGTATACCAGTTTAATCCTCTCCCAAAAAGGATATCTCCCCAGACACCATTGAGGTTTGACCAATGACAAGCATTGTACCACCAAGCCCCGCGATACAACAGGGCACAGTTTCCTGTGTAATCATCATTGTCTCTATCGAAAGTCGTAAAGCTATGGTTGCTATGACCTAACAGAGAATCCCCAGCGGTGCCATTGTAACCTGAAATTAAAAGCTTAAAACCTTCACACTCGCTTAGCAGTTTAAAACTGGAGTATTTGGCGTAGTAGGTCCCGTTGTAGACTAGATCAACCCGAAGTTCGTGGGCAGCTTTAGAAGTCAGACAGAAAATATTTTCATTGCCCAGGTAAAATTCCCCAATGCCGTAATCCCCAAACCCGTGTTTGTACTCCTCCCAGCCGCGGTAGAAATCTACGGTCCCAGACACACGTCTTTGGAAGATGGTCCATCCTCCACCGTCTGTCACTGTGTCACACATGACGACTAGCCCGGATGTAAGGGTCACGACCTTTCTCGGTTCATTGCTGATGACGTCACGACATGATTGGTAGATATTTTGGTCGAAAGAATAAATGGGTGTGTTTAGTCCAGCACTCAAGTACTTTACTTGTAGAAAAAAATCAAAGTAAAATGTATTCTTAAAATGTTAATTAGTAATTTGTATTTTTATCTGGCTAAACATAGCGATATAAAAAAATTCAAAATCAATGCTTTTTGTTCTCTTAAATTAGCTAACGTTTTTTTTTCGGCAACAGTCTGCTAGATAAAAGCACTCGAATTGAGAAACGAAGAAATGGAAATCGTGTTAACAAATAGTATGAGTTCTAAATAGCTTTTTGTTATGCTATAAATAAATAAATAAATAAATAAATAAATAAATATGTATATATATATATATATATATATATATATATATATATATATATATATATATATATATATATATATATATATATATCTTTGTCCGCAACTACATCACAACAAAAGTCTAAGCGCTGTTTGACGTTTGTTTCGGTCTTGAGCTTGGTACCGAATTGGTTACAATGCCGAACACAAGATCAAATCGAAGGCAATTAAATGTATATCTTGTAACCAAAGGTAACTAACATCTTTAGCTCGGTTACCAATGACACGATAATCAGTTGTAACTTGTTGTCAGAATCGTGGTAATTGAGCCGTTATGTTTACAAATATGGTTTTTTTTTTAAACATTGCTTTATCGTTATCAAATAGCAAGTGTGATTTTATTTTGTGTTATTTTATAAGATCAACAGAATAGAAAAGTTTATTATAATCTAAAGTGTATTTTAAGCTAATAGCGAGGTCGAACTGTAGAGTTGGGCTGCTAGCCCGTAGATCTCGAGTCAGGATCTCGGTTCGGACTTGTGAGTGTAGGACGTCCCTAAGTCCACCCAGCTCTAATGGATACCTAACTTACGTTTGGAAAAGTAAAGGCGGCTGGGCGTAATATTGAACACAACATCCCTTCCTACACAGAGGTCGAAAAACATATGAACGCTTCTTCTTCTGCCCAGTAAATTTTAAAAGGCTGGATTGTAATAAAGGCCCGAGATATATTTTTGAGTAACATGTACCTGATGAACTGTCGCACATCAACCTTACAGAGTAAATCTTTGTGTTTTCTACCGTCACTGTGTTATTGTATGCGATAAGTCCACAACCTATGAGAATATAATGATACGTTATTACAATTAAAACACAACAGCATCTGCTTTCATGAGAAGGTTCTCATATTTGCGCTGAAAATAGAAGTAGAAAGAGGTTAAGCAGAGGAATTGTTTTGCCTATTAGGAGAAAGATTTAAGGTTACTTGCTGTTTATATTAGGATGAGTGTATAACGAACTATAAAATAGTGTTAGACTAGACTTTATACATAAAACATAATAGTATAATATATAATTAGCAATATAAAATATACAAGTAATTTAAAAGAAAAAAATAAATATAAAGGTACTTTAACTAGGATGTTCTAATTATATTTTTATGCATTTTACTTATCATGTTTTTATTACTTACCCAATGAGCAGGTTCTGGTAACCTTGTTGTAGGCGAAACTAAAACATGTTGTGTTTGTGGCCAAACATTGACCACCACAAGAAACCAGGTCGACGTTTGTGAACTGTTTACCAAGAGGCAACATGAGAACTTCACTTTGGTTGTAGACATGGTAGGTACGGGTTGAGATATCCAAAGACCACACAATAACTACAAGAGTGGAAATTTACAAATAATGTGTAGCTTTTCGCTGCACGTTTTGTTGTTATATCGAATGTAAAATCATAAATATAATATGGCATTTACCTTGACAACTCAGCAAATGACATAGTGATATTAAATGCCACATTGTAGATCAAGCTGTAGGATTTCAATAGAGTTCAAGAGTCTAAACTTCAAGTAGACATAAGACAATTCTGTTTTATTTTGAAAATAAAAACCCTCATAATTTAGTTTATAATTTAGTTTTCAAATCGACATATCGTACTAGATAATAACGAAACAATATATTGATTGATTTGCTGTGCTCTTCATTTTAAGCATTAATTGAAATTGCATTTTATGCTGAACATTTACTCATAATATATTGGCACTTGTTACTGATATTTCATTACCGATAGTTATCAAAACATTAGTGCTAGTGTGATACATTTTGTTTGTCTACATTAAGTATTGATATACATGTTCAACAAACATCACTTATATATTATTAAATAATATTTTCCATAACCTTTCGTTAAACATTTTCCGGTGTCGTTTAATTAAAGTTCTTTAATACACTAAATATTATTAACGTATAGTAAACATACAAAAATTAGAACATAGACTTATACAGAAACAATAAAGTCTTCCTATTTCTGATCTACTCCCACGACAGACAATGCTCTTAAGCTTTCATTTTAATTTAACAGAGCCAAATCAATCCATTGCTAGTTTTCTTACCCTAAGGTACCGCACCGGGTGACAACCACCCTAGCTACGCCACTGTTCCTGGTGGCATGAAAAAAAATCTATTAAAATACTTCTGCGGAATGGACCGTTAGGTCTGATAGAAGACTTTTATTGTTAAAATACGTTCAACTTTTTTTCATTAAATCGCGTACTAAAGTGGCTAATTGTGGAAATATGTAAGTGGAATCACGTTTAATTAACCAAACGATTCACTGCAAAAGCCTGTCGGTTGATTTTGATTATATATTGTCAATAGTGATCGCTTTTTTATGTTTATTGAACAATGTTAACGTATTTGTTTCGCAATGCTCAATTAGTTTTTGTGAGAAACTTATCCAACTTTTCAGCCGCATAAGCAAATACACATTCTTTACTTCGGGGTAAATAGTGCTCAGCTGGGCTGCAACATTTGAAATTAACTCAGTTTCATTTTTGTACCTTATCAGTGCTGTATTTTAATTATATTATTATTTTTTAATATAAATATGTTTTTTTTCACTCTTCAAATACCTCGATGACTTCAAACATTGAAACCTTAATTTTATTAATTGTTATCAAATAAGCGTGGACGGAGTGGTCTAGCGGTAGGGTCTTAGGGGCTTTAACCACAGGTGCTTTGACCATAGGTGGTTTGACCATAGGCTTTGGCCAAACCCCCTATGGTTAAAAATCCTATGGTCAAAGTAACTGTGGTCAAAGCTCCGTGCACCAGCGGTAGAGAGCTGGACCTCTAACCCGTAAGTCTCGAGTTCAAATCCGGTTTCAAGTCAGTAGACAGTCGAGTCCACCCAACTATGATGGGTACCTAACTCACGTTAGGGAAAGTAAAGGGGGCATAGTGCTGACCACACACTGACTCCACTTTACTGGCCCTATAGACCGTCAAGTTTGACCAGGAAATTTACTATCAAAGAAGACGTACAAATTATGACACGGAATAAAATTGAAGTTTTCAAATTTTTGCGCAGCTACCGAGATTTTAGTCTGAAATTGTGTTTACAATGTAGACAACAAAAGTGAATTTGTACACAAATACGAACATAACGTCCTGCGCCACTCAACGTTTATTAATAAACTCTGAATGTTTCAGGTTCGCGTTCAACAAAATAACCAAGATATTCGCTGGGTGAGATTTTTCTTTTGTATTTATATCTCCTCATATAGGCAGTAAAGTACACAACTACAGTATTATTTATACTAGAAAAGCTTGCTTGCACAATGAATATAACGCAGAAATGTATTTAATTTACATGAACTCGGTACTTCAGGTGCTAAGTATTAACCATTGTGTTTTCTCCGATTACGCCCCACGCCAGTTACAGCGCTGGGATTTGTTCATTATGAGCCCGCCGGCGATAAAAGATTATAAACCACTAAGTAATTACTTGGCACTACCTTTATTTACACTACCTATACCCCGATCACCTCCCTTTAAGAAAACAAGTTAATAAAAAGTCTAGTGACAATTTAAGCGCAATTTCCTTATGTTATCCATAACCATTTTAAATCGAGATAAATCATATATTCAGCAAATAAATAATGCAACACAAGTAGTTTTAATAATTCAAAACAAAATAGAAAAAATATTTATTAACGAGATTTTAAAAAATTTGCGGACGTGTAGGGGGTATTTAGTTGTCGCGCTCTCTATATTGCTATATAGTACTGTAGTGTATAATGTATAATGTAATTTTTTAAAAACAAATTGTGACCGAACGATAGAATATTTTTGAAAACTCTCTTCGCAATATTGTTCTAAATTATGGCAGGAATCGATTGGTAAATGTTTCAAGTCGCTAAGTGGTCTGGTTGCCGAGATATGGGCCAAAAACTGCATTTTTTCGAGGTTTTTTTGCTTTTCCGGGAAATCCAGGAAGGAATTCCGGGAATGTTTTCGGCCCACAATCATCCTCGGAACTTGCTTAACATGATTGCTTTTGGAACTAGTCCTCGATATTGCTTCGTTGAGGAGGAGATACGACTTAAAGCTGCGATAAAGCTGCGGACACACATCCAGAAATGACGAATTAATAATCGCAATTCCAGTATCGAAATTGCGCTAAAAAGCCGGTTTAAAGATGGCCTTGATAGAATTTTAAAACCCTTGCATTAAAGCAAATGACAAAAACAATGTTTTTGACGAATATAACCCCCCACCCTACAAAAAGTAATGGACTCGGTACTGACACGTTTACATTGAGATTATTCAGACGAGACGAGATCAGTGGTTCTCAGCCTGAGTTTGATTAAAGTCAGTCTCCGTGGTTAGAAGGAGGTCAAGATACACACCTGAGCCGTATGATTCACGTTCGGATTGTATCCGTGCAAACGATAGAACTTTTAAGAAGTGCTCGATGAATTCGCAATTAAAACTGGTGTGGTTTGGTACCTCCAAAAAGGCTTCGAACCTCTGCATCTGGATCATAACGTAACATCTAGATGACGGAGCGAAGACAAACTCAAGCTTAGTTGCTCCTTTTAGAATACGTCACCATAAGTGGTCATTTTCTCACTAATTTGTCTCCAGGTGCATTGTAAAACATTTCCTGCTCCAAAACACCGCATCATCAACTTCAGAAAACAACCCTTTAATATAACATATCTGAAGTTTAACTAATTATAGTACAAGTACAGTTGATTTGATTAAGTAACTAACTTTAACAAACTAAAAGATACATTGGATCGCAGTGTGTACTGATATACAATAAAAAATTATATTTAAATAAGTCGTTCAGTATCCGACACGCTCAAATCGTTTTACTTACAAAAAACACAGCATCGTTAGACAACACAAATATCTATTCTATTCGAGTAATTCAACTGGCACATGAAGGAGTGACTTACGCATGTTCCGATTCCAACTGCACAGGTATAGTGCAGGCAAAAATATTTATTTTGTAATGAAAAATAATGGGAGATAACTTACTACCATTTTATTAATGACGAGAAATTATTTCCGAAGTTATCTTTCTTGGTGCTCTACTACTTGAAAGACAGGTGATAAATACAAAAGAGGAAAATGTAGCTCTCAAAGCTATTAAGATTCTATTTAGTGCGCTACGATCAAAAAAATTCTTTTAAAGCAATCGGAATTTGTATGTATTTTATGACTTGATTTGAACGTTTGTTAAAAGTTTCTAAATATATCTCATCGATCATAAAACCACGTAAAATTGCTGTTTTATCACAATTATTTTGCTTCTGGTCAAGGGCTGCTACTATGACACTACCTCTCACACCAACAAAACACTAGTAGTTCCCCTGTTTTCAAATTTTATTTTTTTCTTATTTTCTCCATTTAAATAAGCTCTACAGCTACAAGGGAAACAGAACATCCATATGAAAAAAACAAGTTAATAAAAAGTCTAGTGACAATTGAAGCTCAATTTCCTTATGTTATCCATTTTAAAAAAATTTTGTGACCGAACGAAAGGATATTTTTGAAAACTTTCTTCGGCAATATTGTTCTAAATTATGGCAGGAATCGATTGGTAAATATTTCAAGTCGCTAAGTGGTCTGGTTGCCGAGATATGGGCCAAAAACTGCATTTTTTCGAGGTTTTTTGGCTTTTCCGGGAAATCCAGGAAGGAATTCCGGGAATTTTTTTGGCCCAATATCATCCTTGGAACTTGCTTAACATATTTGCTTTTGGAACTAGTCCTCGATATTGCTTCGTTGAGGAGGAGATACGACTTAAAGCTGCGGACACACATCCATTCATCCATCCATCCATCCATCCATCCAGAAATAACGAATTAATAATCGCAATTGTCAGTATGGAAATTGCGCTAAAAATTTCAGTTGGGAAAGATCGCTTACATAAAACAAGTAAAGCTATTACGTCTGACCTGACGATGGATATGGCAGGTGATGTAGAGTTTACTTGTTTCTTCATCGCGGTATACGAAAGGATCAGCACTATACACAGCAGCCCTAAAACCACCCTACAGATTCGAGTCCATAATCTGAACAAGCATTACATATTCTGCTTTTAATCTATCTATATAATTCTCTTCATGGGACCATAGAAAACAACACGCAGCTTAGCCACAACCCTCATCCCCTCCTGGCAGGTGAGCTGTGGTTCACCCCGAATGTTTACAATCGTAGAGCCGGGTTAGTGACGGCTATAAGGGGCATTTAATTTAATTTAAACGATTTGAAACGAAGGGGCGGTAACAATTTCTGATTGATCTTTTCATTGTCTGTAAACGGCTGCTTTCACTGGGCGGGAGTAGTGTTGAATTCACAAATTATGAATTGCTGATAAGCAGAAAATAAAACAACTAGATGGCGGCGTTATCTACGTCGCGGGTCAGCTCGTACTAAATAAAATACAAGACGAAGAAAATCAATGAGAAGGTATTATTTAGCATTGCAATCTACACATATCCTACACAGCACATGTCATTTCATTAGTTCATTGGAAGTTTTAGTCAACAGATTACTATTAAATGGTTGTCTAATATCTAAAGTTTGTTAAATGATATCAGATTCAACATATTGCAGTTTTAGCATTCGTTTGTTGTACTGTGTGTATAATTGCACTGCCACTTGAAAGCTTTGATTAACGCGATGATGTGTAAATTAATCCCTTTTAATACCCCAAACCCCATTAGAAATTGTGAAACAATTATGCAGTAGAAAGTAAAAATATTTCAAGTTAAATATAAATAATAAAGTGTATGTAATGCTAAATCATAAAACAAAGCCACAAAGGGAGATTTAAATATTTGCATTATAGTTTTCACTGTATAACCAAGCCTCTGGGTGGATTATATCAAGGTGACTTTAGAATAATTATCAAAATTATCAAAAATAAAATTAAAGCAAATAAAAATTTAAAAGTATTTCGATCGACTTATTCCAACATACGGTTTAGCTCAGCTGTATTGAAATGTTGGTTAACAATGTAACTAAGTTGATTAATGTTAAGAATCGCTGCTCAAAGTATTTGAGAATTACGATCAATGAGAAATAAATAAAACTTCAAAGTTGTAAATTTTTTGAAGATATCAAAAGCAAGAGCTTTAGAGAATCAAATAGGCGAGACCCATATTGTATAGTCAAACTTTGCAACGATTTAATAGCTCAAAATATAATGTTTATTATTAATAAAGGGATAGCCATTAAGCACGTCACAATAATTCTATCAATGTAGTGTATTTTGTTAACACACCGAAAGTAAGCTAACATTCCTGTTTTACAATTTGGTGTTTCGAATAGAAGTATATGTTTATTAATATATTTTGGGTATAATATTTTAGGTTGTAAATGAACGTTTGGAATTTCTTCTAAAATACTGCGTTCAACATTTGCAGCTATATTTTTATAAACGTTTGTATCATTAGTTGCTGTTTGTCTGACTGCTTGTGCGTGTGATAGAGATAGAAAGAAAGAAGGAATTAACTAATTTACGTTGTGTTATTTGAATAAAATTAAATAACGTCCGTTTTTATTTAACCTGCAATACAAAACGTTTAGGCAATAACTCAATAATATTTTGGTCACTTTTAAACGTTGTAAATTTGTTAAATAGTTTCAGGAATAGATCTTTTTATTCAGTTACTGCTTTGAAAGGTTGATCTGAGAGAGTTACTCAAAATGTGGTTTGTTTGCATTGCAATTATTCTAGACTCCAAAGTTAAAGGTAAGTTACTCTTTTGTTACTCAGTTGTTGCGTAACATTAAAATACAATCAATTGTTGAAATCTAGGTTGATACAAAATTATTGGAAAAACAATAACTTTAATACAGTTTTCTATTCATTTAGTGTGGTCACTGGACATCTCAACCAGCGTGTACCATGTCTACAACCAAAGTGAAGTCCTCATGTTGCCTCTTGGTAAACAGTTCACAAACAGAAACCTGGCATACTGTGCCAGTCAGTGTTTGGCCACAAACACAACATGTTCTAGTTTCGCCTACAACAAAGTTACAAGAACATGCTCATTAGGTAAAATAAAAAGAAAAAACGTACATAATAATGTAATTGTGTTTTAAGAAGCAATGGAATTTGATACACGTACATTGATTAATTTACATCTTTTTTTAGGTATTACATATGTATCAGAATTGCAAAGTCGCAGTCTACAAAACAATTTCACTTTTGTGTTTGTTACCATATTATTTTTCTTCTTTTAACGTTTATCATTCTGATCACATTTTAACCCAAATATTGCTAGACATTATTTGGTTTTAGCGGAAATACTGTGATCTTTACTCCTAAAGGAGCATACGTTGCTTTAAGTGGCCCGCCAGTCCTCTATTTTAACCTTCCTCCTATTTGTGATATTAACCACCATTTGGTTTACAAAGAAAAGAAAATTATAGACATCCAGTAACCGTGTGTAAGGTTCAACGAATTAGTTTATAATTTTAAACGAAAAGCCTTGATATGTCCATAGGCTCAAGACTTATACCACACAACAACACAGAAAAGTTGAAAAACACGCAAATTTATTCTGTTGGAGTAATGTGCAAGAGTCAAACAGTAACAAACAGATGCTGTGATTCAAAATGTCCAGGTAAATTAAATTAGTATTTTACTCGTCAGTATTTTAGTTTAATAAACACAAAGTGAAACCCATTTACCATAACAGAGATACTATTGTTTAAAAATACATGCGATTGCAATGAAACTGAATAGATAGTTTATTATTTTGCATGAACTGAGACGGTTCCATGACAAATTATCTCAGGACAAATTATCTCAGACAAAATATCTCAGACAAAATATCTCACGGACAAACGATCTCAAGACAAATAATCTCAGGACAAAAGATCTCAAGGACAAATGATCTCACGGACAAAAGATACCAGGACAAAATATATCAGGACAAACATATCATGGACAAATGATCTTAGACAAAATATCTCAGACAAAATATCTCACATCAAAATTTTAAAAGTGTATTGGATAATTTTAGTTGATCTGAACATTTTTTAATTGACTGTCATATGGTTTTGTATACTATGTTTTATATTGTTTATAGGCCTATATAATAATTGTAAGAAATAATTGCCGTATAAATTTGACATATTTTACTAAGGATTTAAAATTAAGATTATTAATATAGTATGTGAAAATTAAAGAATTTGTTACGATAGACACCGTAGTTGGGCTTGACAAACATGAGACAATCCTACCATGTTAGGTTGATGAAACTAGATCAAAGGGAATGAAATAACAATAAAGACACACCTTGGAATCAAGGTGGCCGCCCGCTTTGATGGCAGAGACATGCCTTATTGGAAAGACATCGGCCCTCCATGGACAATACAACTAGCATCCTAAGTCAATTGTTATGCGTCGGTCACACCTTAATGATCAGGTAACAAACGCTTATTTAAACGACAGCGGACATCGCGGAGCTAAGTTTGTCGTAGCGTACGAGAAAACAAAGCAGTATTAGTGGTGGTTACTCTGCTAAGGCCTCTTTCGTTACCTCGCAGATAGGGTATAGGTTATTAGTTTCTAATGAATTTCTGTTTATAAAAGCCATAAGTAGAGCAACAGGAAAAGATATTTGAAAATGTCAAGTAAGAACATGTAGGTTACAACGAAAGTTCACTCAATATATGATCACATAGTATTCGAAATGTGTGATCATAACGATGTACCTGCCCGCAAAGTAACGTAAACTTTTTTTTTTGTTGATGATGCAGTAAAACAACAGTTTTAAGTTACAAACCTGAAGACCCATTCACATTTGTTTGTTAAGTTTAATAAATTCATTTTATAAAAATCAATTATTATGAGCAAAAAGAGTAAACAAAACCATATTGACAGTCAATTAAAATAAAGTTTAAGTCAAGTAAAATCATCGTAGATACTATTAAAATTTTGTTGTGAGATATTTTGTCTGAGATATTTTGTCTGAGATCATTTGTCCATGATATCATTTGTCCTGATATATTTTGTCTTGGTATCTTTTGTCCGTGAGATCATTTGTCCTTGAGATCATTTGTCCTGAGATCATTTGTCCTGAGATCATATGTCCGTGAGACAAATGTATATGAGTTGACAACGAAGTAGAATGTATGTTTTATACACCAAAAATAATACTTTCTGAAACTTAATCATAAATACCTTTCTTCCGTCCACCAGAGTATAATGTAAAAATTGAACAGAACCCGGTATTCGATCCTTTCAACACGAAAACTTACAACTCATGTCGTGATGTCATCAGCAACGAACCAAGAAAGGTCGTGACCCTTACATCCGGGTTAGTCGTCATGTGTGACACAGTGACAGACGGTGGAGGATGGACCATCTTCCAAAGACGTGTCTCTGGGACCGTAGATTTCTACCGCGGCTGGGAGGAGTACAAACACGGGTTTGGGGATTACGACATTGGGGAATTTTACCTGGGCAACGAAAATATTTTCTGTCTGACTTCTAAAGCTGCCCACGAGCTACGGGTTGATCTAGTCTACAAAGGAAACTTCTACGCCAAATACTCTAGCTTTAAATTGTCCAACGAGTCTGAAGGCTACAAGCTTTCAATTTCTGGTTACTCTGGCAACGCTGGGGATTCTATGTCATATCAAAATAACTTTTTGTTTACCACATTTGATAAAGATAACGATGCAGTATATTATAACTGTGCGGTTGAGTTCACGGGAGCTTGGTGGTACAATGATTGTCATAAATCAAACCTCAATGGACAATGGGGGAACAAAATATTTGGTCAAGGCATGAACTGGCTGACTATTACTGACTACAACGACAATGTATTGGTTTCGGAAATGAAGATCAGGACACAAGCTTAGCAAAACTTGATTTTTTTTTTATGGCATTGTATGTTTCTCTTACCAAGAGAAGTAAATCTGTAATGTCACAATTTTGTTTAAGAATAGTAAATTTTCCTCTGTTTAAAGATTCGGCATAATAATGTTTTTGTTGCTCGAATTTAGATAAGTTAACTAATGTTATTTTAATTTTTAATGTTATTTTAATATTTTTAACTTAAATTTTAATACAATAATGTAATACAATTTCTCTTCAAAAGAGATGTACATTTTGGAATTGCAACACAATGTTGTTTTTTTTTTCATAACATCATTCTACTGCAGTAAAATTTCACTTGGCATATTTGGGGATGAAGAAATGTGTATGCGACATTTTTCAAAAACTAGTTTTAACTAATTCTTAATAACTAAAAATAAATTATTAAATAGTAGGCATTTCTTATATCTGGAAAGCTTGTTAGTTTGTTTACTTATTTCACAAATGTTGTAAAATAGTCAATTTTGTTTGAAAAATATGCTTTCTGGCTGTAAACATTTTGAACTATTTGGAACCAGCTTTTCAAGCCTATTACTTAAGGTAGAGTATCTAGAACGATGGCAACAAATTATTTAAAAATTCAACTCTCATACCCCAGTATTCCCCTCCCCATCTAAGATTATTTGATTATCGCTTGATTGATAAAGATCAAACTGTTAATTTGCCACAGATAACTAGTGTCGCTTTAAAAAACATACACTAAATATCCTCTCTACTAAGAATGTATACAGTGTGTGGTGTGTCGTGGGAATTAAAACACGTAACACACGCTCAAAGATTGCTGCTGTCCGCAAACTAGTGTGAAAATTTGACCGGGGTACCATGTTTCACATCGCAATAAAAGAATAACCGTTGGGTGTTGAGGATTGAAACGTTCAGATTAGATAGATAAACGATGTTACTATCAGCATTAGTGTTAAGCCATAATAGCAGAAAAAAATTCTGACTGTCGAAAACATGTGTGGTGTCTGCCCTTAATTAATTAACATTAACAGAAACCAAGTGTTATATTTCAAGCCATGATAGAGATCGATGCAATGCAAATTGTTTTGTGATTCAGTATAATTAAATTTAACTACATGTTATAATTCAGCACAAGTAACTCATTGCAATAAATTGAAATAACATTAGGAATTTCTGTTAGGTAAATTAGATTTTTAATTTCTTCTTCTTCGTTGTTAATTTTTAGTGTTGGGAGGGATCGAGCCTTATCTGCCAGAGGGTTTGAACTCGAGACTTTTTTCGAATTTATCAACCATGAGCTTTTGTCGACTCGACCATGCTTCCATCACAATTAAGGATTACGTGTCAACTGGTTTTGCGCCATTGAGGCCATTGACTCCGATTTCAGCCTGCTTTTCTTTTTGATTTGCTTCCATAGCCTTTATCCAACCAAGAACAAACTACAAGGCAGCAGTTGTTTGATTTTGGAGTTGTCTCTCCTAGAAGAGTGGCTGTCCCCAGCTAACGGGCTTCATCTGCCCGAGGGTTTGAACTCGAGACTTTTTCGGTTTAGCAACCATGAGCTTTACCGACTCGAGCACGCCGACCCCCAGAGATTTTAAATTAAATCTAATTGATTATATTTTCACTCTGCGTTGGAGAAAAGAGAGAGTAAGCCAGTTGTTTCGGCTCATTCATCTGAATATACTGAATCGCGTATGCACCAACGTTTAACATGTTTGGCAGAACAAGCTGCAATATTAATTAACATGTCGCGTGACTGCACAGTTAGCAATTTGGGTCAATCTAAAATCATTCGAGCATAACGACGTGGTTGAAATACAATGTCTAAACGAATTCCTATAACATGTTTAAGTATTAATTTCTCTTTCTTTGAAAAAAATCAAGAACAGTAGCTATTTTTTTTTTTTGCTGAGAAGTATTGATTATTGCTATAACAGTAACTTGCTATAAAGTTAATTGTTCACATATATTTAAAGTTATTTAATCAAAATGACATTTTAGTGAAAACATAATTTAATTAACTTTGTCGCTGTCAAAAAACGGCGAGTTAACATTCATTTGTGTCTCACCCGATTCTCAGCATATGCATTTATGTTGTGTGTGACTACAGCCATTTGTTTACAAGGTAATGCTAACATATACTCGTACTCAAAACTCATATTTGCAGCTAGAATTTCTAAACACGCATCTTAAATAAAAGTATTAAGCATGATTTATGTTCAACCACCTTATTTTTATTTCGCAGCTTTTTTTTTGTTATAAACAACTTTTGTTTTTCATTTAAATTTTAAAAATATATTTAGCTAAAAATATGTTGTACTTTTTATCCGATTTTAGCTCTGGAGTCGTTGAGTTGTATTTTTTTCTTTTCAAATTTTTTTTCAATTTTTGTTTTGTTGTTTTGTCGGTGCGCATTCAAGATATGCTTTATGATTTATTTTTAAAGAGATAAGAAATTCGTTTAAATTACGTAACTACCTTTAAATAATTATTTTCTTTAGGCATGCATGCAAATATTTTGGTCTACAACAAAGTATACTTACTTGAGTAAGTTTTAGTAAATAGCATAGGTAATGCTACAAACGTTTAACAATTTTAGGAATCGTGTTAAGTTTATGGGAAGTAGCATAAAATGTGAAATTAATGGACTAGTAGTGTATGTGGTCAATTATGTTTTTAAGATTTCGCGTCTTATGCAAGCCCTTGCAATGTCTTATGTTGAAAATGCATATTAGTTAAGCACGATAATAAGAGTGGTAAAAAGAAACATACAATAAAACAATTGTGGTTGCTAATATTATAGGTAACAGCAGCTGTAAACACAACCTAATCTTGTAAGAACCGAGACTTGGTGATGAAGTGGTTTACATTTACAATGAGGACTTACTCAATATCATTAGTTGTATTGAGTTTTTCAGGTAACTTACAGATGTAAACTTCCGACGTTTAAAAAATTATTTTAAATTACTTGATATGAAATAACATTTTAAATTGTTTTGTAAATATTTAATTTAGCAGCTTTAGTGTTCTGTCTTGACATCAGAACCAGCGTGTACCATGTCTACAACCAAAGTGAAGTCCTCATGTTGCCTCTTGGTAAACAGTTCACAAACAGAAACCTGGCATACTGTGCCAGTCAGTGTATGGCCGCAAACACGGCATGTTTTAGTTTCGCCTACAATAAAATCAACAGGACATGCTCACTGGGTAAGAGAAAATGATTTGCATTATAATTGAAACATGATTGAAATAAAATTGATCATCTTTAAATAAATAATAAATATTGAAAATAGTAAAGCCATATAAGTTAAAATTTTTAAAGTAAATGATACCAGGCACACTTTCATTCATTCTTATTTTCAGTGGTGCATTAGAGATTCCATTGTTTCTACGTTAAACCAACTTTCTCCTGCCTATTCGTTTGCATCCAACAGTATCACAAACAAATATCGTGATTGACCAAACGTCGATAGACCAAAGTCAAAACGTTTTAGACGAAATATTTATTTACGTATTTTCGAATCCAACAGTTTTCTCTATAATTATGTATTTGTGTTCTATCTCCACAAATACTGATACTCATTTTTGAAGCAAAAAAATCCTTTTCATTTTCGTTCAGGCACTGAGCTTATACCATTCAACAACACATTAGCATCAGTAAACACCAAGATGTTCTCTATTGGACTAAGGAGGAGCAGCTTTCCATGTATGAATATACAGGAATAAATTTACTACATTTCTCCTCAATATACAGAAAAGTTTAATATCATAGAGCTTGTATTATAATTATATTTTTTAATAAATTCCATTAGAGTTTTATTCTGTTTAATTTTACTTAATGCAATCTTTTTCTAAATGGTAAAAGCTGACATAATATTTTTACGGTTAAATAGCATTCTTTAAAATTGTATCAATCCAACCACTCAGCGTCTGAACAGCTACCGTAAAAGAAACTTTAATTGATCCAACTGCAGCCTTAGGTGCGACCTAATATATGCGCGTTCGTGTGTCAGTTTGGACAAAACGTCCCTTAATATTTGAATAATCGATCATCATCTTTCCTCGTTTATTTTTAAAGCTAAGTTTGCAATCAAATTTAAGAATACAATAAAGTTAAAAAGCGCCTATATTGAAAGTTTAACTAATTTAACATCCACATTATTTCTCCCAGTAAACTATGTGAATATAGGAAACAACCCGACCTTTGACCCTTTCAACCTAAATGTCTACAAATCCTGCCGCGATGTCATCAGCAATGAACCGAGGAAGGTCGTTATCCTTACATCCGGGCTAGTCGTCATGTGTGACACAGTGACAGACGGTGGAGGATGGACCATCTTCCAAAGACGTGTGTCTGGGACCGTAGATTTCTACCGCGGCTGGGAGGAGTACAAACACGGGTTTGGGGATTACGGCATTGGGGAATTTTACCTGGGCAATGAAAACATTTTCTGTCTGACTTCTAAAACTGCCCACGAGCTTCGGGTTGATCTAGTCTACAACGGAAACTACTACGCCAAATACTCCAGCTTTAAACTGTCCAACGAGTCTTTAGGCTACAAGCTTTCTATTTCTGGTTACACTGGCAACGCTGGAGACTCTCTGGCATGGCACAACAATCATTTGTTTACCACATTTGACAGAGATAACGATGATGGAACTGACAATTGTGCTGTGACATTTTTAGGCGCATGGTGGTATGTCTCTTGTCACAATTCAAACTTGAATAGTAAATGGGGAAATGTCAACTATGGTAAAGGATTAAACTGGGGCACCTTGACAGGATATAACGCCAACGTGCAGGTTTCTGAAATGAAGATTAGACTGATCATTTAGACGCCATAAACACATATTAATCATAATTTGTGATAAATGTTTAATTAATTAACATAATTAATTTCTTAATTTCTACTTATCCTATTAATTTTGGTTTCTTCTTTAAAAATAGTTAGATTTTTAAAAATCTAACGGTTTCTAATACATTTTTTGTAGTAGAGTAAAGCCTTTGTATTCTCTATTACATTTTACAATTTTGATTGTTAACATTAAATTGTGTCGATGTTACATCATTCCTAACTCAATTAAAAATTTGTTGAAACCTTAATTTACAACTTGAAAGAAGAAAAATTACATTACGATGTTCACTAAGTATTTCTCTGACGATTGATTGAATAACACGGGTCGTCTAGTTTTATATCTAACGTCCGGTTAATAAGAGCAAAAGTAAACACAAGTTAATAATCAAAGAAAAACATTCTGTCGCGATTCATCAATAAATACCCAATGTAAATATTTTTTAGATTTCTTTTCTTTTGCAAAACTACTTTTATCTGCACAATAAAATGTCTGTAAAGAACTATACTTGTTAACATTACTGAAATGGCTGAAGAATGTACAATTAAATTTCAGTTTTTTTCATTGCCATTTCAACGTTAAATGATTAGCCATGTATGTTTTACATTTTATCCGTTTCAAAGTGTGTATAACTAATTTGAAATTCATTTGTCTTTGTTTTTGAATAATCAGTTCTCCTATGCTCTTACACTAGTACAATGTTTGGTTGGAGATGACCGTATCCTCTGCTACTTAAATAACAATCCATTCACATTGAGAAAATAGTTTCTTTAAATAGCAGTTACAAGCAGATTGTCCTTTCTCTCCCTCCTACTTGGTGATTATTATTTTATGCCCTTCATATGTGTGTCTTCTTTAGTATGTGTATGTCTGCTTCTAAAACGATAATTTGTATGACATATATGCATATATATTATACATGCATGTACCACATCAATTAGTTTGGTACGGACTAGATGTCCTGTAGCTAAAACCAGACTAGTTGTGTATATGGAGAACAGTCAGAAAATATTGAAAACAATCTCCTGTTCGTCTTGTTCTTGTGTGTATTACGGTATTATTTGGGTATTATTTGTCACCATGGTTACTTTAAAGACAATAGAAAATGTCATACGGAAATTACGGTAAGAGACAAAAAAAAAATACTGCTGCTACATTGGGTTAATTAAGTTTAGAATTCCGTAATATTACAGAAAATTCGATTGGACATAAATAGGTTTATAACGGAGAGAGGCAGAGTCTTGTTGTGCAAGACGTTGACCACAAAAAAAACCAAACTTCCACTGAATGCACGCTTGCATAATTTAAAAGTGTACCCGTTTATCGATGACGATATTATGATCGTATAAACAATCATGCTTATTTATTTTATCGAACACATCGATGGTCAATGTTTTAATACCCCAATATATAGCATCTAGCCTCGTGTACTTAAAATTCAAATAAACAACAGAACGTTCTTAAAGTTAAACCAGACCTTGTAAATCGATGACGAAAAAAAGATAACATCAAGCAGCCTATTGTAATGTCTACACTATAAACCGGCTTGGAGAAGATTTCTAACATGATGAATTCATTTTGACAATGATTATTAATGGACATGAATTTTAATCGCTAGCTTTAAGTAATCAAATTCTATATTTTTTTTAAATTATCTTCTAATTTATTTTTCTGAAAACTAAAACAAAACTATTACTCATATTTTTTAAGAAAGTTCTACAATAAAACATAATTTAAACTTGGAACAATCTCACAAGAAATAAAAGCATAAACGATAAAACACAAAATACTAGTTGGTGTACTTTTTTATTATTGATAATTGCTGTTAAAATTAAATGTTCTGGCTAAAAAGGTATCTCAACTATCTAAAGTGTTAGTTAATTTTAAATGCTTTTAAACTACTATCACAACTCTATTAATACAAAATAATATCAAAGCAGAGTAAAGTTTCTTTTTCGAATCTGAGTATCTAAAGGGCAAGTGAAGCAGAATTCATCATTTTCTGTGACCTTGACATGTGATCAGCACTATGCCCAGCGCTTTTACTTTACCTAAAGTAAGTTACGTATCTATCAGAGCTGGCTTGACCCAGACACGTTTTATTACTTAAATCCGGATACGAACTCAAGACCCTACCGTTATGCCACTCCACCCGACAGAATAACATGTAAAGAATCTTTATTTACGTGTTCTGTACGACTACCAAATCAACAATTAGATATCTGAGCCTTTATGTTGTCAGGTTATGTATTGCCAGATTTTTCTGGCAGTTCAATGTTTACGGAATTCGTCTTTTTTAAGCATGCTGGCAAAATGTATGTGCATTAAGATAAATAAAGTTTGGCAGAAATAATTAAAACTATGTGGATGTTCAAAACATACATTTGCAGCAGCTTAGTAGCAATAAAGTATCTTATTTTGATAACTACGATAAAAATCCACCCGAATGTGCTTCTTTATCTTGGCTATTTGCGATGTATAATTGTACGCCCGATTTGATTTTTAGTTTACTTCGGATTTAAATATGTCTTTGTTGTCGAGCATAAATAAAAGGTAAAATGTTCAATTTTACCTGTCCACACAACCGACAAACGGTAGGTAGCAGTGCGACGTTTCGCTCTTTCCAAACGTGTATCGTGTTTAAATTTTTAAAATTGCTAGATATCAACTGCTCCTATTTACGCTTCGATAAACCATAGAAGTTATTAAAACTGTACTAAAACTTAACTGAGCAACATTTCTAAAGATATATTTTTTTCAACCACAATGCTATGCTGCAATAAAACATTTTTACATTAAGCCTTAACTTACAGCTTTAAACGATTATCGATCCAAATGAGTTGAAAGCTTAAATTATTCATAAAATTACTTTTTTTTTACTTCTTGGTTAGAAAACAAAATTCTATTTCAAAACGAATGAACTCATGTATCTGAGTAATTCGAGGAGTTAACGTGGCAGATTTAATCATGGTTGACAAATTAGTCACATTATCGATTAATGTTTCATCTGACTGCATAGTCAGCCAATGCCAATAGTTCATGTAACAATTACAAGAGGATTACGAACAAAAACAGAAAACAAAGCTTAAATAAAATAACACACGATTGTTACTCATTTCAAAGATATCAAAATCAATAACTAGTAGCGAATCGATTATTCGTGATGTGTATAACATATTTCAACTTGTTTTTCTTGGTGAAGGAAGTCTGACTCGAGGCGATATTAAGTGCTCAAATGAATTGACATTTGAAAAAACATTGAGCTAGCTTTAAAAACAAAGTAAATTGTCGAACCGTGTTTTCCATGCATGCGGTGGTCTTGAATGTAGCTACGTGAATTTCTTCACGGAGTCAAGCTAACATGCAGTAGTATTTCAGTCTATATTTTAGCTACTGTATCAGCTAGTGATTAATATGTTAAGGTAAATTATTTTGAAAAGCATTTTAAATTACTGCTTCAGGTAGAAGTAACACATTATTAAGATTTATTTTATTTTGATATAGTTTTATTTGTAATTTTATCAACTTTATACATCTCTTCGAATTTTCAGTTTTGTGCGTGCCCATTCTGTGCGTATCTGGATATAATAGACTGAACTGAAATTTTGTGTTTGACACACATGTTTAACATATTTCAAAGATTTTACAAACCAGTTTTTTACCAAAATCTTTGCCTGTTCTGTTAAATTAAACTTTCACACCACTTTCTCGCCTCTGAAATTAATTTAGTTAATTTATATCAGTACAATATAACATGCATAATTCTAAAAGAATATGTTAATTATTTACAGGAAACGGATTTTCTAGAGAAATGGACTCAAATTAGTGTTTTAAGTAACAAGACTTGTCGGTTAAATGGCTTTATTTCTATTGAGCACCCACACAACGATATTCATTGAGTTAATTTGTTGTGGTAAGTGTATTATACAAAAACACAAATTAAAAAAAAAATTAAAATACCTTTAATAAAACAAAATTGTTATAGAAAAACACAGTTGATTTAATGAGATTTATTATTATTTTATTTTAATTATTTTTTAGCTATAGTGTTTGCTTTAGACGTCTCGACCTGTAACTACTATGTCTACAACCAAAGTGAAGTTCTCATGTTGCCTCTTGGTAAACAGTTGACAAACGTCGACCTGGTTTCTTGTGGTGGTCAATGTTTGGTTACAAACACATGTTTTAGTTTCGCTTACAACAAGGTTACCAGATCATGTTTCTTAGGTGAGAAATTCTAAAACTAACCCGATTTTACACCTTCAGATTCTAAATTTACTATATTTTCTTTCCTTCCTCTTCACATTTCACATACAATAGATGACTTACATGAGAAGTTAGTTACTATTCAACTATAAGCAATTATTTTTTGCTTTCTTCTGTATAACAAAACGCCTTGGTTTTTCTTCAGGCTCCGGGCTAATACCATACAACAACACTGTGGAGTCATTAAATACCAAGGTGTACTCTGTTGGATTAATACGAAACAGCTCAGCATGTAAGTTTAAGTCAAAAGTAATTATAATTATATTGATACCGAGTGTAGAGAATAACTAAATACAAACCTTGGTTGTTGCTGTTGCTTTTTTTTTAGCTACAATAAAAAAATTAAATATGTATTTTCATTCATTCTTTTCGAATTACTTAACACACATTCTAAATTTGCAAACTAAAGTAAATATTTTCGTAACATTTTTTGAATGAGTATAATCCAATTGCTTACTGAATAAATATAGGACCCATTTTTTAAATGTATTTACTTAATTTTTCGAAAATGCCAGTACATTAAGTACGAACTAAAAATTTATACATAATCAAAACAAAATACAAATGTAAATGATGTCAACATTGTTATATTTAATCCATAAATTTTATAGAGAAGACTTAATTTTGGAGTAATTAAATTCAAGTTGCACAGAGATTGATGGAGACTAAGATAAATACGTGTATTTTTTAAATCCTAATAACTTGTCAAATTATATCTGGGTTTTTTTCAAGTTATACGCTACGGCTTATTCTACACAAGATAAAACCGAATGCCTTAATTACGATGTTTCTTACGTATTTTAAATATATATTAAAGAAATGTTAATTGAAAGTGCATTAAACAATATGATTTTTTGCAAGCAATTTATACATCCGCAGCAGGTAATATCATGTCCAATAAATATTCCATAAATTATCAAGATAAATAGAAATAGGTTAATAGAAATTAATTATTTTTATTATTAAATGAAGAAACATTGACAATTTACATTGTATTATAAATTTGATTCTTCGTTTTACTTTTGATGTTTCATTAAATGGATAAACGTTGCTGAATGAAATACTTGAATAAATTGTATTCTTAATTGATTGAAAATAGCAAGTAAACTCGAAGTCAATATTTTTCTAAAATACATAACTAACAAAACAATAACGAAGTTCGATCTCATTCACCATCATTATTTTATTTTATTGTCACCAGTAAACTACGTGACTTTAGGCAAAAACCCGACCTTTGACCCTTTCAATCCGAATGTCTACAAATCATGTCGTGATGTCATCAGCAATGAACCGAGGAAGGTTGTGACCCTTACATCCGGGCTAGTCGTCATGTGTGACACAGTGACAGACGGTGGAGGATGGACCATCTTCCAAAGACGTGTGTCTGGGACTGTTATTTTCTACCGCGGCTGGGAGGAGTACAAACGCGGGTTTGGGGATTACGGCATTGGGGAATTTTACCTGGGCAACGAAAACATTTTCTCCATCACCTCTAAAGCTACTCACGAGCTACGGATTGATCTAGTCTACAACGGGACCTACTACGCCAAATACTCCAGATTCAAACTGTCCAGCGAGACGGAGCTCTACACGCTTTCCATCTCTGGGTACACCGGCAACGCTGGAGACTCACTGCGTGTACACAACAATCGGTCCTTCTCCACCCTGGACAGGGACAACGATGCATGGGGCGGACACTGCGCTGTGGTGGATATTGGAGCGTGGTGGTACAGAAGCTGTCATGATTCCAACCTGAACGGCCAATGGGGAAACACCAACTACGGCCCGGGTCTAAACTGGTTTACACTAACAGGCCACTACAGTAACGTGCAACTATCAGAAATGAAGATGAGAACAATTGTTTAAAAAAAAAATTTAATCTAATAAAAGTATTGATCTTTTGTAATAAAATTTTTGGAAACACTGGTTGAATATCAAGTTATCTAAGTATGTTCATTTTTTTAAGTTTTGAGAACGTTTATTTATTCTAACGGTCTTCTAGTTACAAATAAATACTTATAATAATTTTTAGCAATATTAATTATGTGGTCAAACGGTTGATCTGTCGACGACTAACACAAAAGACTCGGGTTTGGAGTCCACACCGTTCCGATGGGGAACGGACTTGTTAGGAAAGTGTAGTCAGCTCTTATAGTGCTGATCTAACTCCCTATGTCCTAGGTCACAAGAAACTTAGGTCACCAGAAACTTTGGTCATCAGAAACCTATGTCACCAGAAACCTAGGTCACCAGAAACATAGGTCACCAGAAACTAGGTCACCAGAGACCTAGGTCACCAGAAACCTAGGTCACCAAGTTTATATCACACCCAATCTGTAGTACTCCATATTATTACAAAACCTTAAACTAGCGCACATTGAGAGGGGAAAGAGTACTTAATATTTTTATATTTTTACAGCCAATATACCTAGAACTAAGCTGTGCACTGTAACTTTCGTGCGTTTACAAATGATAACAATTAACGTCAGAAGGTTTTGATTTAGAACCTGTTACCGAACATTGTAGAAAACCTAAAGAGAAGATAGCATTGGAATGCACCTATGTCATTTAAACAACAGAATTGTCAATGAAAACAAACGTTATGGCAGCGCTTATTCGTAGCTGATTATCAAATTTTGACATGAAACTAGTTAGAAGCCATACAATAGGACAAAGTACATTTGAGAGCTTTGAATACTGCCAATATCTCTGTATCGGTAAAGAGCAGAAACAAATAAGTAGATGAAATGTAACGAACAAAGATATGCAAGAGTGGGTTTTTTTATGCTTTGTTACCCTCTACTTCCGGTTTAATTTGATGTGTTTTTTAATACTCATTATTTAAGAATCAAAAACTGTATACGCTGAGCAGTGATCAATGTAGTTAATGGCTTCTGCGTAAATAATTTCTATAAAAGCTGGGGGTTTTATTTCATTTCTTGGAAATATATTTTTTGTTAATTTTTTTGGTTGAATAAATTTTAGACAAAAGCAAAAATGTCCTGCAGTTATTGCATTGTGGGCGATTTAGTTCAGGCCAAGCTATACTCAAAGAATTTCAGCTAACAATGTTGCAACGCGCTGAATGACTGCTTGGAAATATTGGGACATTGAAAACAATGCAATAACGATTCGTTGCTGAATTTCCAAACGCAGTAGCCATTAACTCAATTAGTTGAAATCCCTATTATCTATTCAAGCGAATTTCTTTTGTTGTTGCTGATTTATCGCTCGAATAATTTCCATTATTCACTTTTTTGACGTACATCGACACTTCAGGTTGATGACGTCATACATCTAGGATACAAGCGCTAGTTTTTTTTTTAAACATAGCAATATTTTCATTCAGTAGCTTCAATCGTTTATTATCGAAGTTAATCTAACATATGGTAAAATTCTAACCTCTACCATCACATTCAGCCAAAGGCGTAGCCAGTGGGCAGCAGGGGGCGACCGCTCCCTAGTGATATTTTTAAGGACTGAATCTCTTTTTTTTAGAATGATTTTAATGAAGTTTTAGCTGCTGTGCATAACCAGTTTAAGTCACGTGTCAATCTGTACAAGCTTATACGTCAACAAATAAATATTTTATATATACTTCTTCGTCTTATCAGCGCTGGGGGGAAATGTGATCAAAGTCAGTCCACTTTTGAACTCATGTATCCACTGCTGGTTAAAGACCAAAAACAATAAATCTCCAACGCTTGAGGTGCCAGTCACGGCGCCTCGATGGCATGTGTTATAATGTAATTACATTTTCTGTTAACCTTGTGGTACCTCCGCCCCACATCCCTTAGAACAGACCCATTCCAGTGACGCAGGTTTACTATTTATGCACAGTTCGTACTATAAAGCCATGCCTTCAATATATCCTGGATTTTTCGATATCTTTTTATACTAAGCAAATTTACTATAGCTGGAAAATTTATTTATTTTAGATAAACTCTGCAAATTGTGTGGCAAGTCAGTAAATTTGATTAATCAAAAGGTAAATTATTTAGAAACTGACAATTCATAAATAATTGAAAGGTTTTTCTGCAAGTAAATTGTTCAGTATAAATAGATTAATCTAAAATCTTAAAACATCGATTACGAATCGATACTACATTTTTATCAACAAGAGTGACAATTGATAATATGTAACTTTCTAGATCTAGTGAGTAAAGCTTTGTTTTTTTAAAAAAATATCAATTTCTTTTGTTCTAGCATAGAGCCTTTAACAACAGCCTTGCGAATCAGCTCTATTGTGTAAGCTAGCATTTTAGTTATCTCTAATTGATTAGATTTCACATTGTTTTAACGATGTTTAGTGAAAAAAACGTCCAAGTCATTTCATTCAACTCATTAATTGTAATATTCTAACGTGTTAATACATCACTCGCTTGCGGTCAAATTTCATAGCTGAATGAATTTCAGAATCAATTTATGTGTTGGGTGACTGGATAGCTAACCAACGCCTGGAACGAAACTTAATCAAGCATATAAAAGAATGAAAAATTCCTTGCTAAAAATTAAACATCAGTATTGTTGTTATAAAAATACCAAAGCAATAGTTAACGATAAATCGATTTCTTCTGATCCCTATTGTATACTTAAAATAATTGCATGCTATAAAAATGTGTCTTTTGACAAGTAAATTTTGTGTTGTTCAGCTACGTTGGCGCAAAATGTTTAACAAAAGAATATTTGAGTACATAGATCTTATAACTGGGTAACGACTGCCTGTTTTTAAAGAAATAGTTAACAAAGACTAGTTCGTTATTATTTTATTTTCGCTGTGCGCTGTAAAGAATGACTTATGTTTCTTGCTACATTATACATCAATTCATGGGGTCTACGACAAACGCCCGAAAGACGAAAGACGGGCCCTTGTCGAATTCGGGCAAGTGTCCATTCGGGCATTTGTCGCATTCGGGCAAGTGTCCATTCGGGCATTTGTCGCATTCGGGCAAGTGTCCATTCGGGCATTTGTCGCATTCGGGCAAGTGTCCATTCGGGAAATCGGCCTTCGGGCAAACGGCATTCGGGCAAGTGTCCATTCGGGAAATCGGCCTTCGGGCAAACGGCATTCGGGCAAGTGTCTTTCGGGAAAACGTCCGGCTCCCCAATTCATGATGTTCAAATAACGTACAAACGTCATTAAAGAATTATACTCAGTTCTGCAATTTCTATTTGATTTTCTACATGGAAGATCTTGCTTCGGAGAAGGTTGATACTACTCAGGTAGTTCTTACATTTTTACCTCTTTTTTTAAATTATTACATAAATATTATTTTTTTAATTCAAAACAAAAAAATGTAATCTTTCAATAAAATTATCCCTACTCCCAAATAATATCCAAAGCCAACTATTAATTGCTCCAATTAATTATTTTTCCAAGTTGAGATAAAATGTTTCTAGGATTATTTATTATCGCTCTTTGTCGGCTGAGATGATCACGACATTTCCAACAATGTAATTTTCTGCTGTTTTCAAACTGGTTTTTATATATCGATAAAACATTCGATGGAGTTTTAAAGTGTTTTCAAACAGCCTTTCAATTACCAATAATGGTATTACAGCTTCTCTTTTTTGCACAAGGATATATTGTACAATAAAATCTATAGCCTATATACAAATAAAATGAAAGGAATTATTGTACAACGTATATTGTGTTACGAACTTTATCGTAGTAGCATTCGCTGATGTTTGTTTTTTAATCAATTAATCTTTAAAAGTAGTTAAAGGGGAAAACTTACAATTGTTACTGATACTATTTATAGAATAGAATTGTGAAGATTATTGATCTGATACCACTTTATCTATGGTGAAAAGAGTGCAGCTAAGTCCTATTGGGTCAATATAGATTATATTGTTCTTGTAGGCTGTTAATAAATTGCCCCATTTTACATCTGTGTACGCGACAGGAGTGTTGCTACCTACAATGTTTAAGAAATAGAAACAAAAATTGTATTTAATGTTTTATTTGCCTTACAATTTTTTTTAAATTTTTGTATTGTAAGATACAATTCCTACATTAATAACTTACATATTGTATGAGCCTAATAATTTTGTAATTACTTTTTACCTGTTTACTTATCAACCAGAGATTAAGATATTAATGGACATGTCGATGAATTAGAATCCTGTCCGTAAAAGCCTAACTTAAGTTCCTTTCGTTCAGATCTTTAAATACTCGAGATACATAGCCTAGTGGCTCTTGCAGCGTTATATTTACCTGCCTTTGTTTCGTTTCAATAGTTTGATATAACAATGCATTAAGGCGTGCATGATCGAAACTTAACTCTTTGTAGTAGTTGCAACGGCCTGATTATTCATTGGCTGCTAACGACACGCCAACCTAATGTAATGTGTTACAAAAACATAAAGGTACCTTCGGCTACTTCCGGCTCCTCTGGGGTGGGGGCTGAACTCGTAATGGCTGAGCATATGGGCACTAACCCGAATTTGGACCCCGGGCTTGTCTATCAGAACTACCTGAGTCCATCCAGCTTTGATGGGTGTCCGACACGTCAGGGAAAGGAAAGGTGTCGCTTCAGCAGATTCTAGTTACCTCCAGTTATTAAGTATAGCCCAGCCTCGAATGGACAAACTTAAACAGATTCTTCTTTCATTTTCTTATTTAATCATGTCAGATAAAATTATAACCGGGGTGAAAAATGCCAGCTACTAGGTTCACGTTTGACTATTATAAAAACTTCAATCTATTGTTTTTATCACAAATTGATTCAATCAATTCTATGACACCGGTGTTTTAGACCAAAAATGTTCAGTTCATTAAATTCAATCATCGATTTATTGATTTGTAATGGTAGATTTTACTCAAAAGACTTGGGTCTGTTTTAACGACATAACTCTTGTAGGCTACCTAACCTTCGAGTGACGGTCCACAGACTCTGTTACACGTACCCTGCGGCCGCTCGAAACAAGGATGAGAAGAAAATTTAACTTGAAAATATTTAATACTGGCTTTGTGATAAAGCTAACAAAATTATAGTTACATAAAATACGACTAGTAAATATCAAAACTATAAAGATAATTACTAATGCATTGGAAAGTAAGATAGATTTTAAATTTCAAGTGCCGTTGTTGTTTGCTGTGGTTAAATACCAGAGGCGTACCCAGGTTTTCGGTGTAGGGGGAGCGAAAATAGCAAAAAAAGGCGCCGAATTTGTAATATCTTCTATATAAGTATATATATATATATATATATATATATATATATATATATATATATATATATATATATATATATATATATATATATATATATCACACTACAACCAAAAACAATGAACGCAGCATAATCTGTTTCGTAACCCTTGTAAAAAAAACTACATTATAATTCCTGGGACAAGCGAAAAGGGGAAATAATCAATATCTTAATATAAATATGTATATTCTACACATTTTATTATAAATATCAAAACAAATCAATAATTACTTATGAATCTAATAAAGTAGCTTAACATTATTTTTTTTTACAAAAGTGTTTTGTCTACAATCAGATCTAAATATATTGTCATCATAAATGCTAAAATATTACAGCATAATGAAAGCTTTTTAAATCAGAGTTGGTATAAAAACTAGCTTTACAAAGTAAATGTAAAACAATCGGAATAATAGTCTACATACAACTAAAATATTGGTCTTCCATTACATATCATTCACTTTTTAATTAGCTACTGACTTTATGTGTTCTTTAAAGATAATTTTTTAACATTATGAGAAGGTATGGGTTAGATCACTGCTCACACACCTTTTACTGGTAATTGCAAAAACAATATTTACAGAGATTTACGTTTCAATAGCTATGATTCTGGCGGCATGGTACTTTGGTACATCATTACGCGTTCCAAATGTACTTAACAGATCAGTTCGTTGCTGGTTGGGAGGAGGGGTTCAACTTCATTCACCACTGTCCGGTCACTTTAGGTCAATTATCCAATCCAGCGTATACCAAGATGTGACATTAATGTCGCTCTACACAATTGTGGTGGTGAGGTGGGGGTGGATAACCAACTCAGAGTGAACATAGCGTCATTTTTTAGATGACTGTTCTAAACATAGGGGTCATCCATAAATGACGTCACGCTTTTTTGACGATTTTTACCTCCCCCTCCCATCCGTCACACGTCGTCCCAAAAAGCCAGACCTCTCCCCCCCCCCCCCCTAAAATGACATCACACCTCAGCCTACAAACCCCTCAAAATTGCAGTTAATTTTTTTAAACAGCTATATTTTCCCAAAATCTTGTCTGAACTCTGTCAAAATATAGTATTTTAATCAATTGTTATTACAATTTATTAAAACAGTTTTCTAAAACGCAAAATAACGTCTAAACTTCGTTTTCTAACATTGCTTTTTTATAATGCAAAAGTGTGACGTCGCACCATCTGAACCCCCCCCCCCCTCCCCCTCATCACAGACCGTCATAAAATTTCGGACCCCCTACGAGTGTGACGTCATTTATGGACGACCCCATACATATTCAATACGCATGTATACTGATTCAAAAGTAGATTTAAATAAGTAGCGGATAATTAACTGTGCGTTCAGTGTAAGTTTAAATTGAGTTGTTGTTTATATATATATATATATATATATATATATATATATATATATATATATATATATATATATATATATATATATATATATATATATATATATATATATATATATATATATATATATATAAAATATAGCATTGTTCAAATATAATATAGATCTAGATCTAGTAAACTAAAATAATTATTAATAGAAAGTTTATACTGTTTCATTTAATTTGTAATCATAATCAAACTGTCATAATACTACCACTTCATCGTGATGATGTCGATGAACTTGTCAAAATTTCCCCACCGCTACGCAGTTCGACCATAAGTAAATTTAAATAGAGGTGCCGCATCAGTTGTATTTGTGTCTGTATTGTAATTTTAAAAAATAAATTACACGATTTAAACTGTATATATAAAGTAATTATGATTGAAGTTTTACATGTAACATATTCTAATTCAATTATTCGTAAGCAAATACATTAGTTGCCTTAAACTTAACACCCCTCTTGCCAAGTGGTACTGCCTGTAGAGGTTTTTTAAACAGTGCAATGCATCGTAATGGTTATTTTTAGAATGCCAAACAGATACAGCTGCTAATACGTGTTGTAAACGTTGACTCTACTAGTCTATTACTGTTATAATTAATTGCTGCATGAAATAAATCTTGTGATTTGCATAGATGTGCCGACCAAAGATAAGTTTTTAACAAATATCAATGTTTAAAACTTTGAGTTAAAAAAGTTTCCAAAAAGGCGCCACTTTGCTAAAAATGGCCAGAGGGGGAGCGGCCGCTCCCCCTGCTCCACCCCTGCGTACGCTACTGTTAAATACCTCCTAATAAATGTTAAGCATTTATTGAGTTGTTGGTGTGTTACAAATGTATAAATGTCCCTTAATGTCATTAAGTTAAATTAATAAATTCTGATTATGCACATGACTAAAAAAGAAATAAAAATATTTACAACCAACAACGGTAGCCATAAGCCTTTTATTTACAAGTAAGGGAGCGGGGGAATAAAAGGAATGAAAACAGAAACTACAAATGACTAGATTTATCGACGGTACGTAAAATTCAAAGTTGAGAACCGTTGATGTCCAGTATAAATTCATACCCTCCGTAGTTGTTGGGATTTTTAAAGTTAATTCTCTCAGTGGTTGAACAGTTTTTGTATACAATGAGAACAGCAATAATACTCTTTTTCACTTTCCAAGGTAAATATTTTAATATATTTTCATTTTTTTTTAAATCAAGTATGAAATGTAATAACTTTTTTAAAATTATATTTCAACTGTTTTTAAGAAAAATGTGAATGCTTAACAAACAGTACTAGCGTTTACATGAATGAATAAATGACAACTATCTTGGAAATCTTGGCGTAAAGCCTGGACCGCAACAAGTAGAGAAGAGCCAGATGTTGTAAATGCATTAGACCCCATCCCTCCAGCAGCACCAATATAACTTGGTATCAGCAGTGAATCACAGTTGGTAATCATATCGCCTACGGAGTTCCACTCCATTTTAATTTTTGAGTTTTCTCTCCTAGAAGAGATCCTGTCCTCTGCTAAAATTTGTATGCCCGAGGTTGTAACTCACGACTTTTCGGCGCTCTTCCAAGGAATCTTTATTCAATTATAAGTGGATCCTAATTAAAAATAACATATACTCTCTAATAAACTTTAAATTTATATTACAATAATTTTTTTAAATTTTTTTTTTCAAATTATAGTGGCTTCCCTGAACATCATGACCAGTGTATACCATTCCTACAACCAGAGTGAATTTCTCATGTTGCCTCTTGGTAAAAAGTTCACATGCAAAAACCTGGCAAATTGTGCCAGTCAATGTTTGGCCACAAACACAACATGTTTTAGTTTCGCCTACAACAAAATTAACAGAACCTGCTCATTGGGTAAGAACATATTTATTTTGAACAATGACAAAAAGCTGTGTAGGTTTTGTTTTCTGAAACATTTTGCACTTTAATATAGACAACACATTACCAATAATTGTTTTGCTTGGAAAGTTTTTATCTTTTGAATTTCCAAACCTAAAACATTTTTACCTCTAATAGTTTATATACCGAGATATTCACAATATAACTAAAACAGTTATTGTTTTTGAGAAACTGGTAATGCTATGTCGATTTCTGTAGGAACTTCAACGATTTTATATTTAGAACTCACATAAGTCTTAGATACAAGTTCGGCTAAACTTGAAAAGAAATCATTTTACAACTTGAATGTCCTAAACAATATGAATGTAAATACGAATTGTAGCTTATACCACACGAAAGCAAAGATATGCATTAGAAAATATTTTTACGTTGCTTGTACAACTTTACCTGTTACATATAACATTTAACTCATCCCAGGTTCATGGCTTGTACCATACAACAACACAATGACCTCAGACACCACAAAGATATACTCTAACGGGATACTGTGCAACAGTTCGTCAGGTGTGAATCTAACGATGACAAGCCCCTGTCCAGGTAAATCACCAGTCCTTCCAAACATGACATGAAACCCTTGATTCTACTGTTGCTGTGTATTACTGGTGTGAAAATGTAATAAGTGATATTAAAACACCGTCTGATCCTTTGCAATAAACTTGCTATACAATTAAAAATAAGTAATTTTTTACCTCACCCTTTAAACTTTAAGTTAAAAACAAAGTTTTACTCAAAGTTTATTTCAATATGTCCAATGATAAAACACAAAGCAATAATCTAATATCTATTAGTATTTAAATATTTCTGTAAACTGCAGCTTTAAAATAATTGAATGATACTTATCCTTATCTACATAAATTGTAGATATCGATTACTCCTACACATTTTTTTAACCAATCTCGTTAAAAATTATTTTTTTCTTATAGATAATCACGTGAATATAGGAAACAACCCGACCTTTGACCCTTTCAACCTGAATGTCTACAAATCATGTCGTGATGTCATCAGCAACGAACCACGGAAGGTCGTGACCCTTACATCCGGGCTAGTCGGCATGTGTGACACAGTGACAGACGGTGGAGGATGGACCATCTTCCAAAGACGTGTGTCTGGGACCGTAGATTTCTACCGCGGCTGGGAGGAGTACAAACACGGGTTTGGGGATTACGGCATTGGGGAATTTTACCTGGGAAATGAAAATCTTTTTCGCCTGACCTCTAAAGTTGCCCACGAACTTCGGGTTGATCTAGTCTACAACGGAAACTACTACGCCAAATACTCCAGGTTTAAATTGTCAAACGAGTCTGAAGGCTACAAGCTTTCTATTTTTAATTACACTGGCACAGCTGGGGATTCTCTGGGGTTACATAACAACCATATGTTTACCACATATGACAGAGATAATGATGATGGGCCCGGTAACTGCGCTGAAGTATTTTTAGGCGCATGGTGGTACGTGGCTTGTCACGAATCTAACCTGAATGCTCAGTTTGGAAGCAGCAGCTATGCCATAGGTTTAAATTGGTACTTGTTAACTGGACTTTATAATAGCGTACAGTTCACTGAAATGAAGATGAGACCAATTGTTTTAGCACCATAGTAATTTATGTTTTCTCTCCATATATGTTAGATTTTTTTAAAAAATTCGAACAATTTTTTTTTAAAGGACAATACATTGTTAGTTCAGATTTATATAAAGGTAAAACCTTTCGGAATTTCATCTATTTTTGAACATTTAAAAATCCTGTTTTAAAATGTATTTCTCTTGCAGCTTTTTTTTTTAAGTTTAGTTAGTATCTATTCGATTTAACACAGGCAAATACTATTTAACGACTTTTAAGTTATTCTCGTGCTTTCCAATGGTTAATGCGGGTCGTCTAGTAAACTTTGAAACATTCACACAGAGAATTATTTTCTTACAATTTATAAATCTCGACTAAAACAAAGCATAAACAGAAAGTTAATGATGCAGAAAATTTTATGACGATTCAACCCCGAAAGCTCACTACTTTAAAGCCAAATTTAAACTAACTTTTTGCTAAACGTACACAAAAAAACATCAACAGACTGAATAGTAAAGAGAACTTAAAAGTAGTGGGCCATAAAGAAGATTATCCAATTGATTATTCTTTTATTTTAATGTGCTTTTCTATTGCATGCTCCATGATGCTTAGTTTGTTTTTCTTTTTAAAATCTAAGTTTTTTTTCTAAGCAATAAAATAAACTAAATTAAATATTTTTGAAAGCGGTTCTTCTTAATAGTAGTTATATTGTTGGATATTGTCAAATTATAACGTATTTTAAATTAAAACTCTTTTTTTATTTAAATTCATTTTTAAATAATTAGTCATGCATGTTTTACAGAATTCCGTTTCATAGTGAGTAAACATTTCAAAAGATTAATTTTGCTTTGTTCTTGATTAATAAAATTGTTTGCATACATTTGTTGAAGCCTGTACTATCCGAAAAAAACAAGCCATTGCTAAACAAAAAATACACGCAAACAGGTATAAATTAATTAATTAATTATTAATTTTCAACTAAAAAACATCATTTCTGAATGTTATATTTATTATTGAGTTGTCAGGATGTCTTATAAAGCGAAATATCCAAGGAGGAGGTACACTCAGGAAACCTTGACCCAACAGCCTTAATTTGGTGCAAATGACCTACTAGCATGAATGTGGTGTAACCTACCTAAGGGCGCCTTGGCACATCTGATAGGGCCGACCTGGATTGAGGAAGTAGAAACATTTCTGACCTGACCTCCCACTTTGAATGAGGTAATGGGGAGATATTTCTGGTAGAATAAAAGGTTCAGTTTTTAAATCGGTGTGAAATGGAATGATCAAAATCATTGAAGAATAAAAATATAAATGATCGCAAACTAGGTACGGTGTTTCTTTGTTTGTTTACCTTTTTAATATGATTTTTTTAAACCACCCTCACCGGGTTAATAATGTAGGTTCTATTTGTTTTGTAGCACACAGTGTCGCTACTAGTACCAAACGATCTGTTATTGATGTGAGCCTAACAATGGAATGTCTCGTAATTCTGATTGGTTGATTTGTACGTGTGAAGTGTTTTCATAAGTGGGTTTCTTTTCACGCCTGTTGGCATTATTTATATGCGTGAAGATGTATAAAGATTGGCTAAGGGTGTCAAAACTATTTTTAACATCCTATTGTTATTACATCCTAGCTACACTGTTTGTTTACACGGGTCTTTATGAAAGGTTTTATAGCACCTTTTCAAATGTGATTCTAATTTAAGGCGTTACTTTGTGATCCAGATGCATGCAATACCCGAAGACAATTTTTAAAATTTAAACCATATTTACACTAACCTCAACTGAAGTTCATACAACACCCCCCCCCCTCTCCTTTCTAGTATCCTTCTACACCGCATATGACATAAATATTTCCCCAAAAATAACCAACTGGTACACTTCAAATCTAGAAAAACCGAAGATATTTTTAATATTGCATTACAGTCATTTTTCAGTTTAAAAAATTGCAACATTTAATTGCAAATTAATATTGAACTGTCTGTGTTATATTAGTAATACCGTATTATGTAATTGTACCAGTAGAGTCACAGGACTGTTGATGGGGTTGCGGTCTGCACTGGTTGACGTCATTAGCGTGAATGAAACCAAATCTAAAATTTGTAGAATTTACTGTCACATCAATGTGTTCATCAGTTTAAGGAATTAAATAGTAAAGGATTGGGTGACTTGAAACTTAAAATGCGAAATTGTTAAAAGGGAATTTGATGACACCCTAATCCCAGGACTTGGTGATACCAACCTAGTGACGCAATTGACTTAAACCTAAACTTTTAACTCCCAAAACGTGTTAATAAAACTGAACTGTAATCGGCGATATTTTGACATTTTTTCATGAACTAATTCTTCCGAATAGTTAAAAGATTAAACGCGTCAATTATTAATCAGCTTGGCTGATCAAATAGCAAAATCGATTGCGTTTCGCATGACTGAATTGTGAGCCAATCGCTCAATCTAAAACTATTCGAGCATTACTAAAAGAGACAGAATGCATAGACTTAGTCAAAGAAATGAAAACATTACTTGCTTCAAAATATTGAAATCAATAACTCGAAGCTAATTGATTAGTTGTGGTCAGTATTATATATTTACAACAATCATGCCCTTGTTAAGTATCACGACTCGAAGTATTTTTAAGTGTTTTTAAGTTTTAGTAGTATAAAAGTAATCATAAAAACACAGAACATTGATAACGAATCAATACCATGTATTTAATATACAACTTCAAACTTGGTAGTATGACATCTACTCGACCTGGGAAGTAATGATATGTGCTTTGTAAAAAATCGTATCAAATGTTTTCGAACATTACAAGTAAGTAATAGAGTTTAAACAACTGAACGAAACAACAATATTAAGGTAGTTTAGTTAAACACAAGTCTAAGTCATTTGACTAAACTCATTTATCATACTCCCCTGTTACCTAAAGGGGTGCGCGGACCTTTGACCACAGGTGCTTTGACCATAGGGGGTTTGATCATAGGTGGTTTGACCACAGCGGGGCTTTGACCAACTGATTTCATGTAATAGTTTCTTCATTTTAATATTGGCATAAAAAGTTAGTAGAACGAAAGATTTTATGAATAAAATTATTCATAGTACTATGTGTAATAACTCTTGTTTTCCCAATGGGGATACTTAATTTCCACGGTTGTCGTTCATACCACACAATGCTGACTGAAATGTAGTTTTCTTCCTAGATGTATTACCACATAAATTTACAAAAATACGATAGAGTAATTACGTTTCATAAAAATTCATTCAAAATCGACCTATGTTGTGGAATCGTTTAGTTTTAGCCCAAGTAAATATTGTACAATAAAATCGAGGATTTTATATATTGATGAATTTTATTGAATTATTGTAAAGATTATGTTGTGTTACGAATAAACGGTAGCAATTTCTGTTTTTTTTTTCTTTTGTTTGATTAATCTTTAAAAGTCGTTAGAGGAAAAAAGGTATAACGGTTCCATATCATATGTGTATGACAAACTTGTGAAGGCTGTAATTACATAACAAACTATCTGAGAACAAATTATTTCTAGCAGAAAACTTTTCAGAGATAATATATTTTTAAAAAAAAATATAACTGCACAAAAGATTCCATAAACAAAATATCTCAAGACAAAATATGTACAGTATTTAGTTAGATTTTAGTGTTTTTCGCTACAATAACAAGTATTTAATAACACCTTGTAATGGCGGGTATAGGCCGTAAGGGAGAAAACAATCACTACCCGTAACAGTACAATATCAAACAACTATGATGATATCTTGATCACACCCAAGCGATCAGGTGGCAAAGTGTTGTTTGAAATTTCGGCGGCTCTAGCAAAGTAGTGATTCTGTGTGTGCATGCGAGAAAAGCAGTCAATGGTGAGTACCCAACTACCGTTAGGTCGAATGTTAGAGCGCACGACTACTAACCCGAAAGTCTCGAATTCAAATCCCGGAGAAGTTTACTTTTACCCACCTATAACAGTGATGCAGATAACCCAATTACTTTTTTTAAAATTCACGTTTTTTGGTAACTAATGTGGTAAAATTAACTCTCATCAATTTATATATTTTAGATCTTTTTTTTTAAATTAAAGTTAGATATTCTATGGGATCTTTTGTCCTACTATATTTTATCGTGAGGTATTTTTAGTCTCTCAGATCTTTTGAGATATGTTATCTGGGATACTTTTTCTGGGATCATTTGTCCAGGATCACTTACAGTGTTTCTTTCAGACTTTTTTGTTTTTTGTTTTTTTTTGGGGGGGGGGGGGGAGCGGACTAAATTTTCAGTTGGGGCGGGCACGATTAAAATAATTATTTTCTATCGGGGGGGGGGCGGGGGGGGGGGGGGGGACAGTAGATGTACTTCGTGGAGGAGGGGGGTAGCTGATCATTTGTCTTGAGATAATTTTTCTCAAGATCATGTGTCTTGAGATCAGTTGTCTTGTGATCATTTGTCTTGAGATAATTTGTCTCGAGATAATTTCTCTCAAGAAAATATGTCTTGAGATCATTTGTCTTGAAATCATTTGTATTGAAATCATTTGTCCTACCACTTAAACTATAGATCAGATACCTCTTGATGTAGGGTGAAGTAAGCGCAAATAAATCCTGCTAGGGTCAATATTGATTATATTGTTCTTATTGGTTGCTAACTAAAGCTTTCCCTATTGAAGTATATCGACGTATTTTTCTATTTACGGGAAGTTTGTATTGTAAAGAATATAAGAAAAATTGTGTGTACGAAATAAATAATTCCTACATCACCAACTCAAATATTAAATGCGAATACAGAATAAACAAAATAACTTGTAATCATTTCAACTTCTTTAGTGTTAAACAAGAGATTATGATGTTGATAAATTAGGATTAACATAAAAGTTCAATCTGATTTTGATAAATGAGGATCTACCTAGAAGGTCAATTGAAATATAGATCTCGCAAATTCTTTGTAGACACCCAGCCCTTATACACTCGGTATGTTACTCTTGCCTGATCTTATGTTTCGTTTTAAAAGCTTAAAACAGTTATACATACAGACCAAGATGGACCAAACTTCCAAATTTCATTGATCGGCTGTTATTGGCACTCTAGTCTTAGGTAAAGTGTTAAAAATAATCTAAATGTAAGTCACAGTCTGAGTTGGTTATATTTTACTATCAGTGGTTTTATGGTTTTTCTTTGCAGTTTTTTTATTAATTTTTTTTTTTTTTACTTTTCCTCATCGATGATATCTGGTGTGCTTTTTATAATTATGCCGGATATTTTTGTCTTCTAATATTTTGTGTTTTACTCTAATTATTGATTTATGAATTATATTTAATTTATGTATTGTTATTTTTATATTATTTGTCTTTTTCAAATGTATCTATTAAACTAGACTCAGCGACAAACCTAAATTAAAAACCAAAAAACTAAAAATTAAACTTTTGAAAAAAACACAAAAAGATCTCACGAGTTAAAACAATAAACGAAAACAAAATGCCATCTGTTAAGTTTACGGTTTACCATAAAACATAAACATTCAATAACTTCAATCATTCAATAACTTGATATCGATATCAACAATTCTGTAATATCGGAGTAGTTTCAAAGTAATAAAAACATTTACTGGCCGTTAAATTCAATATTCGATTGATTGATTCTTAACGGTAGATTTTACATCAGAAGACGAACTTACTCGATATCACTTGGGCTTTGTTTAAACTATAGGACTCTCGTTCTCATTTCAAGAGGGACGGTCCCCAGACTGTGTTACTTTACCCCTCTGGAGCACTGGAGATAAAATTGTTACGGAAATTTAACATGAAAATAGTTCGCGCTGGCCTTGAATGAAGTTGGGTTTTTTCAACGTTTAATTGTAAGCTATTTTGTTTCTTCTTCTTCTTTTTTTCATTTTAATGTTGTGATGGATTTCTTCCAACACTATTGAGTTTTACGTGTCAACTTGTTATGCGCCATATTGACTTTCGACGTCTATCCCAGCATGCTATTATTTTTTATTTGCTTCCATCGCCTTTGTCCATGCAAGAACAACCGTTGTTTTGGAGTTTCTCTCCTAGATGCATCGCTGTCCCGAGCAAATCTTTTAGGATAAGCTCTACAGCCTTTGTCTATTCAACAAAAAACTGTTATTTTGTTTCATACCTTCTGAAACATGGACAATAGTGTGTAGTAATGCAAGTTAGATTAACAAATTTGTTTTTGTTGTTAAATATTTTCAAGTAATTTTGGTGTATTTTTTGTACTGCTGGTGTATGTTCCTTCAGGCCTGTGTAGTTTACCGAAGAGATTTTTATGCTTGAAACTGTCATTCATTTGTTTATTGTGTACGCTTCTAAAACAATGAATGTTTACAACCAATATCGGTTGTCATAAATGTTTTCCATCCGGGTTGGAGGATGGGAGGAAGGAAAGTAAAAACTACAAGATTTATCGACGGGTGCGTAAACAACAAATGTTGGGAACCGTTGATTTCACGTATAACTTTACATACCCCGTTGTGCCGGGACATTTTAGTTTTAAAAATTCTCGGTGGTCGAATAGTTCTTTATACTATGAGGACAATAATATTACTTTTTTGCACTTTTCAAGGTAAATATTTTTAAATGTTTTTTTCATTGTTTGCTCTTAAAAAAACTTTGTTTTAAAAATAAATTAAAAGGAAATTGTCTTTGTAAAAGACATAAAATCTTCACAAACAATAGTTTCATGTGCGTAAAATCAAAAGAGAAAACGAATCCTACATTTCTGATAATACATTATCAACTTAAACTTGAAATGGTCAGAATTAAAAAAAAGACTAAAAACATATTTGTATCTTGTTTTCGTGCTAAAAATTATTTAATTGCTACAGATTACTATTCTAGATATTCTATATACGTGAAATCTAAATTAAATTTAGATTTTAAAAATTAAAAAATATTAACTTGTAATACGATAAATATATTGTTTAGTGGCTTCTCTAAAAATCACGACCAGCGTTTATCATGTCTACAACCAAAGTGAAGTTCTCATGTTGCCTCTTGGTAAACAGTTCACAAACAGAAACCTGGCATACTGTGCCAGTCAATGTTTGGCCACAAACACAACATGTTTTAGTTTCGCCTACAACAAGGTTACAAAAACTTGCTCATTAGGTAAGAAATAATTTATTCTTGATAATTACTAAAAAATCGTTGTGGGATTTTTCTTCTCTGAAATGTCTTGTCTAGATGTAGCCCTACATCTAATTTCTAAATCGTGAGTTATATCTATACGCCTTTATACTTCTCCCTCTTAGTTTAAAACATGAGACTGTAAATGTTGTATGACAGGATGTGTGCAATCCCAACAGTATTATGTGAAATGTTTTTGTTATAAGCAGCAGCCAATTTACACCAGTCTTGGCATACGTCTGTCACTACCTTACGTTTAGTATTCCCTTTAATTTTAGAAACATTGCCCAGAAAAAATTCGCTAAGGGAAAACTACGCAAAGGAAAACTGTTGTTTCGTGATTTGCCACTGGTGGTTGTTGGTGATTTTTCTGGCTTTCTTCTCTTTAGGATGTGTTGTAGGCATTCAAGAAACTTAGCAACTTATGTAAAAAATTATTGCAGGCCTTTTACATCTTAAAAATCATTTATATTTCCTTTTTGCAAGGCCGATAACTAAACTATGTAAGGGGATGATGTGGCTAAATAATACAGCTCAGGATTGCTAATCAAAAAGTCTCGAGTTCAAATCCTGGACTCGAGTAGGTTGGGTGTCCTGGAGTCCGCTCAGCTCTGACGGGTACCTGACAAAGTTTAGGGATAAAGATAAAGGGCACAGTAATGACCACGCTGTTCCGATGTAAATCTAGGTCATTGTAACACGTAAAATCGACTGTATCTGTCCCATGTGTCTTGGGCACGAATAGTAATATATGATGATAAGTATTATGTGCTGTTTCATATTTTCTTATGCCGTCACACCTACATATAACATTTAACCCATCCCAGGTTCATGGCTTGTACCTTACAACAACACAATGACGTCAGACCCCACAAAGATACACTCCATCGGGCTGATGTGCAACAGTTCAACAGGTGTGAATCTAACGATGACAAGCACCTGTCCAGGTTCCAAATGCCCAGGTACAACACCCGCTCACATGTTCATTTCATTTAATACTTTATGCTACTACGATAAGTTATCATCGGTGTGAAATTCGTAAATGTTAAAATACAAGCAATACCAGAACGTAATCTTAAAAATAAACATAACGTCACCTATCGCAACATAGTCTAGTATCCATTTTACCGTAACATATTAAAGTTGAAAGACAATATTTCCCTTGAGCTTCTTTTACCTTTAGTTCAAAACTGATTTAAAGTAAATATCTAATAACTTCAACTAACCTTTATAAAATAAATAAAAGTAGATGCATTTCTTTACAGCAGGCATATTGTACAACGTTATTATTTCCATAATTTTCATAGTTATTATTTCCGTACTTTTCATAATTATTATTTCCATACTTAACGTAGCTAATATTTTCATGCTAAATGCTCCATTACAATTCTATTTCCAATAGATAATCACGTGAATGTGGGAAACAACCCGACCTTTGACCCTTTCAGCCCTAATGTCTACAAATCGTGCCGTGATGTCATCAGCGGGGAAACAAGAAAGGTCGTGACCCTTACATCCGGGCTAATCGTCATGTGTGACACAGTGACAGACGGTGGAGGATGGACCATCTTCCAAAGACTTGTGTCTGGGACCGTAGATTTCTACCGCGGCTGGGAGGAGTATAAACACGGGTTTGGGGATTACGGCATGGGGGAATTTTACCTCGGCAATGAAAACATTTTCTGTCTGACTTCTAAAGCTGCACATGAACTTCGGGTTGATCTAGTCTACAACGGGACCTACTACGCCAAATACTCCAGCTTTAAACTGTCCAACGAGTCTGTGGGTTACAAGCTTTCTATTTTGAATTACACTGGCAACGCTGGAGACTCTCTAGTAGAACACAACAATCATATGTTTACAACTTTCGACAGGGATAACGACGGGGTGACTATCAACTGCGCGGTGAAGTACATAGGGGCGTGGTGGTACTCGGCTTGTCACACCTCTAACCTGAATGGCCAATGGGGAAACATCAACTATGGAAAAGGCCTGAGTTGGCAGACTATAACTGGCTACTACGATAACGTGTTGGTCTCGGAAATGAAATTTAGACAAATAATTTAGAGAGTTTTTTTATTGGTAATAACTTTATCAATCTCCTATTCCTACCGTTTTTCCAAACTTAAAATCAACATACTCTGTGATTATATTTAAAACTTTTTCTAGACCTAGTTTTTTTCTTTTCTTTTTAACTTTTTATAGCATCTGCATAGATTACACAACGAAATCAAGCGAGAGTGATTTCCCCTAAACTTTAAACAGTAAGTGGGGTGGTACTTCCAGACCAATCGTGCAATAGAAATGTTTTAATTGTTTGTAATACTTACGTTTGAAATAGTGTAGAATCTAGTGGAAATAAAGTATTACTTTTAGTTACAAGAAATCGTTCAAATGTCAATAGTAACCTGCGCATACAATGTAATACTTACTTGTGAAACTTTGTCCCACTAGCATAAATTGTATTCAAGTTAGTCTTTTGAGAAACCGGAAGTAAATTAAGTACAGCCAACGTTTACTAGAAATCGCTCAAAACTTGATAGAAAACTGCAAATTTGATATAATACTCAGAGGCGTAGCGAGGGGGGAGTCGGGGGTGCGGACCGCATTGGGTGACACCTTTTAGGGGGGTGACACCAAGGCAAAAAATAGCAAAATATATAGAGAAAATATTGAGGAGGGGGTGCAAATCAAAAGTTTGAGGGGGGGGGGTGCAAATCGAAAATTTGAAGGGGGGGTGCAAATCAAAAGTTTGAGAGGGGGGAAAATCGAAAGTCTGAGAAGGTGCAAATCGAAAATTCAAAAGTTTGTCGCTACGCCTCTGGGGGAGATGAAACCATTAAGTGCCGCACCGGGTTACACACGACCTCGCTACGCCACTGATAATACTTATATATGAAATTCTTTCATCGGAACTTAATAGGCACATTTGTCAAAATCTCGATTAAGACATTTCGCATAATAACAATGCATCCTTTATATTCCGTGTGTGACATAACAGAGGTGTAAAAAGGCGAAAACTGACAAAATATATGTTAATTATTTAGCTCGATTACAATTTACTTACGCCAAAGTTAATCGCAGTAGGTTTTGTGTAAACAAAAGCAAAAGAAAGTTCTGAAAAAAGAAGTTACGACTCTTGAATTCAGGTACATTTATTCAGCGTGGTCGAGTCGGTAAAGCTCATGGTTGCTAAACCGAAAAGTTTCGAGTTCGAACCCTCGGGCAGAAGAGGCTCGTTACCTGGGGACAGCCACTCTTCTAGGAGAGACAACTCCATAATAATACAACTGCTGCCTTGTAGTTTGTTCTTGGTTGGACAAAGGCTATGGAAGCAAATCCAAAAAGAAAAGCAGGCTGAAATCGGAGTCAATGGCCTCAACGGCGCATAACCAGTTGACACGTATCCTTAATTGTAATGGAGGCGTGGTCGAGTCGGCAAAAGCTCAGGGTTGATAAGTTCGAAATAGTCTCGAGTTCAAACCCTCTGGCAGAAAGGCTCGATCCCTCCCAACACTAAAAATTAAGAACGAAGAAGAAGAAGATTTAGCAAACTAAAACAAAGCATCAGGGGCTGAATTTTATTACTCTTGCTTTACTAAATCAGGAAGAGATTTTACAGTTACCGCTCTTAACTCTATTACGATTTGCTGTGTAAAAAAAAAATTACTCTATTATTATCGTTTTGCTATATTTAAACTATAGTTATAAAGCTGGTGCATTATTCTATAGTTTCAATTACACAATTTAAAAAGTATTCTAAGTGCTCTTGTTTCTCGTTTTTTTTTAACTTCTGAGATGTGGAAGAGGGGGGGGGGGGCTGCAGATTTTCTTGTCTGGAATCGAGATTGCTAAGAACGTGTCGCCTAGTTACTCAGGGAACCAAAAGGAATAAGCATATAAATTTAAACAAATTAATATTCCATTCTCAGTCTTGATGTTGTTGTACAGAGTATATCAATCTCTTTTAATTAATTAAGAGCAACTGCCAAATTACACCCTTTCGCGAATACCTGTGTTACCTGCATAGTGAGAAGACTGAAATGAGACTACTTAGACAAAGTTCAGTCGTATTTTATAATATGCATGTTATACATTGCCTAATTTACAAATACTAACGTTAACGATAACTTCAAGCCCGAGTCCAAACAGAGGCGTAGCGACCCTTCCCGGCGCCCGGGGACAAACTTTTCGATTTGCACCCCCCCCCCCCTTAAGATTTCGATTTGCACCCCCCCCCCCCCTCTAAAACCTACAATTTGCACCCCCCTCAACCTTTCAATTTATTTTTCCAACCTATTTTGGCGCCCAATAGGTTGGCGCCCGGGGACATATGTACCCCCCCCCTCGCTACGCTACTGAGTCCAAATATGTAAGGTAATGATTAATTTGGTAAGCACAATCTTCTGACCGTTCTCTCCTATAAAGTTCAAATCCTTGGTATTCTCAACTTGAAGAAATTCTAATATCAACACAATTAATAACCAAAATAGAATATTTTTTTAAAATAAAATCTTATTAGTTTAATATATATTGAAAAATAGGGAACCAAAAGATTTTATATTTGTGCATTATATATCAATGTGATGTTTGTTTTAACAAGATGTGCAATCATTATAAATAAATAAACTAATGATAATAAAATGCCAGTGAAAATATGAAAACAAGCGAAAAGAGGGTCATGGGTAAGATCGTGTTTTGATCGTGGGGCGGGGTTTGTTTATAGCAGAAATTGTCGGAACTTGCATAGCTGATGACAAAAAAATAGTAATTTATGAGATACATTAATAATTTAAAGTGCGATCATGTACAGGTTGTTCCGAAAAAAATTTAAACTTAGTAAATTTTCACTTAGTAAGCATTTTACACAACTGATAAATAAAAGAAAATTTTACTATCGTTTCAATTTTGTGTGTGAGTGAGTGTGTGTCTGTGTCAGTGAGTATTTGAGTGAGTGTTTGTGTGTATGTATGTGTATGTGTATGTGTATGTGTATGTGTATGTGTATATGTATGTGCATGTGCATGTGTATGTGTATGTGTATGTGTATGTGTATGTGTATGTGTATGTGTATGTGTATGTGTATGTGTATGTGTATGTGTACGTGTACGTGTACGTGTACGTGTACGTGTACGTGTACGTGTACGTGTACGTGTACGTGTACGTGTACGTGTACGTGTACGTGTACGTGTACGTGTACGTGTACGTGTACGTGTACGTGTACGTGTACGTGTACGTGTACGTGTACGTGTACGTGTACGTGTACGTGTACGTGTACGTGTACGTGTACGTGTACGTGTACGTGTACGTGTACGTGTACGTGTACGTGTACGTGTACGTGAACGTGTACGTGTACGTGTACGTGTACGTGTACGTGTACGTGTACGTGTACGTGTACGTGTATGTGTACGTGTATGTGTATGTGTATGTGTATGTGTATGTGTATGTGTATGTGAATGTGTATGTGTATGTGTATGTGTATGTGTATGTGTATGTGTATGTGTATGTGTATGTGTATGTGTATGTGTATGTGTATGTGTATGTGTATGTGTATGTGTATGTGTATGTGTATGTGTATGTGTATGTGTATGTGTATGTGTATGTGTATGTGTATGTGTATGTGTATGTGTATGTGTATGTGTATGTGTATGTGTATGTGTATGTGTATGTGTATGTGTATGTGTATGTGTATGTGTATGTGTAAGTGTATGTGTATGTGTATGTGTATGTGTATGTGTGCGTGCGTGCGTGCGTGCATGTGTGCGTGCGTGCGTGCGTGCTTGCGTGGAGGAAAGTGCTGTGGTGTTTAGTATTGTTGTAACATATTTTTACTATCTCGTATACAGAGCTTAGAGGAAGTTTTGTAATAATTCTAAATAAAGAGATCTTCTCAAATAAACTCATCAAAACGACGTACTTTTTTCCCTTTAATCATGACCGTAACTTGTTTTTGGGGTGCCACACAAGTGCAGTTCTCGCAATGGTGATTATTTCAAAGAGTTTACATACTCGTCTGAGTTTTTATCCGTTACGTGTATTGACCCAGGCCAGCTTGTGGCTTGCCAAGTGTTCGTATTATCCTCAAGACTGAGCGAAGGCCAGCTAAGGCAGGGGTCGGCAACCTTTTGAGCCGAAAGAGCCAAAAGTTGCAATTTACAAAATTTCCCAGTTTTTAAAGAACCACACATATTTTTATTTCAATATTACGATATTTTATATATAATTATATATATATATATATATATATATATATTTATTTATTTATTTAATTATATATATATATATATGCCTATATATAATTTAAAATAAATAGCTTTTAAAATGAAATAATATTTATCCATATAAAAATATACACATGATTAGCACAGAACATGTTTTGGTATTTTAACCAGCTTTGCTAGAATAATAAAATCAGTAATCAAATTCTTTAACAATAATTATTGAATAATATTTACAATAGTTTGACCTTGCAAGCCTTTTGAAATTTTATTTAAACCTGGCTCACAACTTGTTTTCAGTTTCAAGCACCCGTATAGATTTTTTTATTTGTTAGTTGGATTCAGTGTTTCTTCCAGACGTTTTTCTACGAAATGGGGGGGTGGGGGGCACTTCAAATTTTCGCGGGGCTATGACTAAAATTTCCGAGGGGGCGAACACTGTAAAAAGAATATATTTTCTATATAAATTCCATTTCGTCCGAGGGGTGGGGGGGGGGGTAGACTCCCTCTCCCAAGAAATGCCCGGAAGAAACAATGGTTGGCTTCTTTACTTTTTATTTTAGTCATGCAAGAAAAACCTTGCTCGCATGAATATAGTGACCCAAAGATCGTCAGCCCTCCAAATGCTAACTTCTTTATCTCATTTTAGTATCCTGGGAGAATATTCCATGCGTCACATAATAGTGCCTCAATTTGATACACTTATTTTAGAGCTGTCCAGTTGTACAGCGAAACATGCAGGTTTTTCTGGGCCTCAAAATCTCCTTTCTCTTGAGCTCCGTGAACTTACCACTCCACAAATGTTTGGTTTTCAAATCCAGCCATTTCATTATAAGCGAACCAGCATCAATTCCAAATAGCTCAATTTTTATCTCATTTGTTTTTGTATTAAGAGGATCTACTATAGACGTCAAAGTGTACTTGCATTTGTTTTGAATTGCTCATATCACTCAGGAATCCATCCTTCATTTTGTTTATTGCAATGCTAAAGTAATTCATGTTAAAAGTTGCATTTGTTTCATTATGATATTTTTTTTTTAATTTATCGTAATTAAGTAATTTATAGCTCTTTGTGTCTTCAACAAAAAAGAAGGTTTTTTTTCGAAACAATCAACTTTTTCAATCAAGGCATAGGTTGGGTTTTCCTTTCCTTGCAGTTTTACATTTAGCTCTTTAAGTTTCTTTGTGATATCCACCATGAAGTTGAATGTTTCGATTCGGGATGGACAATCAAATGGAAAGTACATTGAAATAGAGAGTAGTTAATATTCTAATACAGGGGTCTCCAAACTACGGCCCGCGGGCCGGATACGGCCCGCGAAGTCCTCTCATCCGGCCCGCGGAGACCTTTTTGTCCAAGAAAAAATCGTTTGTTGGTGATGATGAGGAACTTTGCGCAGAAAAATCAAAGACATGCCAGGAAGAAACTGGCCCCCGAACTGAAATTTGATAGTTAATGCGGCCCTCGGACTGAAAAGTTTGGAGACCCCTGTTCTAATAGAATAGCGAGTGATTATTATTTATATTTATTATTATATCATTCATCACAGAATGTTGCAGAACAATATTTTAAGAGTTTCGAAAATTAATTATTAATATGTGCATGGAGCTGAAGAGCCGCATCTGGTCATCAAAAGAGCCGCATGCGGCTCGCGAGCCGCCGGTTGCCGACCCCTGAGCTAAGGTATTCGGAAAGTCATGTCTGTCTGGCTTCGGCCAAGTTTTTTTTTTTTTTTTTTTTTTTTTTTTTTTTTTTTTTTTGGGATTTCTGAAATTATGGACGCATGAAAACGGTTGTCTCATTCGAACAATACTTATCAGCAACTTTCAGTATTAAATAAACTATTATTTCATTTTACTTCTAGGTTAGTACCACAACTTAAGTCAAATGATAATACATTAAAAAATAAATTTTAAAAGATCGACAAATTTTTATGTACTACTTTTTATTTTTATGTTTTGTAAAATAATATCCAGTGAACTGCATTTTTTTTAAATTACCTCTGAACTTTTAATATATATGTTTTACTATAGTAATGAGTTAATTCCCTTGAGTAATTGAATTGCATGCATGGGAAGTAACCTAGATTCATATTTAAATGGATTGGCCACGCAAAATTTTAAACATTCCTAAATTCGAGTCGTCAATAAAGGACAATAAATACAGAAGCGATGGGATATTGAGTTTCCAAATTTTATGTCGATGAGCTATGTCAGCGAGTGATACGAAAAGTAATATAATTTATCAGTTGTTTAGTATTTTTAGATACTAAAATAGCGAAAATGTATTAAATTTTTATTATTTTGAACGGGTAGCAAAATTAAGCGCAAGATTTTGTTTTTGCTTTCTTGTATTCAGATTATAGAGGAAGTATTGTAATCGTGCACAAAAAAAATGTAATTAATTCTTTTTATAGTTTTCACTGTTTTACTCCTCCCTACTTTATTGTATACGGAATATAAATGGTGTACTGTAATCGATAAAAAATCTAAATCGATATTTTTGCAAATCTGTAAACACGATAACTTCCCTTACTCTTCTATGAGTCTATACGAGAAAGTTCAGAAGAGATTACTCCCGCTTTATTTCGGAGACAATAAAAAATACAAAATAATGAAAAGACTACATATATTTGCATAATTTAACATACTACGTTGGCCTTCACCTACTTAGCAGGTTTAGGTTAGGCCCATTAAGAACCGTTTATATTTAATTTGAACCATTTTTTCCAACAATAAAATGTGTGCAGTTGTCGTAGGCGCCCAGGTAGAAGGTCTAGTGTGATTTAAAATGAAAAGAAACAGTGTGTTTGTTTTTTTACGTTCACACCAGCAGCTATTAAATCCAGTGCTGTTTTGAGCTCAAATGTCTCTAGGATTTGAACTTTTTTCTTTAATCCACATATATAAACTTAAAATACCAACTTTAAATAGTTTAATATGGAATTGTTTTTTATTCAGTAAATTACGTCATCTATTTTAAAGTATTTGCACTGTCTAGTTTTGAAAAAAAAATTGATCTCCGTTCAACCAGACAATTCGATTTATAGATTTGTGATTGTTGATTTTAGGTCTGTAGACGAACAACTCAATAAAACACTGGCTGATTTTTTTTAAAGATAAAACATTTACCCTCGTATAGAATATAGTTCCCAATGTATTTTTTATTGAATCTTATTTAAATGAGTACACTGATAAGCGTGTTTTTAATACGCTATGCAAAATGTCTAGTGTTGATATTGTTTTGATTTTAAATTACTTTTCTCTTTTAATTGCCTATTGCAAAAGCTTGTAAATTAAATCAATAAAGCTGGAACAGATCAAAGGTTACCTGTTAGACAATATATTGGGAACCACTGGTCTAGTGTATACAATCGTGCATTCCTATGCTGCTCAGTGAAAGCAAAACGCGTCGTCAAGCTGCAAGTTTTGCTTGCCATGATTTGTGCTGTGGTGTCACTTCTTTTCATTTTTCAAGGTAAAACATTACATTTCTTATTTCTAGACGATAAATTCATATTTTTGTATTTAAAGCGCTATAGCTTTTAATACTAGCTTTAAATTTGTATTTACATATAGTCGTTTAACAAAGGAAATATAAAGTTATTTCCGAAATAATCTTCTTTATTCTTAATGCTAATGTTGTACGTGATTTCCTAAAACATATAAGTATTACGTGTCAACATGTTATGAGCCATATGGGCTGTTCACTCCAATTTCAGCCTGTTTTTCTTTCTGGATTTGCTTTCATAGCGATTGTCCACTCATGATCAAACAACAAGGTAGAGGTTGTTTGATTTTGGAGTGCTCTCTCCGAGATGGGTTGCTGTCTTCAGATATAGAACCTCATCGGGCCCCAGGGATTTGAACTCGGGACTTCCAAAATAATGTCATGTACGACGTGCTGGTCGATTGTTTCTTAACAGTGGTTCTCACGTGCATCTTTCTAAGAAGGCAGCCCCCACCCCCACCCCCCCCCCCCCATTTCTACATATTAACTCTAGATATAAACTATAGACCTCAACCATTGTCAACCATCTCCCTCCCCCATTCGGATCAAAATATTTAAAAGCTAATTGTTTTTAATTACAGAACTCTCTTATTTTTGTAAACAAAAAGAAAGTATCAATGTCTAACCTGCCATAAAAGTGTATTATATAACATGCATTTTTAATTTTTATCAAACTGTAGTTTGGTCACTAGACATCTCGACCAGCGTGTACCATGTCTACAACCAAAGTGAAGTTCTCATGTTGCCTCTTGGTAAACAGTTCACAAACAGAAACCTGGCATATTGTGCCAGTCAATGTTTGGCTACAAACACAACATGTTTTAGTTTCGCCTACAACAAGGGTACCAGAACCTGCTCATTGGGTAAGAAATGCTTCCAAAAAAAAATTAAAACACATTTCTTTTACTTCTATTTCGTTCTCAATTGTAAGTTTGGACGCAACTTACAACAACATTGTTATGTATTACGTGTCAACTTGTTATGCGCTATATATATATATATATATATATATATATATATATATATATATATATATATATATATATATATATTCCATATATATATATATATATATATATATATATATATATATATATATATATATATATATATATATATATATATATATATATATATATACATATCGATCACTTACATTTTAGCCTGCTTTTCTTTTTTGCTTCAATAGCGTTTGTCCATCCAAGAACAGCAGTGGTTTGATTTGGAGTTTTCTCTCGTAGATAAATTGCTGTCCCCATAATACCTGCCCGGGTTTCCAGCTCTGGACTTCTCGGATTAACGACCCGACTATGCCACCCCCGTTAAAATAGAAAACCATCGTTCCTGGGTAAAATAATGGAAGCTGGGCATAGTGCTGACCACACTATCCCTCCATAAGCCGTGGTCGCGGCAACAGGTGAACTCTAAATCATGCCCAATGTACCTCCAGATGTGAGAGGTTTTAATTTTTAATATTATATATATTCACACATATACTCGTTCACGAATTCCGTGTAATATATAATACAAGCATCTTCTATTCCCCTAGGATCCTGGCTTATACCATACAACACTGAGATCAGGCAACACTAAGATCTACTCCGTTGGACAAATGTGCAACAGTTCCACAGGTGTAAATCTAAAGATGACTAGCACCTGCCAAGGTTCTAGTTGCCCAGGTAAAATATTTTACACATCTAGCGGTTATTACAAGTATCGGATTCGTGTGTATTTGAAAATAATTTTAAAGTTTCGAATAAAAACGGTAGTAAAATTAGAACGTCTATGTATCTCGACAATCAAGACGAATAGATGAAAACTTGTCGAATCATTACCCCATTTCTAAATAATAATAAATTACAAAATTAAACGATATACAAAAACTGATCAGTCGTAAAGTTAGTTCATAAACTAAAATATTTATTTTATTTACACAAATAATTAAACTCAAGAAACACGAGCATTGTAATGAATAATTTTGTTTACTTGACGAATATATTCCATTGATTTAAATATTTTTCCAGAAAATCACGTGACTTCAGGGAACAACCCAACCTTTGACCCGTTCAACTCAAATGTCTACAAATCATGCCGTGATGTCATCAGCAATGAAACAAGAAAGGTCGTGACCCTTACATCCGGGCTTGTCGTCATGTGTGACACAGTGACAGACGGTGGAGGATGGACCATCTTCCAAAGACGTGTGTCTGGGACCGTAGATTTCTACCGCGGCTGGGAGGAGTACAAACACGGGTTTGGGGATTACGGCATTGGGGAATTTTACCTGGGCAATGAAAATATTTTCTGTCTGACTTCTAAAGTTGCCCACGAACTCCGGGTTGATCTAGTCTACAACGGGACCTACTACGCCAAATACTCCAGCTTTAAACTGTCCAACGAGTCTGTAGGCTACAAGCTTTCTATTTTGAATTACACTGGCAACGCTGAAGACTCTTTGTCTGTACATAACAACTGCTTGTTTACGACATTAGATAGAGATAACGATACATATGTTAATAACTGCGCAGTTGAATTCATTGGAGCCTGGTGGTACAGTTCTTGTCATAGCTCCAACTTAAATGGACAATGGGGAAACATGAACTATGGTAAGGGCTTAAATTGGAGGACCCTAACTACGTACTACGATAATGTGTTGGTTTCAGAAATGAAGATGAGGTCAATAGTTTAATGTAGGCCTATAGCAATTGCACCGTAAAAATTTCAGTAATATTAATTTTGAATTCTTATTTTTAGTATCCTACAGAGATATTTGTTCTTTTATTTTGTTTGTTGTTGATTTATTTTATTTTTTTGTTCAATTTAAGAAAATTAAATCCCCATACGTTTTAAAATATAACTTTAGTTAAAAGTGTTTACTTTTTTAGTAGTTTTTCTTGTAAATACAATAAATTTTTAGCTTCTTCTAACCTACTCACGATGCTCAGCTCTAGAATAACTAATGAATGAAATGTTAATTTAGCTAAGCTTACAAATGTTAGTAGGATCGAACCCCGGGTAGATGAGGTTATATGGGAACAGCTACCTATCCAGAAGAGAAAGCACCAAAATAAAACAACAGCCGCCTTATAGCTTGTTTTTGTCTGGACAAAGTTTGTGGAAACAAACCCAGAAAGAAAAGAAGGCTTAAATCAGATTCAACGATTCATACCATGAATAACATGTTAACACGTAATACTTAATTGTGTTGGGGGAAATCCTACAATTATGAACAAAGAAGAAAAAGATACGATTGTTTAATAAAGCTATATTATCCATAGAAACATATATATATATATATATATATATATATATATATATATATATATATATATATATATATATATATATATATATATAAATATATATATATATATATCCATACATATATATATATATCCATACATATATATATATATATATATATATATATATATATATATATATATATATATATATATATATATATATATATATTTTTTTTTTTTTATATATATATATATATATATATATATATATTAAAGCATTACTGTTTTAATACTTCTAGTATGGAAATATAATTCCTACTGATTTGAAATAAACGTGTGTTTAAAACAAGGTTTTCTTGTAGCTATTCAATGTTGCAATAATAAACATACAAACACAAATTTGTTGATTGATTATTGATCGCACATTTGATATTTCTAATTTAATAAAAGCTAAAACTTGTTGTTCTTACGTGTTCATGCTTCCGTCTTATTTCTTTGAGTACCAATTCTGTTTCGATACTTAAATAATACACCAACATCTGCTGCAATTTCAACTTTTTTTTTAAAAAACAAGCTGCACATAAGTTACGACAGGGGTCGGCAACCTGCGGCTCGCGAGCCGCATGCGGCTCTTTTGATATCAAGATGCGGCTCTCCAGCTCCTTGCACAAAAACTAATAATCTTGATAAAAAAAAATATTTGAAATAAAAAAAATGTTAGTGGCTCTTTAAAACCAGGGAAATTTTGAAAATTGTAACTTTTGGCGCTTCTGCTTCAAAAGGTTGCCGACTCCTGAGTTACGAACACACATTTTTGTTATAAAATAATTTTAATAATAACCCTTTCTTTGTCTCGTTTCTATCTCTGTCACCGTTAGTCTCTCACTCTCTCGATTTGTAAACGTGTGTAAGTCGTAAAGATGTGTAATGTGTAATAAAAACATCATTGGTCTCTAGGGTCATTGGTAAGAACTCGATTTGTGGTTATAGTGTTACCTAGTGCCATGTCGATCTAGCCTCTTATATCTCTGACTCGAAGGATCTCCATGACAGTGTAAGCTTTCTTATTTATATTTATCGATTTCAAAGGGCTGCCATGGTTAAACCGTTTCGTGTGCATTTGATTGAGTACAAACTATTATTAATTCATGAACGGATATTTCTGATATTTGTTACTATTCTACATGAATGACAAAATATCTCAGATACAATATCTCAGGACAAATGATCTCAGGACAAATGATCTCAGGACAAATGATACCTTGGACAAATAATCTCAGACAAAATATCTCAGACAAAATATCTCACAGCAAATTTTAATAGTATATACGATGATTTTAGTTGATTTAAACTTTTTTTTATTGACTGTATAATTTAAAACAAACTTACTAATAAATGATAATGTATAAAACAAACAAAGTAACGGTAGCTAAACAACATTAATGCTCAAAACACGCGAAATATTTTTCAAAAATGTGAATGGGTCTTCAGGTTCGTAGCATACAACTATTGTTTTTATTGCATTATCAAAACAAAAAAAAACGTTTCTTTTTCTTTGCTGGCAGGTACATTGTTTTGATCACACCTCTTCACTACTTTGTGATCATGTATAGTATGAACGCTTGCTCGACATTCCATTTTTAAAATTCAAAATCTCTTTGTGTGTGTGTATGTGTATAATCGTGTATGTGTAAGCGTGGGTGCGTATAAGCGTGAGTGTGTGTACGCGTGTGTTCGACAGTCCGGAAAAGGTTTAATAATTACAATGTATGATTTTCGTTCCTTAAAACTTTACTCTACGCCAAATAAATTCCCATTTGGATGCGTTTTCCTTTTACAAAAGATTAGCAATGTCAGAAAAAAATATGCCTGTTCTTTGTTCGAGGGTAGGCCTACTTTGTAGCAAGCGCTAATTTATTAAGACCAGCCTTTTATGTTCTATTTTTTTGAACTATTTCTGTTGTGATATGGTACATAGTTGGATTATAAGTTTGATAGAATAAGGTCATATAAGTGACATACAAGAACAACTTATCAGAAACATATATTGTTTGTATTGGTTGTTCGTATAACGTAACAAGCTAGAGGGTACACAATGGAACCAACCAAAACAACAGAAATTTGCGCTGCCTTCTCGCACACAGTCAACAACAAATGCAGAACTAATTGTACTGATTGAAGAAGCTGTAATAACCAGTTTAATGATAGTGGCACCGCTCATGACGTTCTGTTTAGTATCAGTAGCAATAAAACGCGTTTTAACACTTTAAAACAATGTGGAATTCTAGTGCATTGTCAAAAAAATTCATTCAGGATCTATAACTAAATGTGAAGTCTCTTTTACTGTATGGATCAGAGCTAGATTACAGACAGTAGAGAATGAAATAAGGGCATGGAAAAAGTGGTGGTACAATATCAGTAAATAACATCACTAAGCAGGTGCTGGTGTAAAGTCCACGGGGAAAGAGGAAGAGAAGGAGACAAACAAATTCCTGAAGAAAATAGTTTGAACTAGAAAAGGGGGAGTTTGGATTATTAGGGTTCTATCTTCATAAAAATCAAGTGAGTATTGTCTACGCCTATGCTCCTTAGAAAACTGAAACAAACAAAAAAGAAGAAAATCCTAAGAGCTGCGAGCAGTAGTTCTTAACTTGGGTTCGATCGAACCCAAGTGTTCTGTAGGCCCTATGTAAGTATCAGAGCTTCGGTGGAGGTCAAGACACACATCCGATATGTGATTCGCGATCAGATTTTGTCAATGTTGACGCTAAAACTATTAAGAAGGATTCGGTGAAGGCGCATATGAAACTGGTAGTGTTCGGTACCTCCAAAAATATTAAGAACCACTGCTTTAGAATGTAGTTTGTATAAGGTGCAAGCTTATCTGGTCTACTTTTGGTTGTGTCTTTAGAACAATTTCGATACTTGTGTATTATAGCTTTAAATTATCAGTTACGTTGAACAAAGTGACAAAGCATCAGCTGTTGTCGTGTTGTACCATTTTTTACATCGTTTAGTAGGTCTTGTGGCCTTAACTATATGAAAATTGCAGTATTAGGACTTTAGGACTTGCTATGAAACAAGCTATTTAAAAAAAAAAGACCTATTCAGTACAATATACTTATGGTTTTCGTTCTTTAAATGTTGGCAAGAGCATCGTCTTCCGCCCACCCGCTCCAACCCGCTATTTTACTGATCGGATAGCGATTCAAGAATCCGTGATATTTAGTTCTCTTTAATACAGTAATCCAGGCAAGATGTAATGTAATTTTACTGTTAAACAATCGTAAAATACGTTTTAATACAATTGGTTATTTTTATAAGTGGTAACGTTTATGGACTCACCAATCTAATGTAAATTCTTCCGATTTTAGTCTCGAAAAAGCGCCCCCTCCCCCCCCCCCCCCCCCTCCCAATCTAGGAAAAGCTGGAAAGCTGTTTTGCCGGTCACTGTTAATAATCAAGGTAGAAACAGTTAAACCAGTATGTAAAGGCGTGTAGCCATTACCTTTCTTAACTTAGACTGTTTATAATTTTAAAGTGCAGCATAAAATCAGCTCTAAAAAAAGTTTCCACCCCTTTTTGCCCCCCCCCCCCCCAGTGGCATATAGTACTTGCAAATTATTTAAATTAAAACACATCTTTTGTTTTAAAAGGGGGGTAGGTGGGGGATATATTTAAAGGGATGGTACACTTAAATTGTTCCCCTTGCCTGGTTAGAGCGTTTGACATTGTGGATCTTTTATTGCAGGGGGAATATACTAGTTTATTATACACTATTCCGAGACCTCTATTTAGTATTCTGTAGAATGCCCATTTAAACCTTTTACGAAATAAGATTATTTTTTTACATTGACGGCTCTTTCTGGGTCCCCTTTTGACGCCACTATTTACCACTTTTTTGTGGCACTTAACTTACCACTTATTTATTACTTCAGAATTAAGACCGATGTAGGCTATATGTCAGGCAAGCCAGATCGAAATGATCTTTAACTGCTCGTGCAATTACTCCACTTTTCCATTCAACGTTCGATTATAAATGCATACAGCTCAATGAATCAGTTAATTGATTTATTAATCCACAAGACGTGTAAAAAGAATCTATGCCGTGGTCTGCAGATGGGGTCCATGACTTATTAGTGCCAAGTCTTCGTGAAGAAATTAAAGACTTTTTAAATTGTCATCATGAAGATTTTATTTTGCCTTCTAAACGTATTTACTCTTTATCTGCAAGGTAACTTTTAAATATATATTTTGAATAAAATTTCTCTTATCATTTTGTAATAATTATTATTTAATTTGGATTAGAATTTTTTCAAATAAATATGAAAAACCAACATTTGTAAATCGTAGATTTGTAGCTATCTATCCTTTTTATTTATAAAATTATGGGTTTGTTTTTTGTTGTTTTTTTTTTTTTTTTTTTGTTTTTTTTTTTTTTACATTTCCAACATCGAAAACTTTCAGTACTTGTAGCGTCGACAGTCACTACAACCAGTAGTTTTACAAGTTACAACCAAAGTCAGGTGTTTATGTTGCCACTGGGTCAGGAGTTCTCTAACGTCAAAAGGACGACGTGTGCCATACGATGTTTGGGCGCAAATTCCACGTGCTACAGTTTCATGTACAATACCTTGACCAGAACATGCTCTCTAGGTAACACATTTATTTTTATTTCTATGTGTGTATTGATTTAGATAATTGTAACTTTAACTAATATCATTATATCTAAATTTGTAAAAAAAAAATTATTTTATTTCACGTTGAATTTTATTATTTTTAAATTTTTACTACACCATCCCCGTTGCCTGCACTCGTCGTAAAAAGTTTAGCAGCTCTCAATAAAAAAAAAAGCAAAATTCCTACTCCTTAAATTGACGTCCTATATGAATAAATATGAATAAATAAATGTAATCATAATTCTAACTCTACCATCATCTAATCAAACACATTACTTATAAACTCTATTCTACTATATCTTCACTAAATACTTCAACTTGAACTCCTCGACTGTAACCTCCTAACATCTCCACGATCTCTTGATCTATTGGCTTCTCCACGCTCGACTCCCTCCGAAAGCTTTTTTTGTCCAACTGCTTCCTACGCTTGACTAACCATGACACGTGACTTTCCATCTCACCCTCTAATTGGTCTGGCTATTCTATTGTATAAAAATCCTACCTCAACAAGTGGCTATCTAACCTACAACTGTTCTTTTTTATTCCACATTTCTCATTTTGCCTAAATTTGCTTCACTACACTCTAAACGTTATTCTGACAAAAAAAATTCATAAAAAAACGTTTTAATAACAAGCTTTTATGTAATGATGCACTAAAAAGTAGAAAATAAATTATAGACTACTATTTAAATAACTATAAAGAAAAGCGTGGGTCACTTTAGTATCTATTGAATACCTTTACGAATGTTAAGGAAGACACCCACGCTTTTCTTTATAGTTATTTAAATAGTAGTCTATAATTTATTTTCTACTTTTTAGTGCATCATTACATAAAAGCTTGTTATTAAAACGTTTTTTATGAATTTTTTTTCAGTACTTTACATGTTTTATTTACAATAGAGTTACATGACTAAAAACCATTGCGCGCCTACTGAACATCACGTTCAGTAGGCGCGCAATGGTTTTTGAACGCAGCCATTACGTGATGGCGCAGCTATTGAAGGTGATGACGCGTGTGGTGTGGTTGGCTAGACATGCCTACTAATTCGGTCCAAATTTTAATTAATTCATTAAAAATCAATTAGGCATCCAATTAAGTCAAATTTAGTTTCAGATTGCATTGTCTTCATGTCTTGACCCACGTGCTAACTTTGAATCGTATCGGTCAAGTAGAACTGTCCGAATTTTCACTCCTGCGTTTCCGTCTAGACAGACAGACAGACTGTCGAGGAAGTGAGTTAAGTAAAAGCTTGTAAAAATTGCGATGATTTACATCACTATTAGATCTATTGCTTAGGCCAAATTTCATGACCTCCCTCTTACCTCCTGCGTATAGCGCAGTCAAAAATATCTCATCCCCCCTTCCCCCACCTCGACCCCCCCCCCCCCAGAAACACACACACACACACACACACACACCACAAACAAACCTTCGTCGATTCCTCACAACCCACTCCCATGATCTCGTATTCCTAGATATAATGTAACCGTGCAAGTATTATAATCAAATAATTAGCACTCTCATTAGCTAATTGCCTGTACCAATTACAAAGGATCCTGGCTTGTACCCTACAACAACACGGTGACGTCAGACAGCACAAAACTCTACTCAACAGGAAAGATGTGCAACAGCACCACTAGTGCCAGCCGAACCACCTGTCTAGACTCCAGTTGTCCAGGTAGGCCTTTAGGTCACCCCAACAGCAAACAGAGGCGTAGCGACCCTTCCCGGCGCCCGGGGACAAACTTTTCGATTTGCACCCCCCCCCCCTCGAGATTTCCATTTGCACCCCCCCCCCCCTGAAACTTTCGATTTGCACCCCCCTCAACCTTTCAATTTATTTTTCCAACCCATTTTGGCGCCCCCTAAGGTCGGCGCCCGGGGACATATGTCCCCCCATCCCCCCGCCCCCTCGCTACGCTACTGACAGCAAAAGCCTTTTATATTTTAGATGTTTCTTCTTCAACGAAGTAAAACCAGAAAAGCACTGGATTAGTTTAATTCATAAAATTTTAAACCGTTATTATAAGAGTTTGCAGCGTTTGATCCCTGATTGGTCCAAATTATCGTATTGTGCGTTTCATTTTCAATATCAAACAACCTTTCATTTACATAATTATATAACAAGAAATTATATATTTTAATGCTAATATTTTAATAGTTTTAGACGGAGTCCCTGAAATACATGGAACCTATGTACTGTTTCTGTTAATTCACCACCGACTGTACTTGTTTAAAGTAGAATACACGTATAGTCTAAATGTTTGGGGTTGTTTTTACCTCCCAATGTACTGCGGAATAAATTCAAAAAATAAAGCTCTTTAAATTTTTTATTTTTTCAGAGGGGGGGGGGGAATAAATTTTCCGGCAGGGGGAGAGAGAACACTGCTAACAGTATAAGTTTTTATATAAATTATATTTCTTTCGGGGGTTAGGGGGTAGATGTGCTTGAGGGAGGGAATAGTGCCCTCCCTCACCCAAAAGAGATGTCTTCAAGAAAACAAGATCCACAGACATTTACAAAATCAAAATACTGTCCGCGTTTTCATTTACCTTATCTTCTTATAAGCCATACAAACTGTAATGCGCCACAAATTTTACTTTAGGTTAAGATCACGTAGATGCTCAAGTAAATTTAAATCTATGAAAAGTATTAATATAACCCTATCACTGAGTAAAAACATGAGAACCGCTCGTTCATAATAACGCATTAAATCTACAGTATGTCGAGCTGAAGGGAAAAACAAAATCAAACTGAATTATATCAGTGACTCTATTTGACTGTAAAGGAATCAATACTCCATTGGCTATGTATAGACCATAATCAAATATATATAGACGAAATCGACCTTCCGTGTACCGCCTAAATTTGATGGCAAACTTTATTTGTATGTGCTCATAGTTTTTACCTATGTTCTATACATCGTCAGATCAGAAAGGTTACCGTGAAGTTTTCTACAGCGTTTAAAAGAAGCGACGTGTTATTTCAATTTTATCTTCAATGAAATCGTGTGGGTCGATTTATTGAATGATTAGGGTTTGTTCTTGGACAGACAAACGTTGTGAAAGCGAATCCAGAAAGAAAAGCAGGCTGAAGTCTGAGTCAACGGTTTATGAGGCGCATGTTGACCCGTAATAAATTAATAATTGTTTTGATGGGATATCCCTTTCATTATTACAACTAATATCATACAAAAAGAAGGAGAATTAGGAATTGTGACTGTAAATAGAATATTTTGCATCAAAACAACTTAGATAGTGTGTATCCGCTGCTAGTTATAAAAAAAACGGTTTTTATGTTTTAAAAAGAAATTGTCAGACGCACATGCATGAAATGTAATGTGAACACTGATAAGATGGGAAAACTCTTCAGGTTGATCCAAGTTTAGATGCAGATAAACAAAAAGCTGTTTTCTTATTTTTCTGTGTATGTTTGTTGTATTGAACACATTTAAAAGTTTTTTGAGTAGAATACTATCTAATGGCTAACATATTGGTCAGATGTAGAGTTTTATAGGGAGGGAGGGGTGGATTAAGTCAAAGATGGCAGCATCTAGGCTGGTGGGGTGGTTGAGTCTCGTTTAGTTGGGTGGTGGGGCGATAGGCTGCGATAGGTTGGTGGGGGGGGGGGGGGTGGAGACATACATTGTGTATTGACTTCACTGTTGATTTTTATTATGAGAAAACAGTTCATACAATAGACAGATTGCCTATTTAACCTAGAAATCTTTATCACAAAAATAACTTTATAATTAAAAATAGAAACATTTAAAATCCTAAACTGCATAGATATAACTAAAGACACTAAGTAATCTACGACTAAAACAACAATATTTTCATTTAAAAACGTACTCTATCGTTCTTCATCAGAAAATCACGTGAATATTGGAAATAACCCGACCTTTGAACTTCTCAAACTAAATGTTTACAAATCATGTCGTGATGTCATCAGCAATGAACCAAGAAAGGTCGTGACCCTTACATCCGGGCTAGTCGTCATGTGTGACACAGTGACAGACGGTGGAGGATGGACCATCTTCCAAAGACGTGTGTCTGGGACCGTAGATTTCTACCGCGGCTGGGAGGAGTACAAACACGGGTTTGGGGATTACGGCATTGGGGAATTTTACCTGGGCAATGAAAATATTTTCTGTCTGACTTCTAAATCCGCCCACGAACTTCGTGTTGATCTAGTCTACAACGCCACCTACTACGTCAAGTACTCCAATTTCCAACTGCTCAACGAGTTCCAAGGCTACAGATTAAATGTCTCGGGTTATTCCGGAAACGCCGGAGACTCACTGACGGAACATAACGCCCAAATGTTTACGACCTACGACCGAGACAACGACGCCCAGGGTACCGTTAACTGCGCTGAGACGTACCTGGGCGCCTGGTGGTACAAGGCCTGCCACCAGTCCAATCTGAACGGCAAGTGGCGTGACGTCACCTACGGGGAGGGCCTCAACTGGCTCACTCTCACGGGCTACTACGAGAACGTGATCTTCTCCGAGATGAAGATGAGAGCCGTCTGACGTCGCGGTTTACTTTCGACCTCAACCGTTTTGGGTAGCTGGTATCTTTGTACATTCTTCAATAGTGTTGTTGTTATAGATCTAAGAAGTCGACCATAAATGACGTTACACTCGTTGGGGGAGGGGGTCCGAAATTTTGTGACGGTGTGTGATGAGAAGGAGGGGGGGGGGCAGATGGTGTGACGTCACACTTTTGCATTATTAAAAAAAGCAATATTAGAAAACGAATTCTAGCCGTTATTTCGCGTTTTAGAAAAAAAAATTATAACTTTTAATACGAATTGATTAAAATACTCTATGTTGACATAGTTCAGAAAAATTAAACTGCTATTTTGAGGGGGGGGGGGTTGTAGGCTGAGGTGTGTGACGTCATTTTAGGGGGGGGGTCTGGCTTTTTGTGAAGATATGTGACGGAGGGGATGGGGAAGGTAAAAATCGGCCAAAAAAGTGTGACGTCATTTATGGATGAACCCTTAACTAGAATTTCATTTTTTTTCTCATGAAACATAGACCTCTTCGGTCGAAATTTTTAAAAAGGTACTTTTTTCAAACTCTCCAACCAGTAGCGTACGCAGGGGGGGAGCAGGGGGAGCGGCCGCTCCCCCTCTGGCCATTTTCAGCAAAGTGGCGCCTTTTTGGAAACTTTTTAAACTCAAAGTTTTAACAATGATATTTGTTAAAAAATAGTTTTGGTCGGCACATGTAAATCACAAGATTTCTTTTCATGAGGCAATAAGCATTATTGTACAAGTCTAGTAGTGTCAACGTTTACAACACGTATTAACAGCTGCATCAGTTTTCCATTCTAAAAATAACCATTACGATGCATTGCAATGTTTAAAACGTCTACGGGTAGTACCACTTGGCAAGAGGGGTGTTAAGTTTAAGGCAACTGTATAATGTATTTGCTTACGAATAATTGAATTAGAAAATGTTATACATAAAACTTCACACATAATTACTTTATATATACAGTTTAAACCGTGTTATTAATTTTTTTAAATTACAATACAGAAACAAATACAACTGATGTGGCACCTCTATTTAAATTTACTTATGGGCGAACTGCGTAGCGGTGGGGAAATTTTGACAGGTCAAAAACGTCATCACGATGAAGTAGTAGTATTATGACAGTTTGGGCGATAGTGATTACGATTACAAATTATATGAATCTGTTACAACCCCCCTCCCCCATGGACCCCTCTGTAAAAAAATATTGTCATAATACCACTGCTACTTATTTAAATCTATTTCTGAATCAGTATACATGTGTAATTTATATGTATGTTTAGAACAGTCATCTAAAAAACTGACGCTATGTTCACTCTGAGTTGGTTATCTCCCCCCCCCCCCCCCCCCCCCCCCACCTCACCACCACAATTGTGTAGAGCGACATTAATGTCACACCTAGGTATACACTGGTTTGGATAATTGACCTAAAGTGACCGCACAGTAGTGAATGAAGTTACCCCCCCCCCCCACCCCCAACCCACCCCGAACTGATCTGTAAAGTACTTTTGGGAAAACGCGTAATGATGTACCAAAGTACCATGCCGCCAGAAAATTAGCTTTTTAAACGTAAAAATATGTGACTATTGTTTTTGCAATTACCAGTAAAAGGGTGTGTGATCAATACAGTGATCTAACCCTTACCTATCACTATGTTAAAAAATGATCTTTAAAGAACACAAAGAAGCAGTAGTTAATTAAAAACATATGATCTGAACTAAAAGACAGATATTTAGTTAAATGTAGGCTGTTATTCCGACTGCTTTCTATTAAATAGAAAAGCGTGGTTTTATACCAACTCTGATTTCAAAAACTTTCATTATGCTGTAATACTTAAGCAGTAGCGTAGCGAGGGGGGGGCGGGGGGGCATATGTCTCCGGGCGCCGAGCTTAGGGGGCGCCAAAATGGGTTGGAAAAATAAATTGAAAGGTTGAGGGGGGTGCAAATTGAAAGTTTGAGGGGGGGGTGCTAATCAAAATCTCGAGGGGGGGTGCAAATCGAAAGTTTGAGGGGGGTGCAAATCAAAATCTCGAGGGGGTGCAAATCAAAAGTTTGAGGGGGGGCTGCAAATCGAAATCTCGAGGGGGGTGCAAATCGAAAAGTTTGTTTCCGGGCGCCGGGAAGGGTCGCTACGCCACTGTACTTAAGCATTTATGATGACGATATATTTAATTCTGATTACAGACAAAAACATTATGTAAACACGAACAGTGTTAAACAATTTCATTATATTCTAAAGTAATTATTTATCTGTTTTGACATTTATAATTAAATGTGTAGAATTTTTTTTTACAAGAATTACAAAACAGATTATGTTACGTTCATTGTTTTTGGTTGTAGTGTGTGTACATTTTGTTTTTGTTTAGATTGATACAATTTTTGTTTTGTCGGCCTACACTGTGTGTTTTTTCTTAATTCTTCAGAGTGCTACTTTCAATTTATTTTACATCATAGCGAAGTAATGACATACAGCTAGTAATTATATATATATATATATATATATAAAATACACTTATATAGAACGTGTTAAAAATTCGACGCCTTTTTTGCTCTTTTCGCTCCCCCTACAACGAAAACCTGGATACGCCTCTGTCTCCAACACACTCTTATGTGCTTGGTTAAATTTATCAACTGCCTTGTTTATAGAATACAGTTCCCGTAAATTAGACACCTAGGTAAAGGGAGAAAATAGGGAAGAAGGAAAAGAAAAAAGGGGGAGGGGGGGGGGGGGCTGATTCTGACGATAACTGAAATAACCAAACTATACCGGCAAAAAAGTGTGCAAAAATGTTTATATAAATGTTAACAACTGTAACAATCCTTCTCGACCCTTACACCTCAGCCTGTTAAACATAGATGCGTGCCAATTTTCTCACGACTTTATGTCTGGTATACTATGGACCGAAAAGATGCGCGAAGGAGAACTGAGCAGCGGAACACCGCGCAGAAAAAAAAAGTGCACAATGGCATTTTATTTTATTTTTAACCAGCATTTAAAATCAAAGATTGACTACGTGTACATTGTAGCATAATAAAATATATTTCCACGAAATATGAAAAAAATTAATTTTGTATGTGCGCATTTTTCTGATGCGCAGTTTTCCGATTGCGCATTTTTGTGGGAGCCTTGTTTTGTGTTCGGTGTTTCTTTGGTTGTTCCCCTATAAGAGTTATTGATAGACGAATCATTATACGTGATAGTTTCAGACATCGATTTCCTTGTATTTTTATTTAGTACACACTCATGTACCAATAAATCTAATGAATTCCAGTATTCGCTATTGTCGTTGTTGTTTTTTTCTCATTCGGTAGTACCGTATTTAAAGTGCATGATACAACATTAGGACACATTCGCTCAATGCGTTCTTCTGTTGTGAGGATACAATAGAGTATCGAAGGGAAACCGATTGATTTGTTCTAATTAAACATATTTTTTCTTAATTTTCAATAACGGCAACCAATGTTTATTTTGTTTTGAAGCATCGTCTTATAGAAGTTTTAGCACTTTTAAAATAAGAATACTTAAATATCTGTGTTTGGTTTAAATAATTTTAGAACGTTTTAAAATATTTAAATAACATGTATGAACAAAATAAAGATTATCTTTGATCTTGCTTAAAGTATTTAAGATCAACAACAGTTCTGCAAGATCATTCACATAAAAAGTTATATGTGGTGCTCCTTGTAGTGAGATCGTGTACATATAATCTCCATTCGATTTTCGTAAAAAGTAAAGAAAACTATAGATCTACATCACGTTTTATTATTTGTGTACAAAAACAAAACGGTTTTTGCTTGGTAGTGTTGAATATTCAAAAAACAGTTTGTGATAGGGGGCACTTTATATTTTAACAAAGAGCACCTATTCTATTGACACCAGTGGTCTTTGTGCCACCATTATGAGCAGTGTTTCTTCCAGATTTTTTTCTCCGGGGGGGGGGGCACTTGAAATCTTCGGGGGGCGGTAAACTTTCTTGGGGGGGGGGGACACTGTTAAAAGTATTTATTTTCTATATAAATTATATAAATTTCATTTCGTTCGGGGGGTGGGGGGCGGTAAAAAATTCGAAGAGATGCCTGGAAGAAACTCTGATTATGAGACGGCATGTTTTAGACAATCGATAACTGTTTTGAAAGTTTTTGTTTTATTGATGTATCTCAAATCATTTGAACACCAGCGCTAATGTAAAGGCATAAAGATACAGTATTAGATTTTTTTTACAACTCTTTTAGAACAATACAATATTGTTTCGGATTTGTTTCTGTTCATCCACTATCATTGCTAAGCTTATGATAGGGCTTTGGTGTATGGATAGGGTCAGGACTAGCGTTTACAATTTCTTTCAGGCTATCTCTTCTTCTCCACCTCGCTTTAAACAAAAAGGTATCAAACGAAAATTATTAATTTTCATCGTATCATTTAGTAGTTTTAAGAAATTCAAAAAGTTAGTTACGTCACATTCTTTCCGTACGTACCTCTGCTGGTTTTCCTCCCCTTCCCCCCCCCCCCCCTTTTCCACAGTATGCTTCCATACTTGCTGACATTTTTAGACATTCCATCCATTTCTCCATTACTGAGCCCCCACCCCTCCCAGTGTCATGACTAGGATTTGGGTGTGCTACAAGCATCACATAATGGCATGTGTACACGAACCAAATGTTATTTTTACAGCTCTGGTACCTTAAGAGTATAACGGACAATTCTACCGCATCAATACGTAATTTAACATCGATCGAACCTTAAACTTGAACCATTTATTGAAGACATGGATGAGTCGGCGTAGACACGATATCATTCAATCGAACTTCTTATTAAGCAGTTTCTTACATGAATATTTTTTTTCCGGGAGGAGGCAATGCCCCAAAGGTGCGCAGTCTACCCCCCCCCCCCCTGCAAGGTATGCTCTATAAACGAATGGTAAAGGTGTAAGTAAGGAAATCTGGTGAAGATAGACTACATTTCACAAATTCATTTTTATACACGAGGGTCCACTGAGCTTGATAGCGGGTTTGCCTGTCATTTCTCAGGAACATAGATCACTTACCTTTTATTTAAACCCTTCAGCCCAATCCTAATTTATAAAAGCCCAATGTGCGCACATCTCTCTCTCTCTCTCTCTCTTTCTCTGTCCGCAAAAAATTTTCGCCGGACATCACGTCAGAATCGGCAGCGATATATCGAGAATTTTTTACGGACTTTTGTTGAAAATAATATGTTAGATGTTTTAAATGTATAACCACAATTTTATTTAAAGAAGAAAAATAAAAATTTAAGGCGTATTCGAATGTAGAGAAACAGTATTATTTATGCAACCGGAAAAGCATTAATATATGTGAAAAAGAACGCATAAAACTGTGACGTCACTATTGCTTATACATTAACTATTGACGTCATCTGCCTAAATAGCGAAGATGTTAGTGTACATTAAACCACGCAGGTGGTGCGGGTTCGAGACACAGCAAGTCAACTTGGTTAATGTATTTATTTTTATTATGCTCGGGCTAAACTTAAAAAAAAATTCTTTTAGGAATCTAGATCTAGATCTAGATTGTCGGGTGTCCGATAGGGCACTTCCCGGCGCCGCAGGCGCTTCAAATTTGGCAGGATCTTGCCTTGGGGCGACAGAACACGGGGGCCGGTTGGCCGAAAAGTCTACGATGAGGGGGTCAAAACTGACCTCGACTGACCGGTACCTTATATGAGCTATAAATCGAAAAAAAATGTCCACGGATTAAACCTCTTCATAACTCTTGAGGTCGTAGACCGACCCTCGGGCGAATTAATTAAGCATGCAAATTCTCAATGTTTTCGAAAGCCTAAGCGAAGCTGGGCAGCATGCCTAGTTGGAAATAAACTCCAATCCTAAATAATTTTATTTAAAGCTTTAAAAGTACTAGGGCTGTAACTATATGTATAAAAAGACAACAACAAAAAAGTAAACAGTAGGATTTATATTTTCATATTTATTCCATAACAGCCTTCATCAAAAATGTACTGTGGTGTAAAAGTAGCACACAAAAATGTCTGTACCCTAAAAAGCATCTTTCAACAATGTAAATTCAAATTTAAAAAAAAAAGAGAAAAAGTATTGTGGTTACCTTAAATTGGGTTGTGTGTATTTAACACCCACATTATGGGAGGAGGGGTTAATCTTAAGCAGACAAGAAATAAATGTGTTAGTAGAATGGCCAATAGAGGTTAATCAACAAATAACTTTTTTTTTTAGATAGAACTGTGGTTATCTTTTGTTTGTTTTTAAATAAATGTGCCCAAATAGTAAATTACATTGACAACACATTAATAATTTACGTGTAAAAAAAACAATTTTTAGCAAGAATTCTTTACATAAATGACTGCGCAATGACGGAATGTAGTTACTTAAGAACATCCGCAAATTTCATTTTTCCGCAACACTACGCTCTGATGTGATACAAAAAAAATTAAGTCGCCATTATATAACAGACTATTTCCTTAGAAATAGAAAGGTGCTTTAACAAGGACACAGTGTAAAAACATTTGTTAGTTAAATTAACATTTATAATAGGACAATTTGTGTTACAATTCATTTACATGAAAACTTGAAATTCAAATTAAATTCACAATAGGTAGGCCTAGAAATTTTTGTACATCTTTCAATAGGTTGTGACCCCTTTCACTATTAAGGATTTTAATGTAAATCGAGCATAATTTAAAGAAAATAAAAATTAGCTCAAAATTAAAGCGTAAAATCTGAAATATTAAAACTTCAATAAACAAAATACATCATTAATGTTTAGCTTGAAATTGTAATGATATTTGCTTTATTTTATAAAGCCTTAAGTCAGCATATTTTCTTAAGTTGTCAAATGCATTCTTCTATTTCAGTAACTCTCCACAATCATCAAGAGGAAGGGACATGGTAAGCTTGATATGAAGAGTACCACAACTCACCGGAGTGCTTTAGAGACCTGAAATAATTACACACAAGTTACCATGGTTTCCTATTGAAATCTTAACATTTTTTAAATTGTGGAAGATGGCATGGTCAGCCTAGCTAAAAATAAATCAAATATTTTTTAGTTATTCCAATTCCTATTTCCTATACTATTTAAAATTCAAAATAAAGTTACTGTGATGGCGTAAACTTTTATATGTAGGGTTGACAATACATTTGACAGGATTAAAAGTAGATTATGACAGAGACAGTTGATTAATGACATTTTAGAGTTAGCCAATAATTAAAAAAGACAATGTATGGGTTATATAGCAACTTTTATTTGTTTGGTTTGTTGAAATATGAATAGAATATTGTCTCAGCCTAAGCAGACAATGTATGGGTTATATAGCAACTTTTATTTGTTTGGTTTGTTGAAATACGAATAGAATATTGTCTCAGCCTAAGCAGACAATGTATGGGTTATATAGCAACTTTTATTTGTTTGGTTTGTTGAAATATGAATAGAATATTGTCTCAGCCTAAGCAGACAATGTATCGGTTAGATAGTAACTTCTATTTTTTTGGTTTGTTGAAATACGAATAGAATATTGTCGCAGCCTAAGCAGAATGACATAGACATGACAAGAAAACCGCCGGTCAGTAGGCAAGCATAGGACAGGAAGATTTACTTTTAGTTTTCAATATAGGTTAGAAGTATTAGTCTATATTGCATTTCCGCAGTAAATGTTCTATGCAGAATGACAGTCTTCAAAGTGTTTTTATTAAACACACTGACATTAATTCATTCCCATCATCACTTGTAGCAAGATAGATCAGAAACAGCATTATTGGATTACACATACAGTTTAGATTATAGAACAAACCATCACAATTACTTCTTAATATACCACATGGGAAAATGAATAAATTTTACAACAATGTCAACCCAATGAGCCTCAAGCACATACATTTTAATTTTGCAACTCTATACTCATATGCCCAAGTACGTATCAAACTCCTCACTGTCTGATTGACATACAATCTAGATGCAGAATTCAAGCCCCTAAAACAGTTTTAGCGATCAACAAAATAGCGACAAATTTAATGTTTATTTACTCCATGAAATTTAGGTCTGTCTAAATAAATGTCTGGGACAGAATGAATGGATAGTTACAAATAGTATGGGGCTGTAAGGGTTAACAGTCTTTAATTAGCCACTCACCTCACAATATCTGCTAAGCCAGTACTTAAGGATTTGACTTGATAAGAGATTCCATGTTTTTCACACAGTGACTTCACCAGGGGAGCAATCTTATAGAGGTTGTGACGAGGCATTGTGGGAAATAAACTATGGAAAAATATAATTGGTTAACTAAACAGTAATTGTGTGGATGTTACATACACAAACACAAAAGCTAAATATCACTAGTACTAAAAAGAATTACAAATCAGAGATTAAAACTAACACAACAATTTAAATTTAAAATTTGTGTTTTTTTTTTAAATGTTAATATTATGTAAGTATAAAAAGGACAAACATGTAATGTGTTCTATTATGAAAAACTTGACAATATAGGCCATATAAATTACAAGGTGCTAGACACTTGTGTTAAATATTAGTCACGAGCTGACCCGCGCCGTTAGCATACGCCGCTATTTAGTTGGTTTTAACCCTTGTACCCCAGTAAAAACAAATGTTTTGAACATAAACTTTACTTCCTGTAAATGTTGAAAATCAATGCCAACTCACTGATGCTCTATTTGGAAATTGAGATGCCCTGTGAACCAGTCATTGAAAAAACTTCTTTCAACATTACAGGTGGCTTTAAGCTGCAAGGCTAGCCAGGGTAGGGCTGTGTCATGCTCAATGTCCATTGGGATGTGGTTCGTCTGGGCCACCCAGGTAAACCAATTGCTCTCTAGAAATCTGGCAGTGGAAATTTTAAAAACATGGATCACAAATCTTTTTCATATCAAGGTAAATAAATAATTGATTTTATTGTTGTCATAAAGCATTAAAACTTCTAAAAAATAAATGATGGCTGTGAGTTAGAATTGACCTTATTAACCCGTAGGGTCAAAATGCTAAAAATAACCAACTTTATAACAGTCAGTCGAAAGAGTGAGAGGGACTGTGTGGCCTAGTGGTAGAGCGTCAGACTGCTATCCTGAAAGTCTGGAGTTTGAATAGTACTGACAAACTATCCCTTCATATGCTGAGGTCACAGAAATATAGGGAACTCAACTTCACTTGCCCCATGGACCTTCAGGTTCGAAAATGGAACATGGAACTTTATTTTTACAAAAAGGTGCTCCATCAGGTCTACAAGTATTAAATCGATCCTGTGTTTGGTCAAAATGGAAAGTTTTCAAGCTTGCGCCATATTTGAAAACTTAAAATCCATTCTCCTCAGAAATAGGAAATGTGGACTTTGTAATTTCTGGTTCTCAACATATGTTAAGCAAAGGCACATTATCTAAATATTTTAAATCTTGTATTAAAAGTGTCAGTAGTTGTTCTGGTCTGGATTGTAATCACAGAACTCACCTGAAGGTGAAATAGTAAAGAACAGCATATCCAAACCCCAGCAGTGGAGAATACAAATAGAAGAACTTTGTGAAGAAAATTATCAGCATGGTAAGATCCTGTAAGACAAGGATATAAATATACTGTTAAAACTATTATAAAAGTGGTTTTAAATACTTTTAAACATTAGAAAAAAAATTATTTTTATTTTAAATTTCTTAGAAACTAGTAAAGTTTATACAAGATATTGAATACCAGAAAACACCAAAAGTTAAAATTATCATTTATCATTTTTAAATTTTAAAAAAAATTGTATTATGTACTTGATGAAGATTTTCAATTTTATATTAATTTTATTAATGTACACATTAAGCTAGAGAAATTCCATTAATGAGTGAACTAACCAGCCAGGCTCTCCTGGTAAAGATGTAGCGAAAAACCATGATCTGGAAGTAGACTGGGAAGAGGAGGGGTGGTCCAACTGTGAAAGTGTACAAATGCGTAATGCATATTTAAATATTTTAAATTTGCAACCAATTCCAAGGCTCTGATACTAAAATAACACAAAAATGTATAATCACTCATGAGTAAAGTACAAAAACTTGAAAGACCTTAAACAATGTTTAACAAGTAAGGCAGGAGAGCTATCTCCATTAATTCACTAAGCTTTGTTGTTGAAAATAGCTAAATCAATAGTAACAACCAGCGAAAAAAAAAATGTGTTCTAAATGTCTGACAAACTACCAGTAACAGAGAAACTGACTTACTGAGAAAAAAATAGTAGCTCTGCCAATTGTATGGCATGGTTTTCTCCTTTTTCTTGGCTATTTCAACTGGCATTATGTTCCCCAAAACAAACAGCGTTTCCTGGCGCACATCTGGGTCTTTGTCTATCTAAGATTCAACAAAAACAGAATCTTAATTTTATGAAACAATTATGCTGATGTTTTTCTTTTAGGATAAATAGCAATTTTATGTTTTAACCAACTGTAATATCGAAACAAATACTAAAATTTAATCTTAGATTAATTACAATCCTGCAATAAGACTAAATAATTTTCAAGGCTATTTTTCATTGTCATAATAAAACTTTACTGAAAATTTAAAAAAAAAAATTTAATGAACTGTTGTTAAATCACTATACTTTGTAGCTAAAAAAAAATCCAATATAAAGTTAAATTATTAAAGGCTATAGAATTATAATAAATGAACTTGAACTTAATGACTGGAATGATTTTTAGATCTTTCATTTGGAATAAAATATCTTATCAGTGCATCAATTAAATGGTGTAAGATATATAATACATTATTCTATGGAGCACAAATCAATTAAATGAGTATTAAAATCGAAAACACACAAGTGCAGTTAAGTTGCATGCTATTTCTAACATAATTTTAGCTTCAGAAAAGAAAATTCCTGAAAAAAATTCCTCTTTAAAAATATGTGATGAAACTATTACAACTTAAAGTACCATATGCTTCAAAACTTAAAAGCATGTCATTTTAAAAATGAACACTCAATACTACTAGTGTACTCTATTTGAAACAGTCAGTAATAAAAACTGAAAACTTTTGTTCTTAGTATGCACTGATTTAGGAGGGATCATGCACATTTAACATAAAAAATTGACATTTTTAACCAACATCATATCATAAGTAGACCACCTTATCCCCATGTGACATATAACAAATCCAGCTATTACAACTCAAATATACAAACCAGTAAATGACAAAATGTTTGTACAGAAAATTTGTTTAAAAAGCGCATTTTCTATTCTTGCAAAAATTTTGTTTCAATTTTGATACATAGTTTCTATAAAATAAAATATTAAACGTTTAAATCAAATGTATAACATCAAAATCTCTTGACCACCATACCCAAATAATATAACAATATATCAAACTACAGCTCAATCTTCTTTGTGTTATATCACACGTGTGCATGATCCCTAACAGATTATCTTAGGTGCAGTCTATAAAAATATTAGAAAAACTGACAGCATTGCCATAGCAGTTAATATTGTTTTGGCATTATATACTTCTTAAATATGTTACTTCTACTCAAGGATCTTAATTTAATTCTAGTTTTACTATTCATACGTTTTTCTTGTAAACTAATGAATGTTTTGTGTTGTTTATATTAGAAATTTATCATTTATAAGTTTTTATAAATTTATATCACTCATCTCTTAATGATTATTACTTATACAATTAAAAAAATTACAATGTGAATAACCTTTAATTGTTTTAAAAAAATTTTAGAATCCCTTAAGTTTTTTTTGTTTATAAATCAAAACAAATACATTAATATGAATTTCTGCTGACTGAAATAAATAAAATAAGCACAAAAAATGCTAAATATGCTACAAATTAAAGTGAATTAAAAAGTGTAACCAAATCTAGCTAGAAATCTAATGAACACAAGGGATGCAGCCAACACTGTAGGATTACCTCCACTTGTGGCCACTGATTAATTACCTAATCTATGGCCAAGCTCACGTATTCAACAGTCCAATCAATTATGTGCCTGTGGCAACCACATATTGATCATTAACAAACCAATCTGGGTGGTATAACAAGCAAGGGCAAAAATTATAAAGCAATCCAGCTGGTTGCTAGTGTGGTGATAATAAAATTGGTTTGTTTTGTTGTTTTTTCTGGCATAAAATACTAAAAAAAGGATTCACACTTTTTTACCTCAATTTTAAAAAAGCTGTAAAAAAATTGGGGTTTTTGGCAAAAAAGGATTTTGTTTTTGCTTTATTGATTGTAAACAATACTGAATGTTATTATAGTATTTAATGTAACAAAGGGTTGAAACATGACAAGAAATGTATCAATAAAGTGCACCTACCACATTTGGTTTGGCATGGTGCTGAAAGTGCATGTGGTTCCAAAAGGATGCAGACATACCCTGAAATAGAAAACAAGGGAGTTAATTAACATGTCAAACTAGATATGTTTTTAGAATGGTGTGAAGGAGTTTAAAAACTACTGTGCCAACAGTGTTGGAAATAAATCATACGAGCCGACCCACGGCGTATCATACGCCGCTATTTAGTTGTTTTATTTTCTACTTTTCAGTAATTCATAATTTGTGAATTCAACAGTACCAACGCTGCCACTGAAAATATTTGCTTTAAAACACTTTCAGTAGCTCGTTAAGGACGATAACCTCCCCCCTCCTCCTTTCCCCAAACCCTACCCCACACCCCCCCTCTGTGAAAGTAAACTCCTCTTAGTTACCTCCCCTAAGTTTAAAATAGTTTCAAACAAAATTATCTGCCCCTAATAGCCATCACTAAACCCATCTCTACGATTGTAAACATTTAGTGTGAACAACAGCTAACCAGACCATGTAGGGGTGGGGGTGGTAGGAAGCGCGCTTACAGCTTGGTGTTTTCTATCGTCTCCAAGAAGAGAATTATATATATAGATTCTCCATTGATGAACAGTGTTGTAATTGAAAAAAAAATTATTTGCTTGAATTATCAGACAAGACAAGTTAATATACAGAATTCCTAATAGAACACATTTTTAAAAAGTTCTATCCAATTTAATGATTTAATTTTATGGTTGAAACTATGACTTTTAAACTCCTTTGTTCTTAATTCTTGTGTTGGAAGGGATTCCCTCCAACACAATAAAGTATTACATGTCAACTTGTTATGGGCCATATAAGCAGTTGAATTCAATTTCAGCCTGCTTTTCTTTTTGGATTTGCTCCCAACCAAGAACAAACTAGAAGGAAGCAGTTGTTTGATTTTGGAGTTGTCTCTCCTAGATGAGTAGCTGTCCCCAGCTATCGAGCCTCATCTGCCCTGGGGTTCGAACTCTGGATTTGTTGGCTCAGCAACAATGACCTTAACAGAGTTAACCAAATTCCAAAAATGCCCATCTTATCTAAAAAGATTGTATCCCTTTTAACATCAATCAAGTGTTGCATATTTGATTTGTATACATCCCCAACCAAGACTAAAAAACATCTACACAAAACATGTTTCTTTTGTCCTGATTATTTCTTGTTTTAATTATTCTAAATAGTAGAAAAAGTGAAAGGGCGTTATGTTTTACCTTTATAATTCCCACGCTAAAATGATGCAGGACATGATTCCATTTAGAACTTTTAAACACAGACAAATGGCCCAGGTCATGTTGTAGCCATCCTATCTGAACCTGAAAGTTACAAAAAAAATTAATTTAATAAACGACTGATTAACTTTTACACAGCATTTTTATGAAGATTGATACACATTACAAAGAATAATAAGTTGGTCAATTTATGATAACAAAGTAATAGGCTGAACAAGTTTAAGAAAAATTAAAATATCATAACATGTCTGACCCAAATGAAAAAAAATTCTTCAATATTCTAAAATAAAAATCACTTTCATCCTAGATTGCAAGTAAATTACATTTCCTAACAGCTTTAAAAGTTTTCTAATTAAAAAATGTAGATCTTAAAGCATTTTCAAAATAGTTAGCACACATACAAATTAGAAAAAATGTGTTAAGCTTGTCAATTAAACATCAAACTCTGCACAATAAGGAAAGTATTTTCATTTTATCTAGTGAAATAAGGTAAAAGCTGTAATATTCATACATCTTTTTTTACTGGACTTACCTCTACAGTTGTTATAAATATGAGTGAAACCAGAACTGTAATCCAACTGGTCCCATAGTAGTACAATATAGCCCAAGCTGCCCAATCTAAAACTAGGATGTGGAGCATTTGCAAGAAGAAAAAGAAAAGGCTGGGCTTAAACAGGCCCTGTGGAAATAAAAATAGGAATATAATTAGGCAATATAAACATGATAAAATCTTAGTTTAATTGTTAAAAGCTTAAGAAATCCAAAAAACAATACTTTTAGTTGTTTATTTACAAAATTAGACTAAATGCTTCAATCACTAAATGCTTCAATCATGAGCAACAAACATGTTTGGGAAAGTAAAGGTGGCTGGGCAAAGTGCTGACCACACCTTCCCTTCATTGGACGAGGTTAAGAAACATGAATTCTACTTCATCTGCCCAATGGATCGCTAGGTCTAAATGGGATTCTTAACTTACAATTTACAAGGAAAATTTTATGAAAACATTCTTAAAAAGAGAATAAGAGTTTATATTAACTGTTATCAGTGAATATAAACTATTTTGCAAGAAAAATTTGACAATAGAATATAGAAAATTAAAATCTCAATTGCTAACACATCAAACAAAAAACAAAATATCAGAAAATAAAAATTATTGCAGCACATTACCATCTTTTCAGCAGATTCCCTAAGCACTCTAAAGTCTTGTTCAATGGGTGTGACATTTTTTGAATAGTCTTCTAATGTACCTATATGAATAGCTTTCATATACTTCTTGACAGCACTCAAATCATTGTGGAATGCTTTAAATGCATCCTGTAATTTAAAGACAAGAGTTTTTAAATCCAATTTTAAGGGGAATAATACATGGATCAATGTATTCATTTGTCCATTTTTAATTACACTGGCAAAGTATACACTTATTTTAAACTATAATTATGAACATGACTTTAACATCTGCAACTTACCCTATCTCCAACATCCTAATCATTGCTCTATAAATTATAATTTAAACCTGACAACTCTTAAATAGATACCAACAAGCTTAACAAAGTAATATTAAATATTTTTTTGTTGGTAACTAATAACATGGCCTAGATGTCATTAGTAGTTTTTTTAATCTTACTCCTTAACACTTGCAACATGGGTACTATAGGCTTGCATGTATAGAAAAAAATTTGCAACAAATTATTGTTATATGAAACAATTTTTCCCCACCGTATATGTATACTTATTATTTGTGATTCATTTTTTTACATGTATAGTATGCATGTAGCAAGTGTAAACTGTTGAAACAGGAAAATGACTCCAAGAATTGGAGGTACTGTGCTGTTAGTACAATAGTTTAGCTACTGTGTTAAACATGGTTAACTTAGGGCCCAGTAATCATTGTTAGCAGTTCATAAATAACTTATCACCTCCCTTTTTTTAACATGAAATCTATAGTTGAATAATAAAATTTAAAAATAGCCCATGGATTAATAACAGCTTTTGTCAGATGAAGCCTTATATGAATGTATTCATTTTCTCAATATTTAATTATTCATATATTTACTGCTATGTAGATACCTGTTGAATTCAAAAACTTATGTAAGTAGAACTTTAACTATCAACAGGGCTACTCTCAAAGAAGTAATAACATAGCTGCAGTAGTTATTTCTCTGCCAAGCACAAAAATAGAGGCCCAAGTATTAGAGCTGTGTATAAAAAATCTACAAGAGTACAGGCCTGGTTTGTGGATAATATAAAATCAGATACAGGTGTAGCAAGCTTTCAGGAAGAATAAAGCAAAAAGGTTGACAAAGACTGGCCTAATAAATATATTAATTAAGGCAAGTTAAAAATAGCATCAGCCATTTGACCTACTTTTTTATTGCATCACCCTAAATAAGAGTAGACTATTAAAATTCAATAGGCCTACATGAAAAACAAACTTTGCATTTCCACAGTCTTGCTAGACATTTGTAATTTACAGAGAATTTAATTCTACTTTAATTTGCAGACATTATACAAGATGAGGCCTACTTTATTAGCGGTATATTTTCATTTAAGCAATATCAGAAGTTTTAGTTCATTTTTTTGTGTTTATTATGCCTACCCTGCAAAAATGTAGGTTTTTATAACACATCATTTCATAATTGGTGATAAGTAATTTTTATAGGGCTTGTATACTGTATAGAGTTTATTGTTTGATAATGTGATTACACAGATTAGTGACTAAACAGGGGCTTTCTTCTACTAGTGCTTGATTAATGTAAAGGCTTCTACTACTTAAGCCTATTTAATAAAGCTAAAAAATAAGTAGTAAACCATTTAGAGAGTTCATCCTTAGCTATAAACAAGGGTGAGTAGTGACTTAACTCACACACTACAAAACGACCTTTAGCTAATGACCTGGACCCTCAACATTTTACATATCATATAATTATAGAGGCCCCGATGTGATTTGGCCCATCATATAGCCCTATTATACACTCAATTTACATGCCTATCTCCGAAATTACATTAAATATGTAGGACTAGGTATATTACTAGGCCTAGTCAATTTAGTCTGTAGTTTCTAGACGATAGAATTACTGTTCTCTATGGGCCCTAAAGATTTTAGTCTGCTGTCATTTTATAATGCAGTATATTTTTTTATCTAAAGCCTTAAAGCCTTACTAATTTCATTATGCCTATCCTAGATCTATATAATATTATGTAGATATAGAAAAAATCTAGATCTAGTAACTAAGAATAAGATGTAGATCTAGGTTGTGTTGGCTTTTATTAGACCAAAACTTGTATCAGTTTCATACGACTTGACTAGACCTAGATCTAGGTAGTTAGTCTAGTAGATCTAGATTCTACTAGATCTCTAGATCTACAATCTAGATCTACATTCTACTAAATCTACTAGAGATCTAAATCTAGATCTAGATTAGATTCTAAATCCCAAAAATCTTTTTCTTTTCTCTTCTTAGTCTTACTTAACTCTTATTAAAATCTTAATGACTTTTAATTTTTAATCTTATTCTAAACTAGAATCTAGATCTAGATCTAGATTCTAGTTCTAGATCTAGATCTAAAATCTAGATCTAGATTCTAGATGTCTACAGTACTCTTGCACTCAACAGCTGTTTTGTGTGACCGTGCCGTGTGTTCAACTTGTCAACGTGTAAGATGTTTTGAGAAGTTTACTTACTGTTGCATCTTGACCAGCATAGTGGCTAATAACTTTAGATCCTCCGGGATGTTTTGCTGCCCATCGTGTAATATTATAAACTTCACCATCGATGACTAACCATTTTTCTTCACGGGTAGTTTTTTCTTTGATAATGTCCCAACTAATTCCATCTCGTTGTCGTGTAACTGTCACTCCATTGGATTCACCTTGACCTCCTTTACCCATTATCAACAGCACTTCAAAACGTAAATTGTCACGCTAACCTACACTGTCAACCTAAAAACGGTCAAGTAAAGTATTCCATTTGATAAGAAGTATACCGCTAGCGTGTTAAACGTCAACAATGGTGAGCATGTTACTTCGGCAATGCGTCTGTAGTCGATAAAACACACTAAAACATTTTATCGACAAACCTGCACGCGAGGAAACAGATGAAACGCGGCAGTGTATTGGCTAGGGGAAAGGGGCAGCATCTGTCATTTGCGTATTAGCCTAGGCCTTAGGCCTTTTTTTTTAAGAATGGTTTACTTTTTAATCATTGAGCTATGAATCGTCGCCTGCCATTACCTACTAGGCTACATTAATTAAATTAGATCTATCTAGAGACATTTTATTAATATAAAAATGCCGACGACGTAAGTCTCTAGTGAAATGTATGTCATTGTAGCTAAATCAAATACGTTACATAAGTTTTACCTTTAACAGGTCGATAGAGTACCGCTAAAAAGTAAATTTCGCAATTTAAATGTTTTTATGGCAATAGTAGATCAAAATTGATTACTGGTAAGCAGAGTTTCTCCCAGGCATCTCTTCGGGGGGGGCAAAGCCCCCCGAAATTTTTTTACCGCCCCCCCCCCCCCCCCGAACGAAATGAAATGTATATAATTTATATAGAAAATATATACTTTTAACCAGTGTTTCTTCCAGACTTTTTTCTCCGGGGGGGCACTTGAAATTTTCGGGGGGGCGGTAAACTTTCTTCGGGGGGGCGGACACTGTTAAAAGTATATATTTTCTATATAAATTATATAAATTTCATTTCGTTCGGGGGGGGCGGTAAAAATTTTTCGGGGGGGCTTAGCCCCCCCCCCCCCCGAAGAGATGCCTGGAAGCAACTCTGCTTTTAACAGTGTCCGCCCCCCCGAAGAAAGTCTACCGCCCCCCCCCCCCCCCCGAAAATTTCAAGTGCCCCCCGGAGAAAAAAGTCTGGAAGAAACACTGCTGGTAAGCCTTATTAGTATTTAGTTGGAAAGAATTTTAAAAAGTAAAAATATGCAGGTTTTTTTTATAGTTGAAATTTTACTTCTCATACTAGACTGCAAAATTATTGACTGTAAAATGAATAGTGGAAGGGAGAATTGAAGTCACTTATGCTCAGAGTTTCTTCCAGGCATCTCTTCCAGGCCCCCCCCCCCCCCCCGAACGAAATGAAATTTATATAATTTATATAGAAAATATATACTTTTAACAGTGTCGCGCCCCCCCCCCCCCCGATCAAAAGTCTACCGCCCCCCCCCCCCCCCGAAAATTTCAAGTGCCCCCCCCCCCCCCCCGGAGAAAAAAGTCTGGAAGAAACATTGCTTATGCTTTTAATGAGGGAGAACCGGAAAAAAAGGAAAATAAATCATCAACATAAAATGTCAATCTTGGTGGGTTTTTTCTTTCTTCCTAGCAGCCTATTCTACTGTCGATCATGGCTACTTGAACTAGTAAAAAAAAATTAAAATTTACAAATTATGAACATTTCCACTGCGAAAATTGATATAATTGATATCGCTTATGTATGGTTGATTTTTTTTACCTGAACCCCTTCCCCCCCCCCCCCCCTTTTTGTGTGGTTTTTTTTGGGGGGGGGTCTTTCTTTGTGTTTTGTTTTTCTTTAGACATCGTTTAGTTGTCTACAGTTGGGACATAGGCGGATCTAGATATGTATTGCGTGTGGGCACATGGACGTTCTGATCTGGGCGACCTTAATAATGGGTATTTGCAGTTGAAATTGTGACCTTTTAGCAAAGGCGTAGCGAGGGGGGACGGGGTGGGGACATATGTCCCCGGGCGGCGACATTAGGGGGCGCCAAAATGGGTTGGAAAAACAAATTGAAAGTTTGAGGGGGTGCAAATTGAAAGTTTGAGGGGTGGGTGCAAATCGAAAGTTTGTCCCCGGGCGCCGGGAAGGGTCGCTACGCCTCTGCCTTTTAGTTTAGGAGAATGATGTCTTTTTGAGACTGAGGTGGAGGGGCGTCTCAAGTTGCTCTTAACGTCATTAGTGCCCCCCCCCCCCCAACCTAAAATTCCAGTTTTAAACCAGGATATGAACTTACGCCCTCAGACAAAGTAATTACACTTTTTAATCGAATGTTTGAAATAATTATGTCTCTAGTTTAAATTATTTAACATGTATAATTGTTACGCGATTTCTTTTTACTGATTAAGATTTCTTTTTAAAAATTCCATTTATTAGCCAGTGGCTATATGTTTGGGGCTGAATGGGGGGGGGGGTGACCTAAGCCCAATTTCTTTTTATTAACTTGAAGAGAGTATAATTAGGGTTTCTTTGATATTTTTCTTACGCTGTGAGGGGGTAGGGAAGCATTTGAAACTCGTAGAGGGAACGGACAAGAGGCGTAGCGACCCCTTCCGGCGCCCAGGGACAAACTTACAATTTGGCGCCTCGCCCCCCCCCCCCATGTATTTTTTATATTTATAATTCAAAATAGTAGCTAAAATGAGCTTATTTTGGCGCCCCTAGGGTCGGCATCCGGGCAGAGTTTCTTCCAGGCATCTCTTCGGGGGGGTCGCCGCCCCCCCGAAAATTTTTTACCGCCCCCCCCCCCCCCCCCCCGAACGAAATGAAATTTATATAGTTTATATAGAAATATATACTTTTAACAGTGTCCGCCCCCCCGAAGAAAGTTTACCGCCCCCCCCCCCCGAAAATTTCAAGTGCCCCCCCCCCCCGGAGAAAAAAGTCTGGAAGAAACACTGCACCCGGGGACATATGTACCCCCCCCCCCTCCCCCCTCCGCGTCACTACGCATCTGGAACGGACACTGGTTAAAGAATATATTTTTATATGTTATATATATATATATATATATATTCTCTATTTCGACCGGGAGGAACCGTGTCGGTTGTAAAGTTTCGCCTCTGAATGATGCGAATTTCGCCAACACCGCTGACCTCTACTCTCCAACCCACTCTCAGCCCGATAAGATAGCAGCTATGAGATAAACTAGAAGGGAAAACTGCTGTGACAGCAAGAAGTGGCTTTTCATGGCCACGGCGTCGACGCTAATCAAGGTCAGGGACACACTACGTTCCAACCTTTCATTCATGATTCATGGTGTTTGGCAGTACTAAAAATAGAATCTTAAAGTGCGTGTTATGATTAGATAGGTTTTTTTTAATTGTTTTTTTACTTTCTCGTATATACGAAGTATAGAGAAAGTCTTGTAATCGTGCAAAAAAAAAAAATCGAGATTTTTGCAAATCTCGACGTTTTACATCTCACTGATACGGAAAAACATAATTTTGCAATCTTGTCCGTATGTCTGTGTGTCTGTGTGTGTGTCTGTGTGTGTGTGTGTCCGTGTGTAAACACGATAACTTGAGTACCGTTACAGCTAGGTTGATGAAATTTCATATACAAGTATTTTATCAAAATCGTAGATCCGTATCAACTTTTGAGCGATTTCGGATAACCGGAAGTGGTACTTTTTCTACTTTGAATTTTTCAAAAGCCTATAACTTGAGTACTATTTCAGATAGATAAATGAAATTTGATATGTAAGTAAAAGATCTAATTCTCTACCTTCTGTCAAATTTTGAGAATTTTTCGTTGACTGGAAGTACTTATTTACGCTACTTCCGATTTCTCAAAAAACTAATGTAAATTTTAAAAGTACTAATAATATTGCGCACTATTATGCGCTTTTTTATTCGCGTTCACTTGGTGTGCAATTAATTTGTCTACGAGATTTTATTCTATTTTTAAAACTTTAAGTATTTAAAATGGATTAAAAATCATGTCTATAGCCCGAGTTCCCATCCCCTGTTATTTTATATAAGAATATTCGAGAAAGTTTAGGGGAGATCACTCCCGGTTTATTTTATTTAACCAACTGGTTGATAAGGGGAAGAGGGGGGGGCACTATGGAGTAGAGTTTATCTAAAAGTGATATCTCATTTCTATGACGTTTACATGGGGACTCCTGTTGACGCGGGAGGACGGACGGGCGTTGGGGGGGGGGGGGGGGTCGGATAATTACTAATTGCTTTTGGTGTAACTGATGTAACAAATAAAGCATACAAAATGTTTTATCTGTAAACCACAGAGCCGATGTAAAAAAACAAAGTAGGCGGGGGAACGTCCAGTATTTATTTCAGGCATATGCTCCTGTGGGGGGGGGGGGGGGGCACACCGGGGAAAAATGTCTAAAAGAAACACTGAGAACGTCTAGTCGGTAATATCAGACCTTTTTTTATGGTAGTTATAACCCCATCCATTCTACAGGATCTACAAAATGAATACTTCAGAAAATTGTTAGCCGTATGTTGTGTTACAGACCTTGTTATGTCTTGTCTACGTCTACTACACCAGTGTCTACGTCTACTACACCAGTGTCTACGTCTACTACACCAGTGTCTACGTCGACTACACCGGTGTCTACGTCGACTACACCGGTGTCTACGTCGACTACACCAGTGTCTACGTCGACTACACCAGTGTCTACGTCGACTACACCAGTGTCTACGTCGACTACACCAGTGTCTACGTCTACTACACCAGTGTCTACGTCGACTACACCAGTGTCTACGTCGACTACACCAGTGTCTACGTCGACTACACCAGTGTCTACGTCTACTACACCAGTGTCTACGTCGACTACACCAGTGTCTACGTCGACTACACCGGTGTCTACGTCTACTACACCAGTGTCTACGTCTACTACACCGGTGTCTACGTCTACTACACCGGTGTCTTCGTCTACTACACCGGTGTCTACGTCTACTACACCGGTGTCTACGTCTACTACACCGGTGTCTACGTCTACTACACCGGTGTCTACGTCTACTACACCGGTGTCTACGTCTACTACACCGGTGTCTACGTCTACTACACCGGTGTCTACGTCTACTACACCGGTGTCTACGTCTACTACACCGGTGTCTACGTCTACTACACCGGTGTCTACGTCTACTACACCGGTGTCTTCGTCTACTACACCGGTGTCTACGTCTACTACACCGGTGTCTACGTCTACTACACCGGTGTCTACGTCTACTACACCGGTGTCTACGTCTACTACACCGGTGTCTACGTCTACTACACCGGTGTCTACGTCTACTACACCGGTGTCTACGTCTACTACACCGGTGTCTACGTCTACTACACCGGTGACTACGTCTACTACACCGGTGTCTACGTCTACTACACCGGTGTCTACGTCTACTACACCGGTGTCTACGTCTACTACACCGGTGTCTACGTCTACTACACCGGTGTCTACGTCTACTACACCGGTGTCTACGTCTACTACACCGGTGTCTACGTCTACTACACCGGTGTCTACGTCTACTACACCGGTGTCTACGTCTACTACACCGGTGTCTACGTCTACTACACCGGTGTCTACGTCTACTACACCGGTGTCTACGTCTACTACACCAGTGTCTACGTCTACTTCACCACTGTCTACGTCTACTTCACCACTGTCTACGTCTACTTCACCACTGTCTACGTCTACTACACCACTGTCTACGTCTACTACACCACTGTCTACGTCTACTACACCACTGTCTACGTCTACTTCACCACTGTCTACGTCTACTTCACCACTGTCTACGTCTACTTCACCACTGTCTACGTCTACTTCACCACTGTCTACGTCTACTACACCACTGTCTACGTCTACTACACCACTGTCTACGTCTACTACACCACTGTCTACGTCTACTACACCACTGTCTACGTCTACTACACCACTGTCTACGTCTACTACACCACTGTCTACGTCTACTACACCACTGTCTACGTCTACTACACCACTGTCTACGTCTACTACACCACTGTCTACGTCTACTACACCACTGTCTACGTCTACTACGCCACTGTCTACGTCTACTACACCAGTGTCTACGTCTACTACACAATTGTCTATGTCTACTACACCACTGTCTATGTCTACTACACCACTGTCTATGTCTACTACACCAATGTCTATGTCTACTACACCAGTGTCTATGTCTACTACACCAGTGTCTATGTCTACTACACCAGTGTCTATGTCTACTTCACCACTGGCTATGTCTACTACACCACTGTCTATGTCTACTACACCAGTGTCTATGTCTACAACACCAATGTCTATGTCTACTACACCACTGTCTACGTCTACTACACCACTGTCTATGTCTACTACACCACTGTCTACGTCTACTACACCACTCTCTATGTCTACTACACCACTGTCTACGTCTACTACACCATTGTCTACGTCTACTACGCCATTGTCTATGTCTACTACGCCATTGTCTATGTCTACTACGCCACTGTCTACGTCTACTACGCCACTGTCTACGTCTACTACGCCACTGTCTACGTCTACTACACCACTGTCTATGTCTACTACACAACTGTCTATGTCTACTACACAACTGTCTACGTCTAATACACAACTGTCTACGTCTACTACACAACTGTCTACGTCTACTACACCACTGTCTACGTCTACTACGCCACTGTCTACGTCTACTACGCCACTGTCTACGTCTACTACGCCACTGTCTACGTCTACTACACCACTGTCTATGTCTACTACACCAATGACTATGTCTACTACACCACTGTGTATGTCTACTACACCACTGTCTATTTCTACTACACCATTTAAATTAAAACAAGCAATATCCTGGTTCCCCAGATGTGCACACAAAAGAAAAACACACATGTGTTATATGCTTGCAAGTGTCAAATAACGCCACAATAATAATGGAATCTTCCTAAAAGAGGGGTGTTAGTTTACCATTAATGATTATTAATCTAAGTATCAATGTGACTTGCTATTGTTAATACTAACCATATCCCTTACCCAAACCCTACCATAACCTTAACCGTAAACTTGGCATAGCACTAAAATTGATATTACAATGCTGAACCTAACAGGTCTACTTTTTGGACAGGCTATTTTCGAACATCGGTAGTTCAAGTTCAAATACGATAATACTAAACGGCACTTTTAAGTTTTATGGTATCCTGTTGTAATAGCCTAGGGCTGGATTAGTGTGCTTGAAATAATATAAATAGGTTTACAAGGTAATTGGTTTATAATAAGTAATGACACTGATACCCGTTTTTTAATAATAAAAAGTAGGATGGAAAAGAACCAACGAAACAAATCTATTTTTACAAGACCCCTGGACTATAATATAATGGATATAATCAATAAACTTAACACATTCAATTAGCCCCTAAACCATCACTTAAACACTCGAAAAACAACACAAATCACACGTTGACGATGTCCAAACTTAAAACATCAGCCTAGCACACCTTTGAACACTTAGAAAAAAACGAAATATCCACCGCACCTGAGTCGGACGGAACTCCCACTGAAAGAAAAAACGTGGCTTAGAGTACGACTGTCCCCCTGAATTTTTAATCACTGAATCTTACGGTTAATCGACCCCACGGTCCTACTTCTCTCCCACCCCCACCCCTTCCTGTCCTCATGAGCCTTCCCCTCCCCACGCTTGTAAAACACAACCGGCGTATTTCGTGACTAAACTCACAGGCGCTGAACCGTTCACAAGGGTTCTAAAAAAGTGTGGGTACAAAGGTAACATGGGTTTTTTTTTTTAAATGTAAATCCACGAATACAACAAATTCTTAACTTACTGTGGGTGCGGACCCGTGTCAGGGGAGGGGAGTTGATGCCAAGGGGGTTGAACAATGTATGTGTGTTGTCTTAAGGCGTAAGTTGTGTAGAGAATTCTTGCGGTTTGCGGGTGTAGATCAGTAGCGTAGCGAGGGTGGCGGGACATATGTCCACGGGCGCCGACCTTCGGGGGCGCCAAAATGGGTTGGAAAAATAAATTGAAAGGTTGAGGGGGGTGCAAATCGAAAGTGTGAGGGGGGGGGGGGTGCAAATCGAAATCTTGAGGCGGGGTGCAAATCGAAATCTTGAGGGGGGGGGGGGGGTGCAAATCGAAAAGTTTGTCCCCGGGCGCCGGGAAGGGTCGCTACGCCTCTGGTGTAGATATCACCTCAGTCTTGCAACCCCGTTTGAGATCGCATATTAATATATACCTGTGGTAAACATGTCCGGGTATGTCTCCCCCCCCCTTTTTTTGTTGGCTTAGACACGGGCATGGGTTACCTAATACATCATATTTGCATATCCCGTTCTTCCCCCCCCCCCCACACACACAATCCCATATACAGATAACTTAAATATGTGTAGTATTTTTTTCAGTATCGCATTTCACGTTATGGTTTTTATTCCGATACCTTTGACTTTTCCTAAGACTTTTTTGTATTGGACGTCTAAATACCTACAAAGATGCCGTACCTAACCGTTCATGCAAATCGCTAATGTCAAATTCAAGGTTAATGTCAAGTTCAATGATAATTTCACCAAAAGTGCGAACTGTTTTGTTTAATCTACAATTATTTTTTTTTAAAAGTATTGGGGTAAGGAAAATTCCACATGTGACTTGTTTGGTTATTCTGGATTGGAAACTTTTTAGGGTGCGATTGAATTCAAGGTCACCTGGAACATTTTTCTTCGGTGGATCTCAAAATGTTGAGGATGATGTTTTTCATTTTATTTTATTGGCTAAATGTTACAATTTGCGTACTTAAATGCGTCTTTTGTATTATTTATTTATTAGGGGGGGGGGGGGGGAAACTTGGGCAGATGGTAAGCTCCACTGATGAAAAATAATATGAATTCTACTTCAACTACCAAGTACTTCATCCGATGGTGTTTGATGTAACTGACAAAGATATGCGGCTGTCTAACGTAGAATACAGGTCAGATACAGCCGTCCGTAGAACACATTTCAGATATAGGCGTCCGTAGAATACAGTTCAGATACAGCCGTCCGTAGAATACAGTTCAGATACAGCCGCCCGTAGACAACAGTTCAGATACAGCCGTCTTTTACGTGACGGGTGGGGGGGTCCTAGCTTGGATATTTGTATTTTAAAATGTTCCCAGTCCGGATACATATTTTTACGGTCTAGTGAAACTGGCGTGGCAGTGAGGCAAGCTCTCGCTTACGTGTAGGTTGGCTCGTAGATTCAATGTCTGTATTAAAGGCTGGAAAAGCTAAAAGAAACTTTTCGTGAAAAATAGATTGTTACTGTTCACTTATTAGGTGTAACATTTATACATATAATTCTCTTCTGGGAGACGCAAAAAAACAAGCTGTAAGCGCGCTCCCTATCATCTCACCCCTACATGGTCTGGTGAGCTGTGGTTCACGCTAAATGTTTACATTAATCGTAGAGCCGGGTTTAGTGACGGCTATTAGGGGCAGATAATTTAGTTGTGAAACGATTTTTAAACTTAGGGGAGGTAACTAAGAGGAGGCTGCTTTCACGGGGGGGGGGGGGGGGTAGGGGTTGGGGGAAAGGAGGGGGGGGGGGTAGTATCGTCCTTAAAGTGTTTTTAAAGCAAATATTTTCAGTGGCAGCATTGGTACTGTCGAATTCACAAATTATGAATTGCTGAAAAGTAGAAAATAAAACAACTAAATAGCAGCGTATGATATGCCGCGGGTCGGCTCGTTCATAATGTTGCTTGAAACATATTTTATATTATTTGCCACTTGAACGTATTTACTATAAAAAAAAATTATTTCACTACATGGTTATGTCATTATGTGTCATGATGTGCCATACCAGACCTCTGTTATTGCCACAATAATTGTATCTTTTGTAAAAAAAAAAATTGTGTTAGGGTAAAGTTAATGAACTATATATAATGTAACTTGCTAATCTCAGCGCTAACGCTAACATATATACCCCAAACCATTGGCGTCACTGGGGCCGGTGTCACCCCCCCCCCCCCCCCCACCTACCCTCCATTAATTTAGCATTTTCGGTTTGGTGTCACCCTTCTCTCCTTATTGTTTAGTTACTCTAACTGAATAAAATATTATTTTGATAGTAAATTTTATAATTTTTCGTCCAAGAGTCCACCCACCAAAAAGTTGTCACACCCCCCCCCCCCCCCGGAGAAAAAAGTCTGGAAGAAACACACCGATTGGTTGTGTTCTAACGTTCCTTCAAGTCTCACGTATTAAAATCTTAAGTTGAAAAACACGAAGTGGCTTTCATGCAATCAATGTATCTATGCACCCCCCTCACATACACGCTGTACAGACAAGCCTTCGACCCCCCCCCCCCCCCCCCCCCCATAACTAACCGTGCTCTCTGGACCACAATAATCCACTCGTCCAACCGCCATAAAAAACAAATTGAAAAAAAAAATCTACACGTAGCTAATGGGTGTCGTCGATATTTCTAATAAAAAAAAACCAGGTCACCTGTCGCTCTTGACGAAAATGAAAAATCACGCAGATTGTATCGTAGATTGTTATCATTTTTAGTTGCTTTTTTTTTTATAGCTTTGACGTGTTAGGTGTGTTAGCGATGATGTGTCTAGAAAATTACACGTGTTGTGTCGTTAAACTTTAAACCGGTAATAGAGCATACGGATATTATGTTGCCTTTATGGGGAAGGGATGTATTATAAATATGTGTTCTATGGTAAGATTAAAAACACCTGACGACTATCGACTAAGGTCGCTGGTATAACTAACAGAGAAGTTTCTCTCACTGATTTCACCACCCTCCCCCCTCCCTGTCGTTGACCTTCTGTCGTTACAGGGTTTTTTTTCTTTTAGATATTGGGCCCTCAATCCCCGAGTAGGCTACGTACACAGCTCCCCCCCCCCTCCCCTCCATCCTCCCGCTGAAAAAAAAATTACATTGAAAGTGAAAATACATGCTTTAACCATTCTTATATTCCCCCCCCCCCCACTGAGAAAAATGCCATGCAGAGGCGTAGCGAGGGGGAGGGGGGGGGACATATGTCCCCCGGGCGCCGACCTTGGGGGGGGGCGCCAAATTGAAAGTTTGAGGGGGGGTGCAAATAAAAAGTTCGAGGGGGGGTGCAAATCAAAAGTTTGTCCCCGGGCGCCGAGAAGGGTCGCTACGCCTCTGCTGCCATATGGAAAAAAAAATTGTGTGCATATTCTTTAAAATCAAGAAAATTACAGTAAAAGTGATTGAATTACATTTACTTCTTTTTTTTTAAATTGAAAGCAAAGTATAGTATAGTACTAATGTGGAGTGAGACGTAGATTCATGCAAGTCCTTAGTTATCTAACGGTCGCATGGTAAATCGTATTTTAAAATGTAGAGGGGTGGTAATTTTATTTATTTTTAAAATTATTTTATATCGAGTTACTTTCCTTTGCTTATGGGCGTCTAACACAAAACAAAACAAATCTTGACCTACACGGAAAGCGGGAAAAACACTTGAACTATTTTCTCCGGTCAACTGTCTGACCAGCCAAGCGTAGATGTGTACTCAGAGCACGGCGGGAAAAGTAGGCCACCTCGGCTATCCGAGCCCTCGCTTTCCGGCTGCCCCGAGGTCGCCTCCAGGCAGGTGGGCTTTGCCAAGATGGCGGTCGCCTAGTTACGTAACAACGCTGCTATAAAAAGAATCGTTACGCAAGTCGCTTTTTTTTTTGTTATGCACAACCAGCTGCTAACAGAATGTGAATGTAGGCACGGCTAGGCTAGGCCTATGGTTAAGTTTAGGTTAGGAATCGGTGTGTTGTGTTGTAGCTGTATTCCTTCACAGTTCGGGTTAGGGTTTAAGTTTTGAAATAAGTGTTGAATGACTTAAAGGATATCACTTTGGGTTAGAACTACATCTAGAGAATTGTTTGTTAGGAAGTAAAAAAAAAACATAATGTGAGCAGGTTAGGTTAGGTCGGAGTTTATCGGATATGATTTAATATCGGTGGTGGGGGGGAGAGATTTGGGGGAGAGGGGGAGGGAACCAGTGTTTCTTCCACTTTTTTCTCCGGGGGTGCACTTGAAATTTTCGGGGGGGGGGGGGGGGGGGGGACACACACTGTTAAAAGTATCCATTTCTTACGGGGGGGGGGGCGGTAGACTTTCTTCGGGGGGGGGAGGTGGGGGTTCGAAGAGTTGCCTGGAAGAAACTCTGAAGGGAACTGTAATCGTTTTCAATTACAATTTGATATTTTTTTTCTATTTTGAGCCCCCCCCCCCCCCCTTCGTCCAGCGACAGATGACTGAATCTACTATTTTCCCACGTTTTCCTTAACTTGCTTTCGCGTCTGTTTGGTTCTCCAATCAAATCTTGCGATCGAAATTTCGGGCACTTCCCGGTTAGCTAGCGCGCTGAAATTTTCAGGGAAGCTTTGTTTCCGATGACCATAGAATATTCAATTGTTATTATTACTAAATTGATCCATGGAAACATTTTATTGATCATTTTAGGCCGCTATATAATTGTACAAAAACGTGGGGTAAAAGGGACATAACCCAGTAACTGTAATTTGATGAAAACAATGTTCGGGACTCTCCCTCTTTTTGCTTACTGACTAGTGTTCACGCAGTGTTAGTGTACAAACAACCAGAACGTAACAACTGGTGGCCAGTATGGGGGAGACGATATGGTCGAGTGGTTGGGCACACGATTGCTATCCCACTCGGCGCGGGTTCAAATATATGTGTTCTAGTCAGTAAAGTATTCACACAACGTGTTTTTTACGAGTTGTCTTTTTACGAGACTTTAATGCTATACAACTTTTACGCGATTTTAATGCAAACAAACAGACAAAGACTAAAAAGTAGAAAATAATAATCATTAAAAAAGTTTTTAAAAACCCACGTTTTCTGATTGAACTAAAAAGTAGAAAATAAATGTTATACATCACAATAATGCAAGCGATCACTCTACTATAAGCGATCAAAAACGTGGGGCGCCGTGATTTTCTTACAGTTTCAAATACTGTTGACTCTCTACAAGCTCCCTAATAAAAGTCAATAGTATTAGAAACTGTAAGAAAATCACGGCGCCCCACGTTTTTGATCGCTTATAGTAGAGTGATCGCTTGCATTATTGTGATGTATAACATTTATTTTCTACTTTTTAGTTCAATCAGAAAACGTGGGTTTTTTAAAACTTTTGTTATGACTATTATTATCTATCGTTAGATCTCCAAACCTAACCCACTATAAATATTGTGTGCAGATATAATCACAGCCTTTTTCTGGCCTTTAATTAACCTTGACAGAAACCTTACGACACACTATTCATGAACAATTAAATTAAGGCTAAAGGCCAAGTAATTAATTAAGGCTTTTCGACATCAGAACTCTTTTAATTTCACGAATTTACTAATTAATCATCCATACATACTAGATTTTATTGCTTTGTCGTTTATAATTATTACTTACTTCCCTTTACGATACACATTGTGTGCCTTATTAAACAGTTATCTCTCTTTACTAAGTTGAAAAGTGTATATATTATATCTATTGTTTGTTAATATTATCAGTGATCGTGTACATATTAAGTGCCTATACCAGGGGTCGGCAACCTTTTGAGCCGAAAGAGCCAAAAGTTACAATTTACAACATTACCCGGTTTTTAAAGAGCCACTAACATTTTTATGTCAATAGTATATTTGTTTAGGATTATATATATATATATATATATATATATATATATATATATATATATATATATATATATATATATATATATATATATATATATATATATAAAATCATCAAACAAATATCATACTATATATATAATTTAAAATAAATAGCTTTGAATATATGAAATAATCTCATTTGAATTTGCGTTGAGAAGATCTACTATAGAAGTCAAAGTACTTGCATTTGTTTTGAATACCTCAAATCTCTCAGTGAAAACATCCTTCATTTTGTTTATATTAATGCTGAAGTGATTGAATAGTAGCATTGGCACCATAAAGATATTTTTCCAGATTTTTCGTAATTAAGTAATTTACCGCTCAACATGTAATTAACAAAAAAGTATTTTCGAAACAAACCACATCTTTAAGCAAGATATAAGCTGGGTTTTCCTTTCAGTTTTACACTTAGCTCGTTTAGTTTCTTTGTGATATCCACAATGAAGTTGAATGTTTTAATTCGGAATGGACAATGTAATAGGAAGTAGCCTACACTGAGATAGGGAGTAACTAAATATTCTAGTATAATAGTGAATGTTTATTGTTTATACCTTATGTTATATCGTTTATTACCAAATGTTGCAGACTAATATTTTTATGAGTTTTGAAAATAAAATAATTATTAATATTTGTGCATGGAACTGAAGAGCCGCAACTGGAAACCAAAAGAGCCGCATGCGGCTCGCGAGCCGCAGGTTGCCGACCCCTGGCCTATACCCATTAAACTTACTTAAAACCTTTATAAAAACAGAGTTTAGAACCACTAAAGTTTTTAAAATAAAAAAAATATTTAACGGGCTTGTTGCTAATATGTGTTTACAATATTTCTCGAGTGGCCAATATCTGATGTCTTTATTTTTATTTTTATTTTCAGTGCTTTTTAAAGCTTGAGGCTTAAATTTTTGTGTTCAAGGGCCGTCTCTAAACTGAGCGATATATCAAATTTTCACCCGATTTTCTACCATTTATATATAATGTAAAATAATGACTCTCGGCCTTTTCGACTAAATACGATTTATGAGGGGTGGTGGTCGATGTATTTATTCGGGGTACAAGGGTAGGTCAAAATGTCTTTTTTAACAAGCTTTTCCTTTATCAGTCTGTCCATTTGTTTGTATAAGTGTGTGTTACTCTTGTAACTCACTTTAACCCACTTCAAAAGGGCGGAGTTGAATAATGTGTTGTGTGTTTTATAAAAGGAGACCACTAGCTTATTAAAATGCAAATGTTTTTTTTTAGTCGGGATTGGAATCAAGTTCTTAAAAAAAGGACGTCTTGGTAAAAATATGTATAGGCCTCATACTAGGTCAAGTTGTTTTCAAAACTAAAATTTCTCCCTCCTATTACATTTTTACAATACCGAATTAAGAGTCGTTCATAAATGTTAATAAGCTTTTCTAAGCCGATATATACCCCCCCCCCTCTTTTCCTCCCCTTGTTCAACACCCACGCCTATATAACAAAGTATCAGTAAATGTCAGCATCCATATCACACACACACACACACACACACACGCACACACATCACACACATCACACGCACACACACACGCACACATACCATTTTTCCATTTTATTATTAAATCGCCAGCAAGCATTGCGTTGTTTACCTTTCAAAAGGGGATGTAACCAAAATAAATAACTCGTCATTAGATTAGATCAGGTGCTCTACCCTAGGGCTACGCCATCACCCCACTCCCATAAACTTATTTTTTTAAAATGCACTCCAGATGTTTAAGAGAAAATCGCTTCCTTGCTTCATTGATAGAAAAAATGTAAATGCTTCCTGTTAAGTAAAACCAATATATATATATATATATATATATATATATATATATATATATATATATATATATATATATATATATATATATATATATATATATATATATATATATATATATATCTGTGTTCGTAGCCTTTAAAAAAAGAAACTGAAAATACGCAACCATAAAGTGCATTAAATGAAAAATTATTAACATAACACAAAAAAAAAACATAACGAAAATAAATGCACATTGTATTTTTCTATGCCTGTGTAGACAACCCGGGGCACTTGACAAGCATGACCGTAAGGGTTAAGTGGTTTTTTTGTAATGGGAACTTATGCTTTCAGTTTCAATACACTGCACCATCTATGTAGCTTACTGTAGAAAGTTATCATGGGCGCTTGAAGATTTCTTATAGGGGAGGCCACTGTGTACGCCCTGGCAGAAAAATAATATTGTGTTGTGTTGTAAATTATTTTATTAATTAAACAAGTAGGCTTATAAAAATATTTATAATAACTAGCTTAGAAAGGCAATAAAATAAGAAAATGTAATATTGTTATAGTAATTTTGTCGATGTGAAAATAAATTAATTGTTCACCTAAAATGCATTCTAAACGATTTATAGAGATTTGGGGTGGGGGTGCACTCAACACCGATACCAAGAGGAAAGATGCACAAAAGCAGAGCTCGAACAGTGTTTCTTTCATACATCTTCCCGAGGTAAACTCCCCCCCCCCCCCCCTCATCCACCCTTCAGCCCTGACGAAATAGAAAATGTATCACGTTAATATAGAAAACTAATTTTTAAACTGCCCCCCCCCCCGAATAATAAGCCACCCTCCCCTATTTTTGAGAAATATATTTGAAAGAAACCCTGGGCGTGGGTGAGATGGGGGTTTATACTTTATTCCTACTACCGACGCCCCTGCACGTAATGAATGCCATATAAGGTGTGGGCGGCTTGTATTCGTTGAGTAGTTCCTTGGATTGCGTGCACTTCTCGGAATGTGGACTTGAGGGGGGTAAAGGCTGGCACCTCGCATCAACAAACAGCAGACTGTTGCAAGCACGAGCAGACGCTAAACTGTTGCAAACACGAGCAGACGCTAAACTGTTGCAAGCAGACGACCGACTGTTGTAAACACGAGTAAACTGTTGAAAGTTGAAAGCAAGAGTAGACTGTTGAAAATCTAGACCGTGAGATGGCGCTGAAACCAATTCTATTGTGTTTGTTTGTGTTGCATCTCAGTGGGACACCAACAATAGGTAAGAAGTTTTCTACTGTAAGTTATCTACTTATAGATAATTTTCATCATCATCATCTTTTCTCATTCGTGTCCAAGACACATGGGACAGAAGAAGTAGAGTTCATGTATTTCAATTAATTCGATATACAAAAGGAAAGTGTGGTCAGCACATTGCCCAGACGCCTTAGTTTCCCAAACTTGAGTCAGGTATACATCAGAGCTGGGTATACTCAGGGTCGTCCTACAGACTCAAGCCCGGGATCCAATCCTCAGACTTTCCGGTTAGCAGTCGTAAACTCTAGCATTTGACCATGCTGTTCGATAATTTTATTTGATTATAAATATAAGGATGTTACTGATGTTTCTATATTGTTTATTTCCTTTTATTATTTTTTTCTTCGCTGGCGTCTGATACAAAACGCATGTATATTAAAGTGCTGAGATTTGAGTTGTATAAGTATGATTCAAGTTTTCAAAGTGTGGCCCTTAATGTTAAAATTCGTCTGGTTTATTTTTAGGGCTATTCAGTCCCTCTTGCAAGTCTGTTCTTTTTCGTCCTTAATTACGTGTCAACTTGCAATGCGCCATATAGGTTATTGACTCCGATTTCAACCTGCAATTTCTTTTTGGATTTGCTTCCATAGCCTTTGTCCAACCAAGAACTAACTGCAAGTCAGATTTTTTTTTTTTTTGAGCTGTCTCTCCTAGAAGAGTAGCTGTCTTCAGCTATCGAACCTCATCTGGGGGATCGAACTCGAGTCTTTTCGGCCTAGCAACGATGAGCTTTACCAACTCGACCACGACGCATTGTGGTTCCACAAAATTGATGTAGAAAACAGTTAAATCAGTGTGTAAAGCCTTGTAACCGTTTCCTTTCTAGTTTGACTGTGTATAATTCAATAACTCAGCTTTTTAAAACAAGATTCTACGCCCGGGGCAGCCGCCTCATCCAACCTAGCTACGCCACTGACAATGTGTTGCCAGTTATCTGGAGCTGGTTGTAGACTAAAAGAAACCTTTCTCTTAGAAGCATCGAAGAAATTTATTTTTAATATTTAATATATTCTGTGAAAAAATATCAGTCAATATCCCGACTCATGAAAAGCAGTCATCTAACCTTAAAAATACAGTTTTTAACATTTTTAAATAATTTTAAGCATTTTTAAAATGACTTGACAAACGGCTTTTCAAATGTCCACAGAAGCCTCGAGCCTTCAATTTGTAGCGAACCCTTTAGTCATCAAGCCTGTCTTGTCAAAAAAGCTTCAAGTACGATGTGCTGTTTTTAACACAACACAGGAGATCATGAGAAGAAATTATAAAAATAAGGGCTTGGTCGAGGGGAAGTTAATCAGCAGCATGGAAGATCCGCAACCGGACGTGGGTCATCTCATGTCCATCGTCATCACCAAGTGGAACAAGGAGACTGACCAGAACGAGACTGTGGCCAGCGTTGCCGGGTGTCTGGCAGCTGGAGCAGAGTTCAACTTCCTGGGGAAAGTTGAGGTGGAGGGAAACACGGAGAGGTCACCTGTGCCAGGTGAGGTCGGTTACCTGAAGTTGACGTGGGACAGACCGCTTGACCAACACTCTGGCCTGTATAGCTGTGAAGCTTCGGCACTAACATCGGAGAAACATACAATATCTCTAAGCGCATCTTTGCAAATCGTGGCCAAGGAACCTACCATCTCAGATATTGTCGCCTACATCTCTGAACACGACAAGAACATCACATCACTGAAAGAGGAAAACCAGAAGCTCAAACTGGACCTTGAATCTTTGATGTCAAACACGACACAAAACTTTACAGAGGTGCAGCAAAAAATGGCGCTTATGAAAGGTCAAAACACTCAAACCGGAAGCGTAACTTGCTCAGACCAGACGATCCTCTTTTCACAGCAGTTCAAAAACACTCCGATCGTATACGTTGCCTTTGAAGCATTAAGTGTTAGCGGTAGTGGAACTTACACTACCTCACTCTCTACGTCTGCAGTGTCTGTTTCATCTTTCAAGCTGTCGTGTTCATACACCGGTCATGTGAATACTTGGGGCCTCAGAGTCAGGTGGCTTGCTACTGATTAATATATATATATATATATATATATATATATATATATATATATATATATATATATATATATATATATATATGAAAGTATGTTTGTTTATTTGTTTGTTTGTTTGTTCGTCCTATATGCATTACTAAAAATAATAAAATTGTCATCAAATCGACATGAAACTTTAATAGAGTTGATGAGAATACTCTAGGGGAGATTCCTGCGGGGAAAAAAAATTCAAATTTCGCATGGGCACGCTAGTTCAAAATAGTCGTGACCTATCTGTATTTTCATTCAGTAACGATATAAAACAGCTGCATGATTAATACCAATGTGCAAAGAATAACCAAGGCTAGTTTCATAGAAATATTTAAGTGTCTACTGGCCTATATTTGTCTAGTTTTGTTTTTTATATCTATTTCTATATTTTTGTTGTATATGCTCAACAGATCATTTTTATACAGCGGATTTTAAAATTCTAATCTACAACGTAACAATGTAAATTGTTGTATTTTTTTTCTGTTTTATTTTATAATCAACTGATTCCTTTGCTTGATAATCATTGAATAAAATATTTTCAATAACATATTCAAGACTTTTATAAACGTATACAATGTTTTGTCTGGAACATCAACTATTGCTATTCTCCTCTATTCCGCTAGAAGTGCCATCCAAGCCTCACTGTTAGGCCTACATGAGTATAAATAAATTTCAGGGGAACTAACTCACGCTTTCTTATTAAAAATAAATACTGATGCGTATCAAACAAAAGGTGAGGGTTTTCTCAAAGTTTGAAGTGGTAACACCGTGTTAGAAAATAGCGATGTGACAAGGTGATTATAAAGTGTTATAAAGTCAGATACTAGTTTTAGCTGAACGAGAAAATAATAATGTTGGGCCCATGGACTACTGTAGCATTTAATTATTTTTTTGTTCAAGGAGGTCATCCTTAAATAATGCATTGCTTTATTGGGATGAAATGATTTTTACCTCTCCTCCCTGTCCCCATTGTCACACGTCGTCACAAAAAGCCAAATCCCCCCCCCCCCTCCCACGCTTTCGAAAATATGTGACGTCACACAATGTCACAAAATGTAACTCTGTCATTTAATTATGCTTCTATGTCAATGTTAAATTGATACTTAAAACATAACTACCAGTACTTGGAATATCTGTCCTAATAACACAATTCACGTACACCTCCTCGTGCCTTTTTGATGCTTCGGCATCGACATTTTGTCCATTTATTGACCAAAGCTGTACTAGATATTGCGGAGAAAGAGCTACTATAAGCCCAAATAATCGTAATATTATGTATTGCCAGTACCTAGATCTTTTATTTAAACGAGATTATAATTGATAAATTAATTATTTGACACAACACTCACTGGTCCGTTTTTAGAGGGATTAATTATAAAAACATTTTTCTTGTGTTTTTTAATGTATCGTTTAGGAAAGGGAGAGAGAGAGAGATGGAGAGAGAGAGAGAGCTTGCGTTACTCAATGTACGCAATATCTAAACGGGGGCATTGACAATGTTTATAACTCTTACCACGTTTTAAAGTCTTGTTGTTTTGTTGTTGTTTTTTTCTGTTGTTTTGTTGTTTGGTGTGTTTTTTTTGGGAGGGGGTGGGGTGCAGTCAACTGACAAAAATAGGACTAGTGTTTGTTTGTTGTTTGTTTGTTTGTTTTTAATTAAAAAGCGTGTGACCAAAACATTGACACATTTATTATGCTAATAAAACTAAGAAGTAGTCTGGAAAGTGAAATTTACTATAGTTTGTGAGAGGAAATTTGAAGTTCCCCCTAAAGCTTCAGGGCCCTTTGCTGATGCCTTCTCAGCCCATTCCATCCTTAATTCATCAATACCAATCGCTTCGTGAGTAAAGCTATAAAGTATTGATAGAGCTGCTGCTTCACCATACAACAATAAAATCACAACGGATACAAAGTAAGGACGACAAGTGCTGATCAGGGAATATATTAAAAATAAAAATAGGAAAAAATTATTTTGTCGGTACATGGTACCCTCCTTAACACACGCCCTCCCTTCCACTACTCCCAAGCTAGCTACGCCACTGAGCTGGACTCAAAATGTTCTTGAAATTGGGATAAGGAAGGTTTTACTGTGTATATTGTGTCTGAGCGGATCATTTGCGTCTGTTCTTTTAAAACGTATTTTAGCTAAAGGAAGTTAAACCGATAGTTATTTTACTTCCTACAGAACAACTGAGAGCATCTCAGTCATGAAGGGGGTGTTTTGTTTTCTATTTCTTGTTACAGCTGTAATGGTTTCAACGGGTTAGTCTTACATTTATTTTCAAATAAATGTAGATCTTTTTACTTGAATTAGGAATAAATTTTTATCAAACCTAGGATTTACAACAATTTTAGTTTAACATGGCTACATTGAGATAATTTAAGTCGGAACATAAAACTTAAAAAACGAAAGTTTATTCTCTTTAAAAACCAAGCTATATAAAATCTAACAGCAAATAATTTGCAAAACACAATAAACATTAATTTTTCCAACAGAAGCCGCAAGTCTTCAGTTTGTAGCGGACCCGTTTATCATCAAGAATAAATTGTCAAAGAAGCTTCAAGTGCGATGTGCTGTCCTTAATCCCACTTTGAAGCAGAAGATTTCTTTGATTAGAAATGTTTCTAATAGCTTAATCGAAGGGAAATCGGTCAATGCTAGCAAAGAAGATCTGCAGCATGATGTGGGTCATCTCATGTCCATCGTCATCACCAAGTGGAACAAGGAGACTGACCAGAACGAGACTGTGGCCAGCGTTGTTGACTGTCTGCGAGTTCGGGAAGAGCTCGAATTCCTGGGGAGGGTCGAGGTGGAGGGAAGGATAAGGAGTTCACGTGTACCAGGTGAGGTTGGTTACCTGAAGTTGATGTGGGACAGACCGCTTGACCAACACTCCGGCCTGTATAGCTGTGAAGCTTCGACACTAACATCGGAGAAACATACAATATTTCTACGCGATTCGTTACAAATCGTGGCCAAGGAACCCGCCATTTCAGATATTGTCGACTACTTCACTGAACACGACAAGAACATAACATCGCTGGAAGAGGAAAACCAGAAAATAAATAAACTGTTGTACAGAGCAATATGGGGTTAGCTCAAACACCCGCCAGTCGCTTACGTTACTTTTGAATGAGCATGAACAACTGCGGTATGGATTTTTCACTGCCTCGTCGTCCACACCTGCAGTATATGTGTTCATGAATGCTTTATGAGCATTGGGGCTTTAGAGCTTGATGGCTTACTATTGATTTATTTAAATAAGGCTGGAATCTGTTTGTATTTGATGAATAAAGATGTTTAAAAGCTTAGAATGTTAATGGTCATTTTTCAATAATAGTAACGGCTAGTTAAATATAAACTTTTGTTTTAAATATAAGCGCTTAACTATGATTCTTGTTTAACCTCTATTGCATATAATAAATAAACATGTTTGTCATGAAAAAAAATTTTAAAATGTTAATATTTTATTTAAAAGCATGTTATTGTTTCTTTTTTTCCGATACAAAACGTATGTATGTAAAGTATGTATTTCTAGCACGTACTGTCAGGTGACAACCCTAAATAACGCCGTGCACGGTTGGGCAACTTTTCAGCATCTCGCCATAAAAGGCAACATCCCCCACACACCCTACACACACACACACATCGTCCTACATTTACTTGAATTTATATAAAATTGACGCATGCGCCTTTTTTCTAGAACGCCATACTTTTAAATCGAACTTGTTACATTAATCACCCAAAGCATCAAGGAGAAAGACAAATAAATAAGCTTAAGCTTTGAATAATAAAAGATGGTGGCTCAGTTCTAACACTTGAGATTCACTGAGAAGAATACAGTGTTGTGTTTGGAAGGTTTAGAAATTATGCTAACTGTAAAGGGAAAATAAACTTTTATTTTTTTTTTGGGGGGGGGGGGGGTATTTTGATTTAATAACATGCGGTGAGATTGTTTTGCTGTTTGAATTTTTAAAAGTATATTTTAAAGGTGGGGGTGAGAGATTTCTTTTTATCAAATAGACAAGGTTTCCAGCGTGGGAACGTCTAGTGCGCTACCAGAGTTTCACCCAGGCATCTCCAGGGGGCTGAACCCCCCCCCCCCCCCGAACTAAATGGAATTTATATACAAAACACTTTACCAGTGTCCGCCCCACCCCCCCCCCCCCCGTCCCGGAGAAAAAAGTCTGGAAGAGACACTGTGGAAACGCTGGGAAAATGATACGATCCAATTTGATAAAGCAGACACAGATTCTGAGATAGGTTGATTTATTGTGGGAAAAGTGCTACGATACGTTAACATATTTATGAGCGTGTTAATTTAGTGTGGGAACATTTTTGTGGAAGATTTAGCGTTGACTTTTTATTGTAAATGTAAGCATCTGTGTCTGTTTTTCTGGTTTGTTTTTTTTTTATTTTAAAAATGTGTATTTAAACGGTGTAGCCGCGCCAAGGCTTTCACTCTCAGAGACGGTCTAGCGGCTGTGTATCACTTTCTAAGGCGGTGTATAGTCTGAACATGTCTGACGTGAGAAGACTTTTGGCATTGATTCTGCTCATCAGTGGAGTAGCGGCGAAACCAGGTGATTAAAAATTTGTTTTCTTTTAATTGTAGCACGGGAATAAATCTATTGATGATTAATACCGCAGTATAATTAAAACTCGTGCACATTAACTACAAGTGGATTTTTTTTTTTACTTTTTACTATGGGATAATTATAGTTTGTGAATTAACAAGAAAAAAACCCAGATGTGTTACTGCAATTAGAGCATATATAAGTTTGGATACCGCTATAGTCACACATATTCAGTGGGGAAAAAATACAGTCAATTTTTATAGTGAACAATAAAATCAGCTTTTGTCAAATAAATTAAGTTTTAAGGGGGTATTGTTTACCCACGCTAGTACAGTTCATAGATACATTTTACAATTTAGTCCAAAAAACTCGAGCAATCACTTCAATTACAAGAGTTTAATATAGAATTTGCTTTTAGTTATTTCATGTAAGCTAAATCTGACCAAACCACGTAAACAATTATTTAGTTTGTAGGGTGCAAAATTCCACATTCAATTTCGGGGAAATTGCAGTGAACACCACGGGGGGGGGGGGGGGGGGGGGGGGGCACAAATAGACTGGCGGTTCAAAAAGAAAGATTTCTTGGACAAGACAAGTGGTTGTTAGCGCCGGGGGGGGGGGGGGGATAATTTATTAAGTTTATCGTGTTATCCAGTGGGAATAGCAGGTCAGAGATTCTCGCTCTTTTTCGAGTGGTTAGTGTAAAGCCTCGCAAGGCAGAACATATATTTATGTGATTAATAAACGACAGCACCTAAGCCTCCTGTCGGGTTTATATTATTTTACTCTGGCTGATTTGGATAACACAATTGAATACCCCTAGACAACGCAAGTCAATGAATCAGATGAACTCTACTCCATCTGCCCCACGTGTCTTGGGCACGAACGGGATTAAGAAGAAGAAGACAACGGCGGTCTTATTGGCTAGCACCCGAGTCAGCATTAGTCACCTATTCAGTCGGTGACAAAACACCGGACCAGAGGCGTAGCGACCCTTCCCGGCGCCCATAGACAAGATTTCAATTTGGCGCCCCCACCCCCCTCCCCCATATATTGTTCTATATTTATAATGCAAAACTACAACTAAAATGAGCTTTTATTTTTTTTAAACCATTTTGGCGCCCCCTAGGATCGGCGCCCGGTGACATATGTACCACCACCACCACCCACCACCACCACCCACCCCCGCCCCTCCCCTAGCTACGCCTCTGCACCGGACTACAACAGCGTTGTTGTAGTCAACTTGCTAGCTATTTTTTGCTTTAGTGACAAAAGCCTATACGATAATTCAATATAATTGTCTATATTTTTCCTCTTTTAAAATTCTACGCGCTAATTATGTTAAGACTAAAACAGGCATTGATTTTATGTATTTGTCAATCTTACAGGTTTCTTTTTGCTTCTTTGTTTCAGAAAGTACGGGATCTTTAAAACCAGTCACGAATTCTTCATCAAACGTCAAAGTTAAAACTAAAAAAGTGGAAATGGCGGATTTTAAAAACGAAACCAGACTGGATACAAACACAACCGACAATGTTGAAGGTTTAACCAACGAGTCTTCCGCTGAAATCAGTTCGGTTGTTAACCTAACAGCGGATCCTTTAGTCTTCCAACCTGCGCTGACACGAAAGCTTACAATTAGATGTTCTGTCCTCAACACTTCTGTAACACCAGTCATGAAAGATAACCCAGGTGGGAAAAATGAAATTTTAAACCAAAAGAAAGCATCCATGATGTCATCACAGGATGACGTCACAAACCTGCTCTCTATCGTCATCACAAAAGTGAACGACGGGACAGGAAAAAACGAAGTTGCAGCAAGAGTGGCCGGGTGTCTGGCTGCTGATGTGGAGGTCAATGTCCTGGGTCAGGTGGAGATTGAAGGAAACACAGAAGGATCACCTGTGGCAGGTGAAGCTGGCTACCTGCAGCTCACGTGGGACAGACCTCTAGGAAACTCTGCAGGCGCGTACACCTGTGAGGTGTCTGCTCTAAACGCCAATAAACATTCCATCTCCTTAAACACTACAGTACGCGTTCAAGCAGAACAACCTTCTATTTCATATCTGTCCATGTATATTTCTCAACACGACAGGCACATCGAGTCTTTAACCAAACGAACACTGGAATTGGAACAAGAAAATAAAAACCTCAACACTCTGCTGCAATTTTCGAACTCGAATCTGTCAGCCGATCTAACAGCCTTTAAAGACAAGATAAACGAACAAAAGTTATCTGAAATACAAATAGGAAATATAACGTGCCGTGAAGGGAATAAATCTATACGTTTCAAGCGGCCATTTAAAACTGTTCCTACTGTCACCACGTTCATGAGTGATTTAAGTTTTTCCCTCAGCTACCATAAGCAATCAACCAAACTAACTGCCTCTAATGTTGTGAAGACAGGATTCACAGCAGAGTGTTCTGTTAATGGTGACACTTCTGCTACACATGTCTGGCTTGCTATGGCTCCTTAATGCTGAACACCACTTCAATTATGTATAATAAACTAACTAGTCTAACTGCATGCAAAGATTTTCGGATTTTTACTTTCTCAAATACAGAGTATGGGTCTACTCGCCAAATTCACAGAGTATATAGATCTAGACTAGACTAAGTATTGTAATCGTGCACAAAAATCACATGAAATTTTGAGTTTTGCGCTTTACACCTCAGTACTTCATCACATACGCAGTATAGTAATGTAAGCGGGCAAAAATTCTAAATCCAGATATATCAAAATTTCGGCGTTTCACGCGTAATTAAGTCGGAAAAACTGGGCTTTGCAATTCTTCCGGATGTGTGTATGTCTGTGAACACGATAACTTGAGTACCGTTACATATAGGTTGATGAAATTTCATACATAAGTATAACAATCAAATGTGTAGTTCTGTTTCAACTTTTCAGTCATTTCCGGTAACCGGAAGTGGAATGTATTCTACTTTTAATTTTTCAAAAGCCTATAACTTAAGTTCTGACTCAGATAGATAGACAAAATTTCACATATAAGTAAAAGATCTAAGTCTCTGCCTTATTTTTCTTTAAAAAAAAACGCATATGAATTAATAAAGTGCTAATATTCCTCACTATTATACACACATTGTTTGCTGTTCACCTGGTGCGCAATTATTTTTTTCTACGAGATTCTATTATATTTTTTAAAGTTTTAAGAAATTATCAAATGATTAAAAATCATGTCTATATCGCGAGTTGCTATCCCCCGTTGTGTTATATAAGAAAATTCGATAAAGTTTAGGGGAGATCACTCCCACTTTTTTTAAAGGTGCGAAACAACAAGCTAAGTAAATGCCTGTATTTCTTAAATAAAATTCGATAAAACGATTTACAGTAAGGAACCTATACATAGATCCACATATGTCAACGTTTTTATCGGCATATCACTAATTCACAACCTTCCTGTAGTTTGATAAATAAACACTTTGTCTTTGTGGCATTAAAAAAAAGTTTTTCTTATTTACTTTATGTAAATATCTTTACTTTTCAACCACTCCTGAAATAAAGACATTCATGTCTAGTTATTGTTGTAACCATCACATTATTGTTATTGTGGTTTGTCTTGTTCTTTTCTTTTTCGTTCTTATTTTGTAATATTGGAAGGGATTTCCTCAAACACAATTTAGTATTGCAAGGTAAACCTGTTATGCGCCCCTCGGAACTTTTTCCATTTAGCAACCTTCAGCTTTACCGACAGTGTTTCTTCCACTTCCAGGCATCTCTTCGGAGCCCACCCCACCGCCCCCCCCCCCCCCGAACGAAATGGAATTTATTTAGAAAATATATACTTTTAACAGTGTCCGCCCCCTCTCCCCCCCCCCCCCCGCCGGAAACTTTAGTCCGCCCCCTTTCCCCCCCCCCCTCCCCCCAAAAAAAAATTTCAGTGCCCCTCGGAGAAAAAACTCTGGAAGAATCAATATTTACTGTCCCAACCCCTGCTGCGGTTTATAAACTGCAGGTCATGTCTTTACCATTTTGTTATAATGGTAAATCTACTACACCACACTTTCTTTCAGTAAGCGCGCGTTAACATTTATTTTTAACCTGATCAAAAGTTTAAGAAAAGGAGATAAAAATATACAGAAATAAGCATGTAGCGTTGACATGTACAGCCAGCCTTTAATGCTGGGACATTACCTGATCGTTTCTTTGTAAAAAAAATTATGACAGAATAATATAGAGCCTAACAAAACGCAATTTAAAATTGAAAACAGTCAAATGTTGAAAAGTAATGATTTTGGTAATACGTTAAGTTTCGTCAAACGAGTTACACTTCTAAAAATAACGATAAGTAGCAGGTTTAGAACCCCTCAAATGACGCAACTTGTGTTTGTTTTTACATGATTAATTCAGAACATGGGAAAGTGAGATCACGCGCGTGAAAATGCACGATTCGTAATGATGAAATCCTATTAAAATATTGCGTCAGCCTTTCTTCTGAGACCGCAGCAACGATCGGAACGGGTACGCCATTTTTCTATATAAAATTTATTTTCTTTATTTCAATAAGAGGGGAGGACGTGCTATTATGCCCTCCAACCGCCCACCCACCCCCCTCCCCGTCCCCATCTAAACGCCAATAAACACTCCATCTCCTTGAACACTACAGTACGCGTTCAAGCAGAACAACCTTCTATTTCATATATGTCCATGTATATTTCTCAACACGACAGGCACATCGAGTCTTTAACCAAACGAACACTGGAATTGGAACAAGAAAACCAAAACCTCATCTACTGGGTGAGTCGCCTTCATCACAATGTTTCGACATCCTTAACCAGCTTACAAGAAAGAATGGACGACTTTAACTTCCCCGAGGTACAGGTTGGGACCTTCACATGTAACGAACTTAGTCAAACTGTTATGTTCCAATATCCATATTTTAAAACAACCCCGTTCGTTTTCACGTCGTTGAGTAACTTAACCATTACCCAATTTTTCCCGCCATTCAGAACATTCAACCAAAGTTCTCGTTTCTGGTGTAACGGAAACTGAATTCACGGTCACGTGTTCTGTCAGTAGCGGTAGTGTATCTGCCGAACATATCTGGATTGCTGTGGTCCGGTAACATCGACCAACAACCAGAGGCGTAGCGAGGGGGGGGGGGGGGGGGGGGGGGGGGGGGCGGGGAGACATATGTCCCCGGGCGCCGACCTTAGGGGGGCGCCAAAATGGGTTTGAAAAACAAATTGAAAGTTTGAGGGGGGTGCAAATCGAAAGTTTGTACCCGTTCGCCGGGAAGGGTCGCTACAACAACCATAGTGTTTGTTCACATCTACAAAGCTTTATTTCATCTACAAGCAGAAAAAATATATACTAAAGGTTTAACAATAAATATTCTCTAATTTATAACATTGACTTGAATCACGAAGGTCTAAGCTGTTTTAGCCACGCCAACAAATTTTTAAAAGGCCATATCTTAGCCCCTAATTAAGCTAGAGACACAAAATTGGTATCAATGTGTAGGGAAAAAAATCCAGTGTTTTTTTGTTTTTTTTTTTTTATTTTTTTTGTGGTATAATTATACTTGAAATTAGTGGAGTTTAAAAATTACGAGCAAAAACCTATATTTATCAAGAGATTTTTGTCCATCTGAAACGGAAAAAAAAAACAATTACATGTGTCCATTTCAATATAAAAAAATATTTAAAAATTTGTAAAATTAAAAAAAAAAGGAAAGACTATTTTCTTACAAAATATCATGAATACGCTGCCTAATAAACTAGTTATGTGGTCGAATGCGTATGTTTTTGTTGTGCTTTTTGTTGCGCGATGTGAAGTTAAAGTAAATACAGCCTCTACTGTTGGTCAAGTGTCTATGCGTTACTGTTGGATATGGTGTCTATGCATTACTGTTGGACATGGTGTCTATGTGTTACTGTTGGCCATGGTGTCTATGCAACTGTTGGACATGGTGTCGATGTTACTGTTAGACATGGTGTCTATGCTACTGTAGGACATGGTGTCTATGCGTTACTGTTGGCCATGGTGTCTATGCTACTGTTGGATATGGTGTCTATGCGTTACTGTTGGACATGGTGTCTATGTGTTACTGTTGGCCATGGTGTCTATGCAACTGTTGGACATGGTGTCTATTTTACTGTTAGACATGGTGTCTATGCTACTGTAGGACATGGTGTCTATGCGTTACTGTTGGCCATGGTGTATATGCTACTGTTGGACATGGTGTCTATGTGTTACTGTTGGCCATGGTGTCTATGTGTTACTGTTGGACATGGTGTCTATGTGTTACTGTTGGACATGGTGTCTATGTGTTACTGTTGGACATGGTGTCTATGTGTTACTGTTGGACATGGTGTCTATGTGTTACTGTTGGACAAGTGTCTATGCGTTGTTTGGTCAGCACAGTTTCACCTTATTTACAGCCACTAATCGTAACATGTCTTGACGGAAAATCCACCAGACAACTTGTAATTGTGAAGAGGCGTTCAAACTGATTCAGATTTAATGTAACTAGTTAGTGGTAGACAGAGGCGTGACTTTGATCCGTCAAAACCGGCAGATGAAATATTATTGTAAGTGTCATTTAATTTAGGTTCTGCACCCCCACCTACATTGTTAGCTCCTTAAATAGCGCGTGTGGCAGTTTAAGATTTGCAACCACCTAACTTTGTCATATGTTGATTACTTCTTCTCTATTTTAACGCCGCCACCACCTCCCTGGTCACTCTTCAGTCTACGAACCCCGATCCCTCAAAATTTCCGTTTATGTTGTTTATAAACATATTTATTTCTAAACTATTGACTGATTTATGTCAATATTGATTATCTGAATCATTTTTATACGGTACAAATTAAGCGAAATAACAGCTGAAATTTAGTTTCAAGCATTTCCTTTTTAATACTCAAAAGTCTGTCGTCATACTTTATGAACCCTCTTCCCCCCCCTCCCTCCCCCCTCCCCACCATTCTCTCCCCATCGTCCCACATGGTCACGAATTTCCGAATCCCTACTCCCCCTCCCCTTGGAGTGTGATGTTGTTTATGGACAACCCCAACAATATAACTGACACTGAGGGGGTGGGGTAGAGAGGTGACCTAACGCTATCGCCTATTTTCGCCACTGAATGCTAAAATTAAAATATGAACAAAACCACACAGTTACAAATAAAATAAATGGATGTGTATCGTGCATTGTTCAGCCAAACCGGTTAAAAGGAAAAGTAGAACCAGTGTTTCTTTCCTACATTTCATTATATTAAGTATTAAGGGGGGGGGGACACTGTTGCCTTGCAAAAATAAATGACTGAAAGTATCATTCTTTCTGTGTATAACCATAATGCTAATATTATATTAATACTGTATTTTGACACCGCGTTTTTTTCTGCTGATGTTGTGGCAGTTATACAGAAAAAACAGTGTTACGGGACAGGCACCCTCCCCGAGCTACGCCAATGAACTGACCTCATACTATTGTCTCTGGGGGGGGGGGGGGGAATCAGTTCCGAAAACTGGAATAATGAAGGATTTTAAGTGCTTTTTAGTAGTGGGCGGAGCTTTCAGCATCTGAGAAATGTACTTAAACTCGGGGAAGTAAAACGAATAGGCATTTTCCTCCAACTGCTAAACTGATAGCATCTCAATCATGAAGGGACTACTTTGTATTTTACTTCCGGTTACCATGGCAATGGTTTCAACTACAGGTAAATTATGCTTTTATTTTCAGAGTAATCAGATTTTTTTGTTTGATTCAGGATTTGTTGGAAAACCATACTTAAAAATCGGTTGTTTTTTTTAATGTTGTTTTTTAAAATCTGTTAGTTTTGTTATTATTTCTTTTTTTTTTTTGTTGGGGTGAGGGGATTACTTTTAGACACAACAGAGACAATCTGGAAGTGTTCGATTAAATTAGACTCGATGAACGCAAGGCCTGATAACAGTTTGTAGATCAGATTTTTTAACAACTGCCAGGTTCATAACAATGTCGTAACAATCTGATTTTAACAAAATATTTTTGGGATAATCGCAACACACACTTAAAGTCTATAGAACGAGTGTTTAGTGTGTAGGCCTTTAGCAATCGGGCTACATCGTAAAAATATAAATAAACTCAATAATAAATTCATGAATTGTTTTCTTCATCAGAAGCCTCGAGTCTATATTTTGAAGCGAACCCGGCTGTCATCAAACCTGTACTGTCAAAGAAGCTTCAAATGAGGTGTTCTGTCAGCAATCGCACTTTGGCGCTGATTAATTTTTATAAAGGGCTATATAAAGAGAGTTCAACCAAAGGGGCATCGGTCAATGGTAGCACTGAAGATCGGCAGCATGACGTGGGTCATCTCATGTCCATCGTCATCACCAAGTGGAACAAGGAGACTGACCAGAACGAGACTGTGGCCAGCGTTGCCGGGTGTCTGGCAGCTGGAGCAGAGTTCAACTTCCTGGGGAAAGTTGAGGTGGAGGGAAACACGGAGAGGTCACCTGTGTCAGGTGAGGTCGGTTACCTGAAGTTGACGTGGGACAGACCGCTTGACCAACACTCCGGCCTGTATAGCTGTGAAGCTTCGGCACTGACGACGGAAAAACACTCGTTCTCTCTAAACGCGTCGTTACAAATCGTGGCCCAGGAACCTACAATTTCAGATCTGGTCACGTACATTTCTGAACACGACAAGAACATCACATCATTGAAAGAGGAAAACCAAAAGCTCAAACTGGACCTCAAAGCTCTGATGTCAAACACGACACAAAACTTCACCGAGTTGGTTAAGAAGATGGCGCTAATGAAAGGTCACAACATTGAAACCGGAAGCGTGACATGCTCTGCGCAGACTGTGTATTTCTCACAGCAGTTCATAAACACCCCAGTCGTTTATGTTGCCATTGAATCGCTCAGCGTAAACACCGGTGGTAGATATATCACGACCTCTCTGTCCACTTCTGAAGTATCTGATGAATCTTTCGACCTGTCGTGTACTTGCACAGATTATTGTAATAGCTTAGGCGCCCGTTGGCTTGCCATTGGTTAAGTTAAAATAATAAAAATATGCTACACCTGTTCGTTCAAGAAAATATTTCGAACAACTGTAAACATCCAAGCCCAGTTTTAGAGAACAACCTTAGCTAGTTCAATAGAAATCACAGACGACAGAGCTGAAACATTTGGCCTATAGCTTTGTTTTAAACATCTAACGCTTTACGCTGAGATACTTCTAACGCTTTACACTGAGCTGCTTCTGGCGCTTTAAACTGGGCTAATTTTAACGCTTTACATTTAGCAACTTCTGACGATTCACAATGAGTTACTGTTAACGCTTTACGCTGAGTTAGTTTCGTTCAGTCTCTATTGCATGTGTTGAATAATAATTATTTTTTATATAAACAAATGTAACATTTTATTTTATAACATTACAATGTATAATGTAGGTTTTGTTACAAGCTTTTATTTAACTTGTTTCCTCTGTCTGCCTGTCGTGCTTTTATCGTCATTGTTCAAAACAGGCGAGCAAAATTTCGAGCACTTCTAACGGACCAATTTCTCTGAAATTCAGCACGTTGGTCAATGCAATATGACATCGAATTTGATTTAATTGGGTGCTTAATATTTTTTTTAAATAATTTTTTTCTGAAAATAGGAGGGTATCCTACTACTATCCCGGACTAGTATACATGCATTATCATGTTTATTTGGTGCGCAATAGTTTTTAGTCATGCACCTCTATTGTATTACAAATTTTAAAGTATTGAAAAAAGTGCATAAAAACGTTTTAATAAAAAGCTTTTATGTAATTATGCACTAAAAAAATAATAATAAATAATGATTTTCTTTAAATATATATTAATACACTGCTTTTTAAATAACTATAAAGAAAAGCGTGGGTCTCTTCCTAAATATTAATAATGGAATCCAATAGATAATATGGTGACCCACGCTTTTCTTTATAGTTATTTAAATATTTTTTTTTTTTTTTTGCTTTTTTTTTTATTTTTATCTTTCATAAATAATGCTTTGCTTGATAACCAGTGAAATAAAAACATCCACATATATTCGGGAAATGTGTTCAATAATATGTGTGAAAAGTGTGTCTTTATTGCGAGTATGGTTTCTTTTAGGCATCGAAGCACGTTACCTCACCCCCCCCCCCCGGGACAATTATAGAAAAATCTTATGGTCTATAATTCATATTTGACCTAGCCCCCCTCCCCCCCCCCCCCCACACACACTGGAGAAAAAATGTCTGAAAGAAACCCGGAATAATAACGTCACGCAGTAATGGACGTTTTGACATTTCCCACACTTCGTCATATAAAGCCAGGCATTCAATCACACCCCTTCTCCTTTAAAATGGCATTTATGAATATATATATATATATATATATATATATATATATATATATATATATATATATATATATATATATATGGACACTGGTTAAAGTATTTATTTTCTATATATATATTTTTTCTATTTCGTCCGTGGGCGGTAGTGAACGTGGGCGATTCCTCCAAGTTGACAGCTTAGGCGCTCATGAGATATCTCCTAAAGGATACCTGAAAGAAACTCTGGCATTGAGTCGATGGGGATTCGCTTTAAAAAAAAACTATTGCATGTTGTAATTCAACAAACCATTCAGAATTATATTAATTCAGATTACTGAATATTTTGTCCAGATTTTTTTAAGAACTTAAAGAGTTCAAATGAAAATATTTGTTACAATCGTCATATTTTTATACTTCTAAACTTTGTGAATCATTTAAATCTATATAGGAGTAATGAATCCAGCTCCTGAAATATTAACGGCGAGTTCTCAAAAACTGGATCATTAATTAATGTTGAAGCAAGCAGCCTAATAATTGAATTCGTATTTCTGAATTCTTCACAAGCTAACTGTATTAAATAAAAATAGAGCAAGGATATTCCTCAATCAGCTGTTTGCATTTGAGAGTCTGATTAACCCCTTGATTTTAAATATTTTTATGGGTTTTTTTTTTTTTTTTTGTAAATTTACAACACTCTCTATGACCTCCAGTGAAAGTACCAAAATACTCACGTAACATGAGCCTTACGTTTGTCAACCTCGCCATACAATTAACCTTGTGATGCAGCTATAGTATGTGAGTTAATACATAATAGGATTGAATGTCCAATTTTTTTAAATGTGTACTTAACATAGCAAAAACTTTATTAATAACCCAGGAAACTGTTTCAGTTACAATCTTTTAATGGTATCATTTTTATATAAATGAAATTATTTCTAAGAAAAAAAATGCATTGTGTAGATGTTACTCATTCTACAAAAATACACAAACTTCACTCTGGTCAGATTTTTCTCCATCTTCATTCTCACAAAGCCAAATAATTTTTTAAAATAGCAGCATGACAATCTGGCCAAATAAATACTTAACAGTTTATATCAAGAGCTGTCTAAGTTTGTAAAACATACCCATCCAAAAAGCAACATCAAACACACATATTTATAAATATCACATAAATATCATCCTTTATTCATGATTTACCAGGCACATCAATTCAAATTATTCAGGCACTAATCCCCATACACACACACAACAGCACACATGTGATTTAATATACATACATCTTACTACATACCAAAAATTGTCAAAAAAAAAAGTCTAAAATGCAGTTTAAATCAACAGCCCTTGTTCAAAACAGCTGGAGATGAATGTCTAATGAGAAAACAACTGTTTCAAACACATTTGGTCACACATGTTTGTTACATAACATGAGGTCAGTGGCGTCACAAGGGGGAGGCGGGGTGCTGTCCACACCAGGTGATGCCCCACCTTGTGACGCTACTGCATGGGGTAAAAGCTAAAATCTCCCTAAAGAAACAGCAAGTTACCTAAAGCAGGCCAGTACACTTAAATTACACATCAGCTGTACAGAAAAAAAACCAAGTGCTAAATAATTTAAGACAAAATATTTATAACTAATTTTTTAAGTCACAAATATTTTGTTCAGCTAGTTGATAAAATACAGCAAATATTTATAACTAATTTTTTAAGTCACAAATATTTTGTTCAGCTAGTTGATAAAATACAGAACATGATTTTCAATGCAAGTCTGTCAGCTCCGCCTATATTTAACGTAGATTGTATAGATGGTATCAATATTTTAACCCTAAAGGTTTGCTTTAAGATTAAATACATCTTTCAGCTAGACAAAAATACGAGTAATGATAACTTGGGAATTAACTAATTTTTTTATCAGTTCCCTATAGAAATCTGGTAAAAAAAAACATTAATGACATATGGCCTAACATCATTTCAAGCTAGTACACTGACATACAAAACCCATAAGCAACAGGTGAATCAAACCCTGTCATAACCAGCACATAAATAAACCATGTGAAGCACACACAGGTCAAGGGTCACACACATAAGATTTTTTAAAAAGTGTGCTGGATAAAAAGACACAAAACAAACTAACCACAGGTGAACAAGTCTAGTTTCAATAAATATTTACAGGAGCCAGTGGCTCACCACAACTGTACAACAGAAATTATACCCCCCCCCCCCACACCTCCCCTGCCTGCAATCTTGTAATGTACAATATTGTATACAAAATATAAAGCATATAAGCGAGCACATGATCCCCCCAGCTAGAAACTGGGAGTCCCAGAAACTACAGTCAAGATGATCAAGTAAATGGCCAACAAGGTTTGTGGTGCCATCTAGTGACTGATCTCAACCCTTTAATAAGAAAGCTGATATAAAATCAAAAACAGTCAGTTAAGTCTCTGCAACCTTGACCTACACAGGGGTAACTAAGACAAAGGTCACACAACAACACAGTGCTGCCATCTAGCGACTGAACTCAACCCTTTAATAAGAAAGCTGATATAAAATCAAAAACAGTCAGTTAAGTCTCTGCAACCTTGACCTACACGAGGGTAACTAACTAAGACAAAGGTCACACAACAACACAGTGCTGCCATCTAGCGACTGAACTCAACCCTTTAATAAGAAAGCTGATATAAAAACATAGTGACTCATGTTCCCACTCTTTGCAGACTTGACCTACAACACGCAAGGGTAACTAAGACAAAAGGTGACACAACAACAGTGCTACAACCAGCACAGTGTTGGCAAATTAGTCACTGATCTCAACCTTTTAATAAGAAAGCTGATACAGAACCTGATATAGAACCAGGAGTCAGCAAGTTGAACAAGACAACAGCTAGAATCTGAACCACTAGTTGCCAGGGAAACAAAACAAAGCACATCAAGCTTCTATTCTGTGCTGCCATAGTGTTACTCAAGTCAAACTTTTTTAAAGACAGAAAATGTAAAAACATCAGCAAATAGAATCAAGTCCTTGTTAACATCCTTTAGATACACAAACTGATGCAGAATGATGCTGCTTTTTATGTTTAGGAGAAAAAAAATAAGAATATCAAGACATTTTTTTAAAAACAGTCCCAAAGGCTGAAAAAAAAAATCTCATTTACATCAGTTTGCGTACAGGGACATCAATGAAATTATTTCAGAGAAGTCAGATTCATTTAAGGACAAAAGTGGCTTTTTTTTAACTCCCAGTTTGAGAACCACTATATAAAAGGGAAGAAGATCAACACCTATAGGACAAAATTAACAGATGTGCATAGCAACTTTGTCAAAAGAAATATATACACACACTTTTTAATCGATATTATATTTCATTCTTCTTACAAAACATGCTCTACATGTATGCTATGCCCAAGTGAGAAGGGCATAAAAGAAATTAACTAATTTTTATTTTCGAATTTCCATTCGGCAAAACATTACAAATTGTTAACTACTATAAAAGCACTAGCACTTAACACTTTAATTTCAGTCTTATAAGTTCCCTTATCTCAAGAGTGAGAATTACATCTGATCTATTAAATAGTGTCAGTGTATCCAAATAATCATCTTTACTTTCAGAATACTAACAGCAATACTGTACTTTGAACTATATGCATAAAACACAACAGCTAGCAAAAATTATTCAGATTTTAAAATGTAAAACATACCAAATAAAAAGGGATACCAAACATGTCATGTTATGATTGTATTTCTGGTTATTTATAAAACAAATTCAATAGTAGAAACTATTTAAAAACCTATTTTTTGAAGTTTCTTTAAATTTATAACAACTATTAAAGAAACAAATGTTGGATTTATTTTAAAATCATAAAAAAGGGAGAAATATTCAACGTTGACGACATTTTCAGATGAAAAGGATATGCAGCTACAAAATAATTTGTATTAACTTGTGAGTAAAAAAATATACTGAATAAATAAAATTTAATTTTAAGTAAAAGTTTCTGCCATTTATTAAAATTATTAATGCGGTTTTCAGCCATGAAGCTAAATATAGCCTACAAGCTTAATATATGAGCTTCACACTATCTTTAATAAACTGTTTAGTATGCTAGGCATAGCTTGCTTACAGCCACCAGCATATCAAGCAGAGGAAGCAAACAAGGGGTTAATCCCCAAGACTTTGCTCCGTGGGATTATTACACTAGGTCATCAATACTGATGAGTCAGTCTTCAAAAAAAAAAGTTCAAGATGTGTAAATAAAATTTGTTCTAAAATATGTATCAACATTAGTAAACATTGGAACACATGAGCCATTGTAACTAGAACTCTTTACTGTGGTAACACTTAACCCTCTACAGCCTGAGGCAGGAAAATGTATATGTGTAATGCTTATTTTGTTGCAGGATGATTAACCATATTTCAGTTTGCCTTTCTTACATTCCATTACAATTAATTTAAAAAATGTAAGAGATTACTTAATCTTTTTAAAAAGAATTCTTAATAATTTCTGTTTCATATCAGTAGATATATATATCCGTTTTTTCAGTATTTATGTGTTCTCTATTCTTTTTTAGGCTTTAAATCAATGAACATTTTAAAGAAAAGGCTATCAGATTGACTTTTTTTCCCATGCTTATACATAACTTGAACAGACTGTAAAGGGTTAATAACTCAACAAACTTTTAAAATACTGTAATGCCACTTCATGTAAAAACAAAAAGCTTTCCCTCTATTCTACATTCTAGGTAATCTTTACAATCAGAACACAACATAAGAGCCTTTCATCTCTTCTATAAAGCACACATAAATATGGCAGCAAAAGATGATCCCACACTCTCCACACCTCAGGGTTTCTCCTCCACAGAATTAAAAACAATCACAGTAATGGGGTGCTTGAATAAAAAACGACTACTCATCTAGGTGTACAACACATCACAAGCTTTCATCACTTTCAATGGCTTGCAAATCTGGCATGTCCAACAAATCCACAGCTATACCCATATGTGAAGCATCGTCTTGACTTGTGTCCTCCGCATCTAACTCACCACCTTCTAATGCACCAGCACCTTCCCCATCCAAAACTGAAACCCAGGACCATGAGAAAAAAAAAATTGTTGACACCAATAACACTTTTTAAGATAATGTTATAAGAATTATTTTCCTTAATGTTTGAAATTTTCATGGTTGAATGATTTGACTGCTTGTCCATAGGTTGAGTTCAGATCTCAATTTGGATCTGTGACTGTAAGACAAACCTTGCCTTTGGGAAAGTAAAGGCAGCTGGGCATAGTGGGGGACCTTCATATGTTAAGGTAAAAAACATAATGAACTCTGCTTCAACTGCCTAATGGATTGTTAGGTCTTAAGATAAATCTTTTTGTCTTATTTAAGAACATTTTGTAGTTCTAGGCTCCATGTTAAATATTCCAGAACACATCTCAAAAAATACTGTCATGGGATGTTTTGGCCCATCAAGGTGGAGTATATCAAAGCAGCTATTTTTTGCTGTTAAGTATCATGCTACCTTGGGCCAACACATACCCACAGAAAAAAGAAAACCTACATGTGATACACAATGACCAGCTAGCATTCTATGGAGAACTAATACATTTTATTTCAAATTATCTCTCGCCTTGATCCAAACATCCTTTGATAATCCTATAAGGCATAGCAGAGCAAGTGACTGCCAACCCAAAAGTCTTGAGTTTTGGATCAGGGGCATAAACACCTTATATATTAAGTAGGACATCCCTTAATCCATTCGGTTCAGATGGGTACCTGACACATTAGGGAAAGTAAAGCAGCTGGGTATAGTGCTGACTACACTATCCTTTCATATGCAGAGATCACAGAAACAGATGAATTCAACTTCATCTTCCCCATGGTTTGCCAACTCAAAAAAAGGGTACTTTAATTTTGATACACACATGAAAAAAGTTCCCATTTTTCAAACCTGACAGTCTATAGGGCAAGTGAAGTGAGTTAACTTGTTTCTGTGACCTAGGCATATGAAGAGATAGTTAAGTGTGGTCAGCATAATGCAAGGCTGCCTTTACTTTCCCTAACTTAAGTTAGGTACCCATCAGAGTTGGGTGGACTCAGAGACGGCCTACTGACTTGAACCCGGATTCGAACTTGAGACTTACGGGTCAGCAGTTCAGCTCTCTACCGCTAGACCACTCCGTCCTACACATGAACTAAAGTGAAATCATACCTGAATCTTGTTCCAGCCTAGCCAATGGGTCATCATCCTCAGTAACATAACGCTTGTCTACTGCTTCTTTGATCTGGTTGTTTAACCCTTTAGGGTCCAGATCCATTGCCCAGGAGAAATTCATCATTGCGAGGTGTGTGTTTCCAAGTTTTTTATGAACCTAACGGAAATATAACCATCAATACAGTGATCATTACACAGCCTTTTTAACTTGTTCAACATGAAGTAACCAGCATTAAGCTTTACCGCCTTTTAGGATTTAAAGATAATGAAAAATAACTTATTAATTATACATTTTACACAGATTGCTTTTAAAATAAAAAAATTTAATTAATCAAGTGTCTTATATTTTTATTTCTTATATATATTTTTTTTTCAAATTAAAAATGAACTCACCTTCCCCATTAAGAAATAGACCAGCGATTCTCTAGGTATGATTTGTTTTAATATCTCTAATTCTTCTAAGGCTTCCTGGACAAAGTGAAAGAGGCAATGGTTTTATAATCTCAAACTATACAACTGTTAATGGAATGGAGGAATAAAAACTCTTGCAAAAACATGGTAAACAATGCCTTGCTTTAATTTTTTTTTTTAAATCACTCCTACAAGATTTGTGAACTTACTTTGTGTCTGTCATTAGCAAAGAGGATGGATGCTCTATGGAACATACACAGGGGATTCTTGGGGTCTGTTTTGATGGCTGTGTTTAATGTGCTGAGGGCTAAATCAGTCTTTTGCTGTGCATGCTGGGCCTGGTAGAGAAATGGGGTTACGTCTTTATAATAGGCTGGAACAATACAGTAATGTAGCAAAATATGTCTATCCTCCCAGTGATTGAAACAGCTATACCATTAAAAAAAATATAGTATGACCCTGTTGGTGGTTATACAAGTAACACATTGTTGGTTCACATAACTATTTAAACTTTTTCACATTATTTATATTTAAAAAATATAATTATCAGTACAATAAGGAGTGGGGGATGGTGTAGTGGTTGCATGTTACATTTTCTAGCCCCAAAGTCTTGAAGTTCAGTTCTCAAGTCCCTGCCATACGTGACAACTGAATTAGAAATTAACTTACCACACCAACATGGCACATAAGAACAGAACTTTGTGGATTGATAGACAATGCTTTACGGTAATGAACTTCAGCAAGGCTAAACTTTTCTTGTTTGTAATAAATTATTCCAACACCATACCTAGAAAAAATACAGAAAAAATACTAAACTAAGGGTAATCCAACCAAACTGCACAAAACTAATGCTTATTTTAAAGACGGAAAAATAAATTTGATACAATATTTTTTTTAAAAATATAAAGCAACTATAATATATAGAATACACATTACCAAGCTTGATAATGTCTAGTATCAAGACGAATAGCATTTCTAAAGCAGGTTAAAGCCTTATCAAACTCCTCCAGATAAATATATTCAAGAGCTAACAGACTGTATGCATAAACAAAGCCAGGATCCACCTGTAAGGGAGAAAAACCATTTTATAATGTTATGGTTTCTATGTTGATGTCTATGTATTGTTTGGCTACAACATGTATTTTTACATACACATTTTGTTACTTACTGCTTTATTGTATATAGAAAATGTGATGGACTCAGTGAGGAAAATACTTAAGTTACACATTTTTTCTCAAAAACAAATTAAAACCTACAACTTTTTATTCCATTCTGTGTATCATTGGTTTTTTTTACATTTAATTTATGGAAGAGGAAAGTACTTTAATTCAACATTGACACTTTTACTAATGCTAAGAATATTTCTTGAAATAAAATAAAATACCATCCTCCACATGACCAAATCATCAACATACCTGAATAGCTCTCTGGAAAAACTTGATGGCCACATCATGCTCCTTCTGAAGACTGAAACAGTTTCCTGTAGCAAACCATGCTTGTGCTGACAGTTTGTCCATGGCGGAGAGCTCCTGTGCCAGGAGAGACAACTCTACTTCTTTATGCAAATGCCAGAGGACTGAGCTGTAAAAATCTAGGCCGTCTATGTGATAGGGTTCTATCCTTCTCACTTCTTCAAATACTCTAGCAGCCTGAATTCAAATACATGATAAAAAATGCATGTTTAAAAACCGTGTAAATTCTATATATTCTAGCACTCACTATAAACTATTGCGATGTTAACTAGAATTTCTTTCAATTAAGTTTTTTAGATTAAGATTTTTTTTAAACCAATACAACTAAATTATTATATATAAAATCATACCAGACAGAGAAAAATTAAGATAATTATTTTTTTAAATTTTGATAACAAAGAATAAAGTTGATTAAGACACCTGATTAAAGAGACACAAAAAAATTTTTTATTTTTTATTAAAGCTGTTACCCTTTGATACTCTGCCAGTTCATAATATGCCCTTCCCACTTGGCACAAAACCCAGCCTGTGTTGTACTGATGCTCTGGCAACTCTGAGAAGAGATCAACAGCGCTCTTACACTGGTACCGTGCCAAGGCAGAGTACGCTCTTCCAATATTTTTCAACAGGTGGAGAATTCCAGCTATGTACAACATTAGACAAACAAGATGGTCAAGCTATATAATTAATAGATATAAAAAGACTAATCATAAACTAGACTGAGGAAATAACAAGTGAAAACTGAATTTTACCTAGAGATTGCTGCTGCATCTGAACTATCTGTTCAATGGTTTCATTATTTCCTAACGTGGGCTTGGTGTCTACTTCAAGGTCACCTTTTTAAAAAAAACATATCAGTAAGTTTCAAAAATAGCTTGATACCATTTCTTTTTAAGAGACAAACGCTAGCCACTACGTTACCTTTATTGATTTCATTCAACTCCTGGGGTGTCTTCGTGGTTTTCTTAGAACGTCTGTTAACTCCCTTTGTTCCCATGTATGTACCAGGTGTTTGACTTTTATTATTTTCCTTAAACAAAAGATTGTCATCAATGTTAGTTCGAAAGCTAGTGTTGAAATTAACAGGGTCCATAGCCAAATCCCAAAAGAAAATTCAAGGCTTTTTCAAGGTTTTCAAGGTGATTTTGGGGGGAATTTCAAGGTATAAACTACCACTAACGGGCATTACAATGAGGGTGATGTATGTTTTTTGCACACACAATTTTTGAAATAATTTTGGTGTTATTACAAAATTATCTAAGTCAGGAGATTGTCTGAGAGTCCAGCATAATCCCTTTTGCAATCAGTATCTTTGGTGTCAAATGACACTCCAACTTCTATTTTCAGAAAAACTTCTTTCAACACTGGCTTGACCATGTGACAGAAGCAATAGATCTCTAACAATTTTCTAAATGTTCACATAAGAAATTTTGCTACCAAGCTGTTCTATGAAAAAAATGTCCAGCCTATCGTGTTCTCAATTAGATTTAGATAGACAACCATTTAGAGTACATGTATCTATGAATGTTGAAAATTGAAACAGAACTTGGTCACACTCAGCTGATTCAGTTTCCATTTGTTGACTAGGATGTGAAGAATTCCCTTCATTTTTTTGGTGAACTGGCTCTATTTTTAAACATTTGCATTAGGCTAAGTCTCTCACTAATGACTAAAGTAATGGAGATTTAAAAAAAAAATTTGATGAAAATCCTATCAAAGTTGTCTTACAATCAGATTTGAAATTGAGAATTTGAAGCTCATTTGCTTTTTTTACTTTTTCTAGAGACTTTATTAGAGAGTCAGCAACAAACCCAACTTCAATTGAATGACTTGTCAATGTCAAGTGATAATCAGAATCAGGTCATTATACATAAAAGGAAGCATTGGTTCGTCTGTCTGATAGTCCTTTAAAAAGGACTCTGCACATATTTAGAAACAAAAAAAAACAAACCTAGCTATGCTTGTAGAAATTATCCTGCTTAATGTCACAAATGATCTCACGCTTTTTAAAAGATTATTACCTCTCCCCCCCCCCCTCAGTCACACATCACAAAAAGCCAGGCCCCGCCCTCTAAAATGACGTCACACCTTAGCCTATAACCCCTCCCACCCACCCCCCCCCCCTTGATTGCAGTTCAACTTTTCTTAAAATAGGATTTTTTTCCCAAAATCTTGTCTGAACTCTGTCAAAATAGAGTATTTTAATCAATTCCTTTTACAATTTATTAAAACAGTTTTCTAAAATGCTAAAATTCGTTTTTCTGACATTGCTTTTTAATAATGCAAAAGTGTGATGTCACACGATCTGACCCCCCCCCCCCCCCATCCCCTCATCACACACCGTCACACGATTACGGATCCCCCCTCCCCCTACGAGTGTGACGTCATTTATGGACGACGTCATTTGCTATTGGTTTTTTTAACGAACGTGATAAATATGCCTATTGGTATTAGGAAATCTTGTTGTTAAAAATCTAGATCAAGATCCACGACTATAAAAATTATTAATATACTGCGAGGTCACTGTAAGCTGTAAGTTGAGATAGACCTAGAAGACCTTCTAAGGTCGCAGTGACCGAAACATCTGCTATCGTGGGGTACACAAAGAACCGTGATTGATCTAGGATCGTAAAAACGTGTCTTCTCGCACATCTAAAATAACAGAACACAATAATTCGATAAATTATGTCTCGCTATTTACCCGTAATTCCGCAGCTACGTTTCGCCCTTTTGTGTCTAACCCACACCGAGAAAATTTTAATTTAAATAAATAGAAACCTACGCTCGCATAGTTAAGGCTATTCTTTTTTTTTTAAACCTAAGGTTTATTTTCTTGAAGAAAAAATATTAGTTCTAGATGTAGGTTTAATTATAATCGAGATAATTTCCATGCGCGACCAGAATTTTAATGATTTAGGCCACATTCCAATTTTTTTCTTTACGGACATCACCGATCAGGAGACAACAGACCACTCGCGGGGTCAATAAAGTTCACAATATAAATAGAGCCAACGACTGCCGAGATATTGTCGGGAAGGGATTTGGATGGCGGGGGGGGGGGGGGGGGGCGTCGATTGTTATGATTGAAGATGTTTGAAACCATAGAACCGGATAACACGGAAATTTAACACAAGAAGAAAAAAAGGTCGACACTAAATCGTACAAGTAGGTAGGCCCTAACAGAAAACAATGAATCTAGATCTAGAATCTAGTAACTCGGTCGTAAACGGACGGAGATATCCGAAAAACGATGCTAAATTTAGCCCTCGGCTATCGTTTACGTCACGATCTAGAATCTAGGTTAGGAAGAGCCTATGCAAAACTGAGGTCATACCGCGAGGCTCAGCGAAGGAGAGGGTTGGAAATAGACTCCGAAGTTAACGCAGACCCACGGCAAAAAAAAAATAAAGGCAGAAAAAGTTTAGATCCATCAGAATTGAATTTTTTTTTTAAAAATCGATTTACGCACGGTTTTCAAGGTTTACCTATAAAATTCAAGGGGTTTTGCTCATTTTTGGGGAAATTCAAGGGTTTTTCAAGGCCTTGAGATGTTTTTTGGAATTCAAGGGTTTTTCAAGGATTCAAGGTCCGCTACGGACCCTGAATTAAGCCAATTATGGCTTAAATATGCCCAGCTACCAATACCCATACTTTAAACTTTAAAACACCTTAGTTTTGGCAAACAACAGATATTAAGAAATAATTTTGAAGTTGAAATTACTGTCGCATGAACTTTAACACGTATGCTCAAAGGCAACCTATCATATGAGGAGTATGGTATATTTATGGGCAAGGAACACCTGCACTGACAATAATAATCAAAGTGATATCTATTTAAAGTAACAGTTCAATGGGTATCCACTAGCAAACTTTTTGCTCTAATTAGCTCTTGGTAGGATTAGCAAATTTTGTCAGTTCAATTAAGGAGTGTTTAGATTACTGGAATAAATAAAATATATATCACTTTTTAATAAAGATAGTAAGGATTCTGCCACTACCCAAAAATAAAGATGTAACTCACCTTGACAGCGCTAGAGTTGGAATTTGAATTTGTAAACAACCGTGAACTTCTTCGTATAGGTGCATTCCTAAAAGGGCAAAATCAAAGTTTACCTATATAATATTTTTTAAAAGATAGCAAATACAGTTAATGAAAGCTTTTTTTATAATCTTCGTTTGGTCCATTGTAAACTCACAGAAATGTGCTACATTCTATCTTGCTAATAAATAATGTTATTACAGCATAGGTAAATTTTAGAAACAGTTTACAATACTCACACTGGTTCTTGTTCTTTCATCTTTTTTAATGTGTTAGACCAGTTAAGGACTGGAGACTTTCGTATTTGTGCTCGTCTTGTCATTGGCTAAAAAAAAACAAATGCAGATTTTTACTTTATCAACTGTATAGCTTCTAAGGACGTTTAATTATAATTATCTTTTTTAAAAATGTAGTTACTCAGTTATCCATGTTCTATAAGTTAATATTGGAAAATAGTCTATCTATAATAATAGTTTCGCTGTCTCTCTATCTATCTATCTGTCTGACAAGAACGCTCTAGAGAAAAGACAAGCAATTTAAAAACATGCACAGTAATTCGAAAAACGAAGTATGACGTCGACACATTTAGCGCACAGAGTAGAAAATAATCTCAAACCCAGAGAGTGCACACAGTTATATGACGTCATTGATTATCGAGTAAACATATTCAATACAAAGGCAATTTGGTCTAATCTAAGTGGTTTGCGTGAAGAGTTTCTTGCATACAATTCTTCGGGTAGGGGCGAAGCCCCACCCCCCGCGTAAGAACGTCTGAGCCCCTCCCCCTCCCCAACTCAAAAGAAATTTCCTCATCGATACTCTATAATAAAATTAATGTGTCTAATCTAAAAAGTGGTTTTCTTGCAATGGGACGGTAGACATGTTTTTTTTTTTGGGGGGGGGGGGGGGGGGTGGAGGGTTGGGGGGAGGGTGTGTGGAGGGGTGGGGGGGGGGGTGTGTGTGTGGGGGGGGGGGGTGTGGGGGGGTGGGTTGGTTTCAGTGTTTCTTTCAGACTTTTTCCTCCCCGGAGAGGGGTGGGGGTACTTGAAATTTTCGGGGGCGGGGGTAGAATTTTCTGGGAGGGGGCGGACACTGGAAAAAGTATATAATTATATTTCGTTGAATGGGACGGTAGACATGGTTTTTTGGGGGGGGGGGGGGCGGTGGAGGGGGGGTTGGAGGGGTGGGGGGTGGGGGTGGGGGTGGGGGGGCGGTGTGTGGAGGGGGTGGTGTGTGTGGGGGGTGGGGGTGGGGGGTGGGGATGGTGTGTGGGGGTGGGGGTGGTGTGTGGGGGGTGGGTTGGTTTCAGTGTTTCTTTCAGACTTTTTCCTCCCCGGAGAGGGGTGGGGGTACTTGAAATTTTCGGGGGCGGGGGTAGAATTTTCTGGGAGGGGGCGGACACTGGAAAAAGTATATAATTATATTTCGTTGAATGGGACGGTAGACATGGTTTTTTTTTTGGGGGAGGGGCGGTGAAGGGGGGGGGGGGGGGTTGGAGGGGTGGGGGGGGCGGTGTGTGGAGGGGGTGGTGTGTGTGGGGGGTGGGGGTGGGGGGTGGGGATGGTGTGTGGGGGTGGGGGTGGTGTGTGGTGGGGGGTGGGGGTGGTGTCTGGGGGTCGGGGGTGGGGGTGGGGGTGGTGTGTGGGGGGGTGGGTTGGTTTTAGTTTAGAGAAAAGAGACAGCACTATCAGCCTAGCGCCCGTTGTACCCTTCCTCAACGGGCCATTTATCTAGTTTGTAATAATTGGATATTATTTTACAAAAGGGTATACTCTGAAAAAAACATTCTTTATGGAACTAAATAGCACAATTTAAGTTGCTTACTCTTGTTTTGATGGGTGCTTGCACTTCTAATGCTTGTGAATCAGTAGGGACAGGGGAGATAAATGATGGAGTTGAACTAGCAGAAACAGGCAATGGGTTTTCTACAGGCAATAAACCAAAACTGTTGAAATAAAAAAAAAAGTTATTATTAAAGTTAGTCTAATGGCAATGAACATTGTCAACAGACATATAAAATTCCAGTGTTATTTCCTAACAAACCAGATTCTCAGTTTTTTGTAAAGACAGAACTATACAGTATGTTCAGACAGCAGTGTCACAGAAATGCTTGGCCTTTTATTTTAAACAATGTGTTTAGTGAAGAAATTTTTTTAAGTAAAAACTTGAATAATCTATGTTGGTGATCTTAAACTATTTCTTCATTATTTATAACAGTTGTACTCACCTAGGAGATATATGTACAGAACTAGAAAATAATTTAGTGGGGCCGGTTCTTTTCCTGACAAATGATGGATCAGGCGTTACTACAGGTTTTTGTTTGTTGGGTCGGGGTGCTTTACTTATGTCATGGGGACCTAACTGGTTCTGGAAATTTTCAGGGGTTTGGTTGGGGAAAATATTGCGTGGAGACAGTAACTGTTGAGAAAAAAAGGTTTTAAATTTTTAAAATAATTTTCTTTGCGTATAATATGCAACGACAATCCAATTTAGAGAATTAAAACCAGTCATATTTTAAACAGCCTATTGAAATGAGACAATAAATGATAAAATGCTTTCAAAAACAACATAGTAATAACCGAAACCTACTTTTAAACAAAGAATTTTTCAATCAAGTGATTACTTACATTTTCACTTGAAACAATTGTAGTGGATATTGTGTCTGAAATATTTTCACTCATGGTAACAGTGTCTTGTGGGGATGTTGTTGTTATGTTTGTGGTATTTGAAGAAGAATGGGGTGGTATTTGAAATACTGTCTCTGGTTTAATATTTTCACCTGCATAGTGCAAAACAAAACAAAATTATGAAAACAGAAATATATTAAATGATACAATTTAACACACAAAAAATTTGTAACATTGCTATAACATATTTGATTATTTTTATCTTAATTTTAGTTAGCAAAACATGTTTTTATAAGCTTTTATTAAGTTCACATTGTCCATTTATTTGTGGGATGTGGCAAAACTTTAACTTAATTTTAATATTCCAGATACATTTGTCTCCAGTGACAATGAAAGAATAACTATTTTTAATCTGATATTAGGTTAGTCATTAAATTGTAATTAAAATATTACTGAATTCAGCAAGAGTAAATGCTAAATCAATTGGCTGCCGACGGTGAACTGTTTAAAGGCTGAGTGATTTTGTGCCTGAGTATCGACCACATACTAAGGGGCAGCTAGTTGTCTTACAGAGAATGCAAGTTACTGATCAGGTTCTACACAAATATTTTCAGTCATAGCCTATTATATTGTGTCAACTTTATTTAGAATAAATTACCATAAAAGAAGAAAATAAAACAAACAAAAAAATTATAAAAATTAGCTTTTAAAATCACTGCAAATAAGAAAATAAAACTCAATTGCTTTGATTAAAAAATCAAATTAGTTGTATTTTCTTACTTTCAGTGCATTCAACAGATTATTATAAAGTTTTTATATTTGTTTTATTAAAAATTGCAAATATTTACCCATTGCACACAACATTTCATATGACTTCCACAGCAAGGGATTTAGTGCAAGTGACCTACGATAACACTGAGATGCTTTTAAAACTCGCTCAGTTTTACTGTAGACAAAACGTTTTATAATAAATTGTAGATCTTGTAAATTTATGCTTCAAATATTTTTTACACTTGTTTTTTTTACATTAATTTAATATTTCTGCTTGTGAACATTATCAAAAATCAATAAGCTTAAAAACAGGTTATTATTTGTTCTTGTTTGTCCTTAGAGCTTGAATAAATTCATGATAAATCAAGAGAAATAAAAGGCTTTGTAACATTTTTTTAAAATTAGTACTAAACTTTAACAATATAAATTATATTAATGTCACAAATCTGCACTTCATTGTTTTAAACTGAATTACAACCAAAATAAACATTGCCAAGTAGAAGTCACTTACCTGTAAACAAACCCTAACAAAGCAAACACATAACACGCAAGGCTACCAAACTCAGTTTCTATGTCTTCATGTGATTTCACTTTTGTTAATATAGTCCCAGCTAGAATTCTCTCTGCTTCGGCAAACCTTAAAGGTACAATTAAATATTATTAAATTGATCAAAGCAGCTGAAATCAAAAGCAGGCATTTATATTTAACACTTAAGAATGGTATCACATTTAAATACACACCTTTATACTAAAGGAGTTAAGTACCTTAAGTTAAGTACCTTGAAACTCTTAACAAGATACCGCTAAGGAACAAAGAAATCTATCATAAAATTAACTTACTTGTTCATATCTGAGCAGCATTTTGCCATTAGATATTTACACTGGGCTGTTTGACAAAGATTTTTCTCTAATAGCATATATGCTTGGTATGGTTTTCCAGATCTATAGTAACAGGTTGCAAGCAGGTGTAAAGAATCATTGTTGGATACTGGAAGAAACATTATAAAAAGAAATATGTGTTAAAGGGTATCTTTTGTTTTTGTTTTTTAAAAAGAAAAATTAAATGCTAAGAGTTAACTAAATGCATTATAATTATTTTTTTCGTATTTAACTTCTACTTTTTAAAATAAAATTCATTTTATTTACAGATTTGAAAATGTGGCAATAAAAATGGGTAAAATTATCAGGTAATACTATAAGACTTGAAAGTGAACTAACTTTCTGCAAACAGCCTCTCTGCTAAAAATATTGCATCAGCATAACAATAATTATTTAGTGCATCCCAGATAGCAGCCTGTTATGAGAAAGGGTAGCGAAAGAGAATTAACAATACATCAAAATGTTATGATTTTTTTTAAATTAATACCTGCAGATAAAAAGTAGGATAGTTTTTTATGTTAATATGTGAATATTGGCGAATAGCAATTAAATATGTGGCACAAAAGGAATACACTATATTATTGCCAATCTCACATAAAAAAACTAAAGCTTGTTTGCAAAATGTAAATACAAATTCGCTTATATGAAAAAGATGTATTATTGGCTAAGAGGTGTCCATAAAAATGACGTCACACTCGTAGGGGGAAGGGGGTCCGTAATTTTGTGACGGTGTGTGATGAGGGGGAGGGTGGGGTCAGATGGTGCGACGTCACACTTTTGCATTATAAAAAAGCAATGTTAGAAAAAAAAATTCAACTGCAATTTTGAGGGGGGTTGTAGGCTGAGGTTTGACGTCATTTTAGGGGGGTGGTCTGGCTTTTAGTGACAATGTGACGGAGAGGGGGGGGGAGGTAAAAATCATCAAAAAAGCGTGACGACATTTATGGATGACCCCTAACAAAATAAAATCTTATTGTGAATTATTAAAAAAATTACGGAAATAGTTGTGCTTAGTTGAAAGGTGAAGAGGTTTACATAATGGAAAGAACTAACTTTAGCTTCTATTAATACTGAATTATGTTTGGGTGGTTTTAGAATTGTTTGACAAGTTTATTTCATAATACCTTTTCTAAAAAATTACAAGCAAAATAGGCATAAAACCAAAACATATCTCGCAAATTGTCTCACTAATTAGCCATACCAATAATTCTGCAGGAAAAAATGTTTCACATTTTCTTCTCGCATTTTACCATCTTGCAAGTTCTTGTTTTACACCTTCCCGACTGATTGAAAGTTTAGCCTAATGAATAGGGTTAACAACATCATCTAATCTAGATCTAAAACATTAGTTTAGCAAAGAATGACCACACTAGACTCAGGGCTATAGCTATTTTAAGATCAACTAAGTAGGCTAACTTTTATATTTAGAATCTAAACTTTTAATAGTCTAACTGGAGTAATACACTTCAACACATACAAAAAACAAGTGATAAAGTGTAGAGCAGAGCCTGATAACTCTTAACTAAAATCTATTCTAAATCTAAACTAGAATCTAGTAACTATACACAACTAGTTTAGACTAGAGATACTTGTTATAATGGCCTAAGTAATAACTTAAAGGCGGATTATAGATGGAACAAAATTAAACTATGCATGCATAGTGGGAAAAAACTTGCCTTTCTAAGTTTATGGCAACATTTACAATGCCTAAAGGCTGCATCAATTCAGACCGGGTCTGAATAGCCATAGCCGCTATAAGAACCTGGGTCCTTATAGCCTCGCTGCTTTTCGGACCAGCCAATAGATTTGTTAAGATTTATTGTTTAATGTTAAACAATAATTCTTTTAAGATGTAGAAAAAATCTTTTCTGTTGTTAAGATTTTTTTTTTTAAATTCTAAATGATATCTTGCTTTAAATACCCGATATTATTCCTGACAAATAATATAGCGATTGATAGTCATATGGCCTATGTAAATTCTAAATTATATCTTGCTTTAAATGCCCGATATCATTCAATAAAAAAAAAACATACTAGCAAATCCACAAGAAAAAAATCTAACAAACAAAAGGTATTATTTTAATACAGGTTATATTGTGTAACTATAGACCAAACTTAATGCTGGGTCCAAATAGCCACTTCCATGCCTAAAACCTTACTCTAACCCAGGGGTCGGCAACCTTTTGAAGCAGAAGAGCCAAAAGTTACAATTTTCAAAATTTCCCTGGTTTTAAAGAGCCACCAACATTTTTTTTATTTCAAAATTTTTATTTTTTTATTAAGATTATTAGTATTTGCGCAAGGAGCTGGAGAGCCGCATCTTGATATCAAAAGAGCCGCATGCGGCTCTTTTGATCGACCCCTGCCCTAACCCTATAAAAATTCAATTTATATGGGAAAAAAAGCAAAAATAAAAACTCTGTCAAAAGGATTGGAACCCATGCATACATATTTGCTCCACCTAACTTAGGGCCTTGGGGAGGCTTGGCGGTATGCAGTATATTCTGCATAGTCACTTCATAATTTTTATAAACTCAGCATGTAGAAAATCCAGGATGATTGAATATACTGGTGTCTGAAAATCCCAACTTAATTTTATGGTTAGAAATTAGGGTTATGCTTTGGGTAGGACTACTAGTCCTAGTCACTAGGGTTAGCATTACCATTATCAAGCTGTGTGTGTATTTTTTAAATTTTAGCTAAATACCAGTAAAAAGGGTGTTGGTAAAAACACAAAAATCATCATATAAAAATAAAAATTATATATTCTTGTGGAGCTCAACAATACGAAAACAAAACAAAAAAGATTTTCTTCCTAACTCAAATAGTTTTGTTCAGTGAGGGGTGGAATCCCCTTTTTTTTGCATTGGCCATTTGTGACAAGTCATGTATACCTGAATAAATGAGCATAGTTATTTAACTTGCAGTTGTATTTTGTTCATATTTGCAGAGTTTACTTAGAGAATGATATGTAGAACTTGAAGGCCTTGTTTTTTAACTGAATAAAAATAATACAGAAAGTATATTTTAGTGTTAGCTTCCTCCCCTAACCCCAAAAAATTGTGTGCTGGGCAAATATGAACATATTTCAAAAGCAATGTTTTATATAATAAAATGAATGAAAGAACTACATGGTCTGAAATCTAAAATAAATCACTTGAGCACTGTAATGTGCATATAACTGCCTGATTATTTTGGGCAGGTGAAGTAGAGTCCATCTTTAAGCCATTTTTGTTATAAGTGAACTGAAGTTATCAGATCAATGTTTTTATGTATGTAAGAATTCTGATTTTCAGCATACAACTATAAATAAGGTTAAGTAGAACTTGAAAACTTAAAATTACAGTTAGCACATTGCTAGTAAATAGCAACAGACAGGTAACCTAGGCCTGATTGAGATTCTTGTCTAGTCTGATGAAATTTAATTTTAGGAAAAAGATAATTGACAAAATTTTACTTCAAGCAAAACTGGATCTAGAGCTGAAAAAATGAAAGATGGGTTGGCCTATATTAAAATATTTTAAAAACACAATAAGGAGATTTGTTTTACACCTTACATAAGAATGCTGTTGTTAACTTGTCAGTGTATCAAAACTAAAAGCCGGCAGATCGCGATGAAAAAATATAACAATGGTGGCAACACGACCTACATACGGTGACTATTTTAAATGAGTATACCTAATGACCTTTTCAACTATGTAATTTACCATAAATTAAAAACTTATTAGTATGCAAAACCAAATCTCATGTGCCCGGTATCAGGAAGTAATGAAAGTTTTCTGGGTCAAGTTATTACCCGAACTCTGCCGATACCGACAACCCAACCAGTAACCTAACACCCCATTTTTTCTGTTAACGGACACTGGTATTAAAAATCCACATTAATGATTAGTAGCCTAGAGATCTAGATCCAATCTACTAGATCCTTGTTAGGACAAGTAGGCCCCTATATTTAATATATTAGGCTATTAGTCTAGTATTATAATATTAAGTACGCCAATTGAATATTTTGAATGGATGGTTGACTGTTGGTTGTTTACACCACAATTTCACCATTATTTTGCTTTGATTCTAGACTAGAAAAATACACAAATCGTCAAATACTAGATCTATAGGGAGTCTTTTTCTTATAACAAGAGTCAAGACTTTTGCTTCTTTTAGGTTTAGGCCTATTATTATTTATTATTTATTTTTATTTTAGGCCTAATCCTTTTTACTTTTTATTTAGTAGATCTAGAATCTAGATTTAGATCTAGAATACTTAAGAATAGAGATCTAAATACTAATTAGAGATTTAGATCTATTATTAGTTCTAGATCTAGAGATCTAGAAATCTAGACCTAGATCTAGATCTAGAAATCTAGGTTATTTCTCACAACTCACAGACCTGTTTTGATATTTTACAGACTATTTTTCAGTAGCGACACTACAAAAATACAACAGTTATCTAGATCTAGGCCTATTAGATATTAGATTTTAACACTGAGAAATATTAACTGAAAATTATATTACGAATATACCTGAACTGGTTCCTGTAGAAGCATTGTAAGACCTAAATCCAAAATAAATCAACCCACAATAGTTTTTTAGTTTACATTTACTCGAATTTTTTAATATTCGGCCATTATCCAACATGACCTCGTTTTGAAGCTTCAAATATATACCCACGTGACCTGCTCTTTTCAATTAAAAATCACTTTTTTATATTTTTACCTTAAAATTCTAGGCTCAGACCAAGGCTACCCTTTATAGAAGTCATAGTCTAGAATCGTATATTATTAACTTTAAAATTGACTACAATGAAATAGTTGATAAAAATACTAAAGTTAATAGATATTGATAGCTGTTTACTTCTGCCTCCTCCATGATTTAAATTAACAGGTTCCCATCTGGGGACCATGAACCTAGAGGCCCAGCCAGGATTTTCATTAATTATAGAGGATGTAATACTAATAGTTTGCCTTAAGGGTCATCCATAAATGACGTCACGTTTTTGACGATTTTTACCTCCCCCCTCCCCTCCGTCACTCATCATCACAAAAAAGCCAGACGCCCCCCCCCCCCTCTAAAATGATGTCAGACCTTAGTCTACAACCCCCCCTCAAAATTGCTGTTGAATTTTTCTTAAAACATCGATATTTTTCCAAAATCCTGTCAGAACTATGTCAACATACAGTAGTTTGATCAGTTCCTATTACAATTAATTAAAACCGTTTTTTTAAAACACAAAATAACGTCTAAAACTCGTTTTCTAATATTCCTTATTTATAATGCAAAAGTGTGACGTCACACCATCTGAACACACACCCCATCTCCCCCTTATTACACACCGTCACAAAAGTACGGAACCCCTCCCCCCTACGAGTATGACGTCATTTATGGACGACCCCTTATAGGCGTCACGATGCTGGGGCGTGGGGTGCGGAACGCATCAAGCGACACCATTTAGAGGAGTGATAAGTTAATCAATGACCGGGGTGTCGTGACACCGTACCTAATAATTTACTATAAAAACGTTGCTTTCTTCCACTTGAAAATTGGTGGATTTAAATTGTGATTATGGGACAGCATGGCCTAACAGTAGAAAGCTAGACTGCAACCCGAGAGTCTGGAGTTCGAATACGGGCTCAAGTCAGTATGGAACGTCCATGACTTCACCCAGTTCTGATGGGTACCCAGAGGCGTAGCGACCCTTCCCGGCGCCCGGGGACAAACTTTCGATCTGCACCCCCCCCCCTCGAACTTTTCATTTGCACCCCCCTCAAACTTTCGATCTTTCGATTTGCACCCCCCTCGAACTTTTCATTTGCACCCCACCCCCCTCAAACTTTCAATTTGGCGCCCCCCCCCCCCCTAAGGTCGGCGCCCGGGACATATGTCCCCCCCCCCCCTCGCTACGCCTCTGTGGTTACCTAACTCATGTTCAGAGAAACAAAGGCGGCTGTGCATATGCTGACCACGCATCCCTTTATATGCCGAGGTCGCGCTGAAGCAGACAAACTCTACTTCACCTGCCCCTGTGTTTTGGGCACGAACGAGAAATGATGATGATGATAATGCTGATGATGATGAAATAGTGATTGCACTAACTCCCGCCATTTGGAAAAATCGGAGGTTGTGACAAAAATAGCAACTATATATATATATATATATATATATATATATATATATATATATATATATATATATATATATATATATATATATATATATATATATATATATATATATTAATTCAGCCGTTGTATCATCGTGTTTTTTAAAAGCTGCTTTTGTAAACTGTATTAGCAGTGTTTCTTCCAGACTTTTTTCTCCGGGGGGGGCACTTGAAATTTTCGGGGGGGCGGTAGACTTTCTTCGGGGGGGCGGACACTGTTAAAAGTATATATTTTCTATATAAATTATATAAATTTCATTTCGTTCGTCCTGGAAGAAACTCTGTGTATTAGGAGTGTATTATAATACCCAATGTTGACTGAGTTAAGCAGATGTTAGAAAGAAATCGCTGTTTTAATAAACAAATAAGCAATTTTGAGGAACTAGATCTATAGGCTGAGGGCGACGTCATTTTAGGGGTCGGGAGTCCGGCTTTTTGTATCGGAGCTGAGGACTTCTTGCGTTTTGGCTGAAACCACGCCCCTTTATGCGTCCTGGACTACCGGTACCTAGTCGGATGATATTTAGAATCGACCCTTTGAATCCCGGTCAGATCGTCCCCCCGGCGTGGCCTCAACCAACCGGCGGGCTCGTTGCATTGAGTTTAAATATAAACTCAAAACAATAATATAAACAATCTCCTTTCGGTCGGTCAGGCCACATACCACGCACGCATAGTGTTGTGTGTCGTGCCTTAACCAAAATAAGCCTTAACCAAAATAAACTATCTCCCTTCATTATCATTAGACTTAATTAATTAATTAATTTGCTAATTATAAAATTATGTATGATGCTATAGAAGTAGGAAAGTATAATTTTTTACTATGTATTTGTACTATTAAACATATTAAAGAAAATCGTTGTTTCAATACCACCCTCTCCCCTTCTTGAACTCAAAGTTAAACTTTTAACCCCGTTTATAAAGACTAGCGGTATGCTGTGAGGCGGCGGGTGGGTAGGGTATATACTCATTAAAAAAAATCCACCGTGGTGCGTGTTATTGGCCTTGGGTGACCGCTGTTGGCGCTTGCTGTGAGGGGGAGAGAGGTGTGTGTTATACTCGGTGAAAAAAAAATGCACCGTGGTATTGGCCTATGATGACGTCGGCGCAAGCGGGAAGGGGTGGGGGGGGAGACTTTTTAAAGCCAAGAACTAGGCGTTTCAAGGCAGTAATGAAAATCAAGGACTGGTATAGCCATGATGTCGAATTTAACGAGTGATGCTTGCTGGGTCTATCATACGATTGCTTGGCGATGGGAATCTCGTCAAGCTCAGTTTACATTATTAACAGTGAACTATTGGGATGCTGTCATGCACAAAGTAACAGCTACCGAATGTAGCACTTAAAACAAATAGTGCATCCCGCTCATTATAAATCTTTGAAATACAAGTTAGGGGTCATCCATAAATGACGTCACACTCGTAGGGGGAGGGGGGTCTGTAATTTTGTGACGATGTGTGATGAGGGGGAGGGGGGGTTCAGCTTGCTGACGTCACATTTTTGCATTATAAAAAAGCAATGTTAGAAAACGAATTTAAGACGTTACTTCGCGTTTTAGATAACTGTTTTAATAAATTGTAATAGTTTAGACAAGATTTTGGAAAAATGTCGATGTTTAAAAAAAATTCAACTGCAATTTTGAGGGGGGTTGTAGGTTGAGCTGTGACGTCATTTTAGGGGGGGGGGGTCTGGCTTTTTGTGACGACGTGTAACGGAGGGGAGGGGGGGAGGTAAAAATCGTCAAAAAAGCGTGACGTCATTTATGGATGACCCCTTAAGTCCAATAGGCAATAACTACTAATACTTGAAGGACTGCCAGAATATATGCATTGTATTATAAAATTAATCCTTACGATATAACTAAAATGTGCATCCAAATATGTTTAGGCTAATGGGATCTGCATTTAAATAAACAAAGTCAAATACCTACCCCATTCAGTAGAAATATTAGGCTACTTTTGCATGGTAGCACAACGACATTTTTTAGATTTTGTAATGAGTAGCATGGTCGTGCATCAAACTAGAATAAAGGGTTGTACTCAATAGCAATGACAATAATGAAATGCCGGCTTCAAATTCCGGCTTCCCCGTATTCTTCGACTAGAAATATAGCTCCGTCGTTTAAATGACCCCACCCCTCCACCTTTTGCCTAGTTGAATATAAAATTACACTTTCAACCCCGTTAGGATGCGTGAACTACTGATGATCTAACTACTGAAAAAAAATCTATTCTGGTGTTAAATTCCCCTCCCCTACTCCCAGCATTTAACGTTGGGGCCATACACAACATCAGGAAGGTCTAGGTCGGTGTTTTATCTCGTGCAAGTTTACTCACAACACGACTACACACTATGGTTCTATCCAGGATTAAAGCTGCGGCACTTACTTAGAGTGGGATTTATTCGTTAGATCATTGTGCTTCAAATTCTGTTTCATTTTAGGATTAGAGTGATAGAATGTTGGAATTCAGTTTGTTAATTAATATATTGACCTAAATGTTGTGTACCATCAGAAACTAAATTTGTTGACAAGACACATGTGTAGGCTAAAGAATGACCTCTAGATCGAGCCAAAGATGGCTGGTTAAGGTTGACAAACGTGGTTTTCAAATTTCATGGTGATGCTTTTCTAACGGATTTTATTTTGTGCTTTCTTTGGGATTATTTTGTGTGATGTGAATATTCAAAAGTAATTTGTAAGTAGTTTTTCACGTTCAACCAATTTAACAGTTTGCTGTCGATCTGCGGCCGGGCTGATTAATTTACATTTAGCGAAACTACACACTACACGGCGTCCTAAGGCCGTTGTTTCAGCATGCCCTACTAGATCTAGTCAATTATAGACAACTTTAGAATCAACATATGTAGCCAATACATCGATTTTTATTCAATAATCTTCAAAAGCCATTCCTCTAGGGTCGTTATTTTCACGAAATTGTCGTTTTCCAATTTGTTGTCAAGAAACTGGTATTTAGTTCACGAGAACGTACGAAAACCACTCATGCGTGACCGAAATCGTCGATCGGGTGCCTTCACGTGGTTTGACACGTGTCGCCATGGGCCTTTGTTTACATCGAAACATAGCTCAAAACGGCCCTTTTTTAAATTAATTCTTCGAAAAAACGGCTATGTCCATTTTTAAAAAGGGTCATTTTCGGGCCCATTTTAAAAAACGTAAAAAAATCCGAACTACACGTAGAAAAAAATGGCTTTTTCGGCCCTTTTTAGCTCCAAAAACGCCGTGTTTACGGGTCGCGTGACGTCATCGTGACGTCAGCCGCCAACCAAAACGCGTTGAAAGCGCGCGTTTGATTGGTTGGCGGCGGATACAATGAAATATCAAGGGTTTTCTCTAAATTTTTACCGATACTATAATAAGATACCATATAGAATATAGATCTATAGTAGACCTAAATATATATATATTTATATAGTGGTTAGGCCTTGTCTGCCGATAGAGAAAATTATCCTCTGTTGACTATAAAAGGAAAAAAGTCTTGAATAATGTAAATGTTGGTCTTGAACTTGATGAGTCATCAATGATTTTTTTTTTTAAATAGGCCTTTTAGTTTATTTTTAGTGACTGATTTAAGTAATATTTTCCTAAGGCTATTATTATATTATTGCAAAAATTATTTAAGTAAGCAGGCATGCCTTGAGGACATTGCTTGTCTAACTAACTCTAGTAACTGTCGTGTAACTAGAGTCTAGAATAGTCTAGATCTAGATCTAGAAATTTCTTTATTAATTTCAATATATAGATTCTAGATCTCTCATATGCTAAGAACAAGTACATATCTTAATATTATCTAAACTAGATCTAGAATTTAGTCACAGTCTTTGGACACTGGACTCCCGACTTTGTTCGTTAGTTGTTTATTTTTATTTTTTTTAAGATCTTATTTTTGTGTCATTCTAGATTCTTTTTTGGTTTTAAAACTACAAGTAAACTAATTGTTTTCTGATAGATGTACAAAATTGCCATAATTTTTAAATAATATAATTTTATATGAATAAAATTGGCAGTGTGTTAAGCTAGTTCTGAACTGAGTACTTTTAATAATATTTTAAATTAAAACTTAAATTTAAATGTTTTAGGGCCTATTATTTTTTTATTTGCAGTTTTGTGCGTATTGTGTATCAGCTATGTCAAAAACTGATAGTGACAGCAAGTTATTGTACAGCCAAATAAAAGAATTTCTTACTAATGAAAGCAATACTGTAGCACTAGCATCAGGTCGCAGAGTCGGTGGACCATTCTCATACTTTCCATTTCCTATGGGACCAGCACGCGCCTTTGATGAAATATGTCCAGGTTTATTCCTTGGAGATGCGTAAGTAAATTTTTTTTTTTTTAAAAGTCCACAAAAAGTATTGATAAGCTACTTTCATAAATAGATTTTTGTGATTGTGTATTTTAAATATTTTTAAGTTCTATTGGGATACAGGAAATTTATTTTTTCAAGTAGACCTTCGAGAATGGATATGAAAATTTTAAAGAAGCTTTTTGTTTATTTTTCAGACAATGTGTTCAGAAACCAAATGTACTAAAACAAATGGAAATAACTCATTTGGTAAATGCGAGCATGGGTTCCAAGTTCAATCAGACTGATACAAACGCAGAATACTATAAACCCATAAACATATCTTTTTATGGCATTCCAGCAATGGATTTATCATCCTTCAATATTTTGCCGTATTTACGGCCTGCAGCTGATTTTATTGAAAATGCCTTATCAACCAAAGGTTTGTTTTTGTTTTCTTTTATTTTAGAATAAAGTGTACGGTTATTAAATAATTATTTTTTAAATATTTTTTTAAGGAACTTTGTGGTAGAATAGTAGAGCCTTCGACTGCTAACCCAAAAGTCTTTGGATCCCTGGTTTTAGTCCATATGATGTCCTAGAGTCCACCCAGCTCTGATGGGTACCCGATTCACATTAGGGAAAGTAAAGGAGGCTGGGCGTGGTGCTAACCACACTATCCCTTCAAATGCCAAGGTCACTGAAGAAACAGATGAACTCTAATTTACCTGCCACTAGATTTTTAAGGGTACTTTACGACTTCTTTTCATATTAAGATAATTTTCTGGTGATACCTCTTTGGTAAATTTTTATTCTGTTCAGTCCAAAAAGCCAAAACATTCATTGAATACAATTAATTTATTTTTTTCTTACTTATTAATAAATGAAACCATTTTTGTTTTGTTATGTTTTTCAATATTTTCTTTTTGGAGACTGATATGTTGTAATTTTGTTTGTAACAAAAATAGACTGTAACCTTTATCCGAAGTATTTTCCACTTGCTGTTATAAAAAGCGAGATTTATCAAGCAAGAAGACTTATAGAACACTGCAAAAGCTCTGATCACTATTGAGGAAAAATACTTTTTTTTAACTTGGATTTATTTTTATATATTTCAGGTAAAGTTTATGTTCATTGCCAACAGGGTATCTCTCGCTCAGCTACAGTTGTTATAGCGTATCTAATGGTCAAGAAACAAATGGACGTAATGAAGGCTGTGAGACTGGTGAGGGAGAAGCGTGACATTTTTCCAAATGATGGCTTCATCAAGCAGTTGTGTCAGCTCAATAAAGAACTGCTTAAAACTCAAAAGGTACTGGATCAGATGAGACTGTGTCAAACACAAACTTGAGTGACTTGAATCTGCCAGATACTATTTGGTGGTTCAGTGCAGAATATGTTTAAGTTTGGATGTTGTGTAAGGCTGTGAATATTTTTTCTAAATTATAGTTTTATTGGGCAGCTCTGTCTAAACTTTTTCCAACTTCAAAGGAACTGGAGCAGATTTGACAATGAATAACATCAAAATGATTTAATTAAGGTTTTTGATGTTGTATGATACCTTTTGTTGGTTCTGTGATAAAAGTTTGAAACTTGTATTAGATTATCAATATCATTCTTCATCATTTTTTTTTACCATTAATTATAGAGCTTGTATATATGTTCTCAAAAATACTGTGATATTATTTAAATAATAGCAAACTTCTGTAATGTGCTTCAGTGATTGTTGACTGACATGATTATTGAATTAATTCACTTACCATTACATTTATTAAGGCTATATGTTCACTAATCAATTTAACATCATCTTATCAAGATGTTTACGCATAGTTTAAATGAAGAAAGTAAAACAAACATACAGAAAAAAATATAAGGAAATAAAACAAAAAGAAATCTATTTCTTAAAAAAAAATAAGTGTCTTATAAATAACATGTATTTAAATTCAGCTTTATGAATAAAAGCATTTAGGCTAAAACTGGCGAACATTATTTAAATATTCATGCATATTCTAAGTTTAGAAAGTATAAAAACAAACCAGAATAGATAAATATATTAGGAAACAAAAAAAAGTCATCTTCTTTTATAAACATGAAATAATTGTCAATTTATAAATAATTAAAAATGGGCCAACCATATCCAGTATCCATTTTTTATATTTATTTTTTTAAAAATATTGTATATTTTTTCTGTTAAATAACATTGAAGTATGTTAATTTTTAACACATTTTTTTTCACCGATAATGAAAATTAAAACCTTTACAATTATATCTCACTAAAATTATTTTTTGATCTGTTAATTGTATTTTGATTTTTTAAAAATTTGCCCAAAAGAGAAATTTAAAAAGGCAGGCCTAGGATAGATGACATGGAGACAGATTAATGGAAGCCTGGAGTCTGGATGTTGAAAAAGAAGACAAGTCTGAGGGGGAAAACAGTGGTGATGCTGGCCTAAGACCTTCATGGGCTGTGGAGACATCGGATGGATTTTTCCACTTCCATAACCCTGTTTTTTTAAAATTAGTGATTAATCTGCAATAAGTATTGCCACTGCATGGCAAGGTGGGCCACTGATATTATTTTAACATGTAATTAATCAAAATAATTACTTTAAATATGACCATACCATGAAAAGTCAATTTAGTGTGCTAACCCCTTTTTAACTGATCATCCATAAATGATGTAGGAGTGGTTCTGACGTTTTGGATGATGTGCTATGTGGAACATCATTAAGTGATGGGACAATAGGCCTACAGGGTTGTTGGTAAAACTTTGCTAATTACGCATAATAACATTTGTTGACAGCTTCCAAGTACAACCAATGTACCTGAGACTTAATTACATGGTGAAGTATGGCTGTAGCGACAAGCACAATACTAGGCCTACAGATAGTTATGAGAATTCAAAATCTTTTTTTAGGAGGAACTGTACAAATATCACAATTGTTGTAACATCAATTTAATTTTTTTTTAAAAAACACATTAAAAATGGTCCTAAATCTCAATAAAACAAAATGTATGAATAAAGATCTAAATATAAAAATACAATTCAAACTAATACACTGCACTCCAATAAAAAGCAGTTTTAGATCATCTGTTCAACAGAAATAACCATTTATCACAATTTTTTACCAAGGGGTCATCCATAAATCAGACCCCCCCTCTAAAATGACGTCACACCTCAGCCTACAACACCATCCCCCCCCCCCCTTAAAATTGCAAAATCTTGTATGAACTCTGTCAACATATATTATTTTAATCAATTACTATTACAATTTATTTAAAGTTTTCTAAAATGCGAAATAACAGCTAAAACTCGTTTTCTAACAAAAGTGTGACGTCACAGCATCTGAACCCCCCCTCCCCCTCATCACACGGTCACAAAATTACGGACCCCCCTCCCCCCTACGAGTGTGACGTCATTTATGGACGACCCCCAAGCAGTGTTTCTTCCAGACTTTTTTCTCCGGGGGGGGGGGGGCACTTGAAATTTTCGGGGGGGGGGGGGCGGTAGACTTTCTTCGGGGGGGGGCAGACACTGTTAAAAGTAGATATTTTCTATATAAATTATATAAATTTCATTTCGTTCGGGGGTGCGGTAAAAAAAATTCGGGGGGGCTTTGCCCCCCCCCCCCCCCCCCCCGAAGAGATGCCTGGAAGAAACTCTGCCCCCAAGTTATCACACTTAAGTAATTCAGAAAAGTGGATCAAGCAAACTCTTGTCCTCCTTTTGATTCTTTGCAGCTGAGTTATCTATAGAGATAATGAAAAAATTACACGATAGCGGACTGAGAGATACCCCTCTTCTAAAATGACTTCACACCTCAGCCTCCCATCACATGAAACCAAGTGTACACCCCCCTTCTCAACAAAGTTAGAAGAAAATATTTCATATACAAAATATATACAGTATTAGAAACTGTAAGAAAATCACGGCGCCCCACGTTTTTCATCGCTTATAGTAGAGTGATCGCTTGCATTATTGTGATGTATAGCATTTATTTTCTACTTTTTAGTTCAATCAGAAAACGTGGTTTTTTAAAACTTTTTTTAATGATTGTATTTTCTACTTTTTAGTCTTTGTCTGTTTGTTTGCATTAAAATCTTGCTATCGATTTTATCTTTTCACTTTTTTTTTTTGGGTAAACGAAGACAACTCGTAAAAAGACAACTCGTAAAAAGACAACTCGTAAAAAACACGTTGTGTGAATACGTTATAGTGATAGTGATAGAGAGAAAGAGATGGGACTGTAAGGAGGCGCTTGCAGCTTGTTTTCTAACGGCTCGCAGAGGAGAATTATATATATAAATTATATAGCGGTCTAAAATGCTCAATAAAATGTTTCCATGGATCAATTTAGTAATAATAACATTAACAATTGAATATTCTATTGTCATCCAAAACAAAGCTTCCCTGAAAATGTCAGCGCGCTAGCTAACTGGGAAGTGCCAGAAATTTCGATCGCAAGATTTGATTGGAAAGACAGAGACGAAAGCAAGTTAAAGAAAACGTGGGAAAAAGTTATGATGAAATATGCTAAGTAGTGGTCTTTCATTTTCACTTTCTCGTATATACGAAGTATAGAGAAAGTCTTATGCACATTTTATTTGGCGTTCACTTGATGTACAATTCTTTTTTCTACGAGATTTTATTCTATTTTAAAAATGGATTAAAAATCATATCTAAATCCCGAGTTGCCATCCCCTGTTGTTTCAAATTAGAATATTCGAGAAAGTTTAGGGGAGATCACTCCCGGTTTATTTTGTTTTACATCAGCCAAGATTTATTTCTAATAAACTTACTAATTAATGGAGCCATTTCTCGCTCATCCTCCTGGGTTCTGAAAAAAAAAATGGAATAAAATTTACAAAAGCTGAATTTCTTTTAACTAAATATTTTATATTGGGATAAATTGCAATCAGGGTTTCTTTTCGACATTTTTTTGTTCCGGTAAGGGGGGGGGGGGGGGGGGGGGGCATTTGATATTTCAAGGAGTGGGGTCGGGCAATTAATGTTAAAGTATAGGCTTTTTATTTATTTTTATATTTAATTTTCTTTTTATTTCAGTGCTCTGGAAAAGGGGGGGGGGGGGGGAGACCTGAAATAAACACTTATTGCAATTAGGCTGTCTCGCCACTTAATTCATTATTATTGAAAATTTGGCTTCATTCCTAACTAGACCTATGTATATTTTAACTTTGTATCCCATGAGTATCGGTTGTAATTTTTTCAACTTGCTAAATTTGACATTGGAAAAGCTTCCATTCAAAACCAGCTTTAATTTAATGATTACACTGTACTACATATAGTAATGTGATTATACTAAAAAAATTAAATAGAAGCTTACGGCTTGCTTGATTTTTTTCGCTGTCGAGTGGTGTCTGGTGACGTTAAAAGAATATTGTTAAAATGTTAGCAGATTTACTTATAGTCTTATACAAAACCACTGACCCACTGTCACATCTAGTGTTTGCTTTAGGCATTCGTCTTTTTTTTTTACGGTGCCACCATAGGCTAATAGGGCTTGTAAGTCTACGGTCTCGAAATCTACTAGCTGGCAAGGGGTCATCCATAAATGACGTCGAGCTTTTTTTGAAGATTTTTACCTTCCCCCCCCCCCCTCCCCTCCGTCACACATTGTCACAAAAAGCCAGACCCCCGCCCCTAAAATGACGTCACACCTCAGCCTGCAACCCCCCTCAAAACTGCAGTTGAATTTTTCTATATTTTTCCAAAATCTTGTCTGAACTCTGTCTATATACAGTATTTTAATCAATTACTATTTTTAATTTATTAAAACAGATTTCTAAAACCCGAAATAACGTCTACAATTAGTTTTCTAACATGGTTTTTTATATTGCAAAAGTGAGACGTCGCACCATCTGAACCCCCCCCCCTCCCTCCCCCTCATCACACACCGTCACAAAATTACGGACCCCCCTAAGATTGTGACGTCATTTATGGACGACCCCCAAGTACGACAACGAGAAGTTGTGACCTACTTACAAGCCCTATTGAATCACTACCAGTTTCGTCAATAAAAAAAAGTACCTCCTAAAGAAAGTCTAAGATTGTTTGAACCCTAAACCTAGTTCTATATGCCTACCGGTTACGCAGTATGCAGTGGCGTATGCTGGGGAGGGGGGTTATGAAAGGCTATAACCTCCCCCCCTTCCACTCCCAAGGACCCCAAAATGACAACCGCTATTGGCGACGGTGGACTCGAGTCGCTATCATTTAGTGCACACTCTTAGGGTCGCAGACAGTGTGGGCCTACACCATTGTCAGGAGCAGAGGCGTAGCGAGGGGAGGGGGGTGCGGACCGCTTTGGGTGACACCATTTAGGGGGTGACACCAAGGCAAAAAATAGCAATATATAGAGAGAAAAACTTGAGTGGCGTCGCTAGGTCGGGTATCATCCGGTGCGGCACTTCTTGGTGTCACCCCCCCCCCTCACAAGAAACAAAGTATATATATATATATATATATATATATATATATATATATATATATATATATATATATATATATATATATATATATATATATATATATGTGTGTGTGTGTGTGTGTGTTTTTGTGTCGGCCTATAAGACCTATAATTTAAATACGCGTACATGTATGTGTAGAAGCTTTTTTGCCTTGGTGTCACCCCCTAAATGGTGTCACCCGGTGCGATCCGAACCCCCAGCTACGCCTCTGATCCTGGCTACGCTATTGGTCACCAATAGACCCACACTCATAGACCTATATTTTAAAAAATGTATTTTAAAATGTATTTTTTTAACATAGAAAACACGTATGCTACCACCTTCACTCCTTCTGTCGCCAGATGGAGATGGAATAGTGTCATGTTGATTGCCTTGTGAGTTTTGACCATCTTCTACCGTTTTTCCTCTGAAAAAATGAAGTAAATTATTTTCCGAGCATATTTGGACCCCTTCAATAGAAAATACGTCTCAAGGAAGTCTCAAACAAAACAAAAAAGACAGGCAATAGCCTTATTATTTTTAGTTTTTATATGCGGAATATAAATGAAGTATTTTATCCACATTTCTGAGTCGGAATTTGGCAATCGTGAGTGTCTGTGTAGCTTATTCCCCGTGTGAGTGTCTGTGTGTGGCTGGCTGGCTGCATTATGTATGTCTGTATGTCCGTATGTATAATATGTGCATGATAACATTCAGAATCGTTTAAGTTAGTTTGACAAAATTTCAAATAAAGGTATAGAGAATGCGCAGGTTTCAGCCAACTTTTGAACGATTTACGATAATAGGAAGTTATACTCTATTTACGTGGTAACAAAGTAAGTTTAGTACTGTTAAAGTTAGGAAGACAAATTTCTTTTTTTATGAGGAGAATCTATATGTGCTCATACTTAGATTAGCATTAATTTTTGAGTGACCTCTGCAATCCGCATTTCGTAATTTACCCTTTTTCCGGTTAATAAGTTTGACACCCCCCCCCCCAGAGGCGTAGCGGGGGGGGGGGGGACATATGTCCTTGGGCGCCGACCTTAGGGGGCGCCAAAGTGGGTTGGAAAAATAAAGTGAAAGCTTGAGGGGGGTGCAAATCGAAAGTTTGAAGGGGGGGTGCAAATCGAAAGTTTGTGCCCGGGCGCCGGGAAGGGTCGCTACGCCTCTGCCCCCCCCCCCACCCTTCCATCACACTTTCGCAACACATTTCTTCTATATAATAAACGGATGTTTGTACGAAGAGTAGACACGTCATTTTTTTTTCTAAAATAACAACGCCTAATGTAAATTTACATATCCGAAGGCAGATCTAAAACTATTTTAACATTACATAAGGCGATGCATTTAGTTCCCCTAAAATGTCTTCATCCCCTTTGGGATACCGCCGCTCTGTTAAACAATTATTTATTTTAAATTTCAATTTGCTAAACATTTTAGTTCACTTAAGGTTTGAACTATCTTGGCATTTGTAGTTTTAAGAAGTTTTTGACTTACTTGTCACTTTCCTTCCTGTGCTTGAGCTTGTATCCTGTTCAGCACACGCAAAAGTATCAAAGAATGAAATAGTATTGTTAATTAAGTTTCGTTTTAATAAATCAGGTAATAATAGGAGCCTGAGCCTCACTGAATAATCATCCAGATCACTTGAGGAAAAGCACTGGCAAATGTTTTATTCTTAAATATGCCTATGGGTACCTGTTCCCTTGTGATACTTAAGTTAAATGCTCAGCTAAATGTAGGCTGATTTATATTTTGAGTTGCACTATCGTAATTTCATGTTACGCCCTTGAAATAACTCAAATACCCGTCTATGATAAACGATGTGAATTGATAATATTCTTTAGTTACTTTTAATAAGGATTAAAATGTGATTTTTAAAAAGGTCAGTTGGAGGGGGTGGGGTGTAATTTACAAGCTATTCATCAATGAAACAACCAATTAGCAGCTTATTGCTGATTTATCATTGTTTATACCACAAGCTTTACAAGGTTTGGGAGGAGGGTGTGGTCGACACAAGATGACACCATTTGATAGGATGAGATCAGATTTTTTTTTTAAAATAGCTAAATTTTCCAATCAATTAAAATAATCAAGTAGTAGGTGAAGAGAGTGTGACACCAAATTAAAAAAAAAAAAACAAATTCTAGCAAGCGGGACGACACCCTGGATTTCTGCACCGGGGTAAGCCCAAATTGATGACTCCGTTATTGTCTTCAAAGGTTTTTGTCTACATATATCAATAAATTCAGAATTCAAAAAATTAAGAATGACATAATAATGATTAATAGTTATACATTACTTGTGAATATGATGGCTCCAACAATAAAGGCTAAGATTGTCAAAACCCAAAGAATAACACAGACTGTTAAGTTAGTTGCAGCTACACTTTCACATGTATCTACAAAAAAGAAAAGTGTTTATCTTTTCTAACACATACGTCTTTCAATTTCATATACAACAAGCAGCACGATACAGATAATTAATTGGTTCCCACGTATGCCTATAGTTCTTTTAATCGAGAAAGATTGGTTACTATTTCGGGCATGACAATTCATAGGGCAAATAACCTCGTCATAATAATATGAAGAGATGGTGTAGTCATTTCTTGCCCAGTCGCCTTTACTTTTCGTAAATTGGGTCCCATTAGAGTGGAGAAACTTAGGGACTTTCAGGAACCCATCGCGATATTTTCGCGGTAGCAGTTTTGCGTTCTACCATCTGACCACGCACTCCCGGTATTGCTGTTAGACTTAGGTACTAATGTTTGAATCGGAACTAGTGTGAGGTTGAGGGATATATATATATATATATATATATATATATATATATATATATATATATATATATATATATATATATATATATATATATATATATATATATATATATATGGTCTGTATGCGTGGTTGTTGAGAGAGCGCATGATTGCTATCCCGGAATTTCCGATTGGCAACCCACCTAGGAGAATAGACCCCGGAATAAACAGGAGTGGAGCCCATTAGCCGATAGTAATTATTATTACATTACGGACTCTGGTTTCATTTCGGCAGTTTCTGCAACCGAAGTTGGTATCAGGTATCCAAACGTAATGCTCAGCATTCCCTTGGACTATACCAACAGAGGTCATGAAAGGAATGGGAAACCCGTGATCTCTTCATCTAATGCCCTGGTATGCGCCCTGATGATTTTTTTTCATCTCTTGGGGCATCTATGGCTTCTCAAGACAAACAGAAGCCATATTTATATATGCATTTATGTCCCGATGAGATTTCTTCCTTAATTATCTTAAATAATGCCCTTAATACAGTTCGTAAACGCATTGAAAGAGGAGTATGTGTATAGATCTAACTAAATAGTTAAACTATATAAATCTTACTTGTGTTGGTTTGTAGTTGGTAGCTGACCTTCAAACTTCTTGAAACACCTGTATAACTCGCTTGACATGTTATTTCTAATGTTACGGGGTGAGGGTGGGGGGAGTAACTAAGAATAGTTATTTTATTTTTGTACTTTTACATAAATAATTAAGGAATAAGAGTATATTACCAACACCCAGTGGCATCGCTAGGTTGGGTGTCACCCGATGCGGTCCGCACCCCCGCCCCGCCCTCGCTACGCCTCTGCCAACACCACGTTAAACTACCCTGGTATACCCTCTCCAAACTATCGTCACATTTCGTCACAGTAAGCCAGACCCTCTTCCCGTCACTAAAAAACGTCCCCATTTCCGATAGCTAAAAGCAAGAAGAAAAAGTGTCGCTAGTTGTAAACAATAGTAAGCACTCATGTGATAACAATTGTAGTAAGCATTCATTGCGTTATAGGGATAATAAAGTACATAGTCTTTGATTCTCTTTCTTCTCATAGTTAGCTGACCGGCTCATTAAGCTGTACAGCGCAGAAAAACAGGAATAGTCATTTAATTTGATTACTGTTACCGAACTACTTCCCATGTCTGCAGTTGATACATTGTTTACAAACCATGATAATTTTGTTTTGAGCGAGTGATGATAATAGTCCGTAAGTAAACAGGAGCAATTTATTAGGGTACTTTCTGGGGTTGGAGATGAACATCTCATAGTTAGATCTACAGGATTATCTGGGAATGTAAATAATAATAAAAATTATATGCAGAGAATGCGAACCAAGAAAATAAATTAATAAATGTACTTAAGTTGCAGCAAGAATAAAAACAACGAGCCGACCCGCGGCATAACATACGCCTCTATTTAGTTGTTGTTTTTTCTACTTTTCAGTAATTCATAATTTGTGAATTCGACAGTACCAACGCTGACACTGAAAATATTTCTTTAAAACACTATAAGTAGCTCGTTAAGGACCATAACCCCCCCCCTTCCCCCCCCCCCCCCCCCCACGTTTAAAATCGTTTCAAACTAAATTATCTGCCCCTAATAGCCGTCACTAAACCCAACTCCACGAAGGTAAACATAGCGTGAACCACAGCTCACTAAGATCATGTAGGGGTGGGGATGTTAGGGAGCGCGCTTGCAGCTTGTTTTCTAACGGCTCGAAGAAGAGAATTATATATATAGATAGGTCTTAATTAAAGTACATGTAAAATTAAATTTTAAAAAATCCTCTGGTGAACAGTGTTTCAGAACTTATTCTCCGGGGGGGGGGGGGGGGCACTTATATTTCCGGTGGAGCGGCGGACACTGGTTAAAGTAAATATTTCCCTATAAAAGTTATATTATTCGTCCAGGGGGAAGAAGTCCTCCGGGGAGTAGGGGTGGCAGTGCCCCTCCCCCTGAAGAGATGCCTGAGAGGAACTCTGTTGAAGACAGGCACAGTCAACAGATACACAGCTATGTATTTTTCCCGGGCCGCTTGGATAGTTCACTCCTGACTATATGCAACTTTTCATTCTCACCCCGGTAAAAATCCATATTTATTCACCTAACAATTCTGGGCTCATTTATTTGACATAGATGTGTGCTCATTTTCTAACTACATTATAATATTTTAAGGAATTTTTAGCGCAATTTCCATTCTGGAGAATTGCGTTTATTAACCCGTCATTTCTGGATGGATGAATGGATGGATGGATGGATGTATGAATGTATGAATGTGTGTCCGCAGCTTTAAGTCGTATCTCCTCCTCAACGAAGCAATATCGATGACTAGTTCCAAAAGCGATTATGTTAAGCAAGTTAAGAGGATGAGCATAGGCCATAAAAATTCCGGGTTTCTTTCATGGATTTCCCGGAAAAGCCAAAAAACCTCGAAAAAATGCAGTTTTTGGCCCATATCTCAGCAACCAGACCACTTACTGACTTGAAACATTTACCAATCGATTCCGGCCATAATTTAGAACAATATTGCCGAAGAAAGTTTTCAAAAATATCATTTCGTTCGGTCACAAAAAATTTTTTGAATTAATTAAAATTTGGACCGAATTAGTAGGCATTTTATGCAACCACACCACATGCGTCATCACGTTCAATAGCTGCGCGATCACGTTCAATGGCTGCGACGTCACGTTCGGTAGCTGGGCGCGCAATGGTTTTTAGTCATGTTACTCTATTGTAAATAAAACATGTAAAATACTGAAATTTTTTTTAATACAAAACGTTTTAATAACTAACCAATGGTTTTACTAGCCCTGCTCTTGATTTACGCTACGACTGTGCTATTTTTAGATAACACAAGGAAATTGCGCTAAAATTGTCACTAGACTTTTTTTAATTACTTGTTTTCTCTTCTGTGTGTGTTTGAAACTATTTAAATGTAACCGATTGAGGCTATGGAAATTCACGTTTGATGAAAAGTAACCTAATTCGTGAAGGTTAACCTACGTAAACTGTACAACATTGGATGGCGAAGCAACATCTGGGTAAGCTAGTTGATATCGACTGATAAGCTGTCTCAGATTTCGCTCATGAATATTCTGTTTCACAGATTATTCAGTTTACTGATCATTTTCGATCAACTGAGTGTATCTAGCTCCACACTTTTTTGAGATTCGCTTGTAATCCCGAACTATTAAAAGAAGTTGTCAATGTATATAACGGTACAACTCGTTAAGGATATCGATCAATTTTCCTAAGCAGTAACTGACTAACTCACAGCCCATTAACAAGATATGCCTTTCAGGTCCAATGGTTTTTTTTAATATACCTAGGCCTATCTCCTACTGGTATAATTTATATGTCCTATTAGCGTTTTTATAAGAACAGTATTGATATATAAAATATTGTCGATAGCATGTAAGATCAGCGTTTCAAAGAAACAAACCTTACGTTTATCTTTATTGATTGACTGGTTGTATCCATACTGCATATCTTGTGCTTGACCTGTTATGTTAGGGTAAATGTGGATTTGAAATTCATATATCGCGAGCTCCTCTGGTACTTTCAGGACACATTCTGTTATGTAATACCTTACATTGTTGACATGAAATGGGGTGTTTTTGACAGAGGTTTTGCCCCTGAACAAGCTGTCCAGCTGAAAAAAAAAAGATGCAGAGGTGGCATTTCATATGGTGGAATAGAGTTCTCAATCACAAAATTCTAACATAGATTTTTACTTTTTTTTCGGCTTGCGCATATAAATCAAATTTGTTGGAGTGTGCATGGTTCATAAAAGAATGAATTCGATGTGTGATTCAGAAGTAAAATTTTTTTTTTTTTTTTTAAATGCAAACTACTCATACCAGCTCATTTTTCCAAGTAAAGTTACACAAAGCTTCAGGGTAATTCTCACTCGTACATGTAATGGTCGCGTGGTCCCTATGCGCGTTTATACTACAGTTCACACTGCGTACATTTGCTGAAAATTAACGTCAGCCGAAAAAATAAATTAAAATATTTTAGCCCTTATATAGGCCTATATATACATATATATATATATATATATATATATATATATATATATATATATATATATATATATATATATATATATATATATATATATATATATATATATATATATCAAAGCATGTCTGCGCATGGCTTTGTCTTTTATGGAAATCCAAACGATTGAACGGATGATACGGAAATGATTTATTTTGACCACAGGTGCAGTATAAACCTGGAAAGGTTTGTGCGCACTTTCTGGGTAGATACAGTGAAATTTAAAATTGTTTTTAATTTTTCAAATATTTATATAGGCCATATTAATAGGCGACCTCATTTCCGTCATAATCAGATCCATAATTTAAATATTTTGCGCTGCTTTTTAATTTCTCATTTAGAGACATCTGTATTTGCCTATTTAGTACTAGGCATGCTGCCCAGCTTTGCTTAGGCTTTCGAAAACATTGAGAATTTGAATGCTTAATTAATTCGCCCGAGGGTCGGTCTACGACCTCAGGAGTTATGAAGAGGTTCCTCCGTGGACATTTTTTTTCGATTTATAGCTCATATAAGGCGCCGGTCAGTCGAGGTCAGTTTTGACCCCATCATCGTAGACTTTTCGGCCAACCGGCCCCCGTGTTCTGTCGCCCCAAGGCAAGATCCTGCCAAATTTGAAGCGCCTGCGGCGCCGGGAAGTGCCCTATCGGGCACCCGACAACTTTGCTTTATATATTATAGAAATTAGCAAAGATTTCAATAAAGTAATTAAGGCCTGAAATACTTTAGTATAGAAATGTATTATTTGAATAGATGAATCTAGAATATCTAGATCTAGAATCCAAATAAATAAAATAAATTTTATGAGTTTAGGCCGGAAAAATTGTATTGTATACATTTCATAGTGTACGTAGATCTAAATCAAATTTGAATGAAATAGTTCATTTCTTTTTATTCGAAACACGGCAGATGACGTCATTAGTTAATGTATAAGCAATAGTGACGTCACAGTTTTATGCGTTCTTTTTCACATCTATTAATGCTTTTCCGGTTGCATAAATAATACTGTTTCTCTACATTCGAATACGCCTTTAATTTTTATTTTTCTTCTTTAAATAAAATTGTGGTTATACATTTAAAACATCTAACATATTATTTTCAACAAAAGTCCGTATAATGTTCTCCATATATCGCTGCCGTTTCTGACGTGATGTCCGGCGAAAATATTTTGCGGACAGACAGAGAGAGAGAGAGAGAAGAGCGCACATGGCGTTTTATATATTAGGATTTATCCAACATTCTAAAATAAAAACGGGGCTGTGGATATAATAAACGAATATATTTTATAATTTAAAATGCTACTATTATTATAATTTTTGTCTATTAGTATTAGCTTTAAAGCTTCATTGTTTATTAATTATTAATTATTGTATCACTACTTTAGGTCACTAGCAATAGAATTTAAAAAGATTTGATGAGATAGATTAATTCGATTGGGTTGACACCAAACTTTTTAAAAAATCAAATTGTTGGAGCACGATTGGGTAACATACTCAGTTACCGCACCAGTGACATCATTTGTGTAAGCTCCCATATCCGTACTCGCATCCGTCTAAAACTAGGAAAAAAAATTTTAAGAAACAATAACGAAAGGAAACTTGGTTAGCAAGTGGGTAGAGCCAGTGTTTCTTCCAGACTGTTTTCTCCGGGGGGGAGGGGGGACTTCAAATTTTCGGGGGGAGGGGGGAAACTCCAGTGTTGCTTCCAGACATTTTTCTCCGGGTGGGCACTTGATATTTTCGGGGTGGGGGGGCTACATTTCCCGGGGGGGGGGGGGACGATGAGGGTTAGGAGGCAGTTGAATCTGGCAGTCGAGGTTGAGACTTTGTAGTGAGAGGACGGATATGAGAGTTCTCGTCCTCGTCACCGTAGTTTTAACAATATGTGGAAACTAGTAGAAGAATAACAAGAAGAATAGAGAAAGCAAGCAATTTCCCAAACCACTACCCAACCAAGATTGTATCACGTGCAAGAACAAAGGCCAAAGGACGATAAGCGATCATGTTTGTTTTTGTCATGTACTTTATGTTATTTCAAAGGAAACCAAGAAACCGGAAGTGAAAACAAGTAAATCAAGAAAACAGGAAAATATAGAAATACGAAAAGAAACCAGACGTGAATCAGTGGCGGAACTAGAAAAAAAAGGCCCCCCCGCAGAATTTATTTTTGGGCCCCTATATATATATATATATATATATATATATATATATATATATATATATATATATATATATATATATATATATATATATATATATATATATATATATATATATATATATATATATATATATATATATATATATATATATATATATATATATATATGGCCCCATTAAGTTTTCGAAGTGAGAAACACCGACTCTCTAAATCTAGCCCAACACACTAAACTGACGATGATTTTTAAGAGGTTTTTATCAAAACGTTACCAACCGTGTATTTTTAGACGTGTGCCCTGTTTACCAGAAGTTGAATTAAATATTAACAATTTCGGCAGTTCATTTCTACCAACTAGACACGCCAAGGCATGCTGTAAGTCCCGCGGCGACGGCCCAGGTGTCAGGGGAGTCACGGGGCTTTTAGGAGGTACCGGTTACATTCAGAGTTTCTTCCAGGCATCTCTTCGGGGGGGGGGGGGGCGAACGAAATGAAATTTATATACTTTATATAGAAAATATATACTTTTAACAGTGTCCGCCCCCCCAAAAGAAAGTCTACCGCCCCCCCCCCCCCCCCCCCCGAAAATTTCAAGTGCCCCCCGGAGAAAAAAGTCTGGAAGAAACACTGGTTACATTACTGCACAGGGGATGGGCGCGACATATTGTTTCTTCCGGCAGTCTGGAAGAAACATTGGTGCAACACTTGATTAGATTTAGTCATCGAGTGTAGTAGCGAGACTTATTCCTAGTGTTGTGGGAACTTTTAAACGACTGTCTGTGGGGGCCAACCTGCTCATATGTGATGCGCTCAGGATGACACTGTCGCCGGTGATTTAAAGTAGTAACCTCATCCGCTTATGCAAGATCTAGGGGTGCTAAATCACATATTTCCGTTGGGCGTCCCCACTCCAATATGTAAACAAATGTTAGCCTATGACAGAAACCTTTGCGTGGCTGTCCTCAACAGCTTCCAAAGTTTTCATGGCGATTGGGTAAATGAGGCAGTAATGCAAAATAGACAGAAACATGTTTTTCACATGTACAACTGTATGTGGCCAGCTCACGCGTCGGATAACCTTCTGATTTAGGGGGGGGGGGGGGAATTCACAAATGACGTCACATTTTTTAACGACTAACAAAAAGCCAGACCCTCACACACCCCCACCTCAATAACATCATTTATAAATAGTAATTGACTATTAATTATATAATAATGTTCAATTAATTCTAAACGTTCTAATTAATTTCTAAATAATTATATAAAAAATAACCTTACCTTCCCTGTTTTGTGAATTAGTTAAGATGTGCCTAATACTAATAGTATGCAAATAAATTAATATCTGTTGACTAGTGCTGTCTAGTGTCTGACAAAATGTGCTAAAGTGGTGAATCGTACGGTTAGGAAGTATTTCATAAACGATACATTGATCTACTCGATACTTGCGAGGCTAAAAAAGAGGGATGGGATGGGGGTCGGCTCGGGAAAAATCTTGAAAGAGACAACAAAGCGCCTATGTACCATCGCCCATTGTAAAACTTACTCAGGGGAGATAATTCCAAGTATATGCCTTAAAGGTTTACTATGATATTTCTTGTAAAAGTAAAAATCAAGTAAACGTATATTATAAAAACGAAGTTTCTAGTATTATATTCTTTTTTATTATTTGTAGGATACAAGATAGTACAGAATACAAATTCAACCACTATCACTAACACATATTAACAATGAAAAATGTTCAATGGATTTCGGCGGGTCCCTAACTAATGCCGCAAAGAAGAACAGCGCATCATGAAAGCCACTTCATATGTAGCGGCTTCTCGTGCTATGGTCTTTGTTGTTTTTTTAAAAAGAATTTTGCCGGCGACAGCGTGGGGAAATAGAACTCGGCCTTGACGATGGTTAAAAAATACAACTATAAATAAAAAGAAATGTTATCCCCATCCCCTGCCCCATCCGCCACAGTACACTTTGGAGGATCGGTCAAACAGTTACGTGTCCTCTATTTAGCTATCAAAGGGGGGCAACGAGTCAAATGTGTCATTTAAATTTGAAGCGTTGCCTATATTTTACACTGTATTTTGTGTAATGGATTTTATTTTTTTGCTGAAGAGCGTGGTATAGTGACTGTAAAATAAAGATAATCGTACCGCAGCTACAGTGTTTTTCTTTTACAAACTAAATATCAAGGCAAAAATGCACGAAAATTAAATTCAAAATTTTAAAAAAATACTAATTATGGTCAGCAGTGGGCCCCTAAACGGCCTGCCCCCCCCCCCCCCCCCCACTCGCATTGCGGGGTCTGGGGGCACTGTAGTTCCGCCCCTGTATAGATCTTTTGGTTGTTTTTAGGCTTAAAAGCTAGATCATTGTATCCTAAAAAATTTTAACTTTAATGTATTTAGTGTTAATAACTAATGTTCCATTAATACGTGTACTAATTATAAAACGATTAATAATATAAAGACGAGTCTTACCTTCCTTGTTGTGTGAAATAGATTCGTCAACGAAATACTTTATCAGGTAAATGAACAACTGACTAGTGTCTTTAACAAAAAGTGCAAAAGTGGCCAGTTTACAGTTCAGTAGTTCATAAACGGTTTCGTTAATCTATGCATTACATCTTATTGTAAGAGTAAGGGTGTGGTGAGGGGTAGAGGTTAGGGGGATGGGGGAGGGTAGAGAGTTGGGAAGGTTCAACGGAAGGGGACAAGAAAGCACCGATGAACATCTACATCAATAGTGCCGACTTTTTCCGGTCGTCTAGAAGACCAGGATAGTCGCCGCAACATTTCCCCAGCCCGATTTTCAAAGCTTTTTTGTTCTCCTAATCGACGCCACTAAACAAGAACGGTAGGCTGCGTCTTTGAAGTTGTCTATATGTCTGGCGCTCTCTCGAGCAATAGTCTGTGCATTTTTCTCAAAGACGTTTGCCGACTATTGTGTTTGTTTGTAACTGTAGAAGAAAGATAACTCGACATCCACCTAATTTTTTTTATTTAAATTTAAGAAAAAATTTTTTTAAATAATTTAGCCAGGATTTTTGGGCCCCCAATTGGTCTGGGCCCCCCCGCATTGCGGGGTCTGGCGGCACTGTAGTTCCGCCCCTGACGTGAATCAAGAAACACAAGGGAAATAACAAAAGCAAGAATTAAATTCTTTTAAATATGTATAATATTTCATGTATGTATATAATCATGCAACCTACTCTTGCTGCCTCCCTGCGCGAACAGGGTAGAAAGCAAGAGAGGAAATCTATTAAACGCCAACAGGCACAAAAAAAAAAAAAAGTATCTCAAAAAAAAAAAAAAAATTTAAATGATAAGGTTGACTATCAGGACCTCGCGAGGCACAGGGGAGGTGAAGTAGAGTTCACCTGTTTCTATGTTCTCAGCATATGAAGGGAAAGTGTGGTCAGAGCCATGCTCGGCCGGAATCGTTTTTTAAACGATAAAAACATGTTGTCTGAGACTTGGCGGGACACTGGGCAGGTGAAGTAGAGTTGAGTAGGTCACCTGTGACGTCAGTATATGAAGGGATAGTCCGAAATCGTTGTTTTCGGTGTTTTTAAAAGATAAAAAACATATGTTTGAATGTGGGGTCTGTTTTTTGTGACGATAAGTGATACTGCAGTAGCGTAGCGAGGGGAGTGGGGGCGGGGGGTACATATGTCCCCGGGCGCCGACCTTAAGGGGCGCCAAAATGGGTTGGAAAAATAAATTGAAAGGTTGAGGGGCGTGCAAATCGAAAGTTTGAGGGGGGGGGGTGCAAATCGAAATCTTGAGGGGGGGGGTGATGCACATCGAAAGTTTGAGCGGGTGCATATCGAAATCTTGCCGGGGGGGCGGGGGGTTCAAATCGAAAAGTTTGTCCCCGGGCACCGAAAAGGGTCGCTACGCCTCTGAGTGACAGACGTGATGTTTTTTATGGATGACCCCCGAAACCCACAGTTATCCAACGGATGACGGGTAGTCTAGTATTACATAAAAGTTTGTCACTAAATCGTTTTTTATGCATTTTTTTCGGTAGTTTAAATTTTTTGATAGAGTCTCATGAGTAAAAACTATTGCGCACCAAATAAACATGAAGATGCGTATAATAGTGCGGTAAAAAGTAGATCCCTCAACTTCATTTAGTAAATATTAATTAATTCATAAAATATTAATTAGGTATTAAATTAAGTAAAATTTTATGTCGGATTGCATTGTCATCGAGCCTAAACCCAAGTGCCAAGTGTGAAACAAATCGGTTAGTTTGAAGTGCTCAAAATTTTGTTCGGCAGTTTTGATCTTATGACAACAGACAGACAGACAGACAGACATACAGACAGACAGACAGACAGACAGACAGACAGACAGACAGAGGAAGCAAGTTAAATAAAAGTTTGAAAAAATATGTTGCTTTATATTTTTATCCGAATTAATGCTGAATCTATTTTGAAAAAACAAGTTAATAAAAAGTCTAGTGACAATTTAAGCGCAATTTCCTTAATTAATTTTTTTGTGACCGAACGAAAAGATATTTTTGAAAACTTTCTTCGGCAATATTGTTCTAAATTATGGCAGGAATCGATTGGTAAATGTTTCAAGTAGCTAAGTGGTCTGGTTGCCGAGATATGGGCCAAAAACTGCATTTTTTTTTCGAGGTTTTTTGGCTTTTCCGGGAAATCCAGGAAGGAATTCCGGGAATTTTTTTGGCCCACAATCATCCTCGGAACTTGCTTAACATATTTGCTTTGGAACTAGTCCTCGATATTGCTTCGTTGAGGAGGAGATACGACTTAAAGCTGCGGACACACATCCATTGCGGACACATCCATCCATCCAGAAATGACGAGTTAATAATCGCAATTGTCCGTATGGAAATTGCGCTAAAAAACATTGCATAAAAACGTATGTTTATGTAATAATGCAATAAAAAGAAGAAAATAAATGATTTTTAAAAATACATAATAACACACTATTTATTTAAATTACTATAAAGAAAAGCGTGGGCCACTATATTAACTATTGGACACCTTTGCTAATATTTAGGGGAAAAACGAGTCTTCTGGCTTTGGTAGCGACCTCTAATTTTAATCAGTTCTGAGAAATGTTTTGACTGATTTCTTTCAACCCACAAAATGGAATATATTGGGAAGAGGGGAATGCCCCGTTGGAAAATCAAAATTTTCCTAATTTATTTATTTAAATGTGCTGTATATTTAGCCATATATATATATATATATATATATATATATATATATATATATATATATATATATATATATATATATATATATATATATATATATATATATATGGCTAAATATAGCCTACAGCACATATAAATAAATAAATGTATATATATATATATATATATATATATATATATATATATATATATATATATATATATATATATGTTTGTTTGTATTTGTATGAAAAATATTATAAACATTATCCTACACAAACTTACTTTCTGTGTTTTATGATGTTCATCTAGTTTAAAATGTATCAATTGGAAAGTAGGTCATATTTTATTTTTAAAAATCCAGTGATCAAGACATTGTTAAACGGTCTTTTCTTGAAGGTTAAGCGCCTGAGAGCTAACCTCAATCTGGTCTTTTGTGTAAGACACACGGTGGCGGACTAGAACTACACATTTCAATATACGCTATTAATAACTTCGGTCTACATTCGATCTATAAACCGAGTGTCTTCTGCAACACATGTTGACTGTATATTTTCTAACCTTCAAGCCCGATTTATCATTGGCTGCGCAGGGGGTACATGGAATATTCAATGCGTAATAAACAAAAAAAGTGTTTCTTCCAGTTTTTTTTCAAGGGGGGGGGGGCGGAAAAAAAACTCAAACAAATATTGAGTTGCTTTCCTAGAGCTTAAGCACTCCGCTGTATTATAAGTTTGTTAGATTAAGGTCATACAATTGACATACAATAGCAAATTAGTGTACACATTGGAATACGATACGGGTATTTCGTTGACTGGTTGATTTTATTAATATGGTTCGACCTTCATACAAATCATGTGAGTTGACGAAGTGTTGTCCACGCATATGGTCCTTTGGAATAAAAAGAAAAAATCAATAGAGTTTAGAACAGTGGGTTCCATCGAACTCAAGAGGTTCGGTAATTCAGTCACAGGGCTTCCGCGGAGGTCAAGACACACACCCGACTCATATGATTCACGATCGGATTTTGTCAATGTGGATGATACAACTATTAAGAAAGGTTCGTTGAATGCGCATATGAAACTGGTGGAGTTCGGTACCTCCAAAAAGTTAAGAACCACTGCTTTATAGTGTACTTTGTAGAAGGTGCAAGCTTATTTGGTCTACTTTTGGTCGTGTCTTTAGAACAATTTCGATAATAGTATATTACAATTTTAAATTATCAGTTAGGTTGAACAAATTGTTATAAAAAAAGCAATCAAAAAGTGATTTATTCATTACAATATATAATTCTCTTCTCTCTTAAAATTTTGGCAAATAGTGTGGTTATTTTACTGATCGGATAGCGATACATTACAAGAATCCGTGATATTTATTTCTTTTTAATGCAGTGATCCAGGTAAGATGTCATGCAATCAAGTAAAAGTATCTGATCTCTCACATTGAAGTTGAGAGAATCGTAAGAATCGTACAAAGAACTAGTCGCGTCATTTCTTAGCAAAACTGGGTAGTGAAATCGTACATTAAGCGTTAAAACAAATGATTTCTTTTCTAAGTATTGAAAGAGTTATCTGTTCACCGTTCCAATTCAAATCCTTCGATTTTTGTTGGTAAAAATAGTGCCAAAGTCTGAATTAGAAGATCATTTGGCTAGGGACGACCGGCCAAAGTCCGAATTAGAAGATCATGAGCAGATTTTTGTGGGTTTTTTTAAATACCGTAAGGATCATGAAATTAAGTCTTTATTGATTATTAATTAAAGTAAATGACAGAAACATTCAAATTTTTTATTGGCTCAATCAATCAATATTATCACTTGTTACAACAAGTTGAAAAGAGTTTGCCGCGTCCGATGCTACCTTCAAGCGACTTGAGTTGGCGTGGGCGTCAGAAACCAGATTTCTATGTACTTCTAAATGCCATAAAAGTTCATCAAAGAGCAAAATCAAAGACAGTCGGCGTCACCGACCACGGGCAACAAGAGTTTTGTTGCACGTGGTCGGTGACGCCGACTGTCTTTGATTTTGCTCTTTGATGATTGTCTCACCTCGTCATTATGTAGGAGGCTGTCACAGTTACAGCCCATATATGGAAACTAACATGGATTTACATTTTTTTCTTTTGTTAGCCATCTGCTATGTCGGTCTCATGGTCTGACGGCCTTTTTGGTCCATGTCGCATTGCATATAGAATGCTATATAAACAAGAGCTAAACAATACGTTACTCACAATGAAACCTCAACCAGAATAATGAAAACGCGATCACAACTTAGTCTAGATTGAACATTGGCCGTGAAATCCCGGCCAGTGCGCGCATTGACCGGCCAATGTACTAAATACACTCTTAGTGCTAATAAGTTCTTCGGGCTTTGGCCAAGAGAGCCGGCCAATGCGGGCTTTGGCCGCACTTCGGGCTTTGACCGTAACATATATATATATATATATATATATATATATATATATATATATATATATATATATATATATATATATATATATATATATATATACATTAATAGAAAACATATAATACACACATTTTTGAGAATGTATTTTTATATTCACTAGGAAACCATACAAATAATCTGTACAGTATGTATAGCCATATAATTGCTTATGTAAATGTGTTTTATATTATTTATTACTAGCTTACTCTTCCTTAGCGTTGCACTAGGGCAGGGGTCTCCAAACTACGGCCCACGGGCCGGATGCGGCCCGCGAAGTCCTCTCATCCGGCCCGCTGAGATCTTTTTGTCCACGGAAAAAAACGTTTGTTGGTGATGGCTGAGGAACTTTGCCCAGAAAAATCAAAGACATGCCTTGAAGAAACTGGCCCCCGAACTGAAATTTGATAGTTAATGCGGCCCTCGTAATGAAAAGTTTGGAGACCCCTGCACTAGGGTGAAACAATATTTTAAGATGATTACATCAATGCGTTACCATCAATGTCGGGTAACGCTCATGGTTCAGTTGAGTAACCAAATGTAGTGTGCAGCAGTGTCCCTATTGTCAGTGGCGTCGCTAGGTCGTATGTCACCCGATGCGGCACCTAATGGTGTGATTCCCCCCCCCCCCCCCAGAAAAACATCTATATTTTACATGCCCTCAAACAATCTTCATCTATATTTTGTTATATATACAGCTGGATGTAGTATTGTTTTCTATACAGTTTACAGGTTAACATCATGGTGTCACCCCCCCCCCTACTTTTAACAGGATCTGTCGATTTTGCTCTTAAAAGACTTTTTAACTCTAATTGATCATCTTTTTAACAGGAATGATCTTTATATATATATATATATATATATATATATATATATATATATATATATATATATTTGTATTTTTGCCATGGTGTCACATGGTGTGGCCCGTACCCCCCCCCCCCCCGTCTATAGTACCATACTGTTTAAAACTAATGTAGGCACCCTAGTGCTCACATGGAGCCCTGGATGTTCCAGGTCACCTAAAAAGATACCTGTTAATGTTTTCTGATCATTAAAGTACTTTATTAAGAAATATGCACCAGAAATCATAAAGTTTATAGCCTTTATTTCTAGCATAAAGTATTCAAATATAAAGATTAATCTCACATGAAAGTTTAAGTGATTTAATCATAATTATATGAGGACATAAGCCAACATATATACAATATTTAAAATACAAAATTCTAGTAAAGTGAAATATTGTACTGCAAATCTGTTACTATAACTAATATAAACAGTTATTTTTAAATCAATTTTAGATTTGATTAAATAAAAAATGACAAAAAAAAAGTTTTGATGGCCAATTTAAACTAAGATGTAATAATTAACAAGAACACAATATTTATATGTAATGTGCATTAAGATGCCCTATTAAGATTAAACAGAAACGAGAATTGTGTAGATCAGGGGTCGGCAACCTTTTGAAGCGGAAGAGCCAAAAGTTACAATTTTCAAAATTTCCCTGGTTTTAAAGAGCCACTAACATTTTTTTAATTCAAATATTTTATTTTTTTATTAAGATTATTAGTATTTGTGCAAGGAGCTGGAGAGCCGCATCTTGATATCAAAAGAGCCGCATGCGGCTCGCGAGCCGCAGGTTGCCGACCCCTGGTGTAGATGGATCTATAGCACCAAAGCAGTAATACATTTAATGTTGGCACATGACCTGACTGCATTTTTAGGCCTATGATTATACATTCTTTAGGATGAGGATGTATGTTAATGGCAGGCTGATAAGTAATCAAAATAAGAATGAACTGTTACTTTATAAAAAGATATTTTAAATGTTTAAATAAGAGTGACTAAGTAGTTTTTACAATAGATTAAGTACTTTTATTTATGTTATGTTGAAACTTAATACATTAAACCAGGATTTGTTATCTTAGTTATACACTTTTGTCTTATGTGTTGAGCTGCAAAAGTACTTGAAAATATATTTTGATTACAGGGTAACTAAGCAGTAGATGTTAAAAGCCAATAACTATCTTAAGTATACATAAGTGGTGGGTCTATTCATCAAGATTGTTGCTATTTGAGAGGTATTTTCTACTAACCTCCCCATGACTACACATCACATAACCCCCCCCCCCCCCCTTTACTGTAATATAATTCAAACTTTTGCAACAATTTTTTTTAAAGAACTGCAAATTATATATAAACAGTTCCCAATGAAAGATAAGAGTAGACCCCCCCCCCCCCTGCAACCTCTTGATTTGTGGACATTTTATGAATGACCCATTGACAATACTTGAAAAGTTTTCTGCCCAATAAATGTGAACCTATGGTTTTAAGAAAATATTCAAAATAACTTCACAATCAAAATATACTTTATTACAGAAAAACATGAATTTCTTTTTATTCACTTATTGCGATACTTTATTTGAATTGATTACAAATTATTACATAGCTAAAAGTATAAAATTTGAAAGATGCACACAATAAATTGGTTTTTTTAAAAACTGATCCTAGTTTTAGAATTTGAGCTTATATATTTTAGACATTCTGACAAAAAAGTTCTATAATTATTTAATTTATAATTACTTTGATTGTTTTCTTTTGATTTTTACCTACTACATTCTGAATTTTTTCTTCACACCTTGTCTCGCATGGCTTGCATATCAAATATAAAAATTGTGCTTTGCTGTGTAGTAAATTATTGAAACCATATGTATCAAGTAAATTTCAAGTTAAAGAACAAATATATGCTGTAAACAATTTCTTCACAATTTACAACACTAAAAATAGAAATAACTCTCATTGAATTAATGTGACAACAGTATTATTAATCAAAAAGCCTATTGTATTTGGTTTCGTTTTGAAAATTTTCAAAAATCAAAGCCAATAAAATATATAATGGTTTTTAAAATAAACGCCATACATAGATCTAAGTCTTCTGCTTATAAACAGAAATTAACCTAAGTATACAAACGTTAAGTGCTTTGTAGTACTGCACCAATTAGCAGGTTATGAGTTTAAAAAAAAATACTTCAAAGCAAAGAACAAAAAGGTATGAAAGTAGTGACCACCTGATATTTATGAGATCTATGGCCTGATCTTACATCATTTTAATCTTTGTCTTAGAAAAGATCTGCTTTGAAAAATGTTAATGTCATTTTTTTAAATATAGAAGGGAAAAAAAATCTTGTCAAAAAATTTAGCAGTTTTTATGTACATTTTCAAAGCATTTACTTACTTCCAGGCCACTTTAAAAATAAAAATCCAAAATTAAGACTATTTCCAGGGGGAAAAAAATAAAATTGAATGAACTAACATTTAAAATAAACAATGGAAAAAGCAAAAGTATCATTAAACTTTTAATTTATAAAATGCAACTATTATCTTGAATAAGACACATTACATTTTAAAAAAAAAGATAAATGAAACTAATTGCTAAAAAGTATTTTCACATTTAGAATTGAAAAAAAAACCAACATTGTACTTTAAAATAGATTTTAATTAACATGATCTCAACGCAGCAAACCAATATCTAAGCATACAGAGTTGAATTATTATTGTATTTAATAAATTCACTTGATTTACTTGCATGATCATCTTGGTGACTTAAGTTAGCTGTATCTTAAAGCTAGAAAAACATAAATTACTGGTACCTTATTGTTTAATGGGAGACACCTATTAGGTATTTTTAACTTATTTTTATATAAAGCAAGTCCACGCATAAGATTTTATTTTACCTATTTCAAAACGCGATTGGTTATTGTTTCAATATAGCAGTCTGAAGGCTTCCAAATCTTTTTAATTTGCCTTTGATTATAAATCTAAAAATTGTGTAGCTTAAGAAACAGCAGTCCAATTTTTTCAACAAAAGAAAAATCAGCCTCAAATGGGTTTATTTGTTCAGTTATGACAAGCTATACATGGAAGCAAGAATAACAACTGATAATTACTAATTCTATTTTTTATTTTATTTACTTTACCAATATGTAAAAAAACAAAAATAAATTTAAAATGAAACAAAAAAGATTAATAAGCAAAGACAATTTAGGGCATTACAAAGAACAAAAAAAAAGACAATTCATCTGAAAAAAAAAAGTGTGCATAAAAGAAATACCACAAATACCCCTAACAAGAAAAAAAATCTTTTAAAACAAGTCTTTGAAAAGCCTACAGAAGTAACTAAGAAAAATGTCTTGTGATATCCAATAATGAAAAATAAATCATATTTGCAACTGAAGCAGGCTTAATTTGCAAACATTTTCACTTTATTTCTTTTTATTCTTTAAGCCTATACTCCTACAAACATTACACTTTTTTTTTACTTTTAATAAGTGGTAAAATTTTCTAACCATTATTTTATTTTTAATTTAAAAAATGAAATTTTAGTTTTCAAAGTAAATAAATTACATGCAGTTGTATATATATTCTTTCCCCTTTACAACTCTGAAAAGACACACAAAAGCTAGAACTAGCAACATTCAACCATGACAATTGGTTTGTTCATTTTTTTTAAAAATAACTTTTTTATTCCTTGAATAAATAATGACTTGTTAAATTTTACCAACAGTTGGAGACATTCCTGATTGAATAAATAGAAAATCATAACAGCCAAAAATGTGTTTGCACAAATAAACAATTTTATTTGTGACTTTCAAAAAAAGTAATTTAATTTACACAGAAAAATGAAGTGTATTTAGCAGTTTAATTTCACTAATACTAGCTAGAGAGGATTGGGGGTGTCTCCCATTAAAGTAAGTAGTAAGAATGTACTGTAGAAAAATTTCCTTGTAACAACTAACAGCATTTATTCACACAAAATATATTTTACATGGATTATGTAGATTTTATGTTGAAATATACAGCATTTCTTAATGATCAGTTTTCCAAAATTTTTATCTGTTAAAACTGAAGGTAAATAAATTTTCCTGCATTAAAAAGCTGCTGACTATACAATAAACTTATAAAACTGCTAGTGAAATGTAACAAAAGAAATCTGTTTTAGTTATTGGCCTATTTTTCTCAAGGCATCGGTATTCAGTTAACTAATTAAAATATTAAGTATTCCTTTGCGTGCATTGACTATATGCATATTTTTTTTTAAACTAGCAAAAATATGTATAGAAATATGCTTCAGTGTTGCAATCAGGAAGCTACAGCCTCATGGTAAGCTTGATACGTGGAATACCAGAGTTCTCCTGAGTGCTTGAGAGATCTAGATGGAAAAAAAAAGGCATATTGTTTTGCAATATTATGTTGAAAACTTTCCTAAGTTAATAAGCTGATTAAAAGTTTCTTGTTATCATGATTTAGTTTTATTCAGTGCCAGCTGTGTTCCAGGAACATTTTTAGAGCTTAACGTGGGCTTCCAAAAGGCCATAGGTCAGTGTCAAGTAAGCATAAAATATTTTTGAAAGTGACTACTTCCTAATTAAAACTTACTAAAAAATATTTTTTTAAAAAAATTAACTGTTTTAAACTCATTAATCATTAAACATGAATATGTGGTAGGTAAATCTTTCTGAAAGAACATCATACAGAAATCCTCACCTACACCATATACCAAGATCACAGAAAAGTGATACTTTTCACCTACACCAATCTTTACTTTTATCATCACATTTGATTTTACCTATATATATCACTATACTTGGCCTATGCATCAATCTGCCTAAAATTATAAAATAGATTATCTAGTTATTAATTGAATTATGATCTATTTGCATCAAACCACCTCAACCTATGTGACACTGCTAACCCCCAAAGTCTTGAGTTTGAATTCAGGTTCATATCAATGGATCGTCCTTGCTACCACCCAGCTCTGATGGTTACCTGACTCACCTTAGAAAGAGTAAAAGCAGCTGGGCATATGCTGACCCAAAGTATCCCTTCATATGCCAAGGTCATAGAAACAGGTTTGAAAGGGAATTTTATTTACTTTTACCTTAACCTCCCTCCCACCACAATGTTTATAACCAAATGAAGGAGGGAAAGCCCAACTACATATTTAAAAAATGAGCTTCAATTAAAGGTTTGGAAACCAATGGCTCAATGCACATTTAACAAAACAAATCAACTAAAGTGTTTCCATAAAGCAATGAGCTGAAGAAGTACATTTTGTCAGGACACAACATGAATGAACAAGATTTATTTAGAGATAGTTGCCAGGTTGCATCTAACCACTTTTCTTACCTTACTATATCAGCAAAAGCAGTACCCAAAGGTTTGACTTGATAAGAGACTCCATGTTTTTCACACAGTGACTTTACCAGGGGAGCAATCTTAACCAGGTTATGTCTTGGCATTGTGGGAAATAAACTGTAAGAATATATCTTAATTATTGAGTTGTAAATTTTTTAAAATTATTTTTAGCTTAAAAGAGAGTTAATCTACAATTTTTTTTTTTAACAAGTTATATTTTATCCAAAAATATAGCATATTAACGACTTGCATCTTTTGTAAAAACTACATAATTGAAAGTTTAGGTTGAAAAACAAAACTGACGTAAAATAGTTTACATAAATGCCCAACTCACTGATGCTCTATTTGAAAATTGAGATGCCCTGTGAACCAGTCATTGAAAAAACTTTGCTCTACATTACATGTAGCCTGAAGCTGTAAGGGCAACCATGGCAAAGCAGTATCGTGATCAATCTCCATAGGGATATGGTTTGACTGGGCAACCCAGGTGAACCAATGGCTTTCTAAACATCTGTAAAAAGAGTGATAGATTGCTTATGACACAAAACAGATTTAACTCTTTAAAAAAAATTATCATCAAACAAAGCAAGTATATTTGAGTGGCATGTTAAAAGTTATATATTTTTTGTGCGCCATTTAAATGGCAAATAAAGTTAAACGAGCTGACCCGCGGCGTATCATACCCCGCTATTTAGTTTTCTTTTTTTCTTTTCAGTAATTCATAATTTGTGAATTCAACAGTACCAATGCTGCCACTGAAAATATTTGCTTTAAAACACTATCAGTAGGTCGTTGAGGACGATAACCCCCCCCCCTCCTTTCCCCCAACTCCTACCCCCCCCCCCCCCATGAAAGCAGCCTCCTCTTAGTTACCTCACCTAAGTTTAAAATAGTTTCAAACTAAATTATCTGCCCCTAATACTAATAGCCGTCACTAAACCCGGCTCTACGATTGTAAACATTTAGCGTGAACCACAGCTCACCAGACCATGTGGTGGTGGTAGGGATATGCTTAGAGAAGCTTACAGCTTGGTGTTTTCTAGGGTATCCAAGAAGAGAATTATATATATAGATACTAACTGTATGATAAAGTGGAACAGGACAGTGGAACTGAATAGTAAAGTTTAAAACTAAAATGGATTTTCTAACCTGAATGTAAAGTAGAAAGCTATGGCATGTCCAAGTCCCAGCATTGGTGTATACAAGTAGAAAAATTTTGCAAAGAAAATCATCACCATTAGAAGATCCTGTTATGAAAAATACATTTGTTCATTTACCAACTGATTGTTAGCCCAACAAAATTAAAACTATTTAGAAGGAAAAGGCTTGTCAATAAATATATTACTTACCATCCATGCCTTCCTGGAAAATATATATTTAAACAACAGAACCTGGAAATATACTGGGAATAGAAGTGGTGGTCCAACTGTAAAAATAAGAAAAGATTACATTTAACTAATGATAAAATTACTCTAAATGGGTTAAAATGCTAGCAGTTTTAAAACTTACGAAGAAAGAAATAATAATTCTGCCAATTATAAGGCATGCTTTTCTTGTATTTTTTGGCCATTTGTACAGGCATTTTGTCTCCAACAACAAACAAAGCTTCAATACGAACATCAGGATCTTTGCCCATCTGCGAATAAAAAAGCATTTACCTTTTTACACTTTCTTACATTTATAGCTATTGACTTGTAAAAGTCTCAACTAAAAATACCGATACTCCAAAAAATTATTTTTAAATTATACTGATGGAAAATTGGAAATAAACAAGTTTATATTTTTAGTCAGTATATTAAATATGTATGTAAACGCTGACACTTACCACATTAGGCTTTGCATGGTGCTGATAATGCATGTGATTCCACCATGATGGAGAAGCACCCTAGAGTAAAGAAGTTAAAATATGTATGCAAACAAAACAATAAATTATTTTTACTTGATACAAATGATAGCTTTAAAAAATATTTTTTTTCTTTAATTCAGGATTATTTTATATTAAAATATTTATCTTATCATTAATTATTTTTTAAAAAAAAGTGATTCCAAAAACTACATAAAATAAAGGTTTAACAGAAGTCTAAAACATAAGCCATTAAAAGTCTGACAGGTTGAAAAATAAAGAACATGCAAAGATAGATGATGAAGGTGATAACACAGATGGTGATGATAGGTTAAGATCAATGCCTGTTGCTGCACAATTTCTTTATTACACACAAGGATTACATAAACACAAGACCAGTCAAATTAAATAAGCTTATTTTAATTAACTATTAGTGATTTTATTAACACAGGTGCTGTAAGTACTAAAACTATAAAAGATCATAAATGAAATAATGTTTAAAACTGGAATGATGTGTGCCATAACAAGTAGATAAAGTGTCATTATTTAACCTTTTAAGGAGCTGCACTTAAGAATGTTTAAAATCTTAAAAGGACATTTGATAATGAAGACTCAGCAATTTAATTTAAATTTTGGATTTAACTTATTAATTCTGTATATTCATTTGAGTCACTACTTGTCATTGAATGTTACATTTTATCATTGTAAAGTTATTTTATCTGTACCTTGAGTGTGTCAGTTAAAGTTAAGATCTAAGATAAGCTGTAAGATCTAAGATAAGTAATCTAAATTCCCTAGTTTGATATGTTATCTTCACTTTTTATCTCTACTTCTGTTATTGGGACACAAATATTAAAAAGTACATTGAACTCAGTATTCCCCAGTGATTTAGGATGATTCTTTATTTTTTATATATAATCATTTAACTTTCCATTTCTTTAAAAAAAAACTATCCTATACTTTTAAACTAAACATTAAAAAATAAAATAGTCATGCAGTTTTAAATTTATTATAGACGTTGAGACAATGATTTGTAGTGAAGATGACCCTTGAGCAATCCTGGTCAAAGATTACCCAAGAGAAATGAAAATGCTGAACAATGCCAGCATACATAGGGAAACATTGATTACTAAAATTATCTGTTAAGTGCAGTTTTTTACACTGTCTATACAAGCTTTCAACACAAATAACCACTACTATTGTGTAGAGATAAACAATAAGAACCAAACAGTTATAAGCCTCATAAATTGTATTAAAAGCACTTTGTTTTTGTTTTTCTTAAATCTTCTATCTATATTATCCACAGAGAGCCTTTTCTGATATGGTATCATGTGCTGATGAGAGCAAAATAAACAAAGATAACTATCCTTTGCAATGTTGAGGTCACAGAAACAAGTGTATAATTCATCAGCCAAATACGTAATTTAGTAAAAAAAAAAAATTAATAAGATCCGCCAAAGATTTTTTAAATTGCTAAAAAGAAAAATTATAACCATTTAAACCCAAAAATGTGGTCCATATTTTATCAAATGTGAAAAAAAATATTGAAAACCCTTTAAATCCAAATCTACAATAGCGAAACCCAAATTGCTGTGATGTTTTAAAGACAGACTGCTATAACAGACTTCTGCTATAATAATGATTAATAAATAAAATAATATCTATTTTTTATACTTGACGTCACAATTACTATTTACCCAATTCCAATAATACAATCTGGTAACTAGTATCTTAAGAATAAAGATTATACTAATATGCAGCATATAAAGTTACCAATTTAATAAAATAAATCAGTTTTTAAATATTTAAAATATAAAATTGTCTGATTGACTTAATTGAATTACATATATTCTGTATACACACATATACATACAATGTTTATTGTTTATTAAACAAATGGTAATTTCAGCAATTTGGGTTCTATACAACTTAAACTTTATCAAGAAAAAAGTTTGACAGTCTTAAAAGCTTACTCAATATATAATTTTACTGTATCAGCCCTTTTAATATTAAAGAAAAAATATAATTTCAAACCTTTCCTCATTGCTTAATTATAAACTTGCAAACCATGTTGCAATTTGAGAACAACAATCTTATTTAAAACAAATTTCAATAGATTTTCTATTAGAAGAAAAATCATTTAATGTCAAATACCCTTTGAATCAAGTAAACAAATGCACTATCACCTTGCTTCAATATTTTGTTTATAAGAATGAAATATTGCAATTACGATTAATGTGTTATAGAACATGCAATATAAAACTATACATGTAACTATGGTTCATGCCTCAATAAGACTGAATATTATATAACTAATGGCTGTGATAATGACTGCAGTTAATAAATGTCATGTAAGTATTTAGCACATAATTCGATGACTATAACCTATAACTGTCAATATTATATAATTTTGTTTTGCATGAATGTTTGAATAAAATTGTTGTGGTTTATTTAAATAGCCCTCAATTAATGTTGTAGCATGGGAACTAGCCATAAAAAAGCAGCAAATAAGCATACAACAAATGCAAATTAAAATAAAGTTTATAAATGTGCTCATAACATCCAAACAAAAAATGTTTTCCTATAGTCCGTTATTTTTCAAGATAATCAGTAAGAGATGTAATTAAAGATATTAAATACACATCAATTATATAATGTGAATTCAAAACTTGTTAAGCTTTATTTATAGCAATATTTTACTAGTCATATAATCTATTGATCATGTTCTAAAAAGGGGAACATAAAACATGCATTAGAGGACAGGGAAGCATGCAGGAAGAGAGGGCACAGACAAACTTTTGGGCACCTGGTAACTTTTTCCATTACCTTGATTATCCCGACAGAAAAATAGTGCAAGACATGATTCCACTTAGAGTTTTTGAACACTGACAAATGGCCAAAGTCGTGTTGAATCCAGCCCGTCTGAGCCTAGACGAGGAAGAGACAAAATGGCCAAAAATCTGATTTACATATAGCTACAGAACAGGTCATGGCGGCTTAGCAAGTTGTTGCTCTTGTCCTAGCATATACGGCACTCATCGCACTGGGAATTATCAGTGGTGGCGGTCTGTTCTCAAGTAGCTGAAAGCAATGTCTTTAGGACATCAGAAGTATTTACTGAGGAAAGAAAAACCTGCTTCATGCAAGACAAGTTGAGCTGTGCACCCAAAAACTTGTATCAGAGCCAGAATGAAGCATGTTTATCACACAGAGGTATGAACTACACAGGAAAACTAACTTTAGGAACTAAAAAGAAAGTGGAGAAAAAGATCCTAAAATTCTTATTTTCCTGTATAGCTTGCTCTCAGAAGTCTGCATCTGTATTTTGACATTGTCTTCACGCTTAGGCACCTAACAGATGAAAACATTGTCTGAGCAATCATTAGAACAAATGAGAATTAGCGCATGAGGAAGTTGATGTTATTGGTCTGAGTTTTTGTTGATACGTTGCTAGATGATTTTCCCATGCAAAATACAATATACGGTTAATTAGTAGCAAACTACAGTGATATAAAAGCTGCCACCATAAAACCAATACTGTATCACAGCTCATTAGTCAGCATGGTACAGAATGGCTTCATGTTGTATAGTAGACAAAGGCATGATAATGTGCAGGGGCAGATTTTATATGGTGTGCAGGCTAGAAAATAGGAAAAAGCAACACCACACACGGCAAGTCAAGGACAAACAACACTCATTTTAAAAATCTTTTTATGTTAATGGGAACCAAACTTTATTGATGTCTTTACAAAATTACAGTGTGGTTGAAAGTTGCAGAATGTCAAATTTGACTTGCTGAATTTGTATAGGCTACTTATTCAAAGTTTTATATGTTAAAAAAAGGAATGGCAAGAAGTTTAAGGGGGGAATAGCCTTCTACAAAAAGAAAAATTTCAAACCCATCATTTGCAATTTAAAAGAAAAATAATGTAATTGATTAGACACCAAGGCAACTAAAATCTATGCACACAAAACCCTAGCATACCCTGGTTCTTTATAGGTGACCAGTCTAAACTACAATCTATGCCTAGCCAATAGAAACTGCTTAAACAACACATGCACTAATCAATCATCATACTGACATTAATGAATTTCTAAGCAAACCTAATTCAAGCTACAGCAGATGATAATTCATTTGAGTTAAAGAGGGCTATAAAACCACTGCTAAACTATCCATAAGTAGAAACAATTGTTTTGTACCAAATCTAGTCTATCTTTTATTTTATTGAAAACACTGATGTTTTACAAAAAAAAATCTGCTTGGATCAGCAAATTTAACTACTCTTAAGACTGTATTTGTGGAATGTTGATTGTGCTGAGAAGGTAAACATTGATAGAATTCTCATAAAATAAATTTAGCAAGGCATGTCATATAATAAAATACTATTTTTTTATATCTTATGGAGGAAATTAGTTAATTTATAAAGTAACGGGAAAAAATAATTTTTTTTAATATGCCAAGTTTAGTATGTCTATGAAACTAAAAGGTATGAATACAATTAATCCCTACATGAAAAATAAACTTGCATGCATGTAACTAAATATATTTATATATGGTTGTTTCCACAAAATCAGAAGCATAATTCTTCATGCTTGTCATTCAAAAAGATTCCCTTTAACTATACCGCAATCTAGGGTTTATTACTAAACTATTTTCAGTCCAAAAAATCAAAACGCATACACACAACATGTAAACTCCAAATTATAAACAATACATACAGTAAAAGAATTACTGGTCCGTGAAAATTGTGATTAAAAGACAAAAACAAAAATTCTAAACATAGGATGGGGATATTTTGGTTTGCTACACTTAATTGACTGAAACAATTATGTGATTTGTAAAAATAATACATGAAACAGGTATTTTTAAAAAAAAACATGCAATACTTTTAAAATATTCACACACTTCTAAAAAGTGAGGTTGTTTTAATATTAAAATGGTATGTTAGCAAAAAGGTGCGCATTGTTACATTTGCTAAATGGAATGAAACTGTGCAATTTGTTATGCTTATGAAATGGCAGCTTTTGATACAGACAGTAATACCTAGAACATAAAGCATAATATCTGATATACTATGGTGACAGACAACACGTGACAATGTGAATGATGACCAGGGCTTGTATTGACAACATTTCAATTAGCCTTTTCTTTGACATTTTTGAGATGTTTTAGGAAATGTTTTGATTCAATCAACCAGCCAGTAAAAATATTGTCAAGACCAAGTCCTCACAATTACGGTGATCAAAGAAATGGCAGTAGACAAGGATGAAATAAAAGAGCAGACTTCCAAAGAATCAAAGAGTAGGCTTCAAATTAAACTGTACCTCCATCATACCCATAACAAAGTAATGTAAGGCATGGTTCAACCTGGTCTTTCTGAACACTGACAAATGACCAAAGTCATGCTGAAGCCAGCTGCACTGAGCCTTGTGGTACAAGTTTTATGGGAGACACATGAAAGATATTCATTAGTTAGGGTTAACTATTTCAGCCTAAGATATACACTAATTTAACTACTTGTTCAAAGATATACAAGTCTAATAAAATAGACATTTCTAAAATTCACAGTAGTTAAATACTACTACAAAACAGGACTGTCACTGTACTTTATGTTTTAAAAAAATATTTTAATCAAACAGCATAGTTTTATTATGACTTTACCATAATTTCTTACAAAAATAAGATAATTTATCAAATTAGGAAAATTCAATGTTGAATTATCTTACATAAATCACAAAAGTAATGAATAGAATGGAAGCATTATGTTAAGTGCCCCTAACCATTTAAAATAAATAATAACAGCAAAATATTGAATGTTTTCTCTAAAATGTGAACTAATAAGTCAACTTTAATGCAGGTATGTCAAACCTCGTCTCAAATTTCAAAACTGAAAGATAAACGTGCTTTTAAACAAAGACTTATCATTTCACAAATACCTGTAATTAAACAAAGAGTTAAAACAATGACAATGATGTTTCTAGGTTAAATTCTTGAGTATAAAAGTACAAGTAAACAGGTAGCAGTTAACGTGATAAGCTTAATGTGTTATAGTTAAGATGGTCTTGTTAAGGGATCGGGGTCGTGCTGGGATTTACTTTCTTTTTCATTTTGTTTCTTGGTAAACACAAATCAACAAAATCTTTTAACCAAAGCATTCTTAGCCACCTGATTTAAGTGGGGCTAAACAGGGTTATTAAATGTTCCAACTTACAATTGGATGCTATATTTTTTAAACTTCTGAATAGAAAGGTTTCTATAAATATAATTACATAGTCCAGCAGCAATAACATGCCAGAATAAATGATCAGTACACTGCGGCAAAGAAGCATTTAATTAGGTTTTATAATATCATGCTCTAGGCAAATACCAGCTGGAATAAGAAGAAAAATTATTAGGCAAAGATTGTAAACAGTAATAGTTGACCAAAGTGCTGAGTAATCTAGAATAAAATGTTTACATTAAACCTAAAGAAAACAATTCAAAGCATTTAATGAATCAAAGTAAAAGAAGAAAACAAGAACATTTATGATCATATGATATCTTTTAACGAAGTCTATTTTAAATAAAGTCCCTTTCTTTAATACCAATTTTTTAATGTAATTACAGTATACACTTATAAACTTAATTGCATTAAAATTCTGCTTGTAATAAAAAGCAAGACATTTTTCTATAACTCTTGTATGTTTAGAATGGCCAATCAATTTTTTGTCCAAGTTTTAATTCAGTTGTATTTTGATTACTTGTGTGAATCAAGTGTCCCAAATTTGAGATAAGCTATCAGTGTGCTGAAAAAAACTCTAGAGCACTTTCTCATTGAAAAACTTGAGAAAAACTTGCTTTAGCCAAAATCAGTTGGTAGTTGTTTAAAATAAAATAAACCATACTAAATTATTTAAAAAAAAAAACATGATTGAAACGTACCTCCACAGTAGTAATCAAAGCTAGTGAAATCAAATATGGAATCCAGCTGGTACCAAAATAGTACATAGTAGCCCATGCTGCCCAGTCTAAAAACAAAATGTGGAACATGTGCAGGAAGAAAAAGAGATAATTTGGCTTAAACAGGCCCTGTGAAATAGAAAAAAATAATACAATAGTGTTAACAGCAGAAAATATGTCCTTAAAGTTAAACATGTTACATCAGTGAGAGTAGCTAGTGATTATTTTTTTAAAAATAAAAATGTGGATAGTTGTAAATATAATAAACTTGAAATTCATAGAGAAAAAAAACATACCATCTTTTCGGCTGTTTCCCTAAGCTCTCTAAACTCTTGCTCAACAGGTTTAACATCTATCTGACACTTCTTTAAACTTCCAATATGAATTGGCTTCATATACTTTTTTACTGCATTCAGGTCATTATGAAAAGCCCTGAAAGCATCCTGTGTGAAACAAAATAATAGTGAGACAAAATGTATGAAGAAGAAAATTTTTAAAACTACAAACAAATGAGTAGAGTATTGGAAAAAAAAAGAGTCCTTTAGAGGAAATTTTTTTGGATCAGTCTTTCGAAAAGCTCTTATTAAAATAAAATAAAAATGTAAAACAAAACATTCAGAATTACTAGAGCATTAAAAAAAAAAATCTAGCAATAGTTTTTGCTGACTAAATTATGTAATCATCATATCATCTCTGGAAACCTTGAGTCTATGTCATGAAATTTTTAACTGAATTCTAACAATTCTAAAATTATTTTCTTAAAAGCAAATTAATCTCCAGCATAATTTAAATACATTACTTACTGTTGCGTCTTGACCAGCATAGTGGCCAATAACTTTTGGTCCTCCTGGATGCCTGTTAACCCAACGTGTAATATTATACACTTCACCATCAATAACTAACCATTTTTCTTCCCTAGTATTTTTTTCTTTTACGACATCCCAAGTAAATTCTTCTAGTTGTCTTTTTACTGCTACTCCATTCGATTCACCTTGAGCCCCTTTGCCCATTTTCAATCACAGGTTATTTCTAAGAAAATATCTTAGAATTGGTGAGATCTACTAAAAGTATTTCAATCCTCTTCAAACTGGCAACTGTTCAGCTTTGAACAAAATTTAGCATTCCTGGTATTGCTGAAAGTCTTTAAAATTTCAGCAGTCCTGAAAAGGAAAGAAAAAAAACAGAGGTAAAGTAACATTTTATATACAGACTTATAACACAGGAGCTAAAAATGGCAACTTGACTCATGACTGAAGACAATATAGGTTTCTGCATTTGATGAATATTCCTGTTAGTTAACATAATGACTAAGCCATGGTGTCAAATTCCATCCACAATTGCACCTAAAAATGTACATCTCTATTTTAGTTATGTAGTAGTATTTTTAAAAATTAAAATAATAGCACTCAAATAAGTAATACATAATGAATTTTACACACAGGCCACAAATGGCTGAGCTGCATTAAACAGTGAAAAGATATACAACAATATGTAACAGCTGGTACTTCATTAAACCTGTTGTTTCATTTGAATATTCTTATCCAGGATTTCATTTCAGTAATTTCCTTTCTTAGAAAGTTAAACCCTTAATCTTAACTTTATTACAACACCTGAGGCTTATGGTCAATGTTTAATGCAAACAGACAATTAGAAAAGCAGTGATTATCTTAGAACAGTGAAGCTTAGCACAGGTAATCACCTTGTTCCTACAATAAATGTAATGGCCTGAGGCCAGCTTTTGTTATTGCAACTTTATATAATATAAATATGTGTTATATTAAACAAGTACGTCATCCCACCCATGGTTTAGGCGTACTTGCACAACGGCCTAAAGTACTGGTATTTTTTTTTCTAAAATGGACTTTGAAATTTGATTTAATTTTCAACTACAGTATTACATTTTTAAAATTATTTCTAAAAAAGTTTTCAAAGAGCTTGTGTAGTTGTTTTGCACAAGCAAACCCTGGTTACCTTGTAAAGCAAGATTAAAAAAAGAAAAAAAAATATCTACAGTTAACTACCGTCTGGTAGGCCTATGCTTGCTATCACACCACAAAGAACACGTCACTACAAGGTTTCAGTTAGTTTCCACGTGAACAGTGGCTAGCAGGCAGATTAAATTTCGAAACCCGATCCGTGCATTCTTTTGTACATTAAGGAGGTAGATTTTTTTTTAATTTGGCAAGCAATGTAAAGCAAGGCGGACGGTTCAAGTCACGAAGTATCGTGCACTGGATTTCCCGGAAAGACGGAGGGATGGTGAAACTAGTGCTACTGTAGGATGAAGTTTCTTCATCCATACGCAACCCCGATCTGAGGAATAGTAAAGAATTCGACTGCAGACATCGTTATTTCCCGACTTTCCTTAAAGAATTTTCTGTGAACATAAAAACGGCCATCACCTGGGCGCTGATTTAAAAACTCATGTTTGTTTTATAGGCCTAGTTTTAAATGAGAGCGGCTGTGTGAAGTAGTGTAGCACTACAGCACAATTTGCTACTACTTTTTTATGCACGACTTCGGCGGGCCACTACGTCATATCGGTACATATCCATATTGTTAAAGTTGGTGTATAGAGGCACGACTGTTAACATCCTTTGAAGGCAATACCGAGTATTATTATATTGAAAATATTTTAGGTTTCGGTCCTTTCATTCTTAAAGTATTTCGATAGATGCTGGAATAGTCAACCATTTTAGTATTAGGAAGTCTTTCTGTGTGCCAACACAATCTGAGGATCGGGAACACCAGCGGCACTTTTATCTAAAATTGAACTTTGACTTTCGGCTGAGTTGTTCTTGACCACTAAGCTTTCTTACTGATGGTATGCTATGTTTTAAACGATTGTAGGAACAGCTTCATTAGTTACTGAAAGCCCAGAAAACTGCATTTAAGGGATGTTATAGTCAGCAAGTTGCCTGTCAACTTCTTGGTTAAAAAAAAGGAGCGAAGATGGTAATTGGTACGTAGATAGTTTATCTTGGTCATCAGATTTGCAGTGAGTTAGAAAGCACAAGGATAACAATATAATTTTTATAAGCCGCCCAATAATAGGCAACGAAACGCAACACTGAAGCCACTACGGTTATAGGCCTACTTTAAATAGAAGTGACGATGAGCAGTATATACGCAAATCAAATGTAAAAATGCTACAATTGGAATGAGATGGTGACAAATGGGCGCTTTGTTGCTTGGCGCTCTACTGTGCGCAGATAAAAGATGACGTAAAACTAGACAATGGCCATGATGTTAGTACTAGGACTTTGGACAAGGCGCCGAAAAGGGAGCGCCCTTTCCCGAAAATTATCTCTTGGAGAGCCAGCAGTGGCTATAGATCTACCTGGCTACGCCTCTGGTGTCAATGGTTTTTTTCAGCCGGTACAGCTGTTAGGGTTATGGGTAATGTCAAGTTTATGTTCAGGGATGGACTAGAATAAAAATAAAGATGCGTTTTGTCATACTAGTAAAAAAAAAACTAGCTGAACTTTTAATACGTTCTTACTAAGGTTAGGTATAGTTGGTTTAACGGTTATTATGGGCGTTATGGCTAAGTATTCGTATCGAAGATGGCGATTACAAAGTATCAAACTGTCTAAGTCAATTAGAGTTTAATTGAACCCCTAGGGCCACGGGTAGAGCCCAGTTTAGATTTGGTGCTATGTTTTACAACAGTGTTTAGCTCTAACAATCAGTAAGAGAGGCTCGGGAGAAGCGGTATATTTTAAAGTATATATAGGCTGTGTACACGTACGTATATTTTGTTTCCACACACCGCATCTGTCACTTGAAAGCCCACAGGTCAACACATCATGCTCTTGTTGACAGATCCGCGTATTTGGTTATATTCGACCGATGAAGGCCCTGAGGTAAACTTTATATTGAAAGAACTGACACAATTCGAGGATAGTTAACCTGATAACACGGATCGTACCTTATGGTAAAGAGAACCATGTAAAATATAATTTACAAATAGATGAGAAAGGCAGTTTGGTCTGTTTCTCAGCTTTAGAGTCAAAGCTAAAGTTTAGGCAAGTTAATTTTAGATTTAGAAGAAGAAAAAAAACGTGTGTGTGTGCTCGTGTGTGTGTGTGTGCTCAAGGTGAACTTCTAAGCCACCTATAAGAATTACCACAAACTGTTATTTGAGGCTACCAGATTTCTAGTGCCTCTCCATGATCAAGAAATGGGAACGTAACGGCAAATCTACGGTCAAGTTGAATTGAATACAATTTTAACTCGTTAAAGCTAGTTAAATCAAACCAAACAACACAGCTACAACAAATAGGAAAACATGGAGTTAACAGAGCCACGAAAGTTAGGTAAAGGCAAGCATAAGAATTATAAATAGATCTAGATTCTAGTACTATACGCCAGATACAGGTCAAACTATATATCTTAGTTCGCCCCTCCCCAGAGGCTATAAGCGGGGAAACTAGCTAGTAATCTGGCTGAAAAACACGTTAACTCAGACCACGATACAAAGTCCATATTGGTTTAAACCAGGAAAGGGACTTATCTTAGGCGACTGACATTTCCTCTACCTAACAAGTAGGTTCAGGAAATACAGAAAGCTAAAACTGTAACACGCTTGAATACAGAAAAACATGACCCCTATATCTATACCCTTCTACTACTGTACATGTCTTAATTCGACAAATTAATGTTTTACACAAAAAAATACAAACTTAAAACACGCAACTTTTGGTGACTAAGTGTCAACTACACTCCTTTTTAAGTATAACTAAACTTAACATCAATATAAAGGAGTCGCATTTAAACAAAATATGCAAATAGCTTCTTATACAACTGTATAAATGAATAGGACCCTAAACAGGTTTCCAAAAACTATCAAGCCAATACACATGGACCTACGCATTCAAAGAGGGATACGTTGTTATGCGACAGCCGTATCTAAAGAACATTGATCTGATATTGCCATTGTCATTCTGCCCCCCCCCTCACTTTATTTCCTAAGAAAAAGAAATACAACAGCACGTTCATTCAAATAAGGAAGTACTATATGATTTAAGGGACCACCAAAGTCGGGGGGGGGGGGGGTGAGAATCACTAATTTTCTTCAACCTTCTGCAAACTGTAGGGAGCGTAGAATCTAGCCCGGTTGGGTGCTAAAAGAATCATCAGTGTAGCCATAAGACACTTCACTTATAGTTCTCTTCACATCGTACATAGCTATATATATGATACAACGGATGACGTGGCATGCACGATGACGGACCTAACAGTAACCTCTTCCGAGAGGTCAAACAGATCAAGACAAAAATTCAATTAGCAGTTGACAACAAGACGGCATGAACCGAAATTATCGCCAAATAACTGTAGCGTGGTGTGATCATGACACGTCTCCAAGCGCCTTATCCTTTAGACAAGTTCAGGGTTAACCGATAGGCGAAGTATAAATACGGCAACGTGCCGATATGCAGGGAGCCCTCGGGTGTCAGTACACAAACGCCGCAGCGGCCATGTAACGTTGGCATGATCAAACCAACAGACGGAGGCTAAGTTCATCTACTCCGCTAGTCAGGAATTACATCAGTATTGATTTAGCAATCCATTACCATCTGCGACTAGATTGGTTACGTACCACTCGATAATTAATTTGACGTAACATTTGGTTTTTAACAAAGAAACGAACATGAAAAGGATAATGACTATGGTAATGGTAATACATATTCAAAAGAAATTCAATTTCTTGAAATGATTGCAGGTGTCATTGGTTCTGAACGGCCGAGAAATCGATTACATAATTCCAGACGACAGATTTAAAGTAGGTCACGCGTCAAGCCGATCCAAATTTATTAGCCTAAATATAATTGAATCAACCACCCTAAAGAATGTTATGGTCTACAGCACATCGTGCTGGGGTAAAGACACGTTTATAGACGCGATACAGAGTGGGGATTTTTCATTTTGCTAAATAAAAAGAAGCCCTCTAGGTCACGCTACTGCGTAATGGGCGGGGCTATGGTTGTTTCTATGAGTAAATAAATCGACATGCAAGTCCAAATAAACCAAGTTAAATGAAATATAACACCATCAGCAGGTTTTCAATGTTATTTAACACCTCTCAATTAACAAAAAAAGAGCTTGAGTTCCTACAAAATTAAAAAGCACTAACAGAATAATTGTATAATCTATATGAAAAACATATAGATTACTCTAACCAGTGCCTGCTCCACCCTTACCCACCTGGAAAAAATGTCTGAAAGGAACCCTGTTAAGAAAGACAGCTGTAAATTCAAAATACTACTAAACATATTACTAAAAACAAAAATGAAAGACAGGTTTACTGTTATCAAAAGAGAATAAGAAAGACTAGGCTGTTAAGTGAAATTAAAGAGCTGGTCTGTCACAATAATCAAGTGAAAATAGTTTAGGTAACATTACAAACTGTGTAAAGCAAAAAGTACCTGGTGGTAATGTTGCAGCACTGTCACATACATAGTATGAACCACAAACCACGCCTACCTTACAAGCTTTTATAATTACTTTGTATTAGCATACTTAGGCTTTTAAACACTTGAGTAAAGTTTCCAGCATGACATATTTTTACATTCAACCCTTTAACCCTTTTCTGTCTTTAATGCTGGTTTTTATCACTTTAAATTAAATTAATAACAGAGTGAATTTTTCTCAGTCTAACAATGAATTGCTCTAATACACAGGGGTGCTGTGTTATTGATCATGACTAGATCTATATTCAGTTAAAATTAACTGTGAGTAGTAAGGATAGTTTCAAAGCCCCAAAGGTATTGAGTCAACAAATTTTTTAAAAAATGTGACCAATATTTAGATCTTTTTTAACATTAGCACTAATTGCTGATGGATAGGCCTACACTAATTACTAATTTACTAGTGGTAGTGCATCAATCATATAGGCTATATACTATATAGGTACAAACCAAGCACAGTCAAGAAGTTTTACTAACAGTATTTTAACGTCAATTATTAAGTCTAGTCAAACAGTTGCAATGTAAAATTGTTAAGCATAGCATTAGCAGCCTTTGAAAAAAAGCTGTTCAGGAGTATTGATAATCCTATATTATTACTAGATCTAGATTCTACATAAATTCTACACAAGTCAGATGATTCACCAATAATGCAATTTTAAAAATAGGTGTTAAGTTACTTAGGCCTAGTCTATATGTAATCTAGATCTATAGATCTTTAGATCTAGATGCATTTTAAACTGTAAACAGTATGATTCTGTACTAAATCTCTAGACTCTTGATCTAAAATCCATTAATGAGTAGCATAATCATATATTATCTAATCTAGATATCTAGTAAAGTAGTAGACTAGTGAAGAACTAGATTTAGAATTGAGATCTAGATCTATCTAGTACAGGGGTCGGCAACCTGCGGCTCGCGAGCCGCATGCGGCTCCTTTGATGTCGAGGTGCGGCTCTTCAGTTCCATAGAAAAATATGAAAAATATTAAATTATTTTATTTTCTTCTTGAAACTAATAAAAATAATAGTCTGCAACACTCGTTAATGAACGATTAAATAAATATAAACAATAAACACTCGCTATTCTATTTGCGAATTTGATATTTTATTTTCGCAAATATCTCCCCATGAGTATTCTCAACATCTTCCTAAAGTTTCATGGCGATCGGATAAAAGGTGTAGTAATGAATAAAAGACAAACAGACACATACGCACTTACATACTACATACATTGATATATATATATATATATATATATATATATATATATATATATATATATATACCTAATCATAATCAAAGGTCATAATATTAAAATAAAAATGTTAGTGGCTCTTTAACAGCTGGGAAATTTTGAAAATTGTAACTTTTGGCTCTTTCGTCTGAAAAGGTTGCCGACCCCTGATCTAGTAGTATCTAGATCTAGACTAGAATCTAGTTAAAATCAAGTAAGTAGACTAGAGACTGAGAATCTATCACCTAGATCTATATCTAGACCAGCAGTTAGTTGTACAGACTAGATTCTTGGTCTAGGTCCTAGGTCTAGATTCTAGATCTATGATCTAGAACTATTAGAATCCAGATCTAGAGATCTAGAAGTAGTGTAAGTGTAAGGCAGGTTAGTGTGACTTGTTAGTGTTACTGACTAGACTAGACTGCAATCTAGATATAGAATCTAGATCTAGATTCTAGATCTAGATCTAGAGAATCTAGATCTATTATATCTAGATCTAGATCATCATTTACTCATTAGCCTACTGTAACAGGCCAGTGTGTAGTCTGTGTAGTCAAGTCTGTTACAGTTCAACGGTGTAGTTTGTGTTTAGTGTTTAGTCTCAGTGTTTAGTTTAGTTATCTTCGGTTATGTAACTTATGTAAGAGCAGTTAGGACTGTGCTGTGACATTGCCACTCAAATATGTCTAGAGTCTAGATCTAGAAGAATCTAGATTTTGTTAAATTTAGTAGGCTAATAGATTTAGATCTCTAAATTCTAGATCTAGATCTAGAATCTAGGCTTAAATTTGGATGACAAGTGGAGTAAAATACAAACTTGAATATGCGCTATTTTAATGAAAATGCGTGCGGTTATGTAATCTAGAATTTGTTTAGACTAGAACTCTAGGCAAAATATATCATGCTAGAGTCTGTTATAAAGACTAAAAAATATATTATGCTTACCTAACTAAAAGAATAGAACAATCCTAAATTTATTCAGGTGGGCAAGTTTGTAGGGACTTTACACAAACAAAATACAAAGTTCCGATTACCGGCATCGGAAGTACACAGTGCAAACGAATGGTAAGACCGAGAACGAGAATAGTGACGTATTATGAAGAAAATTTAACCCTTGCACGATCACCATGCCAGTTCCGGTGAAATGTCGAGTCGTCAGGCGATTGAACGAACCAATGAAAACGGTTCTTGTAAACTAAATGCAAAGGACCTAGTTATGAAACATGTATCAGTAGTCCGTGACCCGTTCACGTAAAGTTAGTGTCGGTACACATGCACCAATTTTTAAAATTACATTAACACTGACGCTTAAAAACAAGTTAACTACATTTTAAAATTACCGTATTGAAATTTCTGAAAGGCAGTAAAGTAGAATTGTCTTTTTTTTTTTAAATTATAAAGTGATGCTGCTGTAAAACGGTTTATTTTGGATCATTTATTTTCTTATTTAAAATTAGTTAAATATGAAAAGAAGACAACGGGTCTATGGAACTGTACAACTTTATATTACAGTTTCACTTTTTATGTTTGATGGCTGTTTCGTTTCCTGATCAGAGTTTCTTCCAGGCATCTCTTCGGGGGGGGGGGGGTGGCAAAGCCCCCCCCGAAACATTTTTACCGCCCCCCCCCCCCCCCCGAACGAAATGAAATTTGTATCATTTATATAGAAAATATATACTTTTAACAGTGTCCGCCCCCCCGAAGAAAGTTTACCCCCCCCCCCCCCGAAGATTTCAAGTGCCCCCCCCCCCCCGGAGAAAAAAGTCTGGAAGAAACACTGTTCCTGATGTGTGACAAAATACCGTTACAAAGAGGCGTATCCGGAGGGGGGGGGGCATTTTAAGGCAGGCCAGTGATGTAACAACCATTAAACCACGGCAAGGTACACGCACTTCTTCCCCTTTCCCCCCCCCCCCCCATGTCACAGGAGCCCCCGAGCTTTTAAAAATAATAAACAGAGTATCTGTAGACTGGATTTTTTATTATTTCATTATTGTTAAGGTGAACAAAATGGACGCGCGGACCCGTGCTCTCATCGGGGGGGGGGGGGGGGGGGGCTGTGTCATGAAATTATCTGTAGGAAAAGAACGATTTTTTTTAAAAATTCTTTTTGAAATCACTAGTATTTCAAAGATTTTAATTATTTTTCTTTTATTTGTAGCTGAGCCGTGCACCATTTTTGTTTCACTGTTGAGAGAATAGCGAGTTTTCATACTATAATTAAATTTATATAAACTGACATAATGTTTAATTGTATAGCATATTATATTGTACTAATATAATAATGTTTGAAGAAACAGAAGTATTTTTTTTTTTAAATTGCTTATCTATTTAATGGTTTGAAAGTATTTTCTTTTATAAAAACAAAATTTGAAAGATGTAATTAAATGTGTGTGTAGAACTATATTAAAGAGTGTAGGCCTAATTATTTTATTTCCACTACTTATGAATGGTGCCCTTATACATATTTTCAATATTATAATATATATAGATCTAAGTGATATGCATAAGGTTGTGTTTGTTTTTTTTGTGAAAATTTTTGTTGCGTTTTGTGCTACTATGTTTTGTTGTGTATGTGATGTGTTATTTTGTGGTGTTCTCTTCTGTATTTTAAAGCGTAAGTATATATGTGTGTATATATATATATATATATATATATATATATATATATATATATATATATATATATATATATATATATATATATATATATATATATATATATATATTATACCTTATCTGGACTTGCCGCTTACCTACCCCCTAAACCTGCGTACGCCTCTAGGGTAAGGGCCTCCAGTCTTTAAATGTACACAGACACCCACCCCCGATCCCCCACCTCGGGCGGATATGTTACGCAACTGGGATAGGGACGCTTTTTTTGAAAAATTAAATGGAACTTGGCTAGGAACAACAACTGGCAATCTGGAACAAATTCAATATTTAACTAAGTTTTTACATAACATAAATTTTAAAAAAAATTCTTCTTGTTTTTAGTGCGTATAAATTATAAATATAAAGCTTTTTTAGGCCTATACTGTTATGAATACACAAAGCATATTTTTAAATGTTTGAAATGCTTAATTTTTACATATGTGTATTTATATCAAGGGTTAAATAACTTCTGTAGATAGCGTTTTTCTCGTTGTATGCGTTTAATGTAATTATTTTTAAGTTCCCTCCCTTGACATATCATATTACATAGTAACTACAATAAATATCATTTCCACACGAGAGTTAATAATAAATTAATTACCAATAACAGTTATTTATATTAATTACCAATAACAGTTATTTATATTAATTACCAATAACAGTTATTTATATTAATTACCAATAACAGTTATTTATATTAATTACCAATAACAGTTATTAATATTAATTACCAATAACAGTTATTTATATTAATTACCAATAACAGTTATTAATATTAATTACCATTAACAGTTATTACGTTTACATTACAGGGAGGAGGGCTGCATGGGTTCAAACATATTTTCTATATAAACATTTTATCCTGATCCTCCAGATGGGTATTGGATGTGCTACAGGGCCAGTCCCCCCTCCCCCCTGCCCACCGAAGAGATGCCATTGAACTTGGTTGAGGAGATGCAGATACGATTTCTAGGGGTGGGGGCGGACTTGTTAAAGTTTCTATTTTCTAATTTTCTATATGAATTATGTTTTCTATTTCGTAAGGGGGGGGGGGGAGCAGGGGATGACAATGCTCCGGGGCGCAGCGTCCCCCCCCCCCTCCCCGCCCCCCCCCCCCCCCCCCCACAGGAAGATACCTGAAAGAAACTCTGTTTTTGCGTGTCTTATACCACCTTGCATTTTCACCATACGAACGTCCTCAGCACGAGCAATGCTGTTTTTAAAAAGTCAGATCTCTACATGATGCGAATGGAAACAAATATTTCTAGCCTCTTAAGACTATAGTTCATATCCACCGGGCAATTATTTCCTCCTCTGGTGCACCTCGTTATGGTTAACCGGTCGGGACGGTGTGTGAAAAGAGGAGGGGGTGTTCAGTCACGGCAAAAACTGTTAATCTTGGTCCCTGAACTGAACCATGCAAGTGCCATTACGGAACCAGAGTTTTGGAAATAAAGGAAAGAGTCCAGATGAAGTAGAGTTCACATATTCCTTGACCTCGGCATATTAAGGGTGTGGTCAGCACTTTGCCCACCCTCTTTGCTTTCCCTAACATGTGTAAGGTGGACTCTCAAACTCGAGACTTTCTGGTTAGCAGCCGAGCGCTCTACCGCTTAGGCCACGCCTGTTTTGAAAATTGTGTGTAATTCATTCCCTTTTCGGGGCCGTAGAGAGGAGTTCTGAATTTTATGATGATTTCCATCATCATCTATGCCCAAGATACATGGGGCAGGCGTTTCAGAGACCTCGGCATATTAAGCAGTGTTTCTTCCAGACTTTTTTCTCCGGGGGGATGGCACTTGAAATTTTCGGGGGGCGGTAGACTTTCTTCGGGGGGAGGGGGGGGGGCGGACACTGTTAAAAGTATATATTTTCTATATAAATTATACAAATTTCATTTCATTCGGGGGGGGGGGGGTAGAATTTTTTCGAGACTTTCGGGTAAGCAGTCTAGTAATTGTATTTATTTAAACATTTTTTTTAAAAATGTGTTCCAATAAAAATCGATTTATAATTTCTACAGCAAGTACAGACAACTAGTTTTTTTTGGTCCTCTACCTCTCCGTACAACACACGTTACATACATTTTGCTAGTTCCTTGTGACACGCATGACTGCCTAGCGTAGCTTCGTCTTTGTTTAGGATTGTATGTATGAAAAGAACGCCTACTCTTGTCAAAGCTTCCAGCAGGGGCGACGACCGATGCATGAACAACACGCAACCATAATATAACTTAATATAAGATAAAAATCAAATCCCAGAGTTCCCTATGTGAATTGATGTGTCTTGTTGAATGATATTATTACCGTTAGGAGAAGCCACTGGTTGATTATTGAGTCGTGCGCTTGTTGCCGTCGTGTGTCTTGTCAAATCTGAAACTATTTCAACTTCATGTCACTTGACTTGATGACAGTGGCGTCACTAGGTCGGGTGTCAACTGGTACGGAAACTAAGGGGTCACTCCACCTCATTCCAACCGTTTTGCATATTGGGTTTGGTGTCATCCCTCCTACGTACAATTTTATTTTTCTTACTGGGAAAAAAAACCCATTGTTTTGTTAGTAATTTTTAAAAATTTGGTGTCATCCTAAAAATGGTGTCACGCTGTGATTACCGCAATTCTCCTTCCTTCCCCGCCCCCACATTGTGACACTACTGTAGTACTGGTTGATCATTATCAATTTCTTTCGATTTGAATACAATGCCACAGTGTTTTAGTGCCTCATCATCATTCCTTTGTGGCCCCTGGGGAGCAAAGGGCTGCAACCACACATCTCAATCGGACTCGGTTTTGGGCTGCCCCCTTTATCTGTGCCCATGTGTGCCCAGCTGTTTTCACCTCTTTTTCAACCGTTCTTCTCCATGTCTTCTTTGGCCGGCCCACCCTCCTTTTTCCCTGGGGATTATAGTCTAAAGCATGCCTTGCAATGTTTTCTTTTTCCGATCCATCCCTATTTCCGGTGCCTAGAATCTAGTATGTTACTTTCATTACATAAACCCAGTGATTTTTTGTGACGGTACGCGATGGTACAGCGTACCGGCACCTTTTTCAATGTGGGGAAAAAAATATTACTTTTCTTGTATTTTAACGTTTATTATTAATTTATTATATTATTAAAAAGTTAAAAGTTTGGCAATCCTTCACTGAGTCCAGGCACCTATTTTCTTTTTACAAAAAAAAAAAAAAAGCACTGCATAAACCTAATAAACATTATACCTTCAAATGGTATCATTGTAATCACCTAAACTAACTTGATAAAAAAAAATTAAGCATATATAAATACTTTTCCTCAAGCGTGTTTGTCCATGTGCCTAACCAAACCAGAGGCGTAGCGACCCTTCCCGGCGCCCGGGGACAAACTTTCAATTTGGGAGCAAATTTTGAATTTGCACCCCCCCCCCCCCTCAAACTTACGATTTGCACCCCCCCCCCCTCAAACTTTAACTTTCGATTTGCACCCTCCCCCCTCAAACTTTCGATTTGCACCTCCCACCCCCCTCAAACTATTTATAATGCAAAAATACAGCTAAAATGACATTTTAATTTTTTTTTACAACCCATTTTGGCGCCCCCTAAGGTCGGCGCCCGGGGACATATGTACCCCCCTCCCCATCGCTACGCCTCTGAACCAACCGATATCGGCAGTGTTTCTTCTAGACTTTTTCTCCGGGGGGGGGGGGGGGCACTTGATATTTTAGGGGGGGCGGACTAAATTGGGGAGGGGGGGGGCAAACACTGGTAAAAGTATATATTTTCTATATAAAATTTCATTTCGTTCGAGGGGGCGGTAGACTTTCTCCTTATCCGAAGAAATGCCTGGAAGAAACACTGCAAAGGTTAGGTTAGGTTTGCGCTGACAAGAGCTTTCCAGCCGTCTCTGTCCTGGGCTAGTCTCTCCAACTGTCCCCAGGTGTATCCATTTTTTTTTTCGATGATTTACAACGAGCGATGGGTATCAATGGGTGGTGGATTACGGGTCGGTTAAGCTCATGGTTGCTCCGATTTCAGCCGATTTCTTTTGTATTTGCTTCCATAGCCTTTGGCCAACTTAAAACAAACTACAAGACAGCAGTTGCTTGATTTTGGAGTAGTCTCTCCTAGAAGAGTTGCTGTTCTCAGCTATCGAGCTATAAAAGTAAAAGTATATATAAATAATATATTTTCTATATAAATTCCATTTCGTTCGAGGAGGGGGGGGGGGGCGGTAGAAGTGAAAGAAACTGGTTCGAACTCGACTTCCCGACCCCACACATTCGATTTGATTTTAGTGTATGAAGTAATATGTCTTTATATAGATCTTCAAGGTTTGGCCTACTGTATCACTATGATTAAACAATCCTAAAATTACTTCATAGCTTAATTTAAAATAATTATAGTGTTTATTGTGCAATTCCTTGCATACACGTTTGATTAATGCTTATTTTATATTTTGGGCTTTCCCAAAGGCCTATTTCAGGGAACGAGGCCTTAATGACGTGGCGGAAGGTTAAAACGTCAGTAAACACTAAACGCAATAATGGCCTGTATTGGTGTCAGTCAACGACACTATAGTTCTGACACATTTCGCTGCGAATTTCCACCTACACTTTAAAAAAATTTAATTGAACCAAGGGTTTCGTTCAGACATTTTTTTCGATCGGGGGAGGGGGCTGTGGGAAGTGTTGGGGGGGGGGGGCATTTTATCCATCGGACTTATTTAGTTAAAGCCTTTGGTTGCTGTTTTGCTGGAAAAGCAGGCTTTTTAAAAAATTCTTATCGTCATAATAATATGATGATGAGAAATTGAGTCTAGGTGGGGCAACTAAACATTCACCTAAGAAATTTGCATTTTAAGAAAGTGGTGAAATGTCCCCCATTAACACTCATAAAGTAATACTTCCAAAAATAGAAGATTGTGCTTGTATTATAATGATAACATGTGACTAAAGTAACTCCACGTCACTGTCTAAATATAGCAATGACCTTAAGTGCGCAGAAATCTTGTTATGATATATTTAAAAGAAAAAAATCATTTTAATAAGTTTGCATTGAAACTGTGCATTTAGACAGCGCTGAGATTTCTTTTATTACTTCCAATTCTCGCTTTATAGCAACAATACTGCAAAGCTTGTTTTACATGGTTGGAGATAAAGCTGAGAACTATTCCATACTCAGCGCGGATAGTTTTGTTTGTGTTTCGGTTTGTTTGGGCAAATCTAGATTCAGCTTCTAATCAACAGTGTTGCGAGCCATCTTGTTTATACGTTTATAACTTTGTTTTTGTTATTGAAGTCCTCCCCAATGTTAATGTAAAAAAGATTGATTCATCACAAACTACTGTAATATAATCATCATTAACATCCAGTCGTTTTTAAAATGGATGAAAATAGTCTTGTGGTAGCTGTTCGACTGTGCGATACTGATGAGAAAGAGCAACCAGATCCGTTGTGTTTACTAACCAAGGATTTGTCAACATGGCGAAACTTCGAGGCATTAGTAAGTAACAAAACAAGTAGCAAGTTGTTACTTACAAGTAGATCTAGATCTGTCTGTAAGTTAGACGATGTTTCGGTGGATCTTTATAAATATCCATTCTAGATCTAGTAGGCCTCCCTTCTTAAAAAAAGGGGTGTTAGGTTTTCTCAAGGGAGTCTTCACTCTAGCTACTAGCTACTAGTGACCAGCTAGATCTAGATCTAGTCTTTAATTTTTATTTAGAAATAGATCTAGATCTAGTTTTTTTTTTATTATTCTACTTGGCGCTTACTAAAACTAATATTAATTATTACATTTTTACCAATTACTTTACTGTTATGTTAGGTCAACTATTACTATTAGAGTATGAAACTCTACTACAACCCTCACACATGCTCCACTTAGTAGTAACTTTGTTGAGACAGTTAACCTTAGTTACCAGTTACTAATAGTTAGGCTAGCATTTCAACATTAATATTTTATTATTAGCCTAAGTCTTATACGTATAATAACTCTATTATCTTCATTCAGTTGCGGGACATGTACAAATCACCACCTAAAGCTATCAAAGTCTGTTATCTGGATGATGAGAATGATTGGGTAAGTAGTAAGTACTGTCTATTGATTTCAAGTGCATAAACTTACATATGTGCTAACGAAAAAATTGTTATTGTCATGCAATTTTTTTTAGTGGAAAAAAAAATCAAATAAACTTAGTCAATCTAGTTCAGATTAGTTTTTTCATCATAAATAATTTGTTTAAGCTGTGGATATTAATAGATCTAAATTTTTTTGAAATTATAAATAACTTTGAAAGTGAAACTGAAAGTTATCACTGGAAGCAACCTCGGACAGATGAGGCTCGTTAGCTGGGGACAGCCACTCTTCTGGGAGAGACAACTCCAAACTCAAACAACTGCTGCCTTGTAGTTTGTTCTTGGTTTAACAAAGGCTATGGAAGCAAATCCAAAAAGAAAAGCAGGCTGAAATCTGAGTGAATGGCCTCAATGGTGCATAACCAGTCGACACGTATCCTTAATTGTGATGGAGCCGTGGTCGAGTCGGCAAAAAAAGCTCATGGTTGATAAATTCGAAAAAAAAAAGTCTCGAGTTCAAACCCTCTGGCAGATAAGGCTCGATCCCTTCCAACACTTAAAATTAAGAATGAAGAAGAAGAACTGGAAGCAACAACAAATTTTCTAGTAGGGGAGAAACCCACTGATTTAATTTAATTTTGATTTGTATATAAATTTTGTACAAATTTTAATGAGTTTCCCTAAACATAAGGATAAAAACATATAATGCTCTAATTCAATATTTTAAATGAACTTAATAATCCCTAATAAACATCCCTTAAAATTGTATTGTTTATTCCTACCCTCATACATGATTTCAAATTCGAACACATGTTAATACCAAATATTGTCTTGGACATGTTAATACTTTGTATATTTTATTTGGTTTAATTATTATATTACTTAGATTCAGCTTGATAGTGATGCAGAGCTAGCTGAAGCTGTTAAGGTATGTTGAAGAACAAAATTTCTATTTTTATGAGTTACGTTATGAATTGTTAGAAAAGAAAAATAACGTATAATTATAACTCTCTTTTTGTTTTTAGTATGGAGACATTTTTTTGAAGTAAAACTATATATTATTAGTCACTAATTCTTAGATGATATTGAATATTTACATTTTTTAATACAGGTGACCAAAAATTCTGGTGAGATTTTGCAACTGAAAGTTTACAGATACGGCGGTGGTGTAGAGAAGAGCGAACCTGCAAGCCAACAGCCAACATACATTCCTACCACCGACCCTGGAGGTGATGTCTTTGACCAGCTGTCATACCCATACCACACTGCATTCAGCCAACCAACAGTCTCCAGTCCGATTGATGCCCCGCCCCCTGTACCCCCAAGACAGCCAATAGCACCAAGGCTCCACCCTGAGATTTTGATCTACCCTTACCCCAATGGCGCGAATACCGTCATGTACAACCCTGGTACCTTGTACACACAGTTTTCTACCTCAGGCACCGCCAGTGCCCCTGGCCCAAGCATTCCACTGTCTACAAATGCAGTGCCTGCCCCTTTCTGCTACGGTAGTATCAATTCCATTGACATGTCACAGACCATTCCTTGGGACCTGCCTGCTAGAGAAGAAAAAACTACCAACCCATTCGATGAATTTAAAGACAAAAACACACCATTGGCGTACAAAAGTCAGAGGGAAGATACTTTGATGACTGATAGTTCAAAAGTTGAACCTTTGTGCACAGAATCTCGTTCTCTTGGACAAAATTTTATCCCCAACCAGGATCCTTTTGAGATTAACTCCCCTGAAACACAACAGATTCACTCTTCTGTTGCATGCGACATAAGGCCACCACTAACCCCAACTACTGCAAGCAAATCTTTGGCCCAGGAAACAGTAGCCAGCAGTAAAGAATCTGAAGTCGCAGGGGGAACAACCCAGCCTGCCAAGCTGTTGGAATGGGTGAACACTGTCCATGCTGCTCTCTCCTTCAATGCAGGGCAGGATCATTTCCCCCAAAATCCACCAGCAGTCGGTGGAAATCCATCCTACTCCGCTGCTATTCCAAAATGTAAAGTTGTCAAGAAAGGATCTGAAAATCAACCACCCAAACCTTTGCCGAGATATCTTTTAATGATGGATGGTGCCCAATCTGGTGCCAATGCAGTGGCAATTGAAATGCCACCTGAGCCAGATTTTTTCCATGCAGCAAGCCTAAATAAAGATGAAGAAATTGCTGCAAGCGGAGGGTAAGTCAGTTTAATATGTTACATTGTTTTATCTATAACTAGATATTTTAACTACATTTATATAGGACCTATGTTTAAATTAAGAATGACACTAATTTAAAATGAAAAAAAAATTTATATTGTTAAATTGCATTGTCAATACCAGTAGGACGATATTTTAATATTTATGTATTAAAAAAATTAAATATTTAAAATGACACGAAGATAAAATGTAAAAATTTATATGTTCTATTGTATATTTTGATTACATTTATGTATAACTAAAATTGAATATTCAAAATGACACTGAGATAAAATGTTGAAATGTGTTCCCAGAGCATCTTCGACTTCAGCATCTGAAGAAACTGGTGAAGTGGTGGCCAGAGGAGGTAGTGATGCTGCAGCAGTCTGCAGAGAAGTATGTTGCTCTTATTATCCTAAATCATTGCTTGAGATCCCATTGAAGTTTAGGCTTTATTAAAAGTAATGATACATTTCATAAAAAGTTTTGAATTTTCAAAGAATACAATTAATTTAACTATTAAATTAAATTTTATACACTAAAAATATTAGTAAAACTCTGAGAAAATTTAATCTTGTTGTCTGTTTATATTTATATTGTGAACTTTGGTGAAATGCTTTCTTTCTCCACCTTTGAATATTTCTGTCCTTCCCTTTTAATTGTTTTTAAATGCTGTTTCTATGTGCCTTTAAGTTCCTGTCACCTAGCCTTGCTTGATGTCAATCTTGCATGTATAGCTGTGCTTGTTCCCATTGTTCAGCATTGGCCAATAGAGACTGAGTTGTAACAGATCTCTGGGATTCATCACATCTTCACTGCCGTGGCTCTATGTTGTTTTTTTACTACAAGATTTCTTTCCAACTGGATGGACTGGAGGCTTGACACCTTTGTTTAATAAGACAACTATACTGACCAAACACCAGCGTCACTGCAATTTATCCTCAATTTAATCCTCAGATAAAATCGTCCAGCCAAGCTGCGGAGCCTTGTGGTGTGGCGGTGGTGACAGCAGAGAGTTCAGCTGCTAAGTCGGAGAAAAAAGTGAAAAGATCAGACGGAAAAGTTAAAACAGTGAGGAAAGAAAAATCAGAGAAAAAAGATATGAAACCTAAAGCAGCAGTAGAAAAACCAGAACGGAAACTCAGCAAAAGCAAAACAGATGAGCACTCTTCTGTTAAAGAAAATAAGAAGAGACCAAGTTTGGAGAAAGTCCCAGAGTTGAAAGCCGAAGAGAAGAAAGTGATTAAAGCTGATGTTGAATCAGGAGAGAAAGTGAATGTCAAGGAGGAGATGACTCTGCTTCATGGGGACTTTGTGAAGTTTATGAGGAAGGTAAAGTTTTGCTGGACAACATCAATCTATGCTGTGTTGCTAGTCAGTGTCTTGATTTCTGCTACATGCTGTTTGCTTGTCTACAACCTTGCTTCTCTGTAGATTTCATTGGTGGCAGGATAATGTACTTACAAATCTCTTGATAGAAACCATCTTAAATTAAAAATAATTATTGTTATTGTCGAACTAAAGAATGAAATATTTTCAAACATTTATCACAATCATTACAAATTTGTTTTTTGTAGTTTTGATCCTTGTCTTTTTTTGTTTGCATGGTTTACAAAATGATTATCTTTAAATAACAATTTTAATAGACAAAAAAAAATAATGTAATCTCTATTTATTGTTACGTTAAATGTGTAGCTTTATACTGTCGTTGAGGCATGTTTAGAGCGTACTGATTTGCTTATTTCCAGTGGAAGAAAGACATGCACTCCACTATAGTCAAAGATGTGGTGAAGCAGACAGACAGCTTGCTCCGTAAGACACTGTCAAAGTCTCAGGCACAGAGAGACCTGGACGTCCTTGAACTTAAGACTAGACTCACAAAATGTAAGCTCACATACTTAACTTGTTATTCCTAATTCCAATACATTTTCAGGCTACCATTTTATTAGAAATAGTTGTTTTGTAACTAAAAACGATAATTTTTGTTTTTTAATTAATGACTCAGTTCTGAACAAAATTGTGCTTGTATTTCCCTCAGTGATAGGTCAGCATGTGGGTATCCGATGTATGGTCTGTAACAGGGATATTGTTGGCATACGCTACATGTGTGGGTGAGTCATAACCTAAAAATAACATAAACTTTAAGGACTGTGGTTTTGTAGGTATATTTGTACTCATGGGACCGGCTCGGCCTAGCAGTAGAGTGCTAGACTGTTAACCGGAAAGTCTTGAGTTCGAATCTAACTTCAAGTCTGCAGAATGTCCCTAAGTCCACCCAGCTCTGATGGGTACCTAACTCACACTAGAGGCAGCAAAGCAGCTAGGCATAGTGTTGACCACACTATCCCTTCTTATGCCGTGGTAGTTGAAACAGGTGAACTCTACTTCATCTGCACAAACGGGAAAAAAGAATATCTGTACTCAGCTATCCTCCTTTAAAGAGGTGTGGTCAGCATTATGCCCAGCTTCAATAACTACCCACCCACTTGAGCTTGCAAGTCAACTACATTAACAGTCAAATGTATAAGTTCAGCATTAAAAGTTAATTTATGTAAGATACAAGACTTTACACATGAGATTGAACAGTTGTTACATGAGCTGTTTTAATTTTTTGCACCCAGTAATTGTGATGACTCGACCACACCGACCCCTGCTTGGGAGTCAATTACGTTAACAATCAAATGTATAAGTTCAGCATTAAAAGTTAATTTATGTAAGATACAAGACTTTACACATGAGATTGAACAGTTGTTACATGAGCTGTTTTAATTTTTTGCACCCAGTAATTGTGATGACTATGACCTGTGTGAAACGTGTGAGGACACAGCCAACACGCACGACCCAACACACGTTTTCCTGAAGTTGAGGTACCCCTCTGCTGGTGCTGGATTTGTTGGGGATCAAAAGTTCCCACTGCTCAGGGAAAATGTTTACCTGCAGGATAAAGTCATAATGGAGGCTACAAGAGGGAAAGATTTTGAAAAGTGAGTTTGTTTTTTCTATATCCTCTTAATTTGATTTATTTAAGTCAGAAACTCGTTTTTTTAGTTTTACAATTATTGTTAGAACATTTTTAATATAACTTAATTGTGTTCCTTAGTCATAATCATCATGGCTAAAGGCAGAAAAATTGCTATCCAAAATTTTTCAAATATATTGGAAAGATTAATACAACTTTTAAAGTGTTTTATTATTATTTAACTTTTCCTTTCATTTGTTTTAAAACTTTTTTGTGTGCTTCTGTGACTGCTTTTAGGGCCTAAAAAGCTACTTGTACCTGTGCCATAAGCCTGTACTTAAACAGAAATAAAACCTTGATATGATACCATGTTGCCTCTATTCCCTCCCACTGACAAATTTGTTTTTCATCACCCCAGGGTAGAGGAGAGCCAGAACACAGACAGTAGAATAAAAATCTCAGAGAAAGTTGTGCTGGAACAAACAGAAATACAAGAGCTCAGCACAAGACAAATTGAGCCCAATACTCACCAAGGATTTATGGTCCAGGTCAGTCACCACTCTTTACTTTTATAAGTATCAAGGTAAAAATTGAGCCAAATACACACCAAGAATTTATGGTCCATGTCAGTCAAAATCCAAATTTTTCAAAAAATGTATGGAAAAAGTTAACACCACAACTCTAGATAACAATTTCTAAAGTAATATATTTTATAAAGTAATATTTCAATATTTCCAGTACATTGTAAAACATTTTTTGTTTACTAGACACCATACAAAAAACAAGCAACCTCATTATATTTTTGTGTTTAACCAGACACCATCTTGTAACTACTTTGACCTGGAGATGAACCATGGCATACACCCGGATGAAGACAGACTAGCCCACTACATGAGAAACTCAGAGGAGACAACCCCAGACCATGGCATACACCCTGATGAAGTCAGACTAGCTCACTACATGAGAAACACAGAGGAAACAACTGGAGACCTGGATAGAGTAGAGCATCACATAGAGAGAAAAGTGGACACCATTCCCATGGTGCATTTGTTTGCAGCCACACCAGTTGCAGCTGGCAATACTGAAGGTAAAATGTTAAGATTTTTTTTACCGATGATATGGGCAGTAAAAAAATATTACTACAACCCCGAAACAAATAATGTTGCAGTGAAAGAGCTAGTCTAGCAGTAATATTTCAAAGTTGTTTTTTTTAAAGTTTGCATTACTGAACAATTAATTACAATAAACTAGGCCCTATATATTAACTATTACAGAAAAAAATTACTGAAAAATTAATTACAATAAACCATATATTAACTATTACCAGCTTTGATGTTCTGCTGCCCTCAATACTATGAGTTTTAGACTTGGAACTAATGCACTATTACTACCAGCTCTAAGACTTTAAACTACTGCCCTCTCAGTAAACAAAGATTAGACTAAAAACTGTTTATGTCATCAATTATATGAAGAGTCTCCACAGAATACTTACTGAACAACTAATAACCATAAACTCTATGTTATAGTTAATCATTATAAAACTTTGATGCACTCCCCCCTCAATATCAAATGATCTCATCAAACAGATGTGAGTGCTGACCCAACAAGCCCATTTTATACAGAACACTTAATGAACAACTAATAACCATAAACTCTATGTTATTGTTAACATTATAAAACTTTGCTATACTCCCCCCCTCAATATCAAATGATCTCATCAAACAGATGTGAGTGCTGACCCAACAAGCCCAGTCTCCACAGACTCCAGCAGTAGCATCATCTCCTTGTCCCACCCTCACCAGTCAGCTGGTCTTCTAGCTGCAGCCATGCCACTCAGGAGGAGAGATGAGGAGGTCAATGTTAATGGGGACAGGGAGCCACAGGCCTGTAAGTTTATTAATTACCTCGTTAGTTGAATGTTTAATGGGGACAGTGAGCCACAGGCCTGTAAGTTTATTAATTACCTCGTTATAGTTTAATGGGGACAGGGAGCCACAGGCCTGTAAGTTTATTAATTACCTCGTTATAGTTCAATGTTAATGGGGACAGGGAGCTACAGGCCTGTAAGTTTATTAATTACCTCGTTATAGTTCAGTGTTTAATGGGTACAGTGAGCCACAGGCCTGTAAGTTTATTAATTACCTCGTTATAGTTTAATGGGTACAGTGAGCCACAGGCCTGTAAGTTTTTTAATTACCTCGTTATAGTTCAATGTTAATGGGGACAGGGAGCTACAGGCCTGTAAGTTTATTAATTACCTCGTTATAGTTCAATGCTTAATGGGGACAGTGAGCCACAGGCCTGTAAGTTTATTAATTACCTCGTTATAGTTCAATGCTTAATGGGGACAGGGAGCCACAGGCCTGTAAGTTTATTAATTACTCGTTATAGTTCAATGTTTAATGGGCAGGGAGTCACAAGGAATACCAAACCTAAGTACATCACTGAAGGAGTATTCGCCCCCAATGCAGGGACCCGCACGTGTTTAGTTTTGTTCTGTTCCCAAGTTGGTACATTTAAAAAAAATTCACTGTGGTGGAGCACGAGTATGCCGCTAGTTTATTTATACCCGTGGTCACTACTGTGGATTCTGTTTTAAAATTTATATTTCGTTTGACTGAATCCCTTGACATTTATTGCCACCAGTTGACGAGGACCTGGACAGCATGCCACAACTTGTTCCGTTTCGCCGCCCCCAGTCCCCCAACCAGCCCATTTTCTTTGAGATGGACGAGGAGGACAGCTCCTTCCAAGAATGGGACTCAGACAGCAGTGAGGACTTCTGTATCATAGACCCCGCCCCAGTATGTAGGGATGACTATGAGGCCATTACTGATGTAAGTATGACACACATGTAGTACTGCTGTGTAGTTGGGGCTTGGTGTTTCATGATGATCTGCTCAGTGATTGACTAGACATGAAAAAAATTGTGTACAAAATTCACCCCTGACACTGTTACACTGTTTAGGGCTTGAATATCTCAAAATAGTTTATAAACCCATTCATGTCAACCCCCATATAATCACAATGGCTTGCAATCTTTGGCTTGTTCCCTCATGCCTAAAAATGATTACAATGTGGTAGATAACATGATATTTTGAGCTACATAATTAAGTAAACTAAACTAAATAGCATTCATTAATTAAAACTGATAAATGTTACTATTACAAAATAGAAACATGACTTTTGAAAGCTTCTTATATTGGTGTTAATGAACATTAGTTGGATGTTGAATACCAAAGTTTTAAAAACAAAAGAAAAAAAATTGAAATCATTGAAACATATTTTAGTTAATTTAAATGAAAAATATAATGAATGTAAATATTGTTTTTGAGTGATAATATAAGCAACATTTTAGAAGAAAAAAAAATCAATAATTTAGTTTCATTAATTGATATCAAAATTAAAGTCTATTTATACTTAATATAGGATGATGGAGAGGAACAAGTTGAAGGTCCATTTCAAGTTGAAGGTACTTGCCAAGTTGAAGGTCCTTGCCAAATTGAAGGGCTAAACCTAGTTAAAGAACCGTGCCAAATAGCAGGCCCATGCCAAGCTAAACAACCTTACCACATTATAGAGAGACCCTGGAGAGTTGAGGGACCTTGCCAAGTTATAGGACCCTGTCAAGCTCTTGAGAACCCCTGTCAGGATCAGCCACAAGAACTTGTACAAAACAACTCTAGCACTGTCGACATTGATGCTGCAACACCAGTTACTGATGCCCCAGCTCCAGTCAGTGATGCCCCAGCTCCAGTCAGCGATGCCCCAGCTCCAGTCAGTGATGCCCCAGCTCCAGTCAGCGATGCCCCAGCTCCAGTCAGTGATGCCCCAGCTCCAGTCAGTGATGCCCCTGCTCCAGTCAGTGATGCCCCTGCAGCTGTCAGTGCTGCCCCACCTGCCAGTTTTGACCAGGTTGAGGATGTTAAGACAGGCGAGGCTGTCACCCCTGTAGCGGACAGCCCTGTGGATGTTCATGTGCAGCAGGAGGAGAGAGAGGAGCCGGTGGAGGTGGAGGTGAAACAGGTGTATAAAGCCACCATACAGGAGGACGAGTTGGTGCACAAGATGAACGACGAGGAGAAGTCCAGGTGAGTGTTTGCACAGGTTCACCTCGGTATCTTCTAAGCCAGTTCACCTGTATCACCTGTATACAAGTTTGTATAAAGAGTACTGTTTTTTCCCCATTGTTTTGAAGAGAGAATAGATTGCATTGAGATTTTTTCTGTTTGCATTGGGATTTGTTTTGTTATAAATTGAGGTTTTTGAATACTTTACTTATTCTTAAGCCTTACTAAATCTCTCAGCTCAGATGGGTACCTGACTCATGTTAGGGAAGGTAAAGGCGGCTGGGCATAGTGCTGACTACACTATGCCTTCATATGCCGAGATCACAGAAACAGGTGAATTCTACTTCACTTGCCCCATAGACCATCAACTTCAAAAGGAAACTGAATAGCTGCTTCATATAAAACTTGTTGGTAGCTATACCTAAAATATGTACTACATAGCACCAAAAGATAACCGATGCTGTTATAAAAGTGTAAACAAGAATGAATTAAATCTTCAGGTTTGAGCAACTCCTCCGAGCAGAAATGGATAAAGAGTTTGAAGAAGAATTAAAGAAAAGGGCCAAAGATCTGGAGAGAGCATTGCAAGCTCAGAAAGAAGAAGAGTTCCGGTACATCCTGGAAGCTAAAGAAAGGGCGGCCGCCATAGAGAACGAGAGGCTGGAACTGGCAGCCAAGCGTAAAGAGCTGGATGACCAGCATGCACTTCTGGTCAGACAGGCGTCGTCTGTCAGCAGCTCCTTACTGGGGGAGAACTCACTCACATCCTCTGACAGCTACACTGTGGGCAAACGTGACGCTAATTGCCAGACGTAAGTTGGTCTACAGCTCACTTATTATAGCCCTTATTTGTAAAGAAAGTAAGAAGTTCCCTTTTCAAACCTGACGGTTTATAGGGCAAGTGAAGTAGAGTTCACTTGTTTCTGTGACCTCGGCATATGAAGAGTTAGTGTGGTCAGCACTATGCCCAGCCGCCTTTACTTTCCTTAACTTGAGTTGTAAAGGTTTAATTTTTATTTTCACTTATTATATAACTATAACCCTTACTTGTAGGTGTTTCACTACATTTCACCTATTATAACCCTTACCTGTAGTAGCCTTAGATTTCTAAACAGACTGCTGTTGAAGTTGGTAAATTGCATGTTGGTCTACATTTCACTTATTATAACCCTTACTTGAAGGGGTGTCACAGTAGTAGCTTTAGTTTTCTGAAAGAACTTCAGTTTAAGATGATAAAATGCAGGTTATTATATTTTTAATTTTTATTATGATTAAACTATGAAATTTCCTATTATAAAATGAGATAAAACAAGCATTGGTAACTAAAGGCATTTGGATTATGTATAGAATTGTACTTGTATTGAATCATTAGATTTACTTACTTATTATTTTTCATCAGATGATAGTTCTGATGAACTGTTTGATTTATTAAGTTCACTCTAGACAAATGTATTGCACTTTTGTGAAATCCTGTCCATAACACCACCTCTATCATCCATTGATTTACTGTTAGTTGACAAATGTATTGATTGTGTTGTGCCTGTTTGTCTCAGAAACCCAGAACCTTTCCATAACACCAGCCCTATCATCCATTGATTTACTGTTAGTTGACAAATGTATTGATTGTGTTGTACCTGTTTGTCTCAGAAACCCAGAACCTTTCCATAACACCAGCCCTATCATCCATTGATTTACTGTTAGTTGACAAATGTATTGATTGTGTTGTACCTGTTTGTCTCAGAAACCCAGAACCTTTCCATAACACCAGCCCTATCATCCATTGATTTACTGTTAGTTGACAAATGTATTGATTGTGTTGTGCCTGTTTGTCTCAGAAACCCAGAACCTTTCCATAACACCAGCCCTATCATCCATTGATTTACTGTTAGTTGACAAATGTATTGATTGTGTTGTACCTGTTTGTCTCAGAAACCCAGAACCTTTCCATAATACCAGCCCTATCATCCATTGATTTACTGTTAGTTGACAAATGTATTGATTGTGTTGTGCCTGTTTGTCTCAGAAACCCAGAACCTTTCCATAACACCAGCCCTATCATCCATTGATTTACTGTTAGTTGACAAATGTATTGATTGTGTTGTACCTGTTTGTCTCAGAAACCCAGAACCTTTCCATAACACCAGCCCTATCATCCATTGATTTACTGTTAGTTGACAAATGTATTGATTGTGTTGTGCCTGTTTGTCTCAGAAACCCAGAACCTTTCCATAACACCAGCCCTATCATCCATTGATTTACTGTTAGTTGACAAATGTATTGATTGTGTTGTGCCTGTTTGTCTCAGAAACCCAGAACCTTTCCATAACACCAGCCCTATCATCCATTGATTTACTGTTAGTTGACAAATGTATTGATTGTGTTGTACCTGTTTGTCTCAGAAACCCAGAACCTTTCCATAACACCAGCCCTATCATCCATTGATTTACTGTTAGTTGACAAATGTATTGATTGTGTTGTACCTGTTTGTCTCAGAAACCCAGAACCTTTCCATAACACCAGCCCTATCATCCATTGATTTACTGTTAGTTGACAAATGTATTGATTGTGTTGTGCCTGTTTGTCTCAGAAACCCAGAACCTTTCCATAACACCAGCCCTATCATCCATTGATTTACTGTTAGTTGACAAATGTATTGATTGTGTTGTACCTGTTTGTCTCAGAAACCCAGAACCTTTCCATAATACCAGCCCTATCATCCATTGATTTACTGTTAGTTGACAAATGTATTGATTGTGTTGTGCCTGTTTGTCTCAGAAACCCAGAACCTTTCCATAACACCAGCCCTATCATCCATTGATTTACTGTTAGTTGACAAATGTATTGATTGTGTTGTGCCTGTTTGTCTCAGAAACCCAGAACCTTTCCATAACACCAGCCCTATCATCCATTGATTTACTGTTAGTTGACAAATGTATTGATTGTGTTGTGCCTGTTTGTCTCAGAAACCCAGAACCTTTCCATAACACCAGCCCTATCATCCATTGATTTACTGTTAGTTGACAAATGTATTGATTGTGTTGTGCCTGTTTGTCTCAGAAACCCAGAACCTTTCCATAACACCAGCCCTATCATCCATTGATTTACTGTTAGTTGACAAATGTATTGATTGTGTTGTGCCTGTTTGTCTCAGAAACCCAGAACCTTTCCATAACACCAGCCCTATCATCCATTGATTTACTGTTAGTTGACAAATGTATTGATTGTGTTGTGCCTGTTTGTCTCAGAAACCCAGAACCTTTCCATAACACCAGCCCTATCATCCATTGATTTACTGTTAGTTGACAAATGTATTGATTGTGTTGTACCTGTTTGTCTCAGAAACCCAGAACCTTTCCATAATACCAGCCCTATCATCCATTGATTTACTGTTAGTTGACAAATGTATTGATTGTGTTGTGCCTGTTTGTCTCAGAAACCCAGAACCTTTCCATAACACCAGCCCTATCATCCATTGATTTACTGTTAGTTGACAAATGTATTGATTGTGTTGTGCCTGTTTGTCTCAGAAACCCAGAACCTTTCCATAACACCAGCCCTATCATCCATTGATTTACTGTTAGTTGACAAATGTATTGATTGTGTTGTGCCTGTTTGTCTCAGAAACCCAGAACCTTTCCATAACACCAGCCCTATCATCCATTGATTTACTGTTAGTTGACAAATGTATTGATTGTGTTGTGCCTGTTTGTCTCAGAAACCCAGAACCTTTCCATAACACCAGCCCTATCATCCATTGATTTACTGTTAGTTGACAAATGTATTGATTGTGTTGTGCCTGTTTGTCTCAGAAACCCAGAACCTTTCCATAACACCAGCCCTATCATCCATTGATTTACTGTTAGTTGACAAATGTATTGATTGTGTTGTGCCTGTTTGTCTCAGAAACCCAGAACCTTTCCATAACACCAGCCCTATCATCCATTGATTTACTGTTAGTTGACAAATGTATTGATTGTGTTGTACCTGTTTGTCTCAGAAACCCAGAACCTTTCCATAACACCAGCCCTATCATCCATTGATTTACTGTTAGTTGACAAATGTATTGATTGTGTTGTACCTGTTTGTCTCAGAAACCCAGAACCTTTCCATAACACCAGCCCTATCATCCATTGATTTACTGTTAGTTGACAAATGTATTGATTGTGTTGTGCCTGTTTGTCTCAGAAACCCAGAACCTTTCCATAACACCAGCCCTATCATCCATTGATTTACTGTTAGTTGACAAATGTATTGATTGTGTTGTGCCTGTTTGTCTCAGAAACCCAGAACCTTTCCATAACACCAGCCCTATCATCCATTGATTTACTGTTAGTTGACAAATGTATTGATTGTGTTGTACCTGTTTGTCTCAGAAACCCAGAACCTTTCCATAACACCAGCCCTATCATCCATTGATTTACTGTTAGTTGACAAATGTATTGATTGTGTTGTGCCTGTTTGTCTCAGAAACCCAGAACCTTTCCATAACACCAGCCCTATCATCCATTGATTTACTGTTAGTTGACAAATGTATTGATTGTGTTGTGCCTGTTTGTCTCAGAAACCCAGAACCTTTCCATAACACCAGCCCTATCATCCATTGATTTACTGTTAGTTGACAAATGTATTGATTGTGTTGTGCCTGTTTGTCTCAGAAACCCAGAACCTTTCCATAACACCAGCCCTATCATCCATTGATTTACTGTTAGTTGACAAATGTATTGATTGTGTTGTACCTGTTTGTCTCAGAAACCCAGAACCTTTCCATAACACCAGCCCTATCATCCATTGATTTACTGTTAGTTGACAAATGTATTGATTGTGTTGTACCTGTTTGTCTCAGAAACCCAGAACCTTTCCATAACACCAGCCCTATCATCCATTGATTTACTGTTAGTTGACAAATGTATTGATTGTGTTGTGCCTGTTTGTCTCAGAAACCCAGAACCTTTCCATAACACCAGCCCTATCATCCATTGATTTACTGTTAGTTGACAAATGTATTGATTGTGTTGTGCCTGTTTGTCTCAGAAACCCAGAACCTTTCCATAACACCAGCCCTATCATCCATTGATTTACTGTTAGTTGACAAATGTATTGATTGTGTTGTACCTGTTTGTCTCAGAAACCCAGAACCTTTCCATAACACCAGCCCTATCATCCATTGATTTACTGTTAGTTGACAAATGTATTGATTGTGTTGTGCCTGTTTGTCTCAGAAACCCAGAACCTTTCCATAACACCAGCCCTATCATCCATTGATTTACTGTTAGTTGACAAATGTATTGATTGTGTTGTACCTGTTTGTCTCAGAAACCCAGAACCAGTCCATGGTGCCAGCCATATCATCCAGAACGTGGCTTCAGGTGTCTCTAAAGCAGCAGCCACAGCTTATTACACAGCTAAAGATGTTTTCTACACACTGCAGGCCAAACAGGTAAGAAAATAGCTGGTGAATTGTGACACTTACTCAGTCTAAACCACCCAACTCTGATGGGTACCTAACTCACGTTAGGGAAAGTAAAGGCAGTTGGGCGTAGTGCTGACCACACTATCTCTTCATATGCCTAGGTCACAGAAACAAGTGAACTCTACTTCACTTGCCCCACAGACCATCAGGTTTGAAAGGGAAACTTTACTTTACTTTTACTCAGTCTAAAAGTATGACCAAAAAAATTTGGAATCTTGTTGAAATACTGGTGCAGCCATATAGTTTTGTATTCAGTTTTTTCTCCAGTATTGCTAATAGAGTCAAGTTATGGCCAGGGTTAGGGTGGTGATATTATTAGCATAAATATAACTAGGAAATGCCATACTAAAATTCAATATATCTTTTTAATCCCTTTACAAAATATTGGCTTACGTAATTATCATGAGCTTTCCCTGGTTTAAAAAAGTTTAAAAAAAAATTATGTTCTTAATTATCGTACTCTAGAATGAATGGAAAGGCCAGACTTCTACTTTCAAACCACCTCACTCCAACTGGACACCCCCTGAGAGTACCTGGACACACAAACCTAGCACATGGAAACCACCAAAGGATGACTACATTCCCCCCACCTCCACATGGGTGCCACCATCAAACAGCATTCCCCTGCCCTGGAGTTGCACAGAGTCAGGGGAGAGAACCGAGGAGCCGCAGGGAAACACTGATAAAAAAGACATCAAACAAAGTGAAGATGTAACCCCTGGGGGTCAGGCGACCAGCAAAAGGACGCCGGTCACCCCTCAGGAACTCATGGAGTTGACAGACTCTAGCCTCAGGCGTGAGATGCAGGGAATGCAGCGTCTGATTGAGATGGGCTTCGCCAACAGGGAAAGAAATCGCCAGCTGCTCAACAAATTTGATGGGGATTTGGAGAAGGTTGTCCAGTGTCTGCTGCAAGAGGAAGGGGAGGGAGATAGTGACCACTGGGCAATCCACAGGCACTAGACTGGAGATACACGGTTGGAAGGAGGGGAACATTGCGAATTAAAGAAATAAAGCACTGATTGAAGCGCCACCTAGCTTTTGGTAGTTCATTTCCAAGCTTGCTTTATTCAGACATTATTGTATTTTGTATTGGTTATTACATGCATTGAAATGATACTTTCATGACTTGATTACAATTACAAACAACTTTTTGAAAGTCAAAACAAGAAAAACATTTTTTTTTGTTGCTCCTATTTTGAATGAGAAATTTGTGGTGTGTACTTTACTACCAACCAAAAATAGTCATTAAACAAGACACTGTTGTATAGTCAAACAGAAGAAAAGACAATTTGAAGTGTTTTTAAATACCAATCTTTAACTCAGCAGTGAACTGATTCAATTTTATGTATTTATATTATTATTTCTTTACTGATTTTCATGCTATAGTATCCAAAACCTTATAAAATTTACATGCTTAATATTACTTTTACAGATATTACTTTGGAAAAAAATTGTTTGTATTCTGGAGTGTAGTGTATAGTTTGTGCATTAGTCACTAGCAAGAGCCTCTTCTGTTTTTTTTATTTATTGTGTCATTGACTTGCCTAAAACAATTTTATTTTTAATTTAGTAAAATGTTTCTATTGTTATGAACAAATGGGCACTTTTTCTTGTGGCAATATCCATCCTCTTAGCACTAAATTCACTAGAAATCTTTTTTTTAAAGTTATTTTCATTGTTTTTGAATTGTTACTCTATTTCATCCTAGAGTAGTGATACTAAAGCAACAGTTTAAATCTGGAAAATGTAATCTAAGATAATTGTTGCACCAAGCATTTTTGTCTAAAGAAGCTTCTTGTTATTTATCAATATATATTTTTGCTACTAATTAAAAAGTGCAGTTGTATTGTTTTTTTTTCTATATATATTTAATGTTAGTCTTAAAGTATCTGTTATAGTGATAAGTATTGTGTAGACAAGAGAACCATGCTGTGTATGTATCTGTGTAACACACCAAATTTGTAACTTTGTGTCACTCAAAAGGTTCCTTCCTTGCTAGCACTGGAGCTCTTCAGAAACAAAAAGTAATTTGACTGTGATTCAAGTTGTGATGTAAACCTAGCAACATTCTGTCTGACTCAAGTGTCTCTCAGCTACTATTGGAACTCATCATAAAAAGAAATAATTTTATTGTAGTTCAAGTTGTAAAATACCAGCTTATAGGTAACATCAGCTGCAGAATTACGCATTATTTAGATAAATACAGCTGTAAATAGCTCATTGTCTTTCAAGTCAATAATTTTTTTCAATTTATTTTATATTTGGTTGTTTATAAAATATGAGAAAAAAAGTATTTTCTCATTAATTTGAAATAAAACTTGAAAAATTGAATGCAGTGATAAAACATTTTATTATCAGCTTATAAATTTACAAGTTTTAATAATTAACACTTTTTGCACAAATATTTTTTTGAAAAAGTTTGTGTTTTTTTTCAGTGTAAACATTTTGTTTTTATTGTTTACATTTAAACTTAAACCCACTTTTGTTTTCTCGAGATTTTTGTTCTTCAAGTCGCTTCACTATTTATGTGGTAACGGGTTGCAGTTTTTGTGTCCCTTTTTGTGCTTGTTGCAGAAACAGATTTTCATGTTGGTGTTATTGGGAAGTCATAGTGGTCAAATAAATCAGGCAACAAAAACAGAACAGTTCAATTTGAGTTTAGTTTCAAAATTAAGATCATTAGATTGTTTATGATAGATTTATTGAAGTTAGGTTAAAACAAATGTGCACCTGTTTTCAAGCTGCTCTGACCCATACAATTATGTTGTCAGGGTGGAAAATTTCTTTATTACACCTAGATCCTGATCTTTTATCTCCCCTACAATAATGCATATTGCTTTGATTTATTGTGTTGGCAAAGCCATGATAATGTACATTTCTGGTTCTCGTATGGTCAAATAAAATTTCAGTTTAATCAGTTTCTTGTTTCTTTTTTACATCTATTGTTTGCCTAATGGGGACGGCGTGGTCAGATGGCTGAGTACACCGACTGCTAATCCACAAGTTAAGTCTGTAGAACATACATGTGTAAACCCATCTCTAATGGCATGCTTTTTATACTCAACATGTTTAACAATAGTATAACAGACAAGTGTTGATAGAGAAAAAAAACCAATTGAATAAAATATTTTATTACATTTGAATGGTGAATGGAATAAACCATGCCATATTTTCAATCAATGCAATTAATACTTGAATCGAAAACTTAGCTTTAACTCACTAACATTCAATTCCATCTTAAACAGTTGTATATAGAACGTAAGTATAAAAGTAAGTAAATCTCAACAGTACATTAATAAGAATGTTACAAAGCCCCTGGTAAAGAGAGTTACATAGTATAACTTACATATTCTTCAGTTAAGACATTTTAATACAATATAAGTTGAAATCAATTTTAATCTAAGTAGTGGTTCTTAACCTGGGTTCGATCGATCCCCAGGGATTCGATGAGTCAGTTTCAGATTTTTGGCGGAGGTCAAGACACACACCCAACTCACGATTCACAACGATAAAACTATTAAGAAGGGTTCAGTGAATGTGCATACGAAACGTGGGGTTTGGTTCCTCCAAAAAAGTTAAGAACCACTCATCTAAATGTAATAATTTAATTACATAAAAACAAATTCACCATAACATAAAATGCACTATAATTTGGTTATGCAATAAGGCATATATAATTTTATAACTGTGGAGATGTGTTTGCTAGTTTTGTTAACCCATATAATGCTGATTATGTCACCAATACATGGTTGTGTAAGAGTACATTAATTTATTTACAGAGTATAATACACAAGTAGATACATGTAAACAAACCTTAAAAGTAAGGCACAATCTTTTATAGTAAAAATGTGGTATTGAAAGAGAAACGCCAAATCTGGGCTGATCAATGTAAAAATCCTTTAGGTATAAAGGGATGGATTAAGTAGGTGGAGTGAATTACATTACTGAAGCCATGACATACTTCCTGGTATTTTCTACAGAAGAGCTGAATAGGCTAGAGGTTGAACTGAACATCTAAGTAAATCTTGACGTGTCAAGCATTTTAAACTTGACACTTGCTAGGGTCCGAGAATTAAAAGACAACATTTGCAATAAAAATATATAGTGACAGAAACTGATCAACTACTTTCAGAATACTGCCTAGCTAAAGGATTCAGTAACTTCGTTGCCTGATCGGGTATTGGATATAAATGTAACTCAACAGAGTTATACAAAGTAGGACAGAGATTTGGAATTTCTAGTACAAAATGAGTCAAAAGCCTTACAAAAACAGTCAACAGCAAAACAAAAGCTGTTGGAATGATATGTGCCCAGATGAGGACAGATGCCATAAACAAGCCTGCGCAAGAAGTGGGAATGCTGCCCTAGGTCGTGACTTCACTAAAGAAAAACTTGAATGAGCTGCCACTGCTCAATATTGCCAACTCATTATGCATGTTCTAGACACTAAGGATTTAACATAGATTTTAAGACAAAAATTGCATGCATAAATTCAAAGATTCCTAGAAAAAGCACAAACTGCAAGCAGAAAATGTGCAAATACAAGCTAATTACACTAATTTTTCATATTTCATGTTAAACATTTTTATTATGCTACAATTTACAGGTGGTTATTCTTTCATAATGTTAATAATGCTTGATTTTTTTTAAAAATTGCACTTTTTTCCGGTCACCAAATTCAAAGCAGAAAAATATGTTAACTTGTTAAATTTATTTTGATTTGTGCTCATGCATTCTTTCACATAGCTTTAATTTATATGCAGGTTTAAATTTTTTTAATAAGATAGTATTTAAATTTTTTTTTTAAAACTGCAAATATTTTATAGTGTGTCAATGGTCAAGGATAATGAAAGAGCACAGAGTTAAATTGTTTACTTTAAACAATCATAATATTCATTAAGAAATCCAATAAACCTAATTTCTATGCGTGTATATAAGAGTCCATTGGATATATTTTAATTAAAAAAAAACTGCTTACAACAAAACAGCAGAAGGTATTGACATAAATTTTCATTTACAGTTAACTACAAAATTCTTTTATTTTATTTTATCAAACCATAATTTCACCAGTTTCATGCAAACGAAAGGAAAAAATTAAAAAGTACTTTTGAAGTAAAAAATGATATGTAAAGAACTAAAGCATGCAAACCAAAAAAGTTTAACGGTAAATTTTTAAAAATGCTGTTCATTATTTACAAGCAAGTTATTAAAAACAGTTCTGTGGAAGACTCTTAAGTTCTAAAGAATATTTATTTAAAAAATGTATAAAAATGGAAAAGTACCTTGAGAATTATGTCTGTGTAAGTAACAGTAGTAAAAATTCATACACTTGAAATAAGGTTCACTGTAAATTATTCATTAAGCCATATTTCAAAATTGAAAAAAAAAAAAAAAAAAAAAACAAGCACAAACTTTTCATAAACTATTTTTAAAATAATTAACCAGGATGACTAAAGAGGAACTGAACCAAACCACAGCAAATCACTATTGTAAATAATTGCAGTACAAAAAAAAATGTATTTACATTATCACCCCGAACTGTTCAGACTTGTCCAATGTTCTGAACTTTTGACATAGATTAATCACGTACCGGGCAGTCGTGTAAAACATGACTTACAATATTGCCTCTCAAAATCAAAAGAGATTCATGTTTTTTAACTCAATTCAATAACTTGATATTAACATTGTATTAAATTTGTTGAAAATGAATAGTTAAAATTAATATTAAGTTAAATTTTAAAAATTTGAAATATTTTCACCTTTCAAACAATGATTTCTTGTGTACAAAGAAGATAAAATTTCATCCTGAAATTTATAATAACTAAACCAAAATTGCATGAATTATTTTGTTAAAAAAAAAGTAAACAAAAAATGTTATCAAATTAATAGTTATACAATATAGTAAAACCAATTTCCTATGAGGTTGCCTTATAATAATGAAACAATTAATTTACAAAATAGAAAGCCTATTTGAATATTGAACCCCTTAAAAATCACTCACACAATTTTAAATTATTTGAGTCAGATACTTTTCTTATTATATTATTTTTAAACTGTGATTTGTAAGCAATAGAAAAACATATTTTAATTTAATTTATTAACACTCATTAAATTACGAATTTAGTAACCGTTCAAACATAAAAATATCTCTTTAAAACAAATTTAAGCCATAAGTGTTTTAATAAAGCTGACTCACAGTATGTAAGCTGTAAAAAGTTAATAACTCCTAATGACCAGGTTAAAATTACCCTTAATCGAGAGAAAATTAATGAAACATTACACAACATCGTTTTCACTCTTTGCAATGCGACCTCCCATCAAGTGTGCCATTGCTGCCAATCCCATCAGCGCTACGGCCACAATGTCCAAGGCAAACCCCCAGCTTAGGTTCACCTGGTCTTTGAAATACTGGACCATCACCTGGGGGACGTGGTCAGCGCTCAGAGAAACAGGCAGCATCAGGCTGTCCTTGTAGTTGGCTGCCACTATTAGGTCCCCAACTAGTATGAAGAAACCTGTGAAGTTTAATATAACAAGATTTGAAAACAGTTACCAGATAATGAATTCCATTTTGAAGAACATAAAAAATTTGTTGTTAACCACTTGTTGCTTGAGAATAAGATGTATATGGTTAAAAAAAAAACAGCCGTATTGACAGTGTTAAACACCAAAGGTAGACAGAAGAACATATAGTCCTAGAAAAGACAGCAGTTTTAGCCATACAGGTATTTCAAGGGCTATATTATTCTGTATATTTGTCTACCCTTTGTCAATATTGCTATTTTCAGTAATAACACCTGCTTTCACCCATATACACAAAATAAACAGCTGTAAATAATTTAATTTTTTAAGGTCTGACAGAAATTTGTTTGAAGAAATTAGACATAACATATTTGGATATGATTATCATAACATCACATCATGCAGATGAAAACAAAGCAGGCCAACTTCATGAAAATATATCAACATTGACAAAAACTAGGAGGACACACTGAGACCAGCTTTCTCACATTCAAAAACAAGCGACGGGGAAAGGATTTACCTGCAAAGAAACATCCCCCAGAAATAAAGAGGTGAATCAAGCGCAACCTATCTCCGCGGCTTCTTGAAACCACATTCACTATTGCAATGATGATAGTGACAAATGCTAATATGATTCCAATAATGGCCATGGCTTGGCTTGACCTTAACCATGCTTTGTAAAACAAAAAATTAATGATCAACTAAACATGACAAATAGATTAAAAAAATCCATAATTGTATTTGCTTCATAATTTTTGTTTCTTTTGTTCAATATGAAAAAAAGGCATTTAATGTGTATTTTTATTAAAAATAATAATCTTTGCTTTTAATTTATGAACTAGCTAATAATATAAACTGTTCATCATCATCCTTTCCTGTTTGTGCCCCAGACACTTGAGCAGATGAAGTAGAGTTCATCTCTTTCAATACAAGGGGATAATGTGGTCAGCACTATGCCCAGCCACCTTTGTATCCCTAACGTGAGTTAGATGCCCATCAAAGCTAGGTGGACTCAGGGACATTCTACTGATTTGGACCCGGATTCGAACTCAAGACTTGCGGGTTAGCAGTCCAGCTCTCTATGCCAGATTTTGCCATCCCCTAAACTGTTTATATAAATCTATATATCTTATATTTGTTTATATGAATCTGGCATAAACAGTATTTTTAAAAGTTAAAATTGTAGGTTTAAATTTATCAGTTTTAAACACAGGGTAAACAAAACTTTGGATATCTAGGGTATTGTCATGAAGCCATTATTTTCCTGCTATTGCTTGCTTAATCCTTACCACAACCCTTAAATGTAATACTGACAGCAAAATATTTTTAAAAATATTTTACAGTCTTTTTTAAGTAGCACTATATTATTAAATTTAGATACCTTCAGACTCAACTCCAACTGGAACGTTTTTGTCATGAATATCAGCCCATGTCTTACAAATAACGCCACTTTTTCCTGAAATGCAGATCTCCCAAAGACCAAAGTTGATATCAGTATCAATAGAATCTAATTCTAGAATGAAAAATGTTAATAAGTTACATATTAATGGCTAACATAAGAAAAAAAAAATAGGAAAAAATATTTCAAAATGACAGTGTAGTGTAGCAGAAGAATGCACACTTGCTAACAATACAAACATGAAAGTCATGATTTCAGGACCCAAGGTTAGAAATCATAGGACATTCTGTCAACCTAAGAATGTGGTACCATGCATTGAGGAGGGAGTAAAGTCTGAAGGAAAACCACAGCAGCTGGTGACTTGAGTCAGAAGATACTCCATTCTTCATCTAGTTACTATCTGCTTAAAATTGCGAGCAATGCTTCTGCCATCTAGTGCTTGTGTACCCTGACGACCCCCAGAGCTATACCAGTGGGAGTGTAAACTCCATGACCCCCAGAGCTATACCAGTGGGAGTGTAAACTCCATGACCCCCAGAGCTATACCAGCGGGAGTGTAAACTCCATGACCCCCAGAGCTATACCAGTGGGAGTGTAAACTCCATGACCCCCCCAGGGCTATACCAGTGGGAGTGTAAACTCCATGACCCCCAGAGCTATACCAGTGGGAGTGTAAACTCCATGACCCCCCAGAGCTATACCAGCGGGAGTGTAAACTCCATGACCCCCCAGAGCTATACCAGTGGGAGTGTAAACTCCATGACCCCCCCCCCCCAGAGCTATACCAGTGGGAGTGTAAACTCTTGGCATGACCCCCAGAGCTATACCAGCGGGAGTGTAAACTCCATGACCCCCAGAGCTATACCAGTGGGAGTGTAAACTCCATGACCCCCCCCCAGAGCTATACCAGTGGGAGTGTAAACTCCATGACCCCCCAGAGCTATACCAGCGGGAGTGTAAACTCCAAGACCCCCCCAGGGCTATACCAGTGGGAGTGTAAACTCCATGACCCCCCAGAGCTATACCAGTGGGAGTGTAAACTCTTGGCATGACCCCCCAGCCAGTGGGAGTGTAAACTCCATGACCCCCCAGGGCTATACCAGTGGGAGTGTAAACTCCATGACCCCCAGAGCTATACCAGTGGGAGTGTAAACTCTTGGCATGACCCCCCAGCCAGTGGGAGTGTAAACTCCATGACCCCCCAGGGCTATACCAGTGGGAGTGTAAACTCCATGACCCCCAGAGCTATACCAGTGGGAGTGTAAACTCCATGACCCCCAGAGCTATACCAGTGGGAGTGTAAATTCCTGGCAGGTTCAACCAAGCTGGGAAGATCTGCACGAGTAGGGGTCAGACGAAAGCTAGCACCCTGGTCCTCCAGGTTGGGGTTGAACATGAGGCCAGCAACCTTATATCGTAAAAAAATAACTCGCTACAGAAACCCTGACAGTTGACTATGGCCTGGGAGAAGGGGGATCTCTCAATGGAGAATTTATGAAACCGGGTGGTGAAAGCAAAGATATAGATTATGAAGATTGGATACACAGAGTCGATTGATGAGACAAGCCCAGGACAGAGATGCCTGGAAAGCTCTTGTCAGTGGCCTATGTCACAGGAGGGGCGACAGGCTAACCTAACCTATGAGCACTGCTTAAGCAGCATAAGAGAGAGAGCGTTGCTGACAAAACATAAAAACCTAGACAGAAGCCATTATTTTAAAGATAAGCTTGAGGAAAGTTGCAGTGGGCTTGTAATAAAGGGATATTTTAAATGTCTTAATGGTAAACCAAACTAAGAAACAAAAATATTTTGTGTAAGCTGAGTTAAAGGATCAACTACTTACTGAAACCTTTCTCTCCCTGAGCCAGCTTCTCAAAGTCAAGGCTGTCTGTTGAGTTTGGCATGCTTTTGATCAGCTGCGAAACTTTGGCACCAAAGTGACCTAAGTCAATCTCTGAATAGTGCGGGGTCACCAGGCACACAATGTGCAGCGCCAGAGCAAAAACAATCAAAGTGGTTCCTACCAGGTTGAACATCATCGCTTGGCTCATGTGAGGTGGCATTTTGATCCCCGGTCTTGTACAACCTCTCAGAGTCAAATGAATCTCACGGCTATCAAACAGTCATAGAAAAGAAATTATTTCAAAATTGGTTTATTTCATGTGAAAGTTGTTGTTTCAGTAAGGTTTAAACAAAAAAAAGTAGTAATAAGGATATGGAGTGTTAGTATTAACCTCACTAATGGTATTAAATGAGTTGGACTCTTGAAGCAGAATTGTTAACTACGTGATTATGAAAATTTGATTCCATGTGTTCAATGTTATCAATGTGATTATGAAAACTTTATTTCATGTGTTTTTTTAAGTCACTTTTGTACACATTTGATGCATTTGTTGGGTAAATAGTGAGAGACACAATTACCAATACATTTTTGGAGTTGGGTTGGTTTTTTTAAAGTGCAAAAATGAAAATTCTAGATCACTAGTGTTATTTTTTTTTGCAGCCTAACTCTAATCCAACCCAATTCTTAATCCTAACCCTACGCCTAACCATAACCATATGCCTAACCCTAACTCAAAGGTGTTGTTCAAACACAATAGAATGAAGTTGATCAATCAAAATCTAAACTTAAAACATGCAAACTAAATAGTGTTTGAAGTCTGCATCTGCACAATAAAATTCGAGTATGGTACAATCTTCGCAGACATCTTTGCATTTTAGCTCAAGTAACAGATGTGTGGGAGTAATATGCAAGACAAAAATGTCCTGTGAACTACGGTTTTCACACCAATCTAGCTTTTTACAGCCTCGTTGTTTCACATCCAATTTTCCCAAGACCCCTCCAAGCCATGATTTATTATTTGCCAAATCTAAATCTACAATCATCAATGACTTGAATTTCAAGTTAATGACCAGGTCCAGCTAGCTAAGCCTTGCTCTAGCGTAGATAAACTACAGTCTAGGTCTAGATCAGGGGTCTCCAAACTTTTCAGCCTGAGGGCCGCATTAACTATCAAATAACAGTTCGGGGGCCAGAGTTTCTTCAAGACATCTCTTCGGGGTGGCAGCGCCCCCCCCCCCCGAAAACCGTTTACCGTTCCCCCCCCCCCCCCTTAACGAAATATAATTTATTTAGGAAAATATATAAAAAAATTTGAAGTGTCGTCCCCCGTCCCCCCCCCCCCCCCCCCCCGGAGGAAAAAGTCTGAAAGAAACCCTGTCGGTGGCCAAAATCACACTCGAGGTCCAAGTTTGCTCTCAAATCGTTCTTCACGTATTTCAACCTTGAAAATATTTGTTCACATAGGTATCTTGTTCCAAAATTTGAAAGGTACTTTAAGGCAAAAGTTTTAATATTAGGAAAATCTTATAAAACTTATAAAAACCCACCCGCCCTTCTTTGAACGTGTCTCTAATGACCTCCAGCTGCAGTTCACCCCTGCAACTGGCCACATTTGCTTCAAATGGGTTCTGAAACAGTCTCACGTTTTTCTGCCTTAGAAACCAAGTCAGAAAACCATTACTGAAACTGCAACTTGAAGTCTTTGATGATCTCGTATGCAAATGACGTGAGGAACTCAGTGGTTGGTTGAGCCTAAAGACCTTGCACTCCTGAGAGTGCGTAAGTTGTTGGCTTGTACTTGTTCTAAAAACATGACAAGTTTGGATCTGAAAGCCTTTAGAAACTAAATTTCCATCTCTTGTAGTTTTAGGTTCAGAAAATTTAAATGACTAGTTATGTTTGCAGCAGAGGCCAATTTCTATACCCACTCTTCATCAGACAGTAAGTACATCAGCTTGTGGCTTGCCTTTACTTTCAAGGAAGTCACCTTTTCCTTTCTTAACGTAAATACTCTGCTCAGAAAAATTTCTCGCAAATTAGCCATCTTACTGCTGTGAAATATGGTAAATCTTTCGATTCTGTGTTTCTATCTTTTAACATGTCTTTGAACTATTTATATTTTCTCCGGTAACAGTGTCATACATTCTATGTAGGGAAGCCAGCTCTTGTATTATGTTTATGTCTTCATCCACACCTCTAATGAACATAAGCAGTTGAGATGTGGAACAGCTGTCCAGCAACTGATCCATTACAATTAAAAAATTGTCAAACTTGCTTGCATTTTCGCTATTTGAGTCACGATGTTTTCACCAATGTCTGCAACACGGCGGGCAATGGTATTTGCACTCAAAGCTACCTTTTCAAATTGTTTTGAATTTTCTGGGCATAGTCTCTCAGCCATCCCTTGACTTGACTTACTTGACTTAGTCCTCTTTGCTCCTTATGGAGCATAGGGCCTCCACCATTTCCTTTCATTTCTTCCTATCCTCGGCTATTAATTTTGACATCTCCCAAGACATCCCTATTGGCTTCAGTTCTTCAAGAAGACTCCGCCTCCAGGTCTGTCTTGGGCGCCCTCTCTTCCGTTTTCCCTGGGGGTTCCACTCAAGCGCTTGGCGTGTAACATTTGTGTGAGCCTTTCGCAGTGTGTGATCCACCCAGCGCCACTTCCTCCTTCTTATTTGCACACCTATAGGCTGCTGCCTAGCTTTCCTCCATAGTTCCAAGTTCGGCACTTTGTCCTGCCATCTCAGTTTCAGTATCTGTCTAAGGCATCTATTCATGAAGGTCTGCATCTTTGCTGTGCTTGCCTTGGAGACTCTCCATGTCTCTGCTCCATACAGCAGAACTGCCTTGACATTAGAGTTAAATCTCAGCCATCCCTAACAAACATTTATTCCTTGGACAAAAAGATCGCCGCGGGCCGGATGAGAGGACCTCGCGGGCCGCATCTGGCCTGCGGGCCGTAGTTTGGAGACCCCTGGTCTAGATAATAATAGATATAGATCTAGCTAGTAGTAGTACTAGTAATAGTACTAGGCACTAGGCTACTGTGGTACTAGATTCTAGATCTAGATCTCTTCTCTAGGTAGTCTGTAGCTACTAGATTCTAGGGTAATCTCATGATATAGCGTCGGAAATTATCTGGTAATGTTTGTTGGGTTTCGGTAACATTCGTTACTGTAAACCATAGTTTATTTGACCGTTGAAATAAAAATAAAGTCAAGTGCATTAAAATTTTCATTAAATTAATGTTTAACTTAATTTAATGTAAAATTGACAGAAAATTAGCAACAATTAATAAATCTAAATATTATTAACAAAGTCGAGTGTAGTAATTATAGTAATTAATGTTTCGAAGTGTCTACTCGGAAGAAGATTTTCTCGCCAACGTCTCCACTTAGTTGGCAAAAGATAGCTCTGCGCATGCGCAGTGACCTATGGCTAGGATTAGCGCTAGAATGAGGGTTAGGGGTAGGATTAGGGATAGGGTTAGGGATAGGATTAGGGCTAGAGTTAGGGATAGGATTAGGGATAGGATTAGGGATAGGGTTAGGGTTAAGGATAGGATTAGGGTTGGTGTTAGGGTTCTGCGGTTGTAAACACACGCATGCGCAGTACCATCGAAAACATCGCCGCGAAGGCAAGTCGTAGTTTCTCTCCATTGCTCATGCGTATCGCATGTTTATCTTATTCCGGCTAGAATCGGTCTTAATGGTTTTTTTTATTAAAGAAACACACAAAAAAAACTGCAGAAGATTTGCGACAACTAGATCTAGATTTAGTAAAATAAGACGATTAGATTTACTAAAGTTAAAAGTGGTAAGAAGAACTAGAACAATGTTGAGTTGCAGCAATAATTAGCACATACGGGCCTACATTTAAAATAATTAGAAATACAAAATAATTAGCAAAACAGTATTTAAAATGCAACTAAAATCAATCCATGCACATTTTAAAACATTATGTATTAAAAATAATATGGCGGCAAATAAATGAATGATGGTTTACAGTATTTCCAGTGGTTTCCGGAACGGCTCGACAGAGTACGTCATGGTTTTACTGTTTTTTACTGCTCTACAATTCCGGAATAATAACCAACGCTATGTCGTGATTTTACCGATTCTAGTACTAGTCTAGCTACTACTAGATCTAGATCTAGCTAGAGTCTAGGCTAGGCCGTAGGTCTTGAGTCAAACTTAGACTAGACTCACTAGAGTACTAGATTCTAGATCTAGATTCTAGACAGAGGAAAGTAAAGAGTAAAGACTAAAGTTAAAGTAAACTAAAGTTAGTAAAGATTCTAAAACTCTAACTAAAGCAAAGAGTCTCATAACAAATAAGGAGATCTAGATCTAGTGTTTTCCTAACGTTTTTGTGTGTTTCGGTTGTGTTTATAATAAAATACGCTCAACTGGAGGTGAACGTGAAGCGGGGGAATAAAATTATTAATTATTAAAATACGCTAAAAATTGAGTTTTACCGATCTAGACTTCTAGATCTAGATTTCTAGTAGTTCTGAGGATCTAGTCTAGATGTCTAGTCTTCTTGTACTATTACTCTATTAGACACTATTAGTCTAGACTCCAGTCTAGAGATACCCCTAGGCCCTAGCCCCTAACTAAATCAATCATTTTAATCTGGATCTATTTTAATTTATTTTAGTAGTTTTTGTACTCACAGTTCAACTCTCAAAGAGTAGACAACCACACAGGAAGATTCCTATAGTTAGGCGACTGTAAAACTTTTTATCTTTTATCGTTTTTTCCCTCCTGGAAAAGGTTAGAAGGTCATCCGTTAGCTTCGAACAAAAGCGGGATCAGTTGGGGAAATGCAGGTGTTTTTAATGAGGTCATAACTATAAATAGTAATTCTAGATTTTGTTATGTTATGGGGTGTTATTAAAAGTTCTGTGCGATGTCAAATTTAAGAGAAATAGATCTTCTATGTGCGTATGTTTTGACCGATTAGCCGTACCCACATATTTGTATAGATGGAATAGTGATAATGAGACTTCAACATCCGATGTAGACTACACAGTTGTGAGGGAGGTGTCAAGACAGACTGGGCCATGCTTTTACTTTAACTTACTTGGTGACCTCGATAATTTAGGTGGCCCATGGGCCACGAGTTTTTTTTTGGTTCATTTTCTTAGTTCTAGAAATTTGGGATCCCATCTTGTAACTCCATTTTGACTCATATCTTGCAGCAATTACCGATTAATTTTCCAGATACATTCACTCCATGCAGGTACAATTTAACTTAGTACAAGTTTTATATAGATCTAGGCCCCAGAGGGGCAGAACAGTCTGAAAAAGTAGAGAACAGCGGTTGAAGTTATCCCCAGTGCCGGCGCTAGGGGTCATCCAAAAATGAAGTCACGCTTTTTTTGACGATTTACCCCCCCCCCCCCCCCCTCCGTCACACATCGTCACAAAAAGCCAGACCCCCCTAAAATGACGCCGCACCTCAGCCGACAACCCCCTTCAAAATTGCAGTTGAATTTTCTTAACAACATCGATATTTTTTCCAAAAACTCTGACAACATAGAGTATTTTGATCAATTCATATTACAATTTATTAAAACAGTTTTCTAAAACGCGAAATAACGACTAAAACTAGTTTTCTAACATTGCTTTTTATAATTCAAAAGTGTGACGTCACACAATCTGAACCCTCCCCCTCTCCCCTCATCACACACCGTCACAAAATTACGGACCCCCCCCCTCCCCCCTACGAGTGTAACGTCATTTATGGATGACCCCTAGGCAAAACTTGTCAAAACGCCCTCTTTCACACAAATTGATTTTTAAAAATAGACCTATGTATAAGAAAACAATAATTTTAAAGTGACATTAATATGTCACTTTAAAATTATTAATATTAGTTGCATAAACGCAGTGGCGTCGCTAGGTTGGGTGTCACCCAGTGCGGCACTTCATGGTGTAACCCCCCCCCCCCCTCCAAGAAACAAAGTATATATTATATATATATATATACATATATATATGTCAGTGGCGTAGCGAGGTCGGGTGTCACCCCCCCCTCAAAGGCGTAGCGACCCTTCCCGGGGACAAATTTTCGATTTGCACCCCCCTCAAAGTTTCCGATTTGCACCTCCCCCCCCCCCCTCAAGTTTTCGATTTGCACCCCCCCCCCCTCAAGTTTTTCTCTATATATTTTGCTATTTTTTGCCTTGGTGTCACCCCCCCTAAATGGTGTCACCCGGTGCGGTCCGTACCCCCCGCCCCCCCCCCCCTTCGCTACGCCTCTGATATATACACATATATATATATATATATATATATATATATATATATATATATATATATATATATATATATATATATATATATGTGTGTGTGTGTGTGTGTGTGTGTGTGTCTGCTTACATAGGTGACGTCTATAATTTAAATATAAGCCGTATGCGCGTAAATGTATGTGTATACGCTTTAATCACTGTAGACTTAATAGTAACGATGTTTAGCTATAGTCAGTTAATAATGCATTTGGATGTAGCATTGTTTTCTTTATAGTTAGCACGTTTACGTCATGGTGTCATCCCCACCCGTTGTTATAATTGTCGATTTGTACTTAAAATAGTATTTAACTGTAATTAATCATTAATGGAACAGGCAAAAAGCATTTTTATTCTGTACATTTCGAATTTTTTGCCACGGTGTCACCCCCTTAAATGGTGTCACCCTGTGCGGCCCGCACCCCCCGCCCCGCCTCTGCATAAACGTTACAAGTAAACTACAAAATATAATTTTTCATGCCTTTTTTTCCCTCGTAGAAGTTCCTACTATAACTATACTATACTATAACTATAACTTAAAGTAAGACTCTAACTCCTTCAGTTATAGTGTCGAAGCGCAATCATATTCTATTAAAATTGTTGCTTAATCCACGAGTCTTCTTTGCGACATAGTTAATAGTATTATCAACCAGATACCTCTCACCAGCATGGATGTATGTAATAAGGGGTCATCCATAAATGACGTCACACTCGTAGGGGGCAGGGGGGTCAGTAATTTTGTGACGGTGTGTGATGAGGGGGGGGGGATTCAGATGTTGCGACGTCACTCTTTTGCATTATAAAAAAGCAATGTTAGAAAACGAATTTTAGACATTATTTCGCTTTTTAGATAACTGTTTTAATTAATTGTAATAGTTTAGACAAGATTTTAGAAAAATATCGATTTAAAAAAAAAATTCAACTGCAATTTTGAGGGGAGGGGGCTTTAGGTTGAGTTGTGACGTCATTTTGAGGGGGGGGGATCTGGCTTTTTGTGACGACGTGTGACGGAGGGGAGGGGGGAGGTAAAAATCGTCAAAAAAGCGTGACGTCATTTATGGATGACCCCTAACTGTTATTAATATTATGTAGGCCAATAAAGCTTTAGACTCGTCCATGAACAATGAAACGCTTTTTGGACGATTTTACCCCCCCCCCCCCCCCACTTCTATTGTCACAAAAAAAAAAAAAAAAAAAAAAAAACTCCATCACATTTCACTCTTCTTCGTCCGTACTTGTAATATTGAAAAAGATTCCCTCCGACACAATTTAGTATCTACGTATCATCTTATGACCCACTGACTCCGACTTTCTGGATTAGCTTCCGTAGCCTTTGTCCAACCAAGAACAAACTACAAGGCAACAGTTGTTTGAATTTTGAGTTTTCCCTCCTAGATGGGTTGCTGTTCCCAGCTAACGATCCTCATCTGCCCAGGGTAAAAACTCGAGATTGCTGGGGTTAGCAGTCATACGCTCCGAGCACCCCGTCCAGGGGCGGAACTACAGTGCCGCCAGACCCCGCAATGCGGGGGGGGGGGGGGGGGGCAGGCCGTTTAGGGGCCCATGGCCGACCATAATCAATTTTTTAATAGTTAAAAAAATAATTTTCTAGTAACAAAAAGATCTAATACAGTAGTGATGTTCTACAATAATAACACACGCTGTTTCGTAAAGGAAAAAAATATGTAGGCTACATGACTTGTAGTGTGAAAGATAGGCAACCGTTCAAACCACTTCCATGACTTATTTCCCTTTTTAAATAGTCAAATATGTGTGCTCTTAAGAAACTTTAAATAGATTTGCACTAAACAAATTAAAAAGCAATCACTTCTCCTATTATTTAAAAAATAAATAAAAAAGAATAACATAGTATAAAAAGGAAATGTATTACAATCTAATAATATAAATGCTAAAAAAACATAAAAATAAACATAAGGCGAGAAACCATTACACATACAAAGCTTTCATGCTTCATATTCTTTTGACCGACTTGTCAATCACTTCCTCGGCTCAATAAAACCGTAGAACTGGATGGTGACCCACTTACCAGCCATATTAAGGAAGCATTATGCCAGACATTAAAACAGAGAATTTCAAAACAGACAAATAGCACTCACACAATTGATGTGTTGTTTTAACATGTTTTAATAAAATCAAAAACTAAGATCATGCCCTTTTTTTCTAGTTCCGCCACTGACCCCGTCCCCTCTTTTTCACCCTAAAATCGGCTACCAGTGGCTTAGGCGGGGGGGGGGGGGGGGTCAACCCCCCCCCATAGACCCCTCGGTATATATATATATAAAGTATGAGGGGGGGGGGTGCAAATCGAAAGTTTGAGGGGGGGGGGGTGCAAATCGAAAGTTTGAGGGGGGGGGGGGTGGTGGTGCAAATCGAGAGTTTGTCCCCGGGTAAAAATTGGAACCCCCCCCCCTTGAAACGATCTTGGCTACGCCACTGTCGGCTACCAAACTGAATTATTTTAAAAATCTAAAAATATATTTTAATGTCCTCGGTTATCAAGTTCATTAGGTCGTTGATTCATTTTTATTGCAATCTACACAAGTAAAACTTAAATAACCGCCAATATTCTTTTTCAAAACTTACTTTTTAAAAATGCAAGTGCGATTTCATGCTTTCAATCCTTCCCCCCCCCCCCCCCCACACACACACACAATTTAAAAAACCTATAGTACTATATCATATATGGACGATCCCTTTCAATATTAATTACGTTAATCATACACAATCATTTATAACATTTTCTAAATAGCTTCTTTAACTAAAAGAAACTCATCTGAATATTAAATATTCTAATTTTTAAAAAAATAATTGGATTCACTGATGAGAAAAGCGCCCCGCCTTCCCCAGTGTTTATATAGCCGCTAGATAACGGATGTGATGTAGGAACTGTTCTGTTTCGTGTCAGGTAAAATATAACCGTTTATTTAAGCTTGGTTTCTTATTGGCCTGGATGCATGCCGTGTTTCTTCCAGACTGTTTTCTCCGGGGGGGGGGGGCACTTGATATTTTCGGGGGACGGCGGACGGGACGACACCGGACACTGGTAAAAGTATGTTTATATATATATATATATATATATATATATATATATTCCATTTCGTTCGGGGGGGGGGGGGGGGGGTAGACTCTCTTCGGAGTCCCCACTCCCCCCCCCCAGAAGAGATGCCTGGAAGAAACTCTGTATGACTGTATGCATGGGTGGACTGGCCCACTGGGATAAAACTCGGTGGGCCACCGGTAAAAAAAAAAAAAAAAAAATCACTGTGGGCTCCTTGGAGAACGGTGCTGTAATTGTTAATTCGTTTTTTAAATTTAAATAAATAAAACTTCTTGGTATTTTACCGTCCATTCCTTCTTGTCGAGGCGTAAATTATAGTCTTTGATGGGGGGTGGAGGGGGCTTCTATACTTGGTTCCCGGGCCTCTTGGACACCACCAGTAGTTCACCCCTGCTTGTATGACGCAACTACCGAGGAGGGGGTGTTCGGTTTTTGTGGCGTGTTACGGAGAGGAAGGTGTTAACATTTAATTTGTGTTTAAATATAATCTACGCTTATAATACTTAGATCTATGTAATAAAATATATCGCCTAATATTATTAGGCCTGAAGCGTAATGTTTATTTTCCATTTTTTTTCTTTGTTATTCAGGATTTGTAAAGATATAGAGTCTAAAGGCAGATCGATCGGTCCACTAATTACAGTACAATATTTACTCTTTCCAACCCGATCGTTCGAGAGTCGATACCCTTCGTGACAAAATACGTTTGCTTAATAGGGGTCATCTATAAATGACAATGACATCAGGCTTTTTTAAAAGCCCCCCCCCCGGTCACATGACGTCACAAAAAGGCTACCACCATCATAAAATGACGTCATACCTCAGCATAACCCCAATCCCCCCCCCCTTTAAAAAAAAACATCGATTTCTTTTTAAAATATTGACTGATATTGACTGAGCTAAGTCAACGTAGGGAAGGGCCTATTAGTCCATTTCTATTTTAATTTATTAAAACAGGTTTTTAGAACCAGAAATAACTAAATTTTATTTTCTAACATTTTAATTTTAAAATGCAAAAGTGTTACGTCAAAAATACTGGATAAAATTATGACCCCCTCCCCTAGGAGTGTAACATCATTTATGGACGACCCCCATATCCGTAGTCTCTACAATGTAACTGATACTACTGATAGTGATACCCCACGACAGATTTGGTTTCTTCCTTACCTTAAGTAATCTTTAGATTGTTTAGTAATTACCAACATAAGGGGGGGGGGGGGGTAGAGATTAATTCGTCAGGACTAAGATATCTGATGAAAAACAATTCTAGCCTACTGTTGTGATCATTACAAGGCAGTAGAATAATAAAAAAAAAACTAAATACATTCTAGATAAGTTCAGCTGTCCAAATAAAAGATTTTAATATGGAATCCACATTCTTCTTGTATGTAGTGGTCTGCTGTATATGCATACTGAGCTGGTTATGTGTGTTGTGCGAAATCCAATTCAATAGGATTTACATGTATGTATACAAGTATAAGGTAGCTTTAGATGTATGGTAGCAGTTTAAAATACTAGCTGATTTATGCTTATAGAATGTATTTCCTGAATGTTAATCTATTTACTGTAGAAACAAGTGCTTGAAGTTAAAAATAGCAAGTACCACTGAAATAAAGTTGTGCGATTTTACATAAATACTACTATGTCTATTTCCAACTAAGGGCCATCTTTGATTTAGACTATCCTTGTTTCAGAAATATATATTTTTTATTAGTTCAACCTGTACTACTGTTTCACAATACAAATAAGCACAAGATAATAGAAAATTGTATTACATTAATTTTAATTTGGTTCACTTCCCTATTTTTTTTTTAAAAAAGGTAAAAATTTCATTTCCAGTTTTAGTTTTCAGTATTATTTTTTCAAATATTTCACAATATACCCCATAGCATAACTTTTAATTTAAAATGTGTTTAAAATCTAACCTAAAAAAATAAATCTTCTACAAATAGTCAAATTTTGCAAAAGAACAAAACATTACATGTACATCAATGACCAACCACAAATTGAAAACATTTTGTACAGCTATTGGGTTAGACAATGATTCTTGCCTAATGATAAACAAGCACAAAAAAAATATTTTTTAAAGAATATACTAAACACAGGTTGGAAAATGTTTTTTTTAAATTGCAAGTAAAAGAATAACAGACTATTAAGAGAATTCTGGCTTTTACTACTTTAAAAACTGTATACAGTTAATAGAAATACAGAAATAACTTTAAAACTTGATATAAAACTTTTTCTTTACCAGTTTGGTTTTTTGTTTTTAAACATATTTTTGGTTTCTGAAACAGTAATTATTGTGCACCATTCATTAAATTTAACAAAATATACAGAAACAATTACAAGGCCATGGTGCAATTCTATTTTCACTAGCAAACAATTTTACATCATTTAGATTAATTTTAATTATAGAAAAATAAAAATTGATAAAAAAAAAAGTATTACAAATACATAAAAACAATCTTTTTTTTTGCCCTGATATGATAACTGGATGTACAAAGTTAGGGCAGAAATTTTTTTTATGTCAAATGTAAAGAAAATGGAAACACAAGATTGAGTTTTCAACTTAATGCTTGCGCGACCGGGCCGAAGCGTCAATCTCGTGTGACATTTCTTCTGGTCATGTGACATTTCTGGTTATCACAAACCAAAGTGATGAACAAATGTTATGTGGTGGTGGCAGATAAGTGGTACATAATTTTTTTTTTTTCATACCAAGACAAAAATAAAAATCTGTGTAGCATTATTTACAAGCTAACAAATACTGAACAATTTTTTTTATTTTATGAGAAGAAAAACTGAAATATTTTAACCTAGAAATAAATAAACCAACTTATTTACAAGTACTGGGGAAACATGTTTCAAATTTTAACATACAAGGGCAAAATGTGAAACAACAAAGCATGCTTTAGCAAAGTTATGTTTCCAAATATGCACATGGGGTATTATTGTGAAATTAGTCTTGAGACAAAAATCTAACACAGTATCTGCTGTTGAAAGTGAACTTACGCTCAAAATTAATCTTACCTGAATAAATTAAAAAATATCAGTGTTCTTGCATTAACAAAAATAAACCTTGCAGAAAAATCTTCATCAATACTGTGCTAGAGTTTAATATAGATTCAATTTTCTCACCTTAAATAACTTTTTTTTATGTTCTCATTCTTACATTGCATGTTGTTAACATTAACTCAATAGTTATTGTAAAGGTTTAAATTAAAGTAACAATGTAACTGGTAAGGAAAAAAAGGAAAGAAAAAAAAATATTTCACTCTTATTCCCTGAAAACATTTAGACAAATAATATGCAATCAAACATACCAAAAGCGCTCCTGCAAAAATTATTTTCATTCACAAATAAAAAAAAAAGGTAAATAAAAACCTCGTAGGAAATTAAGGGTAATTTCAAATGTACATTCTTTATGTTAAGATGGCCGCACATACAAGTCATAAATATGCTAAAATGGTACCAACCATGAGACAATAAAACACCAGTTAATACTCTCTAAGACTCAAAAAAACCCAGCCCTCCCCACTTTGTGTGAACAATCCTCCACCTTAAAAGAACAAATTCAAAAGTCAGAATTATTTTTTCCTTCTCAGAAAACAAAGTATTACTAAGGAAAGAAAAAAAAATGGCAGCATTATGCTTAATCTAAATAAAGAAATAATAAAAAAAAAAATCTTGTACATGAATGGAAGAGTGCTGAAAGTCAAGGGAAGCATGAGATCACCCAGTTACTCAGTACATGAATCATTATATTGAACAGTATTTCACCCCTCTTTCCAGAATTTCCAATTTCACAAAATGTGAGTGAAATAAATGTTAACCACATGTAGGACAGCACTATGATATTACTTCAACGGATTTATAGATTAATAATCAAAACTGTCAACACACTCCGCTTCTTAATTTCCTTCAGGCATTCACACTTCTACATAATCCATCTTTCATTTCTAGACAACATTATCACAATCAATTTGAAGTTTGTAAAACAATTTGTTGTTAATAAAGCAAGCAAAGAAGAGGGGCATGTTTGTGGATGAAAAGTTGGATGATGAAATAGTTTTTTTTTGTTTAATTTTTTTTATATTTACAATACAACAAGTTGGGCGAAAGTATCTGAAACCACACAAAAACAAAGAATGTTAAAATTATGTTAGTTTTGTTTTGATTAAAAAAAAAATTCTTTTGAATGATTATTAAAAATCAAGCTAACAACAATTTTAAGTTAGCATTGGTTAATTTTTAACTGTACTTCAATCATTTAAAAAAAAAAAAAACATTTAATAAGTAATAATGCTTAATACTGGTTAATAGTTTTGAATGAAATGTCCGGTAGAATTTTTTATACACTATTTTTATTTTATTTTGACAAAGTTGAACTTTATTTTCTTTCATGTTGTTAAAATAGGCAGTTTTTTAAAATTATCATTTACATGAAAAATTTCAGTATGTGACTTCAAGTACTAATGCCCAAATATTCTTGTGGAGCCATACAATTGCTAAGATAGCCTGGTGCCATTATTGCCACCCTGCATCACACTACTTGTTTGCTACATTCTTTCCTTGCTTCTACAAAGAGGTTATAGGTCGTACACACTCCTAAATGATGAAAACATTGATGAATGTGTCAGTATCTTATAATAACCTGAGATGTAGATATAATTTACTTACCATTCAAAGTAATAAATTCTCTCTATCTAAACATTCATAAACTAATGAACTCAAGGAGTTAGTAAAATACTGCGTGCAGTTCAAATTTCACTTGCAAAGATATGACTAATTATTCTATTAAAATACACATACCAAAAGAAAAAAAATGGCAGTTAAATGATAGTGACTTACAACCCACAAAATGAACATAAATTGATATGAATTTAAATATATTTAACTGTGAAATAGTTTACTTGTAGTTACAGCCTTGCATAAGTGACAAGAAATGAAGTTTTTACCGTTACCAACATTATACTATCTAAACCAAAAAATAAAGTATGTGCTTATCTATTTCTTTAGAGTCAGAAGAAAAAAAAAAACAATTTTAAAATAATGGACTGATTAATCAACAATTAGATGAAATTCAATGCATAAATAATGCTGAATGACCACTGACCAGATCACGATAACAAAATTGAAATTTTTATTAGGTACTATCAACTCCATTTCCAACTATAGAAGTAGAAAGTTTGTAATTTTAACTTGAAGGATGTCACAACCTGATTCTGTCAACAAATATCTCTAATGGCAGCAAGAAACAATGTATGGCTATTAGATATTTGTAGCTGAACCTGTTGATATCTCACAAACGCCATAAATTAAAAAGAATGAATTTAAAATAATTATGTAATAATTTTATACATCTACAATGTAATTGACTGAGCAAACGTGGCAGGAAAAAAGTGCATTCATTAAATTCAGCTCAAAATATTTCGCTTTCTTTGAGCGAATGGAACATTAATACATTTTATTGCATGTTGAATGGAGGAACTAAAAGAAAATACATAGCAAACTAAAAGATAAATTTTCATTTACCTCTGTTATCAAAATATACATTTGCAAATTAAAATAAAGCCCACCTATTAACCTTAAGGCTAATTAGCAATGAACAAGATTACCCTCATCATACGTAAAAAAAAAATTAAGCATCTATGTAATGAAATGACTGCCAATGAGAATTGGTCTGCAGGTCATGTACCTTTATTCTCAGATTATGAAAATCAAGCTAACTTACAGAGCATGGAAATTTTAAAGGCTAAGTAAGCACTGTCTATCCAACCTCTTTACAAGTTAGTTTAAAATGATGAAAGTAAAAATAATCTAGAATATTGAATATGCATTCAGGTTTTGAAGGAATTAAAAAAAAAAAAACCAACAGAAACCAACCTGTCCAAATTAGTAAAGTAAGAACCCTTTTCCGTAGAATGATTTAACAGTCACACAAGTGATACTTAAAAAACAAATAGTTTTTATTGTTGGCAAAAAGCCTCTGCACCGGGGATTGTTGATACATGTGCCAACATGTCACTTTAAGGTTGATCGAGATGTGGGCAACAAGCTACGGATCTAGATGTGTTATGATGTTCGGTGTTGGAATGGTTTCACTGCTTTGTATGGTCTCCATCACATTAAGAAGTTTTGAAATTTAAAAAAAAAAAAAATCCAATATTACATCTAGGTTCTATTTTCTACTTTTCTTTTCTGTTACCCCACCCCCCTTCGAGCCTCTACCGATAAAAAGATTTTGACTACAATTTTTGACTGAATATGGGAGACAAAAAATGATCACAGATCAGAGAGCATCATAATAAATGATTTCAAAATAAACCTGGATTATAATGGAGTGCAAATTATTAGCGTGTTAGACTCATAGAACATTGCTGTGTTTATGTTGAATCATTGCCATAAGGTTATGGTACACACTATTAATTCAAGTCAGATGTATTTTACTACTAGTATGATTTGCTGAGAACACCTCAAAATAATATCCCTACTATTACAGTAAGAAAAAAAGGTAACTTTATAATACATAACATTGACAGAATAAGGGAAAGTAGAACAATAAAATAAAAGTATTGCATCTTGCAATACTAAATAAAATAATGAAATCAGGGTTTAACAACAGCAAATGTTTAAATTGAACATATTAAATCACATCATGCAGCCAGAGCTAGTGTCACCCCTAAAGCTCATTTACTCAATGAAATAACACTTCTAATATCAACATGTTCAATTCTGTGTGGGCGGGGATATAATTTTTGCATGAACGTATTGAAAATGTGTCCACTCATAATAATACATATAACCAAACTTACTATATTTACAAACATTGTTTTTTTTATTTTGAAAGCATTTTCCTGTTTATAAGAAATATTAAAAATCCATTATGTACAGTTGGCATTTTAATAAGAATTAAAATCAACATTAGCTATACATACCAATATGGAAGCATAGGGGATAGGGGGAGTGTTATATCAGGACTAGTGACTATTGTATTGAAACCTGACTATAAATTACATTTCTATATAGTGATACGTTTATGTTTTTATTATGATCAAAAGCTGAGTTGTAGTAGTGAATTGAAACATTTCCCCTCCCCCTTACAACATTTTAAAAAAGGTTTGTTTAATTATGATCAGGCCATTTTGAAATTATTATTTTTTAAATAAACAGTTAAGTAGAGGAAAGCAAATAGGATAAATACTATTAAAAGCTATGTATTAAAACCCTAAATTTATCATAAATTAAGGCTTTAGTTAATGATTATTTTAACTGTGAATAAATAAGACTTTAGAAAGTATAAGAAAAGATTATGTAGTATGAAAAAAATCTGGTTAGAAAGAAAATCATGTACAATTTATTTTTTTTAGCTGTGATTTAGGGAATTTTATATTTTAGATTATATTATCTTATTTTGATATCTTACAGCAACACCAGAAATAATATTTAACAATGAAAACTACATCAGTGATTATTTGAAAATATTTATGTACATTGATTTTCACAATTAATTTTAAAGCTCTTTAAAACTACATTTTTAAAAAATAAAACAAAAGACTGATAATGCTTTTATAGAAAAACATCAAATGCTACTATTTTCAACATTGGTGTAATTTTTTTTTAGAGAATTAGTTTTCTAAATTATCATAGGAGAAATACTAAATTATCATAGGAGAAATAAAATGTCTACATAACCACCTCAGGCTATTTCTCTATTATTTAGAAGCACAGAATAATTACAGAATTTAGCAAGAAAATAACTTTGATAGTGGCAATAATCACTCTGTTTGTTCCTGATTTGTTCATATCACCATAATAAAAGCACATTTTGTTTACTGTCAACAAATTAACACTCTTCTTTTAAAATGTCTAATTCCTACATTATATTTTAAAATAATTGAAGATAAAGTAAAAGATATAAACTTAAATTTTTAACAACTATTGTAGAACAACATTTCATTCTAAAAATGTAAGTTTTAAAATTACAAAATATTGGAGGAAGTACCCACAATTTCACACAAAATTAGCATAATTAAAAAAAAAAAATCTAATAGTAACATATGAAGTAGTTAACATAAACAAACAAAAAGATGATCTGCTTTAGATTCTTGGGAAAATTCTCCAGGGATATTAAATTAATGTGCATATAATATTACAAAGTGCAGCATAAACCTTCAAATATTTAAGCAAAGCAAAAGATAAACTCATTCTAAGCAAAGAAATGATAAACAAAAAGCCAAAAAAAAAAAAAAAAATAACCATGCCGCTATCATTACAATCAAAAGCTATGTGATAGTACGACAGGTTTTTATATTACTTTTAAGGTCATATGAAATATGCAGTGACTACATGCATTGTACCTACAATGTGAAACATTGCAATTTTATCTGTTGTTTTGGTGATGTACAGCACGCTACACTTAACAGCATACATCCAAATGCATATTCTGATTATAGCTTCAGTATAAGTAAATGTGCAAACATTGATGCCTAAGTTTTTACTAGTCCCCCAATCATTTCAAATATACTGGAGACAATTGAAAAGTCTATAAAAATATTTGGCCATCAAGCAATGTGTTTCCATATATGGATATAGTTTATATTTATACTGTCTACATATATTTTTATATTGAAAAATAATGTAAAGCAAATATTCTTAACACTATGACATCTACAGGATGAGCCGGAAACAAAGATACAGTCAAATAAGAGTTGTGAAGATCTGCAGCAGGGTTTAATCTCAATGAAAGAAATAAGGAAGAATCACAGTTCCACACACTTTTAACAAGTAACCTTAGAAATGATCACTAAATACATGGATCATCTCTGTTTATTATAGCTGCAAGATAGCTTTTGAAATATGATGCATTGTCTTCAGAGATTTGCTCACAGGTTTATTCTGAATGACACCTCTAAGCTAGTAATCAACAGGTATTTCCATCTGTTTAGTTACCACTTTTAAAGGTAAGTAAAAAATGTGTGAAACCTACATGGCAACTAACCCTGTGACAGCTCAGAACAACTACCATCACAACACCATCACCTGTTATTTCAGAGTTCTGATTACAAGTACAAATGTTACAATTATAATCACAAAGTCTCAAAGAAGAATATTGATGCTGCGACAACCATAAAAAAATATAGCCATATTCGCAAATATATTTACATATTGCCAAAAAGATTCTGACATCAAAGGAAAGTTCTAAGCAAAAATAAGCCAAGTCCAGAATGATGCATAAATGAAAATAAATGCCCATTTGTGTCGCAGACAACACATCCACATCAATAAAATCCACAAAAAGCACACATAATTTGGGCAAAGTCTTGACTATTTGCACACACAAGCTGGGCAAATTCCTGACTATTTCCTCAAACAGAAATCCAGGATGACATGAACTAGAAAGAAATTCACCAATTATGTAATCCCATGGCTGTAAACTGCGCACAATCATAGTCGAAATAATTCGAAACACACCTAAAGCATAAGCATTGAATATGTCACCATCAAAACTAATATCCTCATCTTCACAATTTTTCCCAGCACTTAACAAATTGATGGCTGTAGAAACAATCTCTGGGTGAACCATTATTACAATGGGACACTCAACAATGATGGGGATAAACCAGTTATTAAATAACACAAAAAGCCACGTTCATCTGAGGGTATCACATCAAGAAATACAACCCTCTGTAGGATGTAGGCTGAATGTATGTTTAGTTTTGGTTGGGAAAGAATAGACTAGAATCACTTTTGACGAGTATCTGGTTTCCTTTTTTCAAATCTGTTAGATGTTCGGTTTTCCTTAGAGTTTCTACGATTGGCATTGGGTGGCCGAGATGATTGGGGTGGCCCTTCATTTCTTGCCATGTTGTCTTTGGATGATCCACGTTGGACAGAACGAGGGCCCTGTTGTTGTCCACCCTGATAATTTCCCTGTTCACGAAAGGCATTGGAGGATTGATTAGATGAACGGGCCCCTCCGCTTGTGGTTGTGTTATTTTGAGACGAAGTAGGCCCATTAGGAGTCCCTGAGTTGGCAGCTGGGAGCGAAGCCCCAATTGGCATATTTTCACTAGTGTTACCAGCATTAGCAGCTTCACGATTTTTTTGAGCTACCTGTGCATAGGATGGCTTGGGGGCTTCCTGTTGAAGTAGAAAAAATGTTCATGATTATAATTAACTACAGTATCTTTCCTGATATTACAAATTAATAATGCACAGAAATGTGGTCTTATTGTAAAGTCAATACATCAGCAAGCATCTATACTGATTAATTGCAAAAAAGAATACATACAATAGCCGAAGTGGAAGCAGCAGGCGAGGGTAATATTAATGCTTGAGTCTGCTGTTGAAGTTGTGCTGGAGGCTGTTGAGTTACCCTGGTTTGAACCATATTCTGACCATGACCTTGTCTAACTTCAGGCTGTCTTTGACCTGATACTATAGCAGGGGTTGCCACTGGAGTACTAGCTTTTTGAGACCTGGTTTGGTAGAATTTAACAGGAGGTTTAGGTTAAGAACTTCCAATGCGAGTGAACAATTATTTTATAAAAACAAAAGCAGTACCTTGATTGAGTAGGAATTCCTAAGGGTTCTGAAGATAAAGGTAGCTGTTCAGACCGTACAGATCTAGTATCTGTTGAAATACTATCTGTATCAATCTCCTCCTGAGAAGAAGATGTGGCATCTTCATCAGCAACCGAATCTCCATCATCGCCACCTTGAGAGTCTGTAGCTGAGGTAGAATGGGTGCTACCAGCAACAGCAGAAGATATAACAGGAGCGGGGGCAGGTGTTGCCACTGGGCTAGGCGTAGTTGATGGTGCTCTCTGTGATCCTGAGTTGCTGGAGGCTGGGGTACGGGGTTTCCCTCCTCTAACAATATCTGACATTCTGCTTTCTAGTGATATCTCAGAATTAGTTATGCTATTCTGTAAAAATAAGAAGTATTTTAATTTCAGTATGTGTATTTTATTGAAGTTCCAAACTATATATGACATAGTACAAAAAAATTGGTAAAATGGCAGCAGATTGGTATGTATTGAAATAATAAATGTGCTTTAGAAGTTCACAACATAATGTAAAACTTTTTACCAAGTTAAGACACATTCAACTATTCAATTATATTTAATGAAATTAAATAAAAGATTTGATAATTGTAATAAACAAAGGCATTTAAACAAATTAAGTTTAGAAAAATAAACCTACGGCTGCACCAGGAAGAGGTGGAAAGGAATTAGCTTCCATAGTAAAATTATCAGCAGCAGCAGGAGCTTGTGAACTAAAATTTGCTCTGTTAGATGGATTGCGTTCACCTCCACGCTGCAGAAAATTTAGAGGAAATTATTAAAATGTTAAATTGTATCACATATTACCTTTTTGTATGGTGATCAAGTTATAAATAAATATCTTACCTGATTTCTAACATTGTCTTCCCTTTTGTTTCTTTTATTCCTCCTAAACAAAATAAATTTACATCTTTATTATAGTGTATATATATAACCATTCAGAACAGTAAACAAATTAAAATTATTGTTTAACCCTCTACAGTCCGGGCATAAAAACTGTTTTACTTTCTGCATGACCAGCCAAAAACACAACTCATTTTTACAGCAAAATAGTTTGGTTATTATGTATGTGGTGAATAAGTCTAATAATTTAATAATAATAAAGATAACATTGCTCACAGAAAAACAAAACGTCACTTCTAATATTTCAATAAAAAACAAATTCAAAGTAGTCATTGGAACTACTTTATTATTTTAATAATTGTATTGTTACATTATAAATAAAGCCTGATCCTATGAAAGAGGCATTTTAATTACTTTTAATTTAGATAATTGTACTGAACCGATTTTAGACAACAAGATCTTAATTTTAAAGTTTTTGTAGATAATTAACTGTTAAAACAATGAGAAAGCTTATTACTTATTACTTTCCGCTTCCATCGGTACTTTAAAAATCTTGTTACCAGCGAGACTTTTGATACTAGGAGTAAAAAATGTACTATACACAGTCTGAGCAAATACAGACACATTGGACTGTACTACAAAAGAGAATTAGCTGTTGGTAGAGGCCGCATATGACTGTAAAGGGTTAAATAGCTTCAAGTAAAATAAAATAAAACTTGTATAAAAAGTAACCAGAGAATGCATGGTCATATGCTATTAGGGTGCCGTACTTTCTACAATATAATAAACAATGAGATGAAATGCATATAAAGCATCTAATAAGGTGTTAATTACCTGTCAAGTCTGTTGCCAGAAGGAACTTGTTGGTGCTGCTGTGGGTGATGCTGCTGATGTGTACTTTGTGTTGGGGGCATCTGTTGATGCTGCTGAGAATTATGTGGGGGTGGCATCATGTTATGATGCGGCTGGTGGTGGTGGTGTTGCTGTTGATGAACATTTTGGGGGTGTTGATGATGTGCTTGTGATAAAGCTAGAGGTGGATGGTGCTGACTGGGGGCATGCTGTTGCTGGTGGTGAGCTTGTTGATGTTGCTGTGGGTGGTGGTGATGAGGCTGCTGTGGCTGATGGTGGTGTTGGACTGGTATAGGTGGCGGTGGCTGACTATGATGCATCTGCTGTTGGGCTATAGAGGGAGGGTTGCTAGTTTGTGGTGCAGGGATTGAGGGGACTGGTGAAGGTACAGTCATGGGAGCTGGGACTATTAACTGTTGGGGGTGTTGCTGCTGGGACTGAGCCTGCTGAAAGTGTTGTATACTGGCTTCAATTGCAGCAGGATTTACGATTGGAGCAGATCCAGTCGTCACAACATGTTGTTGCTGCTGGTGTGCAACATATTGGTGTTGCGTTGCAACTATTTGTTGAGGATTCATCATCTGGGGCCCATCATCTCTAGAGCGCCTCTGTCCATAGCCTCCGCCCTGTTGAACAACACTTGCACTGTTGCTGCCATCTGCATTGCGTGGACTTGATCTAGAATTTCCTGCTCCAACAGAAACTGATGGCCTATCACTGGGTCTCTCTGACGCACTTCTTTCCAAAGTTTGACGATTGTTACGCTGAGCTCTTCCACTGTTATAAAAATGTATTAACATAATTTAAATAAAGAAGACAGTTTTTAAAAAAAACTACAAATCAGTGAACCTCGACTCACTACATACCTGTTATTATAGCGATTTTGTGTGCCACCAGCTGAAGGCATCATATGTTGCCTACCCATGTTGGGAGTGCGAATATGTTGTGGCTGCAATCCATTGCTTTGCATTATCTGAAATATTAAATCAACATTCAATTTGACAATAGTTATAACAGATTGTTTTAGCTAATGAAAGCCAAGTAGTGTCACTGGGAATATAGTCAGCTTAATATTTCTTTACTATTTATATCTGGGAACTATTTGACTTCAAAACAAAACAAAATTTTGAAATTACCATTATCAAACTTATTTTCCATTGCATTCTTTTTGTAAATAGTAAGAACTTATATAAGATGCAAATGAAAAATCTGACTACATAACCAAGAATCAGCATGCAATGTGTTCGATGATTTCAAATAGAAAAAGGCCTTTTATTAAATTTGTGGCTAGGACAAAACATGCCCATTGTATCAAGAAATCTTTAACTGAAAACTCCAGTCAATTATCTTTTTTAAATTTTTTGAAGATATCCTTATAATACAAATAGTTAGTTTTAAAAAAATGTAATTTAACTTGTGAATTTCATTACATGCTTGTTATATAGATTTTAAAACACTATTTTAAAATATGTATTATATTATTTCAATAAAAGGTCACAGAAATATCAGGTGCTAGTTGGGCAGTAGCTGTCACAAGCACACACACAAAGCAGGCTGGATCAAATTAGACATTATGCCCTGTTATTAACAAGAAATATGAATTTGAAGGGGGGCTTATGTTAATTAGATGAGGTCCAGTAAAACAATTTAAATTTATTTCTTTGTAAGTTCATTTAATAAAAATATATAAAATTACATAAAAAAGAAATACTTGGTTTTAAAATAAGATTGGTTTTAGCAACAACAAAAAAAACTTCGGTAAAGGTATACAGGCCAATAAAAGAGAATTAAAAGGTAATAAGGATTCAAAGATGCTCATTTAATATTATGACTTGGGAATGAGGACGTATACAACTCTCATTGGCTACTTAGTTCTTTTATTTATAAAGAAGTTTTAATCATCACTGCAGCAGAGCACACCATGCTGCTTTGTGGTGTGTGTCATGCCTGGATAGCTCTACCTGCTGGCTAGCCGCTCGTCTCTGCCTGTACGCCATACAGATGGCCTCAATACTCACTATTCCTGGATCCATTGCTGGTGCTTGTGGAGACCAACCTTGTGGAGCAATCATGTATTGCATGTATGTATTAGCTGCGGCCTGAAAATAAATTAGGAAGAATTCTTAAAGCGTCATTTTTTAAGTGTCAGATACAATTTACACTAAGCATCTTAATGTGCAAAGGGGCGTGATGACATTAAGTTTGTAACACTAAGAAAACTTCCAAGCTAAATTTGAAGTTCCATTAAAATAAGGGTTTAAAATTTTTTTTTATCTTTACTAGGTGTATGAAAACACATAAAAATAAATAATTAAGCTTTCTTGACGGAATTGTTTGTCCTATCATAAAGCTGTTGTATTCATATGATACTTATATTAAAAGTAATTTCACAACCACATCTAAGACTCTCTTGCAAACAAACTGAAATTACTTTGTTCCACATTCAAAATGGAAGTTACTACATACCTGTTGATAATACATCCCTGGTGATCCAGGCAGTAGTGAATGATAGACTGCTGGACTATACTGGTGTACCAAAGGTTGCGGCTGTTGTGGCTGAGCCAGTGCATTTGGTACAGCTGGTACAGCTGCCACACTCACAGAAGCCGCCTGCGCAGTCACTTGGTTTTGATGTGCTATTCTTCTTTGGTTAGATTCCTCTGATGAGGGAAAGTAGCCAGCGGCGGCCATTGTGCCAGATGACTTTATACAACACTGCAAAAAAAAAATTAAACACTTTAAACTATGATCAAATTTATCTGTCATTTTTAAACTCTTAACCTGGCTACACTATCAAATTAGGAGAAAGTGAACACTGGGTTTCAGAAAAGATGAGCTTGTTTGACTTTTTCTTGATGAAGTGCAATATCTGGATTCTAGTTTGCTAAACATTGCAATATTATAAAACAATCCTGAAAGAAATTCTCTGTGATACAGAGAAAATGAGGTTTTAGAAATATAATAAATTTATATACAAGAACGCCTAAAAAAAACTCACCCCTATTGGATAGCCTTTATAATCTGCTTTTTGATTATGGAGTAAAAAGAAACTGTTCAAAGCAATAGATTCATCCTTGAAGCTCACATACCAAGTTGAGCATTTATCCTTGACCATAACAAACTCTATATGAGTTGGGGTTGGTGCCCCCATGTCTAGAATAAATTGCCTGACATCCTATAAAGACAAAAAATGATTGTTTCAAGTTATTTTCATGATTAACAAATTGTAAATACAAGTAACTTATACATTTTCTAAATTAAAAAAATAATACATACCTCTTCAGTAGCAGTTGCAGGAAAGCCTCTTAAAGTTAATGTTTTTCTACACTGTGAAACCCTCACTTTGTTCCTTGATTCATTTAGTTCAAGAATAGAGCTTGCTAAAAATACAAAGTTACTATTTGTAAATACACTTATATCTGTTACTGTTTGTGTTAGCTATTAATTTAATAATTTAAACAATTTAAAAAAAAAAAAAAAATTATTCAAACTTACATTCCACAGCTTGTGCTAGTTGCTCATAGTTACTACAAATTGGTTTGATACGATTAAAATCCAAGAAAATGTCTAAGGGAATATACTTGTCAGGATCCATTTTCGAATTAAGAAATTTATCATTTGGCAAGTTCTCACTGTAATGAAAACATTTTAAAATTACTATTTGATGTTTTATTCTAAAACATTTGAATACTTAGAGCTGTGAGATAAAAGATAATTTAATTTAATAGAAAAAAATATTAAATCAATATCTGATAATAGAAAAAGTAAACTTACGCAGAGAAATAAAACTGCATTTGCTTTCTGATAGGTTCAAGTACAGAATCAGGATATCTGACACCTGCAGAAAAAAATATATATTCTTGAATGATAGACTGGACAATACTGGTGTACCAAAGGCTGCGGCTGTTGTGGCTGTGATATTAATTACTCAAATAGAAGATTTAAGTTAAAATCCAACCTTCTCCTATAACATTTTGCTCCAAATCCTCTTCAACATCTTCATCTCCACCAACAGCATTAATAGATGCCCCAACTCCAGCTCCATTTGGCTGGCTGTCTGGTTCACCACCTCCATTACCTGCAGGTGATACTATAAGCAACAAAAAGGTGATTTTTAAAATATTTTTTTGTCTTTAGACGACTAATACCTGATGTATTAAACATAGGAAAACAAATGAAACACTTTTAATTGTTTTTGTAGATCTTGATAACTTTCAAAATAAAGCTTTGAAGGGTTTTCATTTCAATTTTTTACAAGTGATTTGACTGAACTACCATCCTGAACAAAAATGTAATTTTTTTTAACAACTAGACAACACTTGAATGTGTGATAATTTCACATCAAATTATAGTTTTCACTTTATAAGTATAACTAATGCTACAAGATAGAATCTATTTCAGACAAAATTCAATAAATGATACACTTAAATAATGGTTACAATTTTTAAAAATTACAATATCTTAAGTTAACACAAACATCTAAAAAGATCAACTGCAATACTTTCACACTATAAACTATATTGCTTTTATTCTCAGCTACACTATCAACTATATTGCTTTTATTCTCAGCTACACTATAAACTATATTGCTTTTATTCTCAGCTACACTATAAACTATATTGCTTTTATTCTCAGCTACACTATCAACTATATTGCTTTTATTCTCAGCTACACTATAAACTATATTGCATTTATTCTCAGCTACAAGTCTAGTATACATTATATGAGTAGCTCTAATTCTAAGCTCAATCAGCAAATTCACAGAGTTCATAGCATACATACCAACTGGAGAAGATCCTTGACTTGGAATCCTAGTTTGCTGTTGCCTTAGTGATTGGCCACCATCAGTCACAGCCATAGGATAAGATGCCTGCTGGGGTGGAAGTTGTTGGGCAACCAGTGGATGACTGGGGAGACTGCCTGCAGCTAACAAGGACTGTGGAGCCATGTTAAGTCCTCCCAGCTGGGAGGCACCTTGGACCACAAGGCCCTGCATCTGATGGGAGCCCTGTGGCTGAGGGCCTGCTCCTCTGTGCATACTAGCACTGCTCCCACCAGCTGACACGCCGAATGTAGTGCCGTTTTGCTGGATGTCTCCATTGGTCAACAGACCTGAAGCATCAATGAGAAAATGTTTTATTACTGATATCACAAACACTTTACTATTAGCTAAACTCACACAATGCAACTATATTGAATTGATTAAAAAAAAGTAAAAAAATAAAATATACTATTTTCAAGCTGCAAACATACCACTTTTCCATCAGAAAAAAAAATCCAATTTGGAATAAATATATTTCTAAGACCTTATAGTAACATGATCCAATCAGTAGCTTTAAAAAGGGCACCAAAGAGTTTTCTGCTAACCTTGTGCGCTAAGCTCCTGTCCAACAAAGTTGGCCTCAGCTGGAGATCTATCCCCTAGTTGTGACTGATGAAAAACAGGTGCTGAAGGGTTTAAATTTTTGGGAGATGTTGGATCCTAAAATGAAAATACAAAATATGACATGAAGACAAAAAATGTTCGCTAGAAATAAATAATGTGTGTGTAAAAATATTAAACCTTTTACTTACGTGTGATTGACGGAAAGGCTGAGCTGCAGGATTTAAATTCCTAGGAGAGGCAGGTGTCTGGAAAAAAAAAATTAATTTAAAAATTAATAAAAATGAATCATAACATTCTATGTGGATTCACTTATGGTCTGCCTTTAATCTGAAATAAAATTATACATTTACAATATATAATGTATTTATTTTGCAGCATATGTTTATAACCTTATCAGAGACATACTTTGATACACAATTGTGACCTGAAAGTTGAGCCCTATACTAAATCTCTTATTTCTTTGTTAGCATTTATTTTTAAAAATATTTTAAATTTTGTGACATTTTCAAATAAGTAAAGAAAATAAATTAAAATTGGTTCAACAGAGACCATTGGAAAACATTGGCAAAAAATCGGAAACACAAAAACAATAAACAGATAACTTGTAAATAAAAACAAATACATTTCTTGAACACAAAGATGGAATACAAAACTGAATTTGAAGATCTAAATATATAATACCACTCAAAGACTGCAACTTACAACGGAGGCAGGTGTAATGACCTCTGGTTCCAACTGGACAAGAAATGGATCCTGAAGATAAGTACATTACTTTGTCATATTCTATAACTCATTCGGATTTTAAATTAGAAAGATCCAACCAGGTTTTTACAAGCTCTCATGACATAATGAAAATCAACATTAAGAACTAGTAACCTTGATGTCACACTTTAATTTTAAAAATTCATTTAACCTATTATTTGCTTTTTTGCAGTTATTTTTAATATCTGGTTGTATGTGAGATATGGAGTAAAAAATGTTTAAAAACATTAATGGACAACCCTCTGATAAAAAGTAGTTCTTGATATCAATCTTGTGTCACAATTCATGTTGACTTCTTACAATGTTTACATGTAGATTGATAAGCCAAAAGGCAAAAATGAAAGGAAAGTTATTATAAAAAAGAAAACAACAAGAACAGATTGACTTTAACTAACCACAATAACTTCATAAAAAATTTAACTAATGTTCACACACAAGTTATACTATGTAAAAGTACTTTTGATATTTAAAAAAAAGGGGGTATTCAGTGAATTCTAATTATACTATTAATCCATGGAGAAAAAAAGAGTCATTTAAGATTATTTTCCTAAATTTACATTTTTAAGTAAGAGAACAAATGGCTATTCTTAGTCTAAGTGGAACACATTACATTCGATTATACGATAATTACGTGAATAAATATAATTTACTTTATGAATTATCATATAAATAATACTACCTTGCTTACAAATTTGTGGAATTCATCTCTTTGCACACACAATACACTAGAGTTAGAAGCATAATAATACACATCCCCAGGGAGCATGTGCAGACTGCCAACTAATGGCCCCAGGAGGTCGCCATCGGACAGACACAACTCCTCCTCATAGGAGGGCAGCTGGTCCAGCTTTGTTGACCACGTTGTTCCAGGGTCAATAACAGAAAGGTGGTTGCTAATGACTGGGTATTTGTCTGTCCCAATTCAAACACTTTGATTCAGTGATTCACAGTAAGCAAATCTCATGAGGAGTTTACACTGTCAATCAATAGCCTATTTAATCCCTATGAAACAGTCCAGGAATAAATTCAACACATGAAAATACATTCATGACATCCCATTTCAATTAAGTGGAGTAATGCACCCAATACTAATGAAAATCGAATACAATTTGAGCAGACAAAACAGTTTTAAATCAACGCCATTAAAATAACGAGCCCAATTAAAAAAAACAACAACACTTAAACGAGCTGCGGTAATCCCAGACATACTAAAATAGTGTTGAAATACAACAGTGTTAGACCAGAAATTACATATATACTCAGTGACTGAGCAACCTGCACAAGGATCAAAGAGAATGTTTACAGCTGTTTGCTAGAGAACAAATGAGCACTTGTGGTATGAGTAGATGCATGACAAAAACTGAGCTTGTTTATGTTGTTGCAGTTTTTATTTGGAGTTACCCCTACATAAATGATAAAAGCTCCAGCTATATAAAATTTTAGATCACCCCCCCCCCCCCTTCTATATTTATTAACGAAAATTTTCCCCTGAGAAAATTATTTTCCCCTAAGAAGTATAAAATACACAAGCTCCCCTCTAGTCCATGCAGCACACTGTCACAATCATCAATGCCCCCCACCAACACAGTCACCAATGCCCCTCCACCAGCACATTTTCACAATCAGCAAGCCCCCCCCCCCCAACCATCAATGCTCCCTCCACCAACACACTGTCACAATCATCAAAGCCCCACACCAACATAGTCACCAATGCCCCCTCCACCAGCACATTTTCACAATCAAGCCCCCCCCCCCCAAATCATCAATGCCCTCTCCACCGATCTGCTGTTGTTACAAAAAGAATCATTACAGCCATTCACTTTATTCAGTACAAGATAAATATACGAAACCCCTTAAGTTTATAATAATAATTGTACCCTGAACTTACCGACACTACATAGGTCAACAAAAAGGGACACATGAATTAGGTACTCGGACCCAAACTCTCCCATTTAGCCTAGCGCTAACCTCAATGAACGGCGATTTCCGCTAACTGTGGGTACGCTAAAAGAAAAACTACACAATTCTAGCCCTATCCTAAATGTAAGCTACGCATGTAATACTCCGACACCACGTAATTCTAGAAAGGGTATTCTACTGGGCCAAGCTCCGTTACCCCTGCTACACAAAGCAGTGCTAGCTCGGCGAAGTTCAAGTTGGTGACAAGAGCGGATGTTTATTGACGTATGTTAAACGATAACGGACCGCCCTGTTGTTTACGATACAGCGATCAATAGGACGCGTGTCACCTCAACGGAGCGAACACCAAGCCGACCAAGTAGCAACACGGAAACATCCAGGTTCAAAAGCGACAGGTACCTGGTGTCGATGGCTAAAACTGGGTCCACGTATGACAGGGGTATTGATTTCCTTTTTCTTTAACCCTATTCGGGCAGAAAGTTAATCCCCAGACTAGAGTATTTGGTATCTTGGTATGCAGGAAAGTAAACGCTCACAGCGTCTGTAACTGTGTGAACGCTAGACACAGAGCCTAACAACTACGCTTGGGAGAAGAATTCCCAAACAAAACAAAAAAGACTACAAAGCAACAGTAATTAAGCCCTAGATAAAAATTAAAAGCTCAGCACAATCAAACGCTGACATTTCCGACCATTGAAAGGTAGTTTATATCTAAAACCAAGGCTACTTAATTTTTTTTAACAAACCAAACAACCCACAACACTACTAGCCGCCTTCTATTTTTATCGAATGACGTCTTTAATACAGTCGAATTTTGATAAACACACTACACAGTAGGCCTACTCGTGGCTGTATTTTCAGTTCTAGACGAAGAATAAAATAGACGGGGAGACGGTTGGGGGGGGGGGGGGGGGGAAGAGAGGGAGAGGAAGAAAGATGGATCCATTGCTTTGAACAAAGTATGCCGTCGTTTACTAAATACCTTCTTATCTTGACCCGTGTTCCAAACGTAACATTCAGGTCCACGCGAATACATTACTAGATCTAGTAAGGCTAACATGGTGTAAGACGCAGCCTCGGCGACAACCAGGACATGTCAACCCCCATAATCCCCGGCAAAAGACAAGAGAGGATTAGGACAACCCTCAGAGGAATTCACCATGAAACAACTAGCGGCGGTGATGGAACAAAAGAGGAACCATTTTATTCAACAACGGTGTACCGCATTGCGCAATGCCTCATATTTTACCAGGACGACAAAAGCTAATTTGATGAAATCGATATCGACAATGATTTACCGAGGATAATTGCGAGAGCACAAACGCACCGCTGTATATGAAGAAGACCGGGGTTAATACCAATCCATCTTTACTGACATGCGATTGATTTTATCATCTGTGTAGCACAGATATCGTATATACGTGTAGCTGTAACACGACGTCAATCGCCCTAACCAGGGGCAAGATTATTGACCTGCTGGTGTACCATAACAGTAACAACGCCCACTAATGAATCCCGGATGACAAGGACATGAGCCATACCCTTCCACTTTTAGATGTATACTAGATCTAGATCTACTTGCGGCCTCCGCAGTGTTCGAGATTAAATACATTCCATTGTCAAATATTTTTTTATCTTTAATTGTATTATTTTAGTACACAGAATTCGTTTACATTATAACAAAGACTGCTAATTACAAAATCTTATATTTACAAACATACAAAATCTTAAATTTACAAACACGTGAACACAAATATGTATATATAGATATACAATCGGAAACGAATTAGCAAACAAAAAACAACCCCTGAAGAAATGAAATATATTAGGGCTGCACAGGTTGTCAACGGATAAAACTGATAAATTATAAAGACACCCACGTCTAGTGTTTACAGTAATCGGCAACTAGTTAATTTAATTTTATACTTTAAATCCGCTACTGTCACGAACAGAGAACCACCGGACACCAAGCGGTCACCACAATGACCAAATATTTAGTCCTGTCACAGAAATTACAGGTCACAATCCACTCGATAAGACGGAACATATGGTAGGTTAATCGCTACGTCACCAGAAAACTGTCTCCTCCATGAGCTTCTCCCCCACACGAAGCGAGAGAGCGAAGGATGGAGAGTACAGGGGAAACAAGACGGTCGTATTTTTAAAGAGGAGGGGGGTAAAGGGGAATGTGCGAAAACGCCACGCGGCCATGTAGCGTCTGGCCAGCCAAGAGCTGACAAGCGCAGTATTGATGCCAAAGGTAGGCCGCCCTACATCGATCACATTCAGCCAAATGAACAGATTCTTTAAATATAATTACAAATCCATTCATATACGGGGTCATCATAAAAACCCACAAAGTTGCAGAAATGTTAAGTTCATTACCCTCGTATATTTTTTCAAAAATATTTTAAATACTACATTAGTCTTGATGATATCGGATAAATTATTCATTAATATTCAGGTCTGTTTTAAATCACTATTATACAAGAGCAAGAAGGGTGACAAAAACACGTGTCGTGTACAGAGGAAACTCTACAGGAAGGGAAATGTCAACAATATACAAGAACCAAAACACGCCCGGACAACAAACTTAAAAAAAAGACTGCCTACGCTTAATTAAACAAGTTTTCTTCTTCCCCTTAACACACCACAGTTGAACTTTTAGCGTCCCCTAACTATACACCTAGTCTTTAACTTAAGGTTAGCTGGAGAGCAGGTTAAGTGGGAGGGAGGGGGAGTCGCAATAAAGTGCAAGATGCTAGTTATGCTTAGTTGCATTTCTGCAAATGAGAACTAAATTATCATAAACACGACTTTGCCAAGTATTTTTTTTTTTTGATGCACCGGTTGTATAAACAACGAATTTGAAGGAAACGACAAGGAATGTTGACCTGCACGGGGACAAGCTTCGGACAACACGGCTCAAATCAAACAAGTCATCGCCACCTTTAACTTGCCCCAGTCGACAGGTAGGATCTAAAAGTGACCATAAACAATATTGTTTTCCCCAGCTCCGCCAACAAAGGGAAGAAACACCCCCCAAACCTTTTGTCTATCGATCAATAAAAGCCGGAACGACCGTCTGGTTTTACTTCCTCTTTCCTTCTTGATAACAAAATCGATTGGTTTTTACTTGCGTCACTGTTGCGTTGGTGTGTAGGTAGCTGGTTTAAGCTAATCGCGGCGTAAACCTAACTTCCGAAAATCATACAAACTACACACTACACGCTAAGGCAGTTTTGTTTCTCTCTCTAATAGTCTAAAGCAATGCCGGATTACTGAAGCGCACGACAACGCCTAAACAGTTTCGCGCCAATAAATGTGAACCTACTCGCGTAATTACATACAAACGAATAGGAAAAATAAATAAAATATATGACATTCTTAATCTACATATCAGAGGAATGTCTAAGGGCGTGATAACAAAAAGCATATGGAGACGTGAGCTGCACTATTCCGAATCTCAGCTACCTGCACACACACGTTGCTATCAATAGCAACAACACAACAACGAGGCCGTGCTTTAAATAGAATCGGAATTTTATAGTTCCCAAGCCAGGCCGAATTGCATTAGTTGATGTGTAATAATTACATACACAAGTAAAAAGCAATGCACGTAGAGAAAAACAAATTTTAAGTTATCCCAACTTGTAATAGAAACGCATTAATATTCAGGCACAGTATATGGAAATGGATTCCCATTTGTAACATCCAAACACATTTCACTGAAACAGTAGGATGGGGACTCCTTAATTAGTAAGTTCCATTTTAAAAAAAAACAAGAAAAAAAAAACAACAAACTATTGAGTTATGAATGCTCACAAATACGGTCATGCCTTACAGCTTTTTAATATTCCACTGAACTACAATAAATTTTTTTTTTAAATGAAGGGAGATAACACTTTGAATTAATTTGACATAAATGCTAAAACGGAATGATGTCCCATACATCATGTTGGAAATCAATTTGATATAAATAAACAAAAAAAATTTGAAACTCAATAAAACTAACAATTCAATCTTACTGAGATCACTATGAAAACAACTTATAAATAAAACAACATTGATTCATCTATCACATTAACAATAGCAAGCTGACCCTAGGCAGATCTCACTATCACTTAAATAACCTTTCAATCTTAAAAGTGGAATGGTGTTGTGTAAGAAAACTGTAAATCAGGTTATCTTTCTAAAACCAGTTAAATTACCAGCATACATAATGATCATGCAGCTTTGACATTGCTTTTTCTCAGTGAGAGCAAAAGACATTTCAGAAATTTAATTTGTGATACCCGATTTTGTAGAAAATGGAAACACAAACTACACATCAAGCTTGTATTACATACAATTCTAGCTTGAATGTTGCAGTTGTTAAAAAAGACAATTGAGATAACAAAAAATACTGAGTTGGGTTTAAAATTTGCATCACCTATTGAAACCCAGCATAAGTGTAGATAAATGAAACCC